TACACCAAATAGCCTACTACATCCTGATATCCTCATGTTCGACTAAATACCCATCGTGTATGTACACAATTCCGCATTTTCGAAAACAAAAAACCCAAAAATTACTCGCTTCATCGGGGATGAACGGGGCTTAACGAAAAAACTAACGGCGCTATTGCGGCAGCAAATACCCGGCGAAATCACGTCGTGACCTCGTTAGAGGCGGACAGCACGTATATGCCCGTCACATCTGTTTAAATTTTATTAAAACTTTCAACTTTTCGCGGCGTCAAATCGCATATACGTCTAGGCGGTGTTACACGTACGCTTCCGAATAAATTGTTAATATAAACTATGTCAGGTATTCGAGGAATGAATAATGTTTGCCGTTGCTTTTGACGAGCGGATTACTCTTCGTTTTTCACCAGCTCGAACGAAGCTTTTTTCTTATTAAGCGTATGTACAAATGATACGCAGGAATAAATTATAAACGACAAGCTAAAGAAAACATGTACTGTTCTTGTATTTATAATAGAAATTGCGAACATGGCGCGTCTATTTAGCTCTTTAGCGTCAAAGGTGGTGGAACGTATGGGCTCATATTTCATCATGCATTACATTACAAACGAGCAATTACAGTCAGCTTTTTGATACTCGCCACAGGTGGGTTATGCGGTAACACCCACACATGCGGGTTTTTAATTGTTGCTACTAGAATTTGAGTCTACTAATTGTTAACGAATTTACTCTTTATTTCTGGTAACCAATTTGCAAATTCATGTAAAACCAGCTCTTAAAAGATCCATTTTATCGTGCCGTAAATTTCTCGAATAAAACGAGTAATAGTTGCGTTTAAAAAAATCATCCTTAAACGATTACGGCGAATCTCGTAAAGAAAATCGTGAAGTTTCATTTTTTTTTAGTACAGGCACACGTTCCGTCCCGCATGTAAACTGCTGATGTAGTTCGGCACTTGTTTCCGATTGCAATTGAAAAAGCAACGTCGCACCTGGCCCCCTATGATCCCGGGCGCTCTTGATGCTCGTTCTCGAAAAATTGACTGTCATAAAACGCGGCGTTGGCGAAACGTGAACGATTTGGGAATTGCATTAAAACGTATTAACGAAAAGGGGCATAAAATTTAGAATGACTGCGACGGCCGTAAACAGAGAATTAAAAAATTCGAGTTAGTGTCTGGCGGGAATTTTTATATTTCGTGCTCGACACGAGTTTAAATCACTCCGGAGCCGTCGTTACGAGTATTAGCACAATTCAATTAACTAATGAATATTTAAAAAAGCGAACCTAGTTTTAATTAAAACAAACCGTTCCGTAATCGTAAAAAGGTTTAGTGCGTTTTCGTTTAATGAAACTATACAAACCGAAAACACCTACTCGATACCACCTAACCCAAAATTATGCATCGATTTACTTGTGGAAATTTTCGTTGAATATTACAACGTGAAAAGCCATTTCCTACTACTTAACTTGTACCCATACATCTTTTCAAGTTTCGACTTTATCAGTATTGAACGACAGAAGTGAAAACACGAACGGCGGGCGCAGTGAAAAATATCAAAAGTTATTAGCCCGAACTCTTCCACTTTAAAAGTGAGCTAATACTAGTCGAAGCTTTTTAAATTCGCTGCCGAACGAACTGACAGTATAATTGATCGACTCTAGTGCTACTACACAAAAGCTCAAGTTAACAGGATAAACATATACATACGCGCTCTTATCGGCTGGCACGCTAATAATTATCAATCAACATGTCGTTTAATCCGGCTTTTTGCCTTGTTCAAAAGAGCGCAAATTTTACGGTTATTTTATCAAACGAAACATTACTCCGCAACCGGACAAAACCGAACAGCTCGTAATGCTGGAAAGTACATTTGGCCAGGTAATTATGGTTGGGTTTATAAAAAATTTCGTTTAAAGCGCGCCTAAAAAATTTTTGACTGTACGACCTCGCATATATTGCTCTATCCGAAATATGAATTATTAGAGTTAATAAGATTAATAATTTTTTCACTAATGAATCGTTCATTGTGCGAAAAGGAAATTTATTCAATCATATTAAATATTTATTAGGATATTTAACGATTGCAGGTTCCCATTTGTTTCAGTGTTATAATCGAACATTTAGTTTTAATAAATATTTATCCGGCAACGCTAATGAACGTAATAAAACGCATTTATTAATAATAAATTCCGTGAAAAATTAAAACTAAGCTGTTGCAATATTTGAATTAACATCGTTACCATTAGTGTAAAACAGGATGTTGCTGCTTCAAAATAATAAAACGCCATACAATCAAACAGAACGTTTAATTGTTGTTAAACATTATTGGATTAATTGCGACGAATGATTTCATGTAGCTCAATAAATAAATTGAAATATATTACGAACAATAAAAAAAATAATTCCAAACATTCGAAACAAGATATGTAATATGAATCCTTTAAAATTACGTTAGTTTAATCATGGGATTTTTTTGTAGCCCCTTTTAAAAATGAAACCAAAACATGCCCCATAAAACTCCCTAAGAACGGTTACAAGTTCTAAAATTACTTTTCCAGATTAAAATGGCTGCGTCCAACTAGGTCCTGGCCATATAACGTGAGACCCACACAATGCAGGAAATTGAAACTGTGAGATTTTAATTAGATATGAAAACATACTGTACGCCGTTATTGTTCGAGTTGCGCTAACGACGCCATAATTCAACCGGCTCAAATCGAACTTGCCGCACGGCAATTAAAACATTTTCATTATCATTTATATTGGAAACACAAGTTTTTATCTCTTTTCGCGACTTCGGTTCGCGTCGAATCGTCGCACTACCTTCCGTTGTCGCGACATCCAAACTTATAAATCATTCGCCAGGAACAAAAGGTTTTGCATTCCCATTCAATGGACGCGAAAGAGTAATGAATAGGTAAAAAAAAACCGGTTCGCTGTTGAGGGAAATTAAAGGTACGGGCATTTTTATAATGAGAGAATGTTTGTTTATGTAACGAGACGAGTAGGTAATAAATCTATAAATTTCATATAGGCTATTTTACATCAATAATTAATGTAATTAAATTTGAGGTTTCGTTTAGTAGGTATCTGAAGACCTATAAATTTACTACCTTTAATTGCTGCAATTACTTGATTGAATAGGTGTAGATTGTTCATAAAGAAAGAAAAAGTAAGTTTATGATTAAATAATCAAATAAATCAATTTGCAATAAGAAATTCAAAAATATAATCAATCATAATCAGTCCAAAAATCAAAAACTGATCTGTCACAAGATTACCAAAGCTCCTTGATAACGAAAAATTAATTCATCCGTTGCCTCTACAAAGCATCTGTATAGATTTATTAGATATGGAATTATCAAGTAAATATTCATATCACAAATTCAGCGATGACACTTTCAATTGAATTCAAATTCAATGGAATATTGTTGTGTTTCCTTTCACATCGGCGAATTAGTCGTGTATAGGCTAAATTAATAGACGAATCTCGTTTAGGTTCATCAAGGGATTATATACTATTAAACATTGATAATATTAACGAGAAACGACGACTGGTAAACTTAAAAAAACGATTCATTTTGAAGATAGAGAAAAAAAGAAAAGTGTGTAGAACCAAATAAAGCCTGTGAGAGATGAGTGTATGGGATGAGAGTGACAAATGAGCCCTCTTTGTTGTCGATAAATTTTTGGGGATAAAAATATTATGGTATCAATTCCGCTAACTTTATATGTGAAATAACAATTTGATATAAGGGGATGCTTCAAATGGGTTCGTGTGGATTGTAGTGTACACTGTAATTTTAAATTTTGGTGGAGTTTTTTGAGTGCCACCAAAATTCATAATATGTTGAACGTGCCAATTTTGAAAATTGTTGTATTACTATTTTTTAATTTCTCCATAAATATAGCTAAACACAGTCTAGAAATTATGAAAAAAAAACTCCTTCAAAATCCCTAATTAAATTAGCTTCGAGATTAGCGTCTGGAAATTTTCATCCGGCGAAAAAAAAGGATCAAAAATAAAACTTTTAATATATCAAACTCGGTAAACCAGAAGAAGCTAATTACAGTAAAATTTAGTGTTACGATGCCGTTTTTAATAACCGAGACTTGCAAAATAAAGCCGCATTAAAATTGCACTTTATATCATCTGGATGATAAAAAACAAATTAAATACTAACAGGAGCCGTTTTAAATGGTTAATCTTCGCAACGAGCGATCTCGCCGGTTATGGGCAATTTCGGTAACTTTTTGATGGACGCATATTCTAAAAATTTTTACAACGGCTCGAAAAATCAAAAAAAAAATCTAATTACCCAGCACACAAACATTTGATGGCTCGTCACCTGATTACTTTATTTATTAATTCAAAACAAGCATCAAACAACAACTAAATTAAATTAGAATAAAAATTCTTTCGCGAAAGTTTACCCAACCGTTCGCGAGTTACGTTCAAACGTTTCATATATGCGATACAAGACATAAACGTACACAAAAGGGAGGCGATATATCCGCCGAAGACATATCTCGCTGCTACAATAAAATTTAATTTCACGAAAGATATTGCATAGTTTGGCGGTTCGGGCGTACAGCCACCCTTTAGGAGCGCCGCGACGAGTGTGATTCTTTAATAACACGAACGAAGAAGCGGAGGAACATAATAAAATTCTCTGTATCCATTAGGAATATTATGAGGCACGGATTATCTGAGAGTTGCCTAAAAAACATTACAGTTTCTGCTATACTATAAATAGAACTCGCTTGAAATCTCGCAAATGCACGTTTTTTAATTATACAGTCGGTGCAATGGTTTGTATGTCATCTATTCATCATATTTGTTTCGTTTTTTAGAGCAACGACAAACTTCTTTAGACCAAATGAGCGCAAACATTTGACCACAAGAGATAGATTTAGCCCTTCAAACTAGATAATAGAAAATTCGAATCGTTTTAAAACTCTTACAGCGAGTAACCCGAATACAACATCGTCGACTTACCTGCAAACTGGGATGACACTGCAGATCGAGCAGCATCTTCACGAGACCGATGTGCCCTTTGTTGACGCCTATATGCAAAGCGGTTTGCCTGCGTTTATTCCGCGCGTTCAAATCGGCCCCGGCGTGGGCCAGCAGCTGCACCACGGCGGGTTCGTCGCCGAAAGCGGCGTGGTGCACGGCCCGATCGCCGTCTTTATCTTCGATTTCCACGTCCGCGTTATATCTCAGCAGCACCGAGATGACTTCCAGGTGCCCGTTCTGGCTGGCCGCTTGCAGGGCCGTGTGGCCGGCGAATACCCCGTTTACATCGGGTCCTAGAAGAAATTAACGCATTTAATATCTCTATTATCTTACGAATAATAAAGCTGTAAGCAAAATTGTACTCGATATGGTCTGTGGATGCAACAAAGACAACTTCCGCTACTCTCATATAAAGGAAAACGAAAGAGTGATGTAGTAGGATTGGAATTTTCTCACTCTAACCAGTGTAATGATAACAATCCTTCTTTGTTCAACTCATAGTATAGACCATGAGTCCACCACATTGTCCACTGTTCTTATACTACAGAATAATAACACCTTCGCGTGGAGACATTTAACCAATTCTTCAGAAAATAACATTACCTACTCCTGCTCCGGCAGTGTTACTTTGTTTCAGTACTTCCTCGCATTTTTGGACGTCTCCGTTAGCCGCGGATTTTACAAGTTCCTCGTTGACATCGCCGGAGACGTGGGTTTCGAACAGTTTCTTGAGCAGCGCGCTGAGACGTTCTCCGGACGAGGTGCCGTCGATTCCGCCGTTTTTGCTCGCCAGTTTGGTGACAGCGAGAGGATTGTAGGTCCAAGTCGTATTGCACACTTCCACTTTCAGATCGTTGTCGTTGTAAATCTGTTGAACGTGGCCCACTTTTCCTAGCGTCTGAAAAAAAACGTAACGTTTCTCTTAGTAATAGTATTATTTCGGTTTCTGGGGACTTACAGCGGCCATCCCATCGGCCCAATCGCCGTGGCCTCTTTGCAACATTTTTACTTTCTCGATATCGGAACATATTTGGACCTCGTCTCCGACGGCGAACTGTTGTTGGGGCGCTTCGTTATATCCACTGGCGTTCGTCGGGGTCGCCACTTTCGTTAGAACGGCAGGATTCAAAGTCCATCTACAAGCACCAAGTGAATAATGGATGCAACTTGTTTTAGTATGTTTTACACACCTATTTCCGCTACTGTACGCGACAACGATATCGTGATCTTCGTCGATTCCTACCACGGTACCGAAACTGTTTAAACATTCAAACATAACGTCGATCCAGCCCCCGTGGCCGTGTTGCAACGACTGAACTATTTCTAATTCTAAATTCACGTGGACCTAAAACAAACAATTAGCAACGAAACCTCTTCTAATCTTAAGTAGATAAACGACCTGATCTCCGATTTTGAAACCGTGCGGTGAATTTCTTCCCGGTCCGTGTTCGCCGAGACAAGGTAAGTGATCTCTGTAGACATTTTGCCCTTTCGCATCGTTAACAACTTTCAAATCCGCCATTCCTTCGAAACCCACTCGGTACAAATTTTTCGATCCGTTATCCCAAACGATGTAAGCTGCAGACCTCGGACTGGCAGCAGACCAATCCTGAATTTCTTGAACCTTAAAATACAATCATGTAATTATGTGAGTAGAAATGTGGAGTAGAAACAAACCTTTCCGCGTCGTCCGTTGCCCCCGTCTTGATCCTCCCACTGCCAGTCGACGCCTCGAACCACCCGTGCCCCGGGAAATATACCACGAATGGCGATTTTCTTCGTTTTCCGGCGCGTTTCCAAGTACACGCGTTCGCTGCCGGGCGTCGTGATGCGATAGAACCGATGCCTCAATTGGTGCTTGTCCCCGTGGTAGCAGATGGAACAGAGATCGTAGTTGCCGCATTCGGCGCATTTCCAACGGATCCCGAATATTGGCTGTTGTCTGCATGTGTCGCACATCGTGCCTTCGTGCTTGACGCCCGTGGGGGCGCTGTCTAGAATTCTCAAATCGTACTGGCCCGAGCAACGGTAATTGGCGGCTGTTCCGTTGTCCCAGACTACTACGACTTCATCGGGGGATTCGAAATTTCTCACTGTTCCGACGTGCCCTTCGCCTCCGTCCTAAAATCAATTAAAATTAGTAATAAAAATCAAGTGAATGAGGTGAGTAAGTAGGTTATTAATCCAAAGAAATGTTGTTAATTATTTGATTTTTACTTAGGATTGTAAACATTTTTTATTATTTATGATTTAGAGTTATTATTACTTGTTTTTGGGTATAAATTGCTATTAAAGCTGGATAATATGTTAGCAATAAATTAATAAGATCCTATATTAGAAGTAACTGGTTTATAGACTTGAAAATTAATAAACAAATGTAATAAACAGTATAAAAAATAAGTGTGTTGTGTAAATAAAGAAATATAAAATGAGCAGAATACCTAACGGAATAGTCTAAAATAATAATTACACAACAATTGCAAATATGAATAGTCCATTCTAAGTTTAGTTCACATACTTAAAAATGCATTCTACAACATATGACTGATTATGAATCCAACCGTGGCATTTACAATTTTCCAAAATTATTAGAAATAGCCATGTACTGTAGCGCAAATGATGTTATTCGATAATAATAAGTTTATTTTGAAAAATAATAATACTGGAGGATTCTAACCTGTTTTCCCCATTTCCAGTCTGGCCCGCGAATGACCCGTGCACCAACACCTTCCATTACTCGCGGATTTCGCGGTACACCTGATGTAGTCCCAACAGCATTTGCTATTTCCATTTTAAAAGGAAAATGTAATAATAAAAATAATTTTGCCACTGGAAAACACTAAACAGATTACCAACGCACGACACCACTGAACAATAGAAAAATAGAGAATTAAATGACGTTTGACACTTTCGCTTTAGTATAAGAAGAAATCTTCTTTTTTAGTAATATACTTACACTGAGTAAGCCTACATTTACGTATCATTATAATAAAATGATTACAAAAACACATATCAAAAAATATTAGTTTAATTGCATTGACTAATCGACTTTAAAACAGGCATTTAAAAATTTATATAAACTATTTCTTGAGTTAATAATCCAATTAAAGTATCTTAAATTTAAAATACCGTTGTCGGAGTTTTAAGCAGAGTTTTGTTTATTTGTGACTTCGTGACAACCTGAGATTGACAAGAGATGACATGACCGATGATTGTTTTACAGTTATATTCAGTAAAAAATGTTTTACATTTCAAAATTTTGTCGGATATGTGTTCAACCAGAAAAAAACTTGATAGACCTTAACACAGAAGATTTCGATAAAATTAAATTGAGCGAAAAATTGGAGACTTGCACGAAAATGGTAAATGCAATAAAACTTTCAAAATATGATGACTTATTGATTTTCTGTGTAGGTTGTTACCAAAGAGAGTATTTCTTCCGAAATTTGCGTAGACTGTCTTTCGAAACTTCGTACTTCCTACCATTTCCTTAACATGTGCAAGAAATCAACAAAAAAACTTTATGGTTATTACAAGACACTCCTATCTAAGGATGGTAAAGAAGAAGACTTGAATCAGTTTATTAACACAGAATTGCACGTTGAAGTTACTCCAATAAGGACCGCAAACAAAGAATCTTGGAGCGACAATTACACGCCTAGTGTACGAGAAAAGCGTAAAAGAATTACCAAGGAACAACGTTGTTCTTTGTTAAAACGTTTACTTACGAATCCGGAACAATGTAAAAAAGAACGTAAAACCACCACAAACGATACCTTCGTTGGAGGTTTAAAGGACATAATTGATTTTACCAAAAATTACGAATTTGGTGAAGTTCTAGATAAGAACTCGTATTACGATCCAACTGCCCTAGATAAACTAAAAGTATTCTCTGTTAATTTTTTTAAAAGAGACTTTTCCGATTTCAATAATACAATATTATACATTATAGAAAATAAGGATAATTTATTAGAATACGGAGATAGTGAAGAGGAAGAATTTTTCAACGAAGATCCCGAACTGAAAGAATCGAATAAAAATATAGTAAAAGTCGAGGAAGTTATCATAGAGCCAGATATTAAAATCAAAACCGAATTCGAATATGACGAAGGGACATCTTTAGACAATAGTTATTACGATGTAGACGATCTTCCGTGCAAAACAGAAATTAAAGAAGAGCTCGAATGCAGCGATGAACCGAGTAATAATTCCAGTACAAATTACGATTACCCAATTACTCCCCCGGCAATAAGTGAAAAAGTTAATTCAATAGCCTCGTTAAACAATTTTGTTGGCAATTACCAGCACAAAAGGACGTTCTCCCCGAGCAATGTGAGATGCAGGACCAGAGAGAGTCCTTACATTAATCCTCGATTACAGCAACAGTTTTTATACAGGAGTTTTATGTGCGACAAGTGCAGCAGGTATTTTAAAAGTCCTGGATATCTGAAGGCTCATTACTCGAAAATTCATTTGTTTGAAAATACAGAATAATTTATTTTTTGTATATTTTCGTATTGTCTAATTATTCTGTTTTGATGTAAATAATTTGCTATTGCCAAAATGTGTTAAACAAATTTATGGAAAATTAAGATTTTTAGTTATTTTTTTAGCCAGTGTTTTGTTTCTGGACTGGCCTACTCTTATTATAAATTTAATTATTAAAAGAAATTGACATTCTTTAGAAATCAAATTTTATATTCTGTTAATTGTTTATGTTAATTATGTATTTTTTAATTAATTATACTTTACATAAATTAACATTTAAATGTAATCGTTAGTAAAAGTTATGAACTTTTTTGAAAAAATGTTTTATTTATTGTTGGAATTTTTTTAATATTCAATATAAGAAACCTGAAGTTTATTAGATTATACTTTTCCACAGTTTTCCTCTCATATTCGCATATTTTTTATTTTTACATCAGAATCTTTGCAGATATGGATTGTTTGGTGGTTGTATTAACAATATGTAAAAAACATCCCTCATTTCCAAAATTATTCAAATAAGGAGAAGAATAAGTTAGGTTAACATTAACTGAATAAGTGAACATTGAGACAATTTTTTCTCGATTTTAAATCTTTGAACAGAAATAATAAAGGAATAATCGAATAATTATAATTACAATAAATATGGGTAGCCAAGAACACGAAAATTGCAACGGTTACGATTATTGCAAAAGCTACAAAGGACTTCACATACTAAAAGCACACGACCAAATTAAAGAGCTGCAAACGATTTTAAGGGACCGGTAACTCAATATAAATTATACCTATTTAACTCTGTATAATACCCTGAATTTTTAGAAACACAACAAGAAGCGACTTTAAATTCTTCGCCGATAGACTCATTAGATTAGTAATAGAAGACAGCTTGAATCAATTACCATTCACCAACTGCGATGTAATAACTCCAACAGGAGAGACTTACGTGGGTTTGAAATACAAGTCTGGTAACTGCGGAGTGTCTATAGTGAGGTCTGGGGAGGCCATGGAGCAAGGCTTGCGGGATTGCTGTAGGAGCATTCGCATTGGGAAAATTTTAGTAGAATCAGATGTAGACACCCATGAGGCTAAAGTGGTTTATGCTAGGTTTCCAGAAGATATTTCACAAAGACATGTTAGTATATTCAATGAAAATGTTTATAAAATTAATCGATATCTGCATTTCTTTCAGGTACTTCTGATGTATCCGATAATGGCTACAGGAAATACTGTGAGTAAAGCTGTTAATGTTCTGAAAGAACATGGAGTTGAAGAAGAATGTATAGTATTAAGTAATTTATTTTGTACCCCTCAAGCTGTTCAAACTGTTTTGGACTTGTATCCAAAGGTTTGTATTTTTACCTTAAATTCAAGAGAATATTCATAGTCTCATATTTTTTTCAGATGAAGATATCTACTTCGGAAGTCCATCATGTAGCGCCAAATCATTTTGGCCAAAAATATTTTGGAACAGATTAGAATTGATTCGGTAACAATCAGGGTAATCAGCCACCTTAAATTTGTGTTTGGAGCATGGACAAAAACCCCATTTAATGAAGACGAATCGCATTGAAAAAATAGAATATACTGCGCTACATTTTATGGATGCATTTCATAAAAATTTGCTTTACTTTGATTATTTTATTTGCATCTTTAACATTCTTTGTACCATTTGTTTTTATAATTAAGAACTTTTGCAAACGCAATTTGCCATTATCTATTGCTTAGATAATTTTCTTTGTTACTATTTTTATAAGAATATTTTAAAATATAACTATTTGAAATTCCTTTGACTTTTTTAAATCATTATCGTCTTTAAGTAAAAGAAAGATTACTTTAAAAATATATTTTCGCTTTAGGATAGTATAATTGTTTCATACAAGTTAATACATTTGCGAATAGTATGGGTAATATCATAACATGTATAAATTTAAAGCACGTTTAATCAGTTGAATACTATGCTGTGTAAAATTGATCTCTGGTTTTTCTCCTCAAAGTTGTGTAAAATTTCTTCTATTTCGTTGTCAAGATCGTCCGCTTTAGCCATCTGAAGAATAAAATACATGAAATCGAATACAATCAAATTTAAATGCAAAAAAGTAATACCATAATACACAAATCACTAATTAAAAATGCCCCTATAGTTGCTTCTTCTAGGTTATCTTGAATATCAATATTTATCACATGCACTATAGAATTATCCAAAGGTGGCTTATTTTCCATAAATTCTAGAACTGCATCGTAGACTCGCTCTTCGCAAGTAATTAATATATCAAATTTTACATTAGTCTCTTGAAACTTTTCAGGGTGTGTTTTTATTCTTTTATTCCTCTCGAGAGTGTGAAGTAACCCGTTTTGTGTATATCTATGCTGTAATTAAGGTAAAATAAATACTTGAAAAATTCCTTAGTTTCTAAGTTCGAAAAAGGATACAAAGATTTATCTTTTTGTAGTAAATCCGTGTAAATATCTTCATATGATGTACCAAAATCGTAGATATTTGGTTTATCAAAGGAAGACCCTGGAATTTTAACTTTATCCCCAGTCCCGTAGGATTTCACATCGAATCCTTTTTTAGCTAAAAAGGCATGAGCTTCCATACTTCGATTCATATTGCTGGAGCATATTACGGCTATCTTCAAATCACTAACCAAAGACATTGTAAAAATTATTGTCTACAAAAATTGGAACAGAATCAGAATTTCATAAACATTACTGTAAAATTTTATAAGAGGATGGGATTTTTGCTTTTTAGTGTAAAACGCAAAAATATCGGTGGATTTATTATAATAAAATCCTAATTCTTATTACAAGTTCAAGTCGTGTGGGTGTTGGATCTTAATTATTTTATGAATATTTTCCAAAAATAACTGTAAGAAATTGACAACTGACTCGTAAAAGAATTTGACAAGGATGACAGTAAGTTGAGAATGACATGTATGACAGGTTTATATTTATAAAAAATGAGGAATAAAAGTACGATCAGAAAAATTAGTTATTTATACTTAAAGAACTCCTTAATAATTAATAACCAAAAACTTGTTAATGCATTCATTTATTAATAAATTGCTCGTAAAAATTAAAAATACATGCAGAGAACGATAAACTATTCGTTTGCATTGTTCCTGCCTTAATAAAAGCGGAACGTACTCACTGTCAATTGTCAATAACGTCAATTGTGGAATAGTTCCCGCTTGTTCTGTGTGGTGGTGGAAGCGACGTTTCGCTTGCGACTTGCGTTTATGAATTTTCTTCTCAATTTAAAACAAGATGGACGTTGTTGTAACGTTGTTAAATGTACTATTATTTCATTAAATATCGACTGTAAACAGCTAATTTTGTGTCAAGTAGTATATGGAGCGGAAGGTGCAATACGTAAATATGTGAAATTATTTGTGGAATTGGCAAGAAACGTAATCGTCGAAGGAAAAGATCAATAAACAAACAAGCGTAATTGATTAAAGTAACATACCTCGCCTATCTAAAGGAACCTGTTTGAATAACTTTTATGTTGTAGGTACTGTATTCACAATAATTATTATTAGTTGAAGTGAACTGTGTAAATAAAAGTTAATTTTAAGAGGTTTTTTTGTATTGCATGTGGACATTTAAATCGAACCTGTCATATCAGAGGAATTATTGTTAATTATACGAATAAAGCTTTTTCATGTGTTTTGATTTATTTTAAGCCTTAATTTAAAAGGTGTCATAGCGACAGTTACGTTTCTATCAATTCTTTTGTATTAAAGTTCATTATTATCTTATAAACAATGATATGATGGGGTGGCTGAACTGTTAAAAGTTATAAAAAGGAAATGTTTTAGGAATTCTCGAAAATGGCAAACAGTGTCGTTAACGTGAGTGATATAAAGGACGAAGAAGCCGATGATGGTTTACTTTTGCTAGTCGGTGAAGATGGTACAGTAACACCAGATCAGGATACCGTTGAAAATTATTTAAGTGAGTACATAGGACATTCTCTAATAAGTAAAACATTTGTGACTACAAAATGTAAATTTATGTTCATTTAAATGTAATTACATACTTGTTTGCTAAACTAAAGAAGCAATTTTAAACTCTAAAGAGATTGTTCAAAAACTTAATCTTAATTGTTGTTTGTTCCGCTTTAAAATTAATGTCGTAGCATTTTTTGTGTATCGCCTACAGTAAAAGATTTAATTTTCCAATTTTCAGAATGTTTCAAATGTATTTTGAAATGTTTCCTTATTAAATATTTAACCCCCAATTTGACAGTTAAGTAATGTTGACAAATAATTTTAGGACAAAGAAACGGGCCTACAAATTTGCAAATCATGAAATTCAATAGATCTGAAAAGCAAGGCATCGATATCACTGTTGATAATGTAACTTTCATACCAGATGCTGTAAATGAAGGTTAGTGCACTGATGAAGTTAAATATTTAATAAATTAATTTTAATTCTTAACATATTGTATGGAAAGAAAGATTTTATGGATGTCAATGGGAATTATACAATTCAGTTTGTTTAATATGTTGATCACATGCCAAGTTATTGAAGAAATAACAAAGCAAAAGATGCATATTAAAATGATTTAATCTCTTTTTTCATTCAGTATGTATAATGTTAAGAATTACTTAAATTTTAACCTGATACACATAATAAAACTTATTGTTTAAAGTACGATATACTTGTAATTGTAATTTACTTATTTACAATACCTAAGTATATATTCAACACAGTTGTAATGAATTATTTCATAACATTTGAGCATAAATTTAACCACATGATATCCAATGAATATGCACTGTATAATTGATCATTTTCTATATTTTTAGAAATAATTAGATGTGACATGGATGAGGTAGCTAGGAATTTATATAATTTTCGTTTAGATCATGATTATACGCCGTTAACTTCGCCAAAAAGAATTTTTACTGAAGACGAAGATGAGTTAGTCAAGACTTTAAGTATATTAGACGGCTCAAATGCGGCTGAACACGTTTTATCCGGTATGGAACTCTCAGAGCCTCCTCCGTTAATAATGGCGAACACGGCAAAGTCGAAACCCAAGGTTCGGATAATTCAGAGTATAACTTTAACTCCGAACAATTTAACAAGCACAAGTACTACATCTGTACCGAAAACGAAACCCGAATTAGTACCTTCGGTCCAGAATGAAGTTAAATCTTCGATCGGAGAAGTAGAATCGGAAATGCCGGCTTTAGAGCCTATGTTGGATGACTTTTCGAGCGATTCTAGTAAATTAAAAACGAAGACCGTAAGAACTAAAATTCCAGCTAAATCGCTAAAACCTAAATCCGATAATGAGAAAGAACCCGAAGAAGATAGTCAAGATGAGGATTATTTAGACGATAATAAGGATGTATCGATGGATGATGATACAGACGATTCAGATTTTGTCGCAGACGACGGGGAAACCAAGCAAAATATCGCCTCGAGGAGGCGCTCTCGTGTAAGATCACAATCTAAATTCAACAAGACAATAAAAACCCCTAAGGGTAAACGTCGAGAAACAAAATCCGCCATATCTCCGGATAATAAAGAAGAAAAATATCAGGAGAAGAGCGATGCAACAAAATCCGAAGAAAAGCTATCAGACAATAAGAAACCCGAAGAATCAGACTCTAAAACTCCAGAAAAGAAGCCCGTTAAAAAGGAAAAGAAACCTCCAAAGCCCATACCGAATGACTTTGCTCTGTTTTCTACGCCCGATATAATCAGAAGGGTGGGTGGCAAAGAGCCAACTACCCCGATCACTCCGGAACCCGTTCCTAATAAACCCGCGAAAATCGGCCTGCAACAACCGAGAAAATCCGTCGATCAGCTGCAGTCTTTAAATAAAAGCAGGAAAAGCACGGAAGACGCGGAAAAAGAGAAATACAAAGAAAAAGACAAGCCGATGGAGTGTAGGAACGAAAGAAGAATAAGCAGCGGCGATTACAAGTTCAAAAGGTTAAGTGTAGACGAAAAAATTAAATCCAAGGATGTAAAATCTGAACGAAGGATATCTGACGCGAAGAAACCGGACAAACCTAAAGAATCTACAGATTTATCAAGCGACGATTTCAGAAATAGTATCCTAAACGATGACACTAAACCATTCCCAATGGATGCAACTTCATTAAACAACATTGAAACAGCCCTGGACGCCTCTGGATTGGATTTGGATCCTGCATTGTTGGAAAATTTGAACAACGATGAAATTTCCGAGGACATTCTGTATCAAGTTGCCCAGTCGTTGGTTTCTAATCCAGAAATACAAAATGCCATTGACAAAGGTATTAACGATGGGGTTCTGGATCCGATGACAGTTGACAATGTGGTATCCAGTCCCAGTATAATTCTAGCTGTAAGTTTTTATTCATATATCTCGTATAATTTATTTAATTCATATTTTATTTCACCTTTTATTAGCCTACTGATGATGGCTCTAGTCCAGGAAGTAAACAAATTGTTAGGCCAGACGGTAGAGTTGTTATAATACCTCCGATTGAAAGGCCTACGACTAGAAGTAGGAATAAGAAAACCGAAGAGACAAAACCTATCTCCAAGTAAGTACTTTTTAAATATTTTTATTCAGTAGAATTTTCATATTTTACTCAAACAATGTTAATTACATTAATGAGTAACAATTGTGCCATTTGGATAGAACAATAGTTTATTTAATGGTTGTTATTTCGTTATCTTCGGTTACAAAGTTGAACAAAAAAAACGTTAACTTATCAGTATATGCATTTTATTGTATTACATAAACATGATTTATGTATTAACAGCGTAAGAATCCGTTTATTTGAAAACTATAGATAATATAATACTTGCAGCTTTATTATTTTGTACCTCAACTTTTCTGCATTTAATTTGAATTCTCTCTCATCGGAATTTCATATAATTATCATAAAAAGCAAACGAGTAATTCATTCAAATTGCTTCCTTATGACTGTTAATCAATTTAATTATTCCTGAATTCTACTGATTAACCATTTGAAATTTCCAGGCCCGTATGCAAACCTTTAGACGAGGAACACGTGTCCGGTAATGAACTGGATAGCTCAAACGAAGAAGAGGAGGAGGAGGAAGAAGAGGAATCCGAAGATGATCCGAATAAACTTTGGTGCATTTGCAATCAACCTCACAATAACAGATTCATGATTTGTTGCGATACTTGCGAGGAATGGTACCACGGAAAATGCGTCAATATATCTAAAAGTATGGGCCAGCAAATGGAATCCGAAGGTAAAGAATGGATATGCCTCTTCTGCAAGGTACGTTATTAGCGATGAATATGCATGTACCTGTATATCAGTATATCTGGGATTGTTATTGTAAGAATGGCAACGTTGTATAAAATGTATACTGATTTATTTGAAATAAAGGATGACAGTTAAATGTAACATTTGAAACGTAATACGAAAACACTTAAATTCGTGCAATATTTTAGGATCCCAATTTGCAACGACCACAAGCAGCGGCAAGGCGAATTCGCAAGGCTTCGAGAAATTCCAGAACTTCGACGGACAGTTCGGGAAGTTTAGCCAAAAAAGCGGAGTCTTCCGTAGGCGCAATACCTTGCGTCGTTTGCCAGAAACCATCCAGGAAGAATTCCATTTATTGCAGCGAGGAATGCATTTTAATGCACGCTCAAGGAGTAGAAAGGGTAAGTTAAACAGTTATTACGATATAGATATATGGATTTTTTATGTGCATTTTCGAATTTTTTATTAGGTTGTTGTTTTTGAACGATCTACTGGGAAAATGTTGACTGGAAATAAAGCGCCCAGCGCATCGAATTTAAGCCAATGGCTCAAAGAACATCCCGGTTACGAGGTAGTCAGATCTGGCGGGAAAGTTGTAACAGCGAAAGTAAGTTGCGCATTTTATATTTTGTGTTTCGTAATAAACATGTACAGAAAATTATTTGTTTTATTTTTAAAATAAAAGTACATAAGCTACCGTCTTAACAATATTAAGTTGATACCCCGTTGTACTCGTATTATAAAAAATTGTTAATAACCCGTAAAGCCGAATTACATTTAAATTGTGCATTGTTTCGCAGGCTGGCAACCTAACGCAAACTAAATTGAAGTTGGTTAAAAACGCCAACAATCACGGCGTCTCTCTAGCTGTTCAAAAGAAAGGTGGCGTCAATGTCGGCATCATCCGGCACTCTCCTAAGCAACAGCAACACCAGCAAGTGAAGTCTGTGTTGAAAGCGTCGATAATAGGGACAAAGCAACCGATGACCAAGCCCCAACCGAACAAAGAATCTCCCAAGCCGAAGTTCACGCTGGATCCCGAGAAGGCTTCGCCTCCGGGCACTTCCAAGTTGCCCAGAACGCTGCAGACCACGTTGAACAAAGCGTTGAAACCCAACGTGGACAAGTTGCTGAAGAGCCCGCCGTTGAACAAAGAAAAGTTTCTCATGAGCAAAGAGAAAGCCTTGAATGTTACTCCTAAAGAGAAGCCAATAGTCAGAACGCCGAAACCCAAGAAGGTAGTACATAGTTTATCGAATTTTTCGATTTAATATTTTTTGTATTTCTAGGTGGACAGGGACGAAACGACTCCACAAAAACCGCAAGAAAATATCAGAGAAAACGTACAAAAGACCGTATTTGAGCAACTATTGAACCGCCTCAAAGGCGTAGAAGATCTAAAATTAACGGAAGATGAAGTGAAATCTATGTCTATAGAAATCGAATCTCAGTTGTATAAATGTTTCGGTGACACCGGCCAGAAATACAGGAACAAATACAGAAGTTTAATTTTCAACATCAAAGACGTTAAAAACCAAACGTTGTGGAGAAGAATTTGCGAAAAAACAATAAATCCTTACGAATTGGTACGATTTGCGCTATTCCTAATTAGTTTATTAGTTTAATTTGTTCATTTACACAGGTCAGGCTATCTACCGACGACATGGCTAATCAGGAATTGGCCCAATGGCGAGAAAAGGAAGCCAAACATCAATTAGACATGATCAAAAAATCCGAACTGGAACTTCTCAATTGCAACAGGCAATACGTTTTAAAAACGCACAAAGGTATTCAATCGTTCACCATTCGTTTTATTCGTTTAAAATCGTATTCTTTTAGGCGAACAAGTCGTCGAAGATGCCATCACCAGTAAAATGGACAACATGGAAGTAATCAAAAGCTTAACGGAAGGCTCCGCACTGGATACAGGCGATTCCAGAAGAGACAACTCCAAGGAACGCGACAAGAAAAGCTCGAAACACGGCCACAAAGACAGGGACAAAAAGAATAACAAAGACAAAGATCACCGAAGTCACAGGTCGTCAAGCAAAGAACGGTAATTTAAAAATATAGTTCATTTGCGCCAGGTGATAGGCAACCCAACGTAGTCACCTGTATATTTTTTCCAAAGAGTTTCATTTCATACAATCTTCTAAATTTCTTTGTTGCAGTGATAAGGAGCGAAGTAGAAGACGGTCGAGAAGCCGAGACCGAAAACGCGGCGACAGAAAGAAACGATCGTATTCGAAGGAAACCGACAGAAGCAGAAATCGAAAATCGTCTCACAAATCGTCGCGCAACAAGAAAGATCTCATTTCGACTACGGACGTACTAAACAAGAAGGCTAAAGAAATACTCGAGCAACTCGTCGATAAAAATATCGTAGCTCCTTTGGAAGAGGAGCGATTGTGGAAGCACGTACTGCAAGAGGATATCGTTCCGAGTAACGGTAAGTCGAACAATTTCTGTTCGTAATATTTTATTCATGCGATATTCGATGTAACAGCTGCTGAAAGTGATAGCGATCACGAGCCTACTTCAACTGTAACCATTCCTACACCTCCGAGGATTCCCGAGAGCGAAGAAGAAAAGACTGGTGAGTTAGAGTTGAATTAATCCTATTTAATGGATTTATATGATAATGTTTTCTAGTTCCTACGACTCCTGAAAAAGAAAAGGAACCGAGCAGTTTCACAAAAAGCACATCTCCCCCGCCTACAATTAAACCAGCGGAAATATGGAGAGGTGTTATTAATATGATAGACGTTGCTGAGATATCTATCACAGCACACGAAGTTTCTGGTAATTATTTGTGAATATTTTATAGTTTATTAACAATTAATTTTTGTTAATTGTAGGCGATTGTTCTGGATTGAACAAAGAACTTTCACCCAATTTGGATATAGTAGGTAGAATATCGCCCGATACCGTTTGGGACTACATCGGCAAAATGAAGTGCTCGAACAGCAAAGGAATCTCGCTGATTCGATTAAACGCCACAAACATGGAGGAAAAAATGCCCTATTTAGCCTTGTACAGTTACTTGAGCAGCAGGGACAGATTGGGCGTCGTGAAGAGTTTGAACAAAGCCGTCAAAGACTTCTATATCTATCCGCTGGCGCCGCAAAAACCCATTCCCCAAGTTCTGCTACCGTTGAATGGACCAGGTAAAACAATAATATCCTCCTAGAAACACGTTAACTCTGCATAAACTTTTGCAGGATTCGAAGAATCGAGGCCGGCTCTTCTGCTGGGCATTATCGTGCGAGATAAGAGAAAAAGACCGTACGGTGAAGCGGTACCGGCTGTTAGCAGTAAAAAGAGCCGGATCGAGACTCCACCTTTACCCGTCGTGCCGCCGCCAGTCGTACCGCCTCCGCCGCCCTCGAGATCTTACACGCCGCCGCCCGTTAAAGATCCGCGCTTGCCTAAAATCCCTGCCTTGATTATGCCGCCCGCTTTGAGAGAAACCACGCCGCCGGCCGTTTCGGAAGGAGGTACTTATTCAGTTTTCTCGCTTATAACTTGCGTGTTATTATCGGTAATACTTTTTTAGACGAGCCTTATAGTCCGGGAGACTCTTCGGATAACTCGCCCATCTCCGAGGTGCCTCTGTTGAACGCGGCGACTGCACCGCCTCTTCTGCAACCATCGATTTTGGATACACCTACATCTACTTTCACCGCTATACCTGGTGCGTTTTGAACTCGTTAATGCAATTTACAGGGTTTATATCGAGCTGTTTTTAGGCCTTACGGGTAGCTTGCCTTCGAGTACCCTCGAAGTACAGAGGCAGATTGAGGAGTTGAATAAGAAGATCGAGATGCAGATGTCTGAAATTAATAGCATGACCCAAAACATTGTCAGCGCTTCGACGGAGATTGGTACGACAGCCCTGGCGAATATCGCCCTACCGACTAATCTCCAGCAAATTCTAGATAGCATCAAATCGATAGGAGACGTGAGTTAACTTCCACGCTATTTATTTAGTTTCTTATTGTCGTGGTAATCGTTCCAGACTACTGATACGCCACCAGTTCCGAAGAACGACTCGCAAACGGATCTTACTATTCCTCTGTTGATACCGAAACGGAATAATCGAGCAGCGAGCAGTACACCTAACCAGGTGCAGAACAGCGTGCCGGGGGATACGATACCTTTGAAGTTGCCGAACAAGCCGTTGATAAAACCCCATTTGGTGAATTCCCCTCTGATTGGTTCGCCTTTGGTCGAAGAAAAACCCAGTGTGCTTAGTTCGCTTACGGAGGAGGAGTTGATTAAGAAGGCGGCGGAGATGCTGGGCGAGCAGGACGTGACGGACGATAAGGAGGAAAGGGTGAATGTGTCGGGACCCAGTGCTAAAAGGGCTAAAATAAGTCTACCGGGGGTTCCGGGCCTGGAAGACGAGGAGACGTAGAATTAGGAATTAGCATTTAGTTATTATTTTTTTTTTAATTTGAGCAGCCTCGGAGTTCAGCGTTTTTTTGTAAATTCAGCCGTTACAGTTACTTAATCGATTTTAGGTTTACTTTTAAGTGGTTATATCAAGATTTACGGAAAATGCAGCATTTTGAATTTGAACTTAGAGAACCAAATGCACGTGTACAAAAAAATTCCTTTGGCTTGATGTGGAATGTAAAGAAAACTAACTGTACAATTTTAGGATTTAATTAACTTAGAGTTTAGTACTTTTTATTATGTATATAAAAGATAGAAAGTGGTTTTTCTATAATTACAATTAATTGTATCAATTATGTTACACCAGTTATAATAAAACAAAACTGCATGTTCATTTAAATAATCTACTTCAATTTATTTGTCTTTATAATTAAATTGTTATATTACAAATTAGAAGGATTAAAATGTGTTTATACATTTGATTTGTTTTTTAAATGCAAACATTAAATCAATGTTGGTCCAGATGAGCGTAAACCCTTCTCAACTTTTCTTTCTTACCCTTATTTTTATGCTTATTATGCTGCTTCCACGGTTTCTCCGCCATATTTTGAGCATCAGATGAACTGCTAAACATCAATAATAAAAAATGGTAGTAACACAAATTTGTTTTTGTGCTTACCTGCGATTAAAATCCGACGGAATTCCTCTAATTCCTTTAGTATGAGCCCCTTGTTTAGCTGTATTGAAAAACACCTTATCGATATCATCGGTAGTAGCATGTAAGGTCTAAAAACAAACAAACAATTCATTCCTGTAATTACTACATCGAGAAATCGAACTTACTCTTATTGCTCTTGCAGTTCTCGGGGGCAAAATGGTACTTTCTATTTTCAAATTTTGCCTCTCCGGCCATACATGGTACTCTGTTTGTTCAACATTCGGCGGAGCATGGCAATACAACAGCTTTCCATTCATGTAATCTTTCAAAACATATCGAGCAGCTCTCGGGTTATCAGGTTGGCCATTTGCCGTCATGAAACCTCGATTGTCTAAAAACATACAAGGTGTCCAAAAAAAATCTATTAAATAAAAGATTTACGCATTTACAAGCATACGCGTTCAGTAACTCTTCAGCCGTGGGATCTCTGCTAGCATCCTCCCCTTCGATTGGTTTCGGTATCATTATATGGTATTTATCTTCTATAACATGACGAGGAATCTGACTGGTTAGTAAATTTGTGGGTGGAACGTGGTCTCTCATTTGGTCTATTGGAAGTATACCGTTGAGAATCATCTCGGCTTTGGAGAAGACGAAACTAGGCATTACTAAACCAGGACAATCGCACAGAAGGATGTCTTTATCTGAAATGGAGGAATTTTAAATTTACTTGCTGTTTTTAGTAGTTGTGAAATATTACTAACCCAAATAGTGCGTTTGGAAATGCTTGGTTTTACCAGGTGTTGCAGATACGGATACTTTTTTGCTCCTCAGCAAGGAATTAATAGTTGAACTTTTTCCTACATTCGGATAACCTACTAAACCAATTGTTGTCACCCCATCAGTTACCTTTAAAAATAATATATTATTTGAAAATTACTATTTAATTTCTTAACACTCAATACCTTCTTTCCTTTGTGAATGGTCTTAAGTAAATCAATAAATTCTTCTCGATTTAATAATTTACTAGAATTAAACGATTTGCGTTCATTTAAATTAGTTTTTTCCACAAGTTTTTCGATTTTATCAATAATCTTATTTAATGTTTGCGCATTTTCTTCAACAGCGTTTTCTAGATTCGTTACACTTTCTTGAAGTACTTCAATATCTGTTGATTTTGTTTCGTTGTTATCAGGAATTTCCTCTTTGCTGGAAATCGACTCATCTTCTTCCTCTTCAGGCACATCATCGAGAGAAGCCAAGTAAGCTGAATAAAAAACTACACTGACTCCTATACTTTCGAAATAATCAGCCCAATGTTGCCTCTGCTTCTCAGTTAAAAAATCAGCCTTATTTATAAGTATTAAATTCAGTTTATCACTCGATACTTCCTTTGCGTACAGCTCTAAATCTTCGCATCTGAATAACAGCGGATTCCTGGCATCGACGATTTGTACTATTACATCACTTCGTTCGATTACCCGCCAAAGTTGCCTCCAGAACTCCAAATTCTTTTCGTAAGGAGTCAAAAGTATGGATTCCTCGTCCTGCAATTGAGCTAAGGATCTCCTCCACTCCAAAAACGCTTCTTTCTCGTTCCTGTCCAGCTCGTCAGGAGATGTCTCCGCGTTCCAAGGAGGCCTACAAAAAGAGTATACAGAATATACAGAATTTGGGATTATTTGTCTAAAAATGATACCTTCGAGGAATTTTGAGATTGGATTTGTTTTTAGTGTGCGCTTGTTTAGCAGCTTCCAATTCGTCTTTAGTGAGTAATCCTACGTTAGAACGGGGATTTACAAACTTTATATTTAGTTTTTCAGCCTGAAAATCGGTGCCAGCCAGTTCGGCTGTGGACAGAAATTCCTGAAACGAGGACTCTTCGGTAACCGATTGCAAATTCAAGCGACCCCAATCGTAACCGTCTTGGATTTCTGTAGTGTGTAACTGAAATTAAATGATGCTTAATGTTGTTTCTCTACAAATATTTAATTGTGTTTACCATGGAGTTATTTGCGACCATTTTCTTTCCTTTATTGCTCCCAAATCTGTTTTTTATTAGACTTCGTCCGAGACCGGATGACATGGAGGATTTATCTTTTTTTCCCATTTTGTTACAATTTGTATTTTCTTAAATTAAATTAGGAAAATGCGTGTAACAGGTAGATTAAAAATTGTATTCCAAAAAAACATAACCTTACTTTAGCTTGTGTCATGTGGGAATGTGACAGATGATGACAGTGACATTTAAAAAATTCTTGACTGGATATAATTTTTGTGGTCTGGGACTATACGGTTTTCGGTTACAATTTCAATAGAACAGCTAATAACTATACAGGATGTCCCAAAATGTTAATGTTATTTAATGATTCCAAATTTCATAGGCACTCCATTTCTATGTCTAAATAATGTATAATTAATATTTTTGATTAAAAGAGGTGTTTACTGTTCCGAATTTTTCTCCCAAAAAAAATTATCCTGAAAATTTTTGACCAATTCTCTTAATCTATGGCTCTTGTTGTGAACAAAAAAATAAACGAATCCAGCAATAAACCTGCATAAAAACAAGAAACGAATATAAAACATTCGTCGGTGATGACCCGGTATAGTGAAATAGAAAATTACATTTTCCTTTGTGCACGCCATTCCCGGATTCCTCAAAGAATTCGTTATACATAATGGATACATACGCAAAAACAAATCGCCGAATATTCCGAAATAAGGAAAATTTTCGACGTTACGTAGGCGTGAGTTTCCCCGCATGCGCCCGACCCTTCGGCACAACAAGAAAACAGCGACAGCATCCATCTAGAACGAAGGACCGTTTTCCTCTCAGTTTGGCGAGTTCTTCGCGGTGCCGAGTCGTTGTATTCGCGATATCGCATTCAAGATAGTGCAGACAGAAAATCAATAAAACACTAGCTCAAATTTTGTTGTTATCAATTATTGAGGTGGTTTTCGACGGGGGTGATCGGTTGGCCAGCTTCGCTCGGCCTGGGACACGCTTCCAGATTTACGGCTGGGGTTGACATTTACATAGAGGAGACCCACCCTAAAGGTAATTTAAGATGGAGTTTAATTTTATTGGAAAAATATGTTGCGGTTCTGATCGGGTTGATGGTAGGTGGGTTGGTTTGGAAATTCTTTAGGATTATTCTGTTGCGAAATGATTGATTTTATCTGATTAATACCACTGTTAGCGCTTGTTTGGAAAATATGGTGACAATATGAACACAAATTATATTTGGTTTGATGAAGTTTTATTGCAAAAACCAAGTTTATTTTATCTGGAGGAGTTGATTTGGGATCATTTTTAAGCTCCAGACTTTTGGGCTACAAATTCGGCTAAGAAAAATCATTTATGAAAAACACTTAATATGATAAGAGGCTTGAATGAAGAAATTATTAGTACCTATAACAGTATCCTGTTACTCAATGATATTACTCAAATGATTTTCCATCAATTTTTATTGTTGGTTTTAATTTAATGGAGCGAACACGTATGGAAAATCGTATATGAACAATAACAATGTGTGTATCTTATTTAGGTACCTACCTACCAAAAACTATAGTAACTATTTGAGCCTCAAACTCTGCATAAGAACAATTTATTTTTATTGTTCAGAAAAGTCTATTTTGACATATTTTTTTCAGAATTTCAACTTTAACTCATTTTAAAAGACGAGAAATGCCTGGATATAAGAGAAGAGACTGAAGTGAGGGGTGAAATACCTCTGCTTCAAATTCAACCAAAAGAAAATAATGGTGGAGTTATACTTCAACCTATTCGATATTCGAATATTTTTGGTTGTCATCATTCTCGTTGCATATGGTAAGTTGTACTGTAATAAGTTTAATATTTAAGTACAATTTCTACAAAAAAGAATTTTTTCCTTTTGACAATACTGAAAGTACTTACTTTCAACTTTGAAAAATAATTTACCAATATTAATATTTTCCAATTTTTGGTGAATTCCATTAAAAAAGTCGCAATTCCTCCACCAAAATTTCGAGTCCTTCCAATTTTTTTGATTATTTTCATTTAATATTGTCAAATTTACCTAAGTTTCTACTTTATTACATATCGATATCCTATCTTAATAATAGGTATATATATTATCTTGAAACTTACCTATCCCAACAGTACGTAATCCCTACATTAAATTATCCAGCATTTCAAACTGCAGAAAATTGTTTCCTATAGGTACCAAAAAGAAAACTCTAAAAATCGATATGAATACGAATAAACAAAATTTACCTAATTTGTTTTCTTATCAAGAACAAAGCCTTTAATATTATGCGCCTCAACGTTTTCCAAATCCACTTGTTATTCTCACACTCTTCAATTCGTGATTTACAATTATTACGTTATTTCACCGATTTTCCTGTATACATATAGACAGATATATTATTTCATATTTCCAACGCCTTATCTCGCTGCATAGATCCTTAAATTTATTTCTGATTTGTATTTTATTCCTCGACGGAATTACCGTAAGCATGGCAACAGTGTCGGTATACGTGGGATGCGTAGTTGTATTGATTGGTGGCTGGCTCTCCGGAGCTGGTTATATTCCGGCAGTCTCTTGAATGAACTCATTCATAGATTTAACATTATTAGCCGTTTGTAAGCCATTTCCATAACGCCAGATATCCAATTGAATAGTTATTTTCGTTCGAATTAATTACGAAATAGGAGCTATTTTCGAACGCAAACTTATGTTGTATCACATTTTGCATTAGGAACGAAACGAACGCTCGCCTACCTACGTGGATGATAATTTCAATTGCTTGCATTGTCTGAGAAACCCGCGGAGGCGAATAATTCAATCTTACCTTAGCAACGTAAAATACATTAATTAATATGAAGATTCATACGAACATTTTTAAAATTTCGGTGGATGCGTTCTTCCATCGCTTCCGAAGAACCAAATTTTCCAAATTGTTGTACATTTATTAGGCAAATGCAATGGAAACAATTCGTTGAGCATACCGTCTCCTACCTACACCGCCCACAAAGGTGCAGCGAGGCAGATGTACGGATCGGGTTCCTTGAGACCTCCCGGACCTCCGGGACCTCCAGGACCTCCTGCAGGCCAAAAATCCGTCATCTACGCCACCGGGCAACGGCACAAAGGAGTACGCACCACTTTGTCCCCGCAAATCGAAAATCCGCCGGAGTATGTGTACGTGCCGTACCCGTTGTTCCCCATACCCCTCAAAGCCGACGAATTCCTACCCATGATCAAAGGCAAGTCCACTCCGCAGACATCCTATGCTACCTGGTGCTACATTTTTCTATCGATTTAGGCTATCCCGGCGCTCAGAATTTCCACATTTTGCGCCGGGGAGACCAGCCCTCCAACAGGGGCGCTGGTGGCAGGTACGGCGGTAGACTGGAGTACCCCAACGGTAGACCGGTGCACGGCTTGGCGAATTACCACTACCCGAACGATTTCGGATTCCTGCTCGGAAAGGACAACTTCGGCAGATCGACGTATTTCGATAGGAAGAATTTCGTGCAGCACAACGACGAAGACGACGAATACGTCGATGGTTATGCGACATCGAAGCCGCAAGATGAATCCGACGGGCTTGGAAACCAATTAGGCACTCACCCGAGGACGCCTTCCTGCCAAAAGAAGTGCAAGAAGGACGAGTTTCTGTGTCATAGGACGTGTGTTTGTATTCACGAAGAATTAAGGTAAAATTTGTTGTTTGGCACTTACGCGCAGTTCATCGTTAAACTTCTTGCTAGATGTGATGGGAAAAGCGACTGTGATGGTAACGAAGACGAAGTAAATTGCGAAACTATTGAGCACCACGTAAAGTGCGATGAAACTAAGGATTATTTATTATGCCCTAAAACTAAGATATGCATTTCAAAAGACTGGCTTTGTGATGGCGATGACGATTGTGGCGATTTTTCTGATGAGACTCATTGCGGTTCGTTAAAACTCCAACCCCTTTTAAACACCTCCCACTCATTAAAATACATTTTTAGGCTTTATAATGAATTGTACAAACGATCAATTTCAATGCGAAAACGGTTTATGCATTCCACAAACTTGGGTATGCGATAACGACAACGACTGCAGGGACTTCTCCGACGAAGTAAATTGTACTATTTCAGGGTGAGTGTATACTACAAATACGTTGCATTTCCTGACCTTTACTCCTCGGTTGTTTTCGTTTTCCAGTTGTGCAGAACATGAATTCGAATGCTCGGATTCCACGTGCATTTCTATGGCTTGGAAATGCGACAAACAAGTCGACTGTTCAGACGAATCCGACGAAAGTGACTGTGGTCAGTACCTCTCACATAAATTATAAATATCATACTAAAATAAAAATTACGCATTTTAGATATTATCCCGCCGTATTGTAACGAAGAGGAATTTCAATGTAACAGTAGAAAATGCATTAAAAAACAATTCAAATGCGACGGTGATAATGACTGCGTTGATTGGAGCGATGAAGACGATTGTCCCAGCATACCCGGAAATTGCGCATCCGGGGAATTTAAGTAAACACAATTATTCAAATCAATTACACCGAATCAATAACGCCTGTGTTTTACAAATTACAGGTGCAAAAGCGGTAAATGCATTCCAGCAAGATACGAATGCGACAAGGAGCAAGACTGCGAAGATAACGAAGATGAAGACGAAGCGCATTGCAACTATAACGTCACTAAAACTTGTGCCCCTGACGAATTCACCTGCGATAATGGCGCTTGCATACTAGTAAATAATCCCTTTAATAACCCCATCCATAATTGTTGACTTTTAAATATTTCTTGTAGCAAACTTGGGTGTGCGATGGATTGGATGACTGTTCGCAAGGAGAAGACGAAGATGACACCAAATGCGAAATAGTTTGCAACGAATTCAAATTCCCCTGCAGCGGATTGGACCCGAACGACAACAAAACCGAGTCCTGCATTAATGTGAAGCACAGATGCGACGGCCAGAAGGACTGTCCGAAAGGAGAAGACGAGATGCATTGTCCTTCTAAAAGGGAATGCGAAAGGCACACCAAATGCCAGCAATTATGCATTACGACTGCTGACGGTAAACAAGGATGTTCCTGTTTAAACGGCTACCAAGTTTCCAGTGATGGATACAGGTAAAATTGGTGGTTAAAAAAGTTGTGGTTATTATTTTTTTTAATGTGGTTTCAGTTGTGACGATATCAATGAGTGTTTGTATGCAACTGATCCTGTATGCTCACAAACATGCACTAATACTGTAGGAAGTTTCAAATGCGATTGTATGACGGGATACGTTTTGAGACCGGATTTAAGAACTTGTAAAGCAATGGGAGCTCCACCGACTTTAATCTTCGCTAATAGAGTTGATATAAGAGAGGTGAAATTATTAGAAAATTTATTAAAGAGGAAATTGTAAAAGTGAATTGCATTTTAGGTTTCATTGAGCAACTCTAAATATACTGCTCTACTTAGGGGTCTGCACAACGCAATATCCCTCGACTTTCATTACGAAAAAGGATACATATTTTGGACCGACGTCTCGATGTCGGTGATAAGAAGAGCTTTCATAAATGGAACTGGAATAATAGGTTTGACATATCTTGGACCATCCTTTATTAAAATATTAAATGTTTGTTTCCAGATATTGTCAAATCAGGATTGGAGTCTCCGGGTGGTATCGCCCTCGACTGGATACACGACTTGATATTCTGGACCGATTCCGGCACTCGACGAATCGAAGTAGCTTCGTTGGACGGCGAGCAAAGATCCATCATCGCCGCGAGCGAAGTCGATAAACCTCGAGCGATCGCCGTGCATCCCGGAGAAGGAATCGTCTTCTGGACCAACTGGGGCCCGAACCCGAAAATAGAGCGCTGCGAAATGGAAGGCATCAACAGAAAGAGCATCATCACCGAATCGGTCTTCTGGCCCAACGGTCTAACCATCGACTACACCGCCAACCAGATATACTGGGCTGACGCGAAACACAACGTAATAGAAACCTCCAATTTCGACGGATCCAGCAGAAGGAAAGTCCTGAGCAAAGGTTTACCGCACCCGTTCGCTCTCACGATCTTCGAGGACGCCTTGTTCTGGACCGACTGGCACACGAAATCCATTACCACCGCCAATAAAATCACTGGGGCTGGTTTGCGCCTGCTGCACACCCAGCTCTACTTCCCGATGGACATTCACGTCTACCACCCGCAGCGACAGCCCAAATACAGGAACCACTGCGGCGACAACAACGGCGGTTGCGCTCACATGTGCTTGCCCAACAGGAATTCCTTCACTTGCGTGTGCAAGCTGGGCCAGAAGTTGAGAGCCGACCAAAAGTCCTGCCAGAAGCCGGACACGTTCTTGCTGTTTGCGAGGAAGAAAGATCTGCGGATGAAGTATATGGACGGGAGCTACCAGCACCAGTACGAAATGGTAAGAAATTCTTATCGAAGTAGCGATGAGGCTACTCAAGATGTCATTTTCGTAGGTTATTCCGATCGATGGGATAAAATCGGCGGTTGCAGTCTCTTGGGACTCCAAAAAGGATTTTATTTACTGGTCCGACGTTGAAAAGGGCTCGATTAATCGCGCTTTTTGGAATGGAACATTCCAAGAAGTCATTATTCATCAAAACATAAGTAATTATACCCATTACCTACTCATTTTAACACATCTACATAAAAATCAATTATAGTGTCTCCTGCTGGAATATCATATGATTGGGCCACCGACAAAATCTACTGGACCGATGGCATAACAGATAGAATCGAAGTTGCTCAGTCTGACGGAAAGATGCGCTCGCTGTTAATTTGGGAGGATTTGGACAAACCTCGAGATATCGTCGTCGATCCTGAAGGTAACTAATTGATCATTTTCAAGAGTTAAATACGAGATAAAAATTATTCTCCCCTTTAGGTGGTTTGATGTTTTGGTCTCAATGGGGCGAACGAGCCAAAATCGAACGTGCTAACATGGACGGCACGAATAGGCTCATCATTGCTAACACAAACCTGACTTATCCGAACGGTCTGGCCGTAGACCATCTTTCCAATAAGATTTATTGGGTTGATGGAGGCATCGGAAGGATAGAATTCGCCACTCTGGACGGTTCTAACAGAAAAGTTTTATTGGGTACGTTTCGCCAATAACTTATTTGGTATGCAACAAAAATTGGTAAATTTATAGGAGAAGGCAGCGTGAAGCACCCCTTCGGATTGGACATATTCGGAAACTACGTTTATTGGACGGACTGGAAAACCCAGAGCATCGAACGTGCCAATAAATTCACGGGGCAAAATCGCACGGTACTTACCACCAATATGAACGATCTCATGGACGTGAGGGTCTTCCACAGAAACAGAAAATACTTCAAGCATTCTTGCAGTATGAACAACGGAGGTTGTTCCCATCTTTGCTTGTTGAAAGCCAAAGGCCACTCTTGCGGTTGTCCCACAGGAATCACATTAGGAGTAAGTTCTTGAAATTAGAGGCAATCAAGTGCAGCTCACGGATTTGTTGTTTTAGAAGGACGGTAAAACGTGCGAAAAGGGTCCTGTTAATTACCTGATATTCGCCCATAGAATGGACATTCGTCAAATATCCTTGGACGTGCCCTACATGGCGGATGTTGTGCTACCTTTTCCGAAGCTGAAAATGGCTTCATCAGTCGACGTTGATCGAAAAACCGGAGAGATCTATTGGACAGACACAGCGGAAGATGTCATACAAAAATCTACACCGGATGGAAAATCGATGGAAGTCATTATTATGCATGAATTGGAAACGCCGGAAGGAATTGCCATCGATTCAACAGGAAGAAAGGTATTATGATTTCTAGTTTAATAAGCTTTTACTAGCTTCATTTTTTGTAGATGTATTGGACTGACGTAAAACGAAACAGCATCGAAGTAGCTGAATTAGACGGCAGGCACAGAAAAATCCTCTTCCACCGCAATATAAACAACCCTAGAGCAATTACATTACATTACCACCACGGTCTAATGTTCTGGTCGGATTGGGGAGACGAGGGCAAAATCGAGGTGGCTTCCATGGATGGAACAGGAAGGTAAACCTACTTATTACATACAACTGACAGCAAATTTAAACTAATAAAAACCCACCGACTGCAGGAAAGTACTGGTATCCAAAGATTTGCAGTGGCCCAACGGTTTGGCGATCGACCGGCCGGAGAATCGACTGTATTGGAACGACGCCAAGCTCGGCACCATCGAATCCAGCAACCTCAACGGCAAAGACAGACGGAAGATCCTGAGCGACGTCTCCCACCCGTACGGCCTCGTCGTAGTGGGAAACCACATCTACTGGACCGACTGGGAGGAGCGGGCGCTCAACAGAGCCGACAAAATCACCGGCAAAGACAAAACCATCATTCGCGGCAAACTGGACGGGCTGATGGACGTCCGATCGGTGCAAAGCGACAACACCGCCGAGAACGCCTGCGGCACGGACAACGGCGGTTGTTCGCATTTGTGCCTTCGAAATTCGGCGTCCTTCACCTGCGCTTGTCCCACGGGCCTGAGCAAATCCAAAACGAACGACAAGCATTGCGAGCTCATACCAGAAACGTTCCTGCTGATCGCCACTCGATACGCTTTGAACCAAGTGAGTTTGGATACTGACGATGCCTGGGACGTTACTCTTCCGGTGAACGAGATCGAGAACGCGATCGATGTGGATTTCCATTGGGAGAAGAAGCTGTACTATTACACCGACATCGAGAAGAACGTGATAGCCAGCGTGTCCATGTACAATTTGTCCGATGTGAAGACCATAATCAGCGAAAATTTGTCCAGTCCCGATGGATTGGCCGTCGATTGGGTGGGCAACAACATCTACTGGACAAACACCGGTAATAGAGTCATCGAAGTGGCTAGATTGGATGGATCGCATCGAAAAACGCTCATCGACAAATACTTGACCGATCCCAGGTCTATAGCGGTGTTTCCCAAAAAGGGTTTCCTCTTTTGGAGCGACTGGGGAATACCAAAAATAGAAAGGTCGCATTTGGACGGCTCCAACAGAAGACCGTTGATAACCAGCAAGATTAAATTTCCCATCGGGCTCAGCATCGATTACGACAAGAGGAGGATTTACTGGATCGATGCTAAAATGAACGAGGAGAAAATCGAAACTACCGATCTGCATGGAAACAACAGAGTTATGCTCAATATCCAATCTACTCATCCGTTTTCATTGACAGTTGTAAGTTGATAAAATGGCGCAGTAATTGCGTGTAATAACGTGAGTTGATTTCCAGCACGAGGAATACTTATACTGGACTGATTGGGTGAAGAAAACAGTGAAACGCGCCGAAAAGAACACCGGCCAGGACGCGGTGATCCTCAGACCCCAATTAGACTCCGCCATGGGAATCACCATGGTGTCGGGTAAAAGACAGCAAGGATGGAATCCTTGTTCTATGGATAACGGTGGTTGTACTCACCTATGCTTATTTAGGCACAAGAATTACACCTGCGCATGTCCAGACAAGCACGATCCCACTTGTAAAACAGGTACTTAGATTATTCCTCTACCAGTACCCTTTTTTATAAATTTGGCTTTAAACAGAACCGAAGCAAGTAATATCATCGAAATGCCCCAACAAAGGTAACAGCAACTGCGACGAAGAGGAGGACCTCGACGACTACGACTATTACTTCCATCGCATCGATACGCCCAAAATCGACAACGACTATTCGTTCCCGTCGATGGGCAATTCCAAGTACTACATTATGACGCTGGCGCCGATGCTCTTCCTGATACTGCTGTGCATCACGCTGGTGGTGATCCTGCTGGTGAAGAAGGGCAAGAAGAAATACACCTACGGCGCGAGCCGGAGCTTCTCCAATCCGAATTACTACTCGCCCAACGGCGATTCCAACGCCGTTCCGAATAACGGAAAGTTCATCTGGAAGCGGCTCAAATACGACAAGACTCAGGTTTGTACAGAAACTAGCTAATTTTCTCCATGTAATGTGCGCCGATATTTGCACTTTCTGAAGGTTTAGAGGTATTTTTTTCTGATTAAATCGCGTGTATTAGGAGAGGGTATACGAGGAAACGGTGGGAGCGGGCAGCACGGAGATCTCCAGCCTGATTCCCACGATTCTGACGCCGTGCAGTTCGAATTGCGAAACCGTGACGCCGGACGTGGAGCGATCCCCGTCGATAACGCCGTTGCACAAGGTCGACGTGAACGAAACAGTTTCTTAAATATCTTAGTGTAATTTGCGAAAGTCACCTCTACAACTGAAAATTACCTACCTATGCGAGCGTATGTAGATACAAAAAGTCAAATTAAGGTGACTGACAATAAAATTGTAATAATAATTAAGGAACTATTTTCCGATGTAAAGGGTTTGTACTAATCGTAACGTGGACATCCGCGCACGACAGACGAATTAAATCAGAGCAGTCGAAGCTGAAAGGAGGAAATTTGTTGTGGAAGAAACTGTAACGTATACATGATCTATGTGTACCTGTCGTTTACGGTTATCCAACAGGAATACTACCAGTAAAGGATATTTATGTTTACATATTTTATTCTTAAAAAATTCGCGTGTACTGTACTAGCTCTGGTAATACATATAAAAAAATGTTGTAAACTAAGAAAAACCATAAATCTATAACTGATTAAAAAAATACTTTGCTATTATTACATTGCACTATTTCATATTTTTCTAATTACTTTAGATGTAGTGACATATCAACAAGATTGTTCGACAGTCCTTGATTGTTAACAAAAATTATATTATACTACTGTACAATTCGTTAAAATGTGTAATAACAGAGAAATATGAGAGTAACTCAAACTCTGCTCTATTTTTTAATAAAGGGTTAACTTGTAAGTGTGGAAAAAACAATTAGTTAAAACGGAAGGATCGAATGAAAATCTAATAGTAAATTGGAATGGAACCAACTGTAATGTTAACAAATAACCATTAAATCGATAATACATTAAATTATTATTGAAAGTTTTTGTCAACAATTACGAAAAAGAAAGTTTTTTTTTGAACAGGGAAGGTTTATGGTTTTTTTTCGAATAATTTGGAAGATTAATTTAGCCCCAGAACAAGTTCAATGGTTATTATAAAGTAAACTGTTGTTAATTATCCAATTACCGTTAATATTAGTGTATTTAATAAATGTTAACTACATATCTCGTTGACAAAATAATTGTTTATGCATATTCAAAATTATAACTAACATATGGAAATGTTTTATATGTAATTCCATATCACGTTTCCTATGAATATTTCCGTGAAAAATAACTGTTCAAATGTTTCGAGAATATTTGTTTTTAGGTAATTTACCTGCTCATGGATGTAAGTTGTATGATACTTAAAGATATTTTTTATAAAAGAAGTCAAAAAAATAAGACTGAATGATAGATGAGGATGAACACAGAAAAATGTAGTTAAATATGTTGTTTATTACAAAATATTTAGGTACTATGTTAAAGCGTTTGGATCATAAGTTATAAAGAATCTTGTATATATTTGCCAGAAATATATCCGCTAAAAAATCCAAGGATCGAATATAATATATTAACTAAATAAATATTTATATTGTTAATTGCTAAACAATTTTAATTGTTGTTATATATTTTATTAAAAGGTATAAATGTTTATAAGACGTGCTTGAAAAGTTTGTAGGCATATGGAATTTATTCAACTCGTATACTTTTATACAAAAATAGAAAATATATTTTTTTAGTAATTATTTTATATGAATATGTTTCTAATATTAATTAGTAGATACGACTATAATAGTTCTTTTTAGGATAAAGTGGGTTTTTTAGCGGATATTTCACAAGTACTTTCTTCTAATGGCTCAAGAAGATAATACTCGGTGCGATTGATTAAAACTTACATAAAATTTAACATTTTTTACACGTCATTTGCTATTACAAAAAACGTACTCCGTATGCTTAGACTGGATAATAAAACTCTTCGAAAAACCTTTAAAATCAATCAACAATTTTTAGAAATTTTAATTTACTTGAAAGATTATACTGATTGCGATTACCGATAATGTATAAGTAGCTAAGTATGATCAATTTTAATTTATTATTCATCACTTAATGTTGCCTAGATTATTTTTAATAAAACTGTAGATTTGTAATATTTACGAACAGTTTTATTATGCTTTTAAACTAAGCGTACAAACTTCCTTTTTGAAAAAGCTCTATTTTAATTTTTCTAATATTTACTACACAATTAAATTATTAAATCAATTAATTTTTGTTTTATGCGGAACTAACATTGTTGCCTACTTCATTGTACTAAAAATTATTGTAAGTCGCTCGGTAAACTAATTTTGAATATTCTAGTCTTCTGTAGTCAATTAATTAAAGGTATAATACCTTATGGTACTACCGAAAATACCTATTTTCTTTTTTCCAAGCACTGTTTTGATATTAGAATTTACATAATTACAAATTTTATAGATAATAATCGAAATTATATCAATACAATTAAATTTTATTATTCGAATTATTGTCTCTATAAATTTAACACATTCGCTTATATTATGCACCTCACTTTTCCAATATTTTACCTCACATTCCAATATTTTACAATTAATTGGCTACAGATCCAAGATGTAAGTATCATTAGATGAGCGAGAGTAAAATTATTTGATTATAAAATATAATTTTATAAAATTTTAAACTAACAATAAGAAAAATTCTTTAGTATACTCTATTATAATAAATGTTTTTCAGAATGTTACGATATATTTATAGATATTTATGTTAATATATGGACAACAATCATGTACTCTGTAATATCATGAGTCTTGTCAGAAGCCTCCGGCTAGAAACATGATAATAAAATTTAAATGTTTAACCTGTTGTTTCATTTTATTAGATTAGATGAGAGTCTTACATCTATATAATTGGAAAAGAATATTACATAAATTGGAGCACTTATTGAAATTAAACGTAAGTGAACTTGAATTACAGAGCCCCAAATATGGTTTTAATATTATTAGATCTATAACACAAATGATTTATTATCGAGTACCTACAACATTTTATAACTTTAGGTTTTCATAACTTTGTACACGAATCTAACGAAATGTTCGTGAATAAATATTTTAATTTCTACTTGAAGTGCGGGCACTATTTATTATTGTTTCCTAATAACGTTGATAATGTTGATTTAAAGTTTACTGTGGTAATTTTCTTACTATATGTATCGATAATTTCTTGTGAAATTAAATCTATAATTCAAACGAATTTTGTAGACGATTCTTTCAATACATTTGCAGTTTTTATAGCAATGAGTGACAAGATTTTTTCGATTTTGTCCTTTTACAGTTTTGTATTTGATAAAAAACATTGGCGTGCTCTTCTTGTTGGTTTCAGAACACTGCACGATAAAACTGCCAGGGAAACAAACAAATTTAACATAACAATGTTAATCATAAAACTGTTATTTACATTGTTAGCAGCATTTTACGGAGTCTTCTTAATAATCACTGAAACCGCTAAAAATAATTCATCTTCAAAAATAATAACGATTTGTAGTGCTATCTATTATATTTTAGTCCACGTACAGAAACTGCTAGTAATGTTGATGGTGATGGAAATCTCCAATATCATGTCCAGCGTTAATCAATTTATACACAATTCTATCGAACGCGCTTTTATTAAACCATTAGATGCCCTTTTAGCCGACATAAACGCCATAAAATTTAAGTGCAAGCATGTATTTATGGTTTCCGAAAACTTCAATAATATTTTTGGAAAGTTAATACTAGTGGTCTTGTCTATGACATGGTTTAATATACTTCACCTATTAAGCGATTGGGTCAGCGTATTTAAAGAAGGAAGTTTCGAAGACAAATTATATTACATGGCAAACGTACTTCCTTACTTGCTATTAACATGTGTAAGTATTGCGATAAATGTTTGATGATATAAAAATTAGGATGGGTATTTTAGGCATTCCCGTTCTGCATGATTCTCTCGTGCGAAAAAATAGAAAAAAACGGTGAAGAACTCGTTCAATTGTGCTACACCTTGCAGAGAAATATCAACGATCCTAAGAAGTTGCAGCAATTAACATTGCTCTCGGAATTCGTGAAGGAATTGTCACCCAGAGTATCAGCAGCTGATTTTTTTCACTTAAACAAGCGATTTGTACCAATTACCTTGTCCACTGTAACCTCGTATCTTATTATAATAATCCAGTTTCACGATTCAAAAGTAAAACAATGAATTGATGCGTAAATAAATATATAAATTGGCTAGTTTACGAATGGTAAAATCGGAACGTCTTTTAGATAATCCTCCGTTTTAGGCTTGATAGCTCTTGATTTTCTTCTGTTTTTGTGAAATATCGCTTTTGTAATGATGAAATAAATCAAATCAACTCCTGAAACAAAATTAAATCCAGCTAGGTATCCTAGGATGCCTCCTAAAAATGCTGAAAAAAGATTAAAGCAGTAGAATTTTTTTAACAATATTATCAAGTGTAGATCTGAATTAAAGTTTACCTAGCAAAGTATCTGAAGTGTATATAATGTGTCTTCTATTTTTCACTGCGTTAAGTCCATTAAAAAAAATTCTCACGACGCTATGAGTTGTTATTTTTACTCCTCCACTGGAAATTGAGCAAATAAACAAATAATTTTCGTATATTTATGAACTGATTAGGTATGTACTTACAATAAGTAAGGTACATAAGTGGCATATGTGCTGTTTAACAAAGTAGTTGATGTTCTGTGCGAATAATAAGTGCTCTCGCAGTCACGCAGACAGCCAAGTCTTCCATTCATAAAAGAAAACCCATTATCCTCCAGTGACAAGTTTATTTGAAGAAACGCACTTCGTAGCCTCACTGTTAGATAACAATGAATTAATCATTTATTTAATTTAATTTTCTAATACTTGCTTTCTATTTTCGATAGACACGGCACATCTATAAGATTGCAAACTCTAAGATCTGGACTATCTAAAAATTACTTTGTACATATTAGTAGTTACATTGATTAATTGAGATAACTCACCGATTTGCCTGAAATAGAAAAATGGCGTGCAATTGCAAATTCGCTTGGTCAAATTCATTCTGGCTTCCACCAGACAATTGGCGAATGTGTACCGCGTGAAATAATGTAGTTTTCTCTCGTCGGGAAACAGGCACTGTCTAATTTTCACGGGAATTTTCCGGACTTCTTCGGATGAGTGCGTACTTTGCGCGAAAATGCTTAACACGTTTAGAACGCTGGCCGGGCTAAAAGAGTTCCTAGAGTTCCTATCGGGAAAGGAATAGGGATCGTGAATTTGTATCTAAAATTACCAAGATATTAATTTTTTTGTGTTATTGAGAAATTAATTTGAATATTGGATAATTTGTGAACAAACCCGGTGTCCTAGCGTAGGAACCGAAGAGGCGTAATAATCATCGATATCATTATCTATGAGCAAAATTAATCCTGAGTGGTATCCGCAACTTGAAGTCCTGAAAGGTGCGTTTGGTTCTTTATCCGAAATGAATCTACAAACAAACAAATTTTTACACTACATCTGAAATTCAAATAATGAACAAATACCCAGTCGAAGGAGTTGCATTCGCGAATACGAAATTATTGAAGCTGCAACAATACCCTTGCGTGGTTCTAACTTGCTTGATTATATTCGAGCATTTTTTGGTCAATCCGCTCCAAATGCACTTTATCGTTATGTCATCGCAGGAGTTTCCTAGTCGCCTTAGTACAGAATGAGCGGTGTAATTGTGGTGATCGAGAATTCGTTGCAAATTAAATAGTTCTTCGGCGATTTCGTCGTTAACGTTTAAGGTATCGATTAAGTAATACAAATATCGTAATTGTTTCTTTAATGTTTCTGCGTTCAAAGATTCGTTATGTTTCGCTCTGAAATAAGTAGTTAATGAATTATAAAATCTAATAAGTTTGATATCATTGGAGCTATTCATTGAAAGGGCGAACCTTTTATACTTACAAGTGTCTTGCAAATGCATTTGCCTTCTTTTTAGAAATCTTGTTATTCTCGCAAATAGTTATAGCGGGAAAATCGTAATTCCATATGGGATTTTGGGTGGTTTCGGTTACCAATATTAAAGGATTCTGTTCGTCATTGTATAAAACTGTTGCTATTAACACTATCGAAGTCATCATTGCGATGAAACAGATAAAAATCCAAAAACACCTACAGAGCAATGTATTTTATTTTAACATTTTAATCAATTTGTACTAACCTTTCTAGGAGAGTGCGTTTTGGTAAAACAGTAAATTTAAAGCCGTGCATGGAAGTAATTAAACAAAATTGTTTGATGTGCTCTTTTAGTGAATGATTTTTTGGTTCTTTTTCGAATTCAACATTTTTTGGAAATGTAAGTGTGCGTTTCTTCATTTTTACGAATTATTACCACGATACGCTATGATATAAAGCAAAACTTCAAATGATTAGGATTCATGTACTTCATGAGCTTTATAAAATATATAATTTATGATAGTTAACGTTGAAACATAAAGCACCGGATATCCTCAAACTTCCAAATAAACCTGCTATTTAAAAAGTACCTACGTAAAACAAAAATAATAATAATAATAATAAATATTTTTTTTTCTATTTAGTATATTTCTATAATTTTACAATTTGAATGAATAGTGACTATTTAGATTTGTGAATGACACCACAAAAGAAAAGTGCAATAAGTTGCGCACTGCAGGCAAGCAACGAAATATTTTTGCATCAATGTAATCTTCGTTCATTGGATAATTTCGAAACTTTGTTTGAATTCCTCTTAAATAAAGTGGTAATAGGTCGAATTGTAAAAAAATAAATTAGTTCCAACACGGAAATAAAACTGAATCCCGTGAAGAGTCCAAGTAATCCTCCGGAAAATGCTGAAAATATTTATCAATTAGTGTTATTTATGAAACCTGCAAATGTTTTACCTAAAGAAGCATCCCAATTGATTCGAACATCCCTTCTATTAGTCGTTCCAACAAGATCATTAAAAAATATTCGAACTACTGAATGCTGATTTGTAATATTAACACCAGCACTGCAACAAAAGATTTCCTTAAATTCTATATCTTACAGGCATTCAATATAAATTACTAAAGAGTTGCGTGATTCATCGAATAGCTTCTGCCGAGAACCGCCACTGTATTTTCAATTTTATATTGCACTAACTCACAGTCCGGCAAACAATTACATTCCTTTCGATTGGTTTCACTATCCCTAGGCTCAGATTTATGTATTTTTTCTGAAACAAAAATAATTTAATCAATCGCATTAAGTACATTTTCTACTTCTGCTCCTACTAAAGTTTCTGGCTAAGCAGGGCACATCCCGAAGATTACACGTCCTTCCTAATTGATGGTTGACTGCAATAACAAAAAATATCAGCTATTTTTTAAATAAAACTACAATTCACTCACCTTCGTGTATCGGTATGAAATAAAACGGAACGCAATTGCATAACTTTAAAGTCAAATTCATTCGGCATTCTACCATGCAATTGTGAAACGAATACCTGTTAAAATAGTACATTTTTTTCTCGAAATGAAAGTAGCAAGTTCTCCTCTCGACTGGTAAATTGGTTACTCTAGGCGAACAATAAGTTTTTGTAGGGTCAATCGACACGAAATTAATCATTTTATTTTGAATAAGAGTAAATCTCGAATTCCAGTCTGGATAATCGTATGGACTGTGTATCATCGCCTAAAATAATACATAGCTCTTCAGCTAATATTTAAATAACGTAGTAAATAGGGTTACTTATAGAAGGAAAATACATATTACTTGTAATCCTCTGGTTGGAATAATAGAAGTTATATAATCTCTTGGTTCGTTAACCATTAGTAATTCCAATCCCGTTTGGTATCCACAAGCTGATACTCTACTGGGCTCGCTCGAAGCTCTATTAGCGTTATATCTAAAATATTTCCCACAATATTTCGTTAACTTACGTGTATAAAATAAACCACTAACCCTTCGAATAAACTATTTCTTGTGGCATAGTAATTAAAACTGCAACACAACCCATTAGTAGTTCTTGTTACTTCAAAAATACTTTTGCATTTTTTCTGCTCTCCTTTCCATTTGCATACTTTTAACATATTGCATCCGGAGTACATCGTGGATACTATCGAATCGACGGAAATGTTTTTTTTATCCAGTAAATCTTGAAGTTCTAATAAGTCCGGTAGTTGTTCGATTTTGTAAAATTTGTAGGCGAAAAGGTACATTAGAAATTTCATGTTACTGATAAATTTATCGTCCGGCGAGCTTTTCCTATTGAAGAATAATTTAATTGCACATTATTTTCATAAAATATATTTTTGAAAACTTACAGTTTTTTTGCCAAACGGACAGCATCTTGTTTCGAAATCAAATTAATATCGCAAATAGTGGCACTCGGGTAATAATAATGCCACACTGCTTGGTGGACTGAATCTGTCACAGTCACCACTGGATCTTTTTGAAAATGCACCCAAGCTAATGAGAGTAAAGCTACAGCAGTAGTAATGGAAATTAAGCAAACAGCAGCCCAAATAAATCTACAATTTCATCAATGTCGAATTACATCGTTATATTATTTTCAGCTTTTATTACTACTCACCTTTCTAGATAAATCCTTTTTGGTAAAGCCATAAACCTATAGCCATGAAGTCCAGTGCTCAGGCAAAAATTCTTAAGATCCTTTAAAAACATCTTGAAACCAATGAGTCGAAATCAACAAAAAATTATATTTTATATCGATCCTTTGTGTCAATTTCCTGACTGAGTGCTAATTAAGTGCCCAATTTATTAAAATGACTGGCTACTTGGAATATATTATAAACGTATGGTGTATAGAAAATGTGTGGCAGAAAATATACTTGATAAGTCGAAAGTTGGATTACTTTTCACGCCTAAGTATTAGAAACTTCTTTCATATCGACTAATTCAGTCAATTTTATTTACCTAACTCATGAATTATAAATGAATTTACACGGATTCGAGGAACACGCTATGCATGTTACAATACTTAGCGGCAGTATATGGTAGATTAAACGTATTGGAGTAATTTATTGAAACAATGAAAGCAAACATAATGACAATATTTTTATGTACCTACGTTCGATTAATAACAGCACAAGCTGCAAAAGTATCGAATTGTTTACGAAAGTACTCCAAATACTTCTTCTTTCTTAAACTATTTCTTAAGGAAAACGAGACAAAATGACGAAGGTATGAAATAAATAGTAAAACAACAGTTATAAAATTTAATATATACAAATAAACTTATAAAAAATGATCAACACGTATCTAAAACAAAAATAATTGTACCTATTACATGCCTAAATAAATAAGTATATCACATTAAAAAAAGGAACGATTTGTATTATTTAACAGCTGTTTAAGTAGTTGTAACTCTGTAACAAAGGAAATTAATAATTAGTATGTAACATTAGTTGAAGAAAAGAAACTTTACCTGTTCGGCTATTTTACTTAAATTCTCAGCCATCGATTTTCCAGTTTGTTTTACTAGGCTGTAAAATATGCCTTCAGGATTCTGTAAAAGTATGTGGGGATGGTTAAATTCAACGGCAGATCCCGCATCCATTACCAAAACCTTATCGGAATCCATCACCGTGTGTAATCTAAAAATTTATATTTCAGTAGTAAATTTTTATCGATGTTTTTGTTACAAACAAAGTTACCTGTGAGCTATTGTAAGGACTGTGCAATTGGCAAATTTGCTTCTAATTGTAGATTGAATTAGCGCATCCGTTTTCGGATCAACGTTAGCGGTTGCCTCATCTAATACTAAAATCTTGTTCTGTTTTATTATGGCTCGAGCTAAGCAAATTAGTTGTCTTTGACCAAGACTGAAATTTGATCCACCTTCGCTTATTTTGCTGTCTAAACCCATCTCCATTTCGGATACCACTTCTGTGAAATACAGCAAAAAACTTCATTAAAACTGCTAAATTGAGAAATATTTTTTTCTATTACCTTTTAGTGCTACCTCATCTAAAGCCTTCCACAGATCCCAATCGGTATATTCACACAACGGATCCAAATTTGCTCGGAGTGTTCCGGAAAACAGCACCGGCTCCTGGGGTATGATGGCGATTTTCGATCGAATAGTCTTCAAAGGTATATCGGACGTGCAAATACCGTCGATCAAAATCTTTCCTTCTATGTTAGTCAGCCTGAACAAGGCGGATATCAGCGTGGACTTTCCAGCACCTGTTCTTCCCACAATACCCACTTTCTCCTTCGGTTTTATTTTAAACGTTAAATTATTCAGCACGTACGGGAGGTTGGTGGCGTATCGAAGGTACACCGATTGGAATTCGAGCAAGCCGTGTTCAGGCCAACGTTTCGGCGGTTCTTTTTTGTGATTGTGTATTTCTTGCGTTATATCTGTATACTCCAGGACTCTTTCAACAGAAGTCATCGAGTTATCCAGTTCGCTCCACTGACGCATACCCCATTGGAACATTCCTGTGAGACTGATCGCTTGAGTTATAGCTAAACCGACCATTCCTCCATATGCTGAAATATTATTAAAGAATGTTAGCCGTTTCAAAAGAGAAGCAAAGGAGAGAAATTACCATTTCCAAAAACATTGAAGCTGAAAGTGACTATACCGATGTAGACTACACAGAGCAGATCTAGCCAGAAACCAAAGGTACGATTACAACATAAAAACAAATAGTAAGCTGAACTGTGCAAATCTTGGTGTTTATCGAACTCCTGCTTTAGGATTGTTTGGGCTTCGAAGGCCCTCACTGTAGTTAGCCCTTGCAAGGAAGCGTGGATGTGCGAAAAAACTGGGCTTCGGGCTAAAAAATTAGAAAAAAAACTCACGTGAGAAATATGCGATGAGAACGTAATAGAAACCTTAATAGAAGCACTCATAGAAGTAAATATTTCGTTTACAATTAAATTACACTTACTTGTTGCCTCCATCCTTTTTAGATTTCTACTCGACGAGACATACACAATTTTGAATAAATAAAATATGGTGCCTATTATTAATGTAGGAAGTAAAAACCAGGTTTTTACGGTTGCTATCACAATAATATTAACGGCGAGAACGTTTAGAGCGATCTAAAAAGATTAAACTTTCAATCTCTAGTTTTAAGTTTCCAAATTTCAATGAGTCAATAGTAAATTTGTATTCATACAAATTGGGTGTAAAACTTACCTGAATAGTATCAACTAAGTAGTTCGGTAACATTTCATCAATGCAGCCAATGTCTTTGGAAAATCGGTTAAGTATCCGACCAGAGGGATGTGTATTAAAGAAAAACATTGTACCATTGCAAACTTTGTTGAACATAGTGTTATGAAGTCTTACGGACGCCTTAAGGCACATTTTATAAAACGTAATGGATCTGACAATAGTAAATACAATAACCGAAGCGATGATGACACTGTATATGTAAATGCAACGAGTCGAGGATGTCAGTATTGTCGATTCTATTGGGGATTGAATGTTGAACAGTTTTGGGTAGTTTTCCTCCATTTTAACGTCATCGGCGAGTGCTTCGAGGAGAAGACGATTAGTTTCGTTGTTTTTATACCGATTTTGCTCAAAGTCAACCCTGTAAAATTGTAATTTTTCATTTAAACATTTCAAAAAATGAAACAAAATTCTTACCATTCCTTAACGAAATAGTCCGATCCACTTGCAGTAAACTGCGTCAATACAAACAATATCATCAGGTAAATTCCATAACACCATCCGCCACCATATTTCAGGTACCTAAAGTAAACTTTAGATGAAGAAATTTGAACGTGCGCCTCTTCTTTGGCGACCATAGGCTCCTCTATGGAAGTACTATCAAAGGTACAATCTGATGATTCTTCATCAATTGTATCATCGCATTCCTCGTCTTCGACGTGGTGTTTGAGCAACTTCGCGAACTCACCGGGCGATTCGCTCATTTCCTTGTAATTTCCACTGGATACAATCGTGCCTCTTTCCATCAGGAAGATCCTATCGACGTTCTTCAAATACTGCAGCTGGTGCGTTACCAGCAGGGTGCATTTACTTCTCAGGTATCCGCTTATGCAATCTTCGAAAATCTGTTTGCCAACGTGGGTATCGACGGCGGAAAGCGGATCGTCCAGGATGTAAATGTCGGCTTCCTTGTAAATGGCCCTGGCGAGGTTGATCCTCGCTCGCTGGCCGCCGCTCAAAGTCACCCCTCGGTCACCCACCAAGCTTCTATCGCCCTGAGACAGCATGCTCAAATCCCTCTCCAACGCGCACACTTTGATCACCCGTTCGTACTTCTTGGCGTCCCAAGTTTCGCCGAACAAGATGTTCTGCTTGACGGTTCCGGTGAAGAGCCACGGTTCTTGGGAAGCGTACGATATTTTCCCCACGATGTCCTTCTTTCCTCGGCAAATAGGAAGTTCCTTCATGACGGTGTGCAACAGCGAGGTTTTCCCCGAGCCTACTGCACCTACTACAACCACCAATTGTTGCGGACCGACGTTGAAATTGATGTTATGCAACGTGTTGTCCTCTTGAGTGTCTATCCATTTGGCGCAGATGTTCTCCAGGTATATTCCCACTGACTTCTTCTTGGCGGAACTGTGGATAAGAGGGGTGCTGGTGTTGTGTTTTTTCGAAACGTAAGGATCTCTGTTTGCATCGGGGTAGACTTCATCGAATTGCAGGAACTCTTCGATTCTCGAGACGGACACCAACGCTTCGGCTGATTGACCGATAGCTTGAGGAAAATCGTTGCTTATAGATTGCTTCAAAATGTTGTAAAACGAGGAAATTACGTAAACGTAACCAGCGTTTAGTTTGTTTCCTTTATATGTGTAAACGATAATGCACAGGAACACTGCTGCTCGAGTGATGAATTTGTTGAAAGACATATGCAGGGCTCGAATGTATGACAGCAATCTTATTTGATTTATCTCAGAACTGTAATTTAAAAAGTATTTTAAAATTTATGTGAGGATTACTTCCAGTTATTACTTACTTCCTAACGTTCTCTACAAGCTGAGAAAACGCCTTTTCCCATGTATACATTTTAATGACTTGGATTCCGCATATAATTTCGCTCATCAAAAGCACCCTTTCGTCTGTTTTCACTGCCGTTTTTTGTCTGAAATTCGTTGTAAGTTTTCCCATAAACACTGCAATTTAATAATTCAACAATAATTTAATATAATAAAGCAGACTTTACGATAATGCAAACGCACTTACTTTGAAAAGGTATGAAGAGCAACAGGATTATAAAACCAGATAATCCAGTAAAACCTGAAACTTCGTATATGAGGTACATAATAACCAAACTTTCTAACGGTCCCACCCACAAATAATGGATATATCTAAAAATATTATCAAAACGATTCACGTCATTGGATAATAAATTAATCATTTGGCCGATGGTGGTGTTTACTAAAGCTTTTTTGCTCAATCTCAAACTTTTTCTGTAAATCAGCGAACAGCAGGCTATTCTTATTTTCATACCGAGATGCTGAAGCGACAGATGGTACCAATGACAAACTAGCACATACAAGAAAGAAGACAGTACTATGCACAGAGAGTAAAGGTAACCTTCTAATGAAGATATAGTAGTTTGATCTGGATTGTAGAATTCTATCAGTTTTCCCAACAAGAGCGGTTGAGACATTCTGCAATACGAAATAAATATTTTTAAGAGATGCACTTGCAATAAATTGTAATAATTCTTACTTTAAAATGAACTCTAAAACGAATGCCCAAAAGGCGTGAATTATCACATCTTTCTTGAATAGTTTCCATAATGGGCGCAACAAGCAAGGATGAGAGTGTTCTATTTTTTCTAGTTTCCACAGTGATTCCAGTTGATCACCTAAATGTTGGGATTCGTGCTCCTCGAAGGGCTTGTAAAGATCGTCTTGATTGAGTTCTTTATTCCATCCTTTATAAAATATTTTCAAACCCCAACTGAAACATAAAGCAAATTAAACATTGATAAAAGAACTATCGACATTCTAGTGATAATATTATAACAGATTAAAATAAATTTACTGCCGTTGCTAATGCTATAAAATTAAGTAGGTATTTATAAAGGTTGGGCTTACCAAAAAAATAAATTCGACAAGAAATTCGAGCTTAGCTGTGGATGTTTACCCTTATTCTTGAGCTCATCATGATTACCATCATCCATAGCTTGAAAAACGTACTATTTTATAAATAACTGTTGTTTCTTGTTCTGTAAAATAGATAACAATAATTGTAATCAATTAGGTTACAGACATATTGTAGAAAATATGGGAAAGCAACAAATTGAGACAATTTATTGCAAATTACTTCCACAAAATTAATCTACGAGTTTCTTGACACTAACTAACTACCTAAATAATAACGAAAAGAGTTGGTTGACTTTTTATCAATATTGTTCTTTCGTTCGTAAAAACATTCAGTTACTGTTCTCTATATGTTTAATAACATGCAAATTGTTTATTGTTTGCGTTCCATTAACGATACAGTTTAATTTAATTTATCTGTTACATTTCAAAAGAATAAAATTATCTTGGAACATGGAGATAAATACCCTAGAAATTGACCTATATTGGAAGCATAGTCATAATAGATAATGATTTACTAAGTTAATGATTTACGTATGAAAAATTAAAAAGTAAAGAATACTTCCGTTTATCATTTTTTTGTACTGATATAACTAGTTGTAAAATTGGTAGTTGCATTTTGTAGATTGTCAAAATTTTATACCTGTGAAAAAACAGGGTACATTAGATAAATAACAAGGTATATTTTAAAAAGATAATAATGTCTAATAATATAAAATATATAGCAATAAATAGCATTTTTATGTTACTATTGAAATGGCATTAAAACGGAATTATTTATCAATTTCTACGATAATTACTAATTTAAAATTAATTATTTTTACAGACAAGTACACCTGCCTAATTTTCGCTTTCTGTACCTTTATTTCGATTTTATTTAATATTTTAATAGAAATTAACATTGACCATTCATACCTATGTACATAGTATCAAACAAACCACAAGAAAATAGAATGTTAAATTAATAAACCAGATAAGTTAAAACACTCACAGAGGATTCACAAACATTTCGTAATTCCTGTATATTAACTAGATACTACTGTACCTAAATTAAATGATCAGAATCAGATGAGTCATATTGTTTTCCACTTTTTAATGGAATAATTTGAAAAGTAGGTATTCCAGTTTTGCAGCAGGTAAGTGGAAGAAAACTTCATTTCCGTATTTTCTTAACTCTTTGAATTTTTTGGAATATTAGATAACAAAATTACAATGTATCGGAATATCCAAATTTTTTCAAGAATTTTACCAACGTCGTTTATATGATAATACATGTTTTGTTTGTTAGAAATTCTTGAAACTGAGAGATTAAAAAATTTTATGAAGTTTCTATTCTTAGTTAAAGGTTAAATCAAAATCTAGTCATTGATAATTTACTGGCAAATATTTTGGTTAAAACCCCTTAGATACATATAAGAGATTTGTTATTATAAATGTATGAATCGAATTCGGTACTATTTGATTTTTTTAGTAGTGCAATTGAAATAAATTAATAAAATTTCCATTTCCTAATACCCAGAACTTACCCAGTTTATACGATTACTAAATGAATAAAAGAATAAATTATCATACCCGAACTTTTAAAAAATATACCTAACAATTATAAAACAGGTTCTAATAACCTACCGTACGCGACTAAACGTTTTTCATTTTCGTCAATAAATTAATATTTTAGTCTTAACATTTTTTCGGGTCGAAAAATTTAATTAGCTATTATTCCAAGAATTAAATCTAATAGCCGGTAACAAGTATAAAAATATCTCGTTAATTCATCACTTACAGGTATGTATAGCATGGTACCTGATACTTGCCTTATAATTTTTTCACACCCGATAATTAATGATAATAATCAATAACACTCTTTTTTATAATCTGTGTTCACTTCAACATCCGTGTGTTGACTGGCTGATCAAGTGTAGAACAATATTGGTTTTAACCAATATTTCAAAAAACGTTAGTATACACTCCCAACGGGTTAAGGTCGTTTCACTTTTTTGGACTTTTATCGTGCTGACTGTGGGTTTAAATTGCCTGTCTATTTTATATGTAATGAGAAATACACTAATAATGGCTTATTTTCATTAGTCCTTAAACAGTCCTTAGATGCAAAATGGAGAGCTAATGATTTATGGACATAGATTAGGCTTATGCTTTTCCTAAATAATTTGTTGGATATCAAAAACGTTGGAGAATCTTAAAAATGTGCGAAAGTGAATGCAAATGCATGAAAAATATTACAAATTTATATCACGTTACCTTATTTTATTAATTCTTTGCTACTAAATTCATTTATTCCTACAGATTTCGATTAACTTTGGAAATTATTAAACAACCTTCTTTAGCAACTTTTCTCACTTAATTCGCCAGTGATGACACATTACAAAATTACTCTAGGAAATATCAAATTTGCTTGATCCGTGAAATTAATGCTGCGAAATCCCACACTTTTCTGAAACGCAGATCGCGAGCACATAATATTATTATTCGACTCTAACGAGGTTATTTAATATTAGTAATGACAATTTATCATTTGTTTATTTAAATTGTGTCTTGTTAACGATGCATTATCTTCTAATACATAATAGACTAATTGATTACTATTCATATCTTACCTATTGAGCAAGCATCACTTTTTATACAACATTTAGAACACTAGAATTGCAGAACAAATGGAAGCTGTTTTAAATTTTTTGAATACACCTTGAATGTTTCTGGAATTTTACGAATTCTAGAAATATGTACGTAAATATCTAATCACTAAATTGTTAGCACATTAAGCAAGCAATAATACTCGTAAAATTTTGAAATAATAGAAAAATGACTGAACCGCTACCCGCATCGTTAGGTAAGCAACTCAACACATCCTAATCATAATATTAATAATTAGAATATTTGTGTTTAACAATCCTGAAAAATATGAGTACGTAAATTTAAGTAAAAAATATATGTATGGGGGCAACGTATTTTTTCAATTAATTTGTTTTTTGTGCTTATCCCATGTTATTTGTTAAGTTATTAATAAGGTTATAAATAAAGACCTGGTTTAATGGTGTAAATGACCAAGCGAGGTATAATACAATGAAATTTAAAAATGCATTTATTAAATCAACAATACCGGAATTGTGTTAATGATAGGAAAAGTATTTGAGATAATTTGATCTAAAAAAATTTCCAAACGAACGATTTATTGATAAATAACTTTATTATAATAAGAGTAAGTATAAAAATTGTCACAGTGTCTTCTTGTAATAATAAAAAAATTAACATACATTAAAATTAACTAATCACCACGTTAAATTAATTGATTTATTTTACTGTAATAAATATAATCCTTTCATAGTAGATTTAATCCATTGATTCCGATCCTGACAAATTGCAATATTTAATATGTGCAACTAGATTTACAAAATTAATCATACTACTTTCGTTATATTTTACAATTTACATGCAATTTTTTTCAATCATTATCCGCAATAAGTCACGCATAATTTCGACAAGCCTATTTTATTATAGGTAAAGAACGTACTTTTAAACGACCTCCTTATTTAACAAACTAATGTTTCTATCTATAAACAATAAATACATTCATTAATTTGGTAAGTATCGCAATATTTTTAATAAGAGCAAAAAATATGTTATTAACAAGAAGCGAAAGCTTTACTTGTGAAATGTCTCATTATTTTGTGACATTGAAGTGCATGTATGGTCGAACTAAGAAAACGATTGTTTGCATGATCCTACAAATCTTCATATTTGAGTTAAATTAATGAAAAATCCTATTTGCGCTGCAACTTATAAAATATAGAACAAACTGTAATTAGATCGATAAAATAGTTGACGAAATTGTATCATCTAATGTGGACTTAATACTCAGCCTAAAAGTCAAAAGTCAAAATAAACAAAAAATAGTTGGTTCCTTGTCAACATTTCGATGCAATTGCGTAGCCTAAGCCTTCGAATCACAATCAATTATATTCGTTTATTTCGCAAATGCAAACAAAAAAATATCAAAAATACTCCCCTGTATCGCTTCTAGTTAATAATTGTTTCTCAAAAAAAGTTTTAGGTGTACTAAAAGTGAAAGAATTTTAAATGTGGCAATTAGGTTAACCAATATTGATTGAACCCGCAATACATTGATTGCACGAACAATATCTACAAAAAACCGACGGTTACAAAATAAATTCAATTTATAATTACTGGCGCATTCAATATTCGCTCCGGCGACTTCATATAAGTAGGTAATCCTGAAAAAAATGAATAAAAGTAGTCAACTGTAATATTAATTCCTGAATTTTAAAAGTACAAAAATTACTTACATCTGGAGCTTCTGTGTAGTAGCATTGATGTGTTAACCAAGCGTTTTCGCAAGGAGAATTCCCTTCTAAAAATAATGCATTTATTGCAAACTTAAAGTAGGTTTATCATGTATGTTAGAGTGCTCCATGAAGTGCTATTTCAAATAAAAATTATTTTCAATGTGGAAAATTTGATGAATGAAGGTAATTAAAATGCAATGAATCGCGCAAATTATTTGAATATTTCGACGATTTAAAAAATTACTTACGTTTTGTACCGCACTTTTTAATAACTGGTGCAGCTTTATCGCGATATTCTTCTGGCAAAACAGCTATGGTTGCTTCTTCATCAATTGTACCATCGTCATCTATCTATAAATATTTCACGTAAGGTATTTTTTTGAGTAGGTACTGTTAGTGATATCATGATACTTACACAAGCCATCTGCGCCATTATACATTTTATGTAACATTTAAATTCTTCTTTGTTTGCAAAAATACCATTTCTAGCATTAAATATGTCGTCTGGAAACATAATTTTACCGTACAAATAGGATAATTAAGAATTTATGTAAATTACCTTCAATGGCTCCTGTTTCTTCAACACACGTATTGTGCAGCATATCTGCCAATTCCTGCATTTCTTCGCTGAGACCCTGCGATATAACAATTTTATCACAATCTTGTTCCAATAAAAGATATTTAAAATACTTACTTTAACTCGATTGCATAGAAAAAATAATCCGAAAAGATACAAAAATAAATCCATCATTAGTTTTCAACTAATTGAGAATGGAATTCTAGAATAACTGAGAAAATAATCCGAGTGCAATTTGATTTTATAATTAACCGCAGCGCTGTAATTAGCAACGATTTTAATAAGCAGTTTCTCTCGCTAGCTTATGACCAAAACAGTAATTTTTCACCAATAAAAGTTTTTTTTGTTTCCACTTACAACTTATCCCGGAGCGTAGATGTTTCTTCGTATAAGTTGTAATTGAGTGCCAGTTATCAACTCTCCAACATCTAAAAGTACTTAGGAGTTACAGGAGAGCGAGTTTTTAAATGCTTAATCCGATATCGTTTTAGAGAGGACAGTAAATGAAACATTATTTTAATTACACTATTTAATTGTTATAAATAAATTTTCAATGATGCCACATTAAAACACTAGTAATATATCGGTAGGAATTGTTCATTAACTAATGTAACTAAAAGATAACCTCGTCAGGAAACTGCTTTATGGTAAGAAGAATGCCTGAAAATGAAGCTGGTAAATTAAAAAATAACTGTTTATAATTGATATTTACCCTTTTGTCGGTGTCCCAGTAACATTTTAGTGTATTAAATATAGCATCGCAGATGTCAGATCCAGCTAAAACAACATTAAAATATTTAATGTCTACTTATACGAAAATTTCTTGTGTTTACCTTGAGTATCGCATTTTACTACTACAGGAGTAGCTACATCTTTCATTTCTTCGGGTAATATAGCCAAGGCTCCTTCAATATCCAGTTTTCCATCATCACCAATCTACAAAAATAAATTTGTACATCAAAAAACCTTACCTATTTATACCAATTGATAGTTTTGTTGAACTATTAGGATGCTGTTAAGTTTAGGAATGTGATTTTTGATTGATTTACATTTATTATTTGTACTTACAATGCCAACTTCGTCGAAAACACATTTCATGTAACATTTCAAAGCGTTGTCTTGGGGAAATTCACCAGCTTTTGCTTGATTTATAACATCTATAAATTAAATCAAAATTAAATGCATCTGATTATTTGGAATTTAATAGAGAGTTATTTTAGAATTGAAACAAATGGAAATAATTCCGTTATTTGGAATGTATCTATTACTCGAATCTGTTATAAATATTAATTATTACCAGTAGGTATTGCATGATATATGATATCGATTGGAATATGTGTAATTGTCTTTTTATTCATGAACTATTTAGGTAAATATAATAACAATTTCTATTAACTGTGTAACAAGCTAATACCCAATGAATAAAATAAAATTTTAGTAAATTGATTATTTGGAATAATTAAAAAATTCATTTTAATATGGGACTTACCCTCAGAAACTCCGGTTTGTCCTTGGCATTCAGCATGAAGGGAATTCATCAACTGTATTTGCTCTTCTGTTAAAGCCTGGAATAAACTAAACCTATTCAGCTTCTAATTGATGGAAATTGTGAGAAAATTTTCAAATTGAGAGTGGCAACTGCATTAAACTGTTTATGTTCAATCCCGATGCCAATTTATTTTGGATAATTAGCGTAACAGAGCTCGTATCAATAAAAATAAATTCGAAAATGTTTACAAATAATGTTTAAAATCGTTACCTTTATTCCCGTTGCCAAAACACATATCACAAATAACCTGAACATTTTGATGCTACTAATTGATAAACGATCGTTTAGCCTTTAAATAAATTACAATGTTCCGACTCCATATTTATATTATTTTCGATTTCATTGAAATTTGTATTAACATATAATTTTCGTTAAAATGGTAGATATTTAATAAAAAACAGGGACTGATTTAATTTATTTTACTTGTAACGACAATAATAGAAATTTGAATATTTTTCTGGAATTCCATCTCTCAATTAGGAATGTGTTTATATTTTTCTTAACAATTTCTTTATAAAATATATTTTTTGTATTGCTTTTATTCATCTGTAAAAGCCTAACAGAAATTTCCTCAAGGATTTTGAATTTAAAAATTAGAATATACGCATCAATGCATCCTTTTAATAACCATTAATTTAGGTATGAACAAACATGGTTTGTTTCGCCATCATTGCATGTCAGGTCGCTAATATTTAATTAATTCAAGAGTACTCTGTATTTTTGAAATTCCCCGTATTATTTTCGTAGTGTTTTATCAATGAAAATTGTTTATTTAAGCTCGTGAGCATTTTACGAAGTTGATTTTTGTTAAAGATGGACAGGGCAGGACAGGGTAGGTAAAAGACAGCGAAAATAAATTTATTATTGGATTCTTTAATATTTTGTAACATGTTCTTTTACATGTGGTTTAAAATTCACATTAAATCTAAACATTTATACATATACTAGTACATGCATACATTGATGTTTCAATAAATTATTAAAATATTTACAATATAAAGTTTATTAACTTTATAAATAATTTCTCTGCTAGTTTACTAGAGTATTTTCATAGTTAATTTAAATAATAAATAAATAAAAAATAAGTATATACAAAATTTAAAAGTTGCTACAATATAAAAATTACAACACCCTCTACTTTTCACATTCAAAACTCAAAAATGTCTGGAACTCACGAATTCACATGATGTAAGAATTTTCCTCCTACACCTGAAAAATAAAAACTTGCAATATCTACCGGTATTTTTGTTATTTCGGTTGCCACAGGTTTTTTATTACCATCGCTCGTCTACCCTTAAAGCTCGACTCTATTAATAGAGCCATAAAGTGTGTAAGAATTTACTGGAATCTAGGTTTCTCGGAAAATATTAAGAAGGTGTGCGGTGATAATTGTTGCGGAAATTCAAGGCGAGTACTGGCGATGTGGATGAAATCATAATGCGACTTTTGTCGTTAGCTTTTATTGCCATCGATTTTCTAAAAATAGGACTATTAAAGTCAAATAGACTGTTAAAATACCTGAAGACTTTATTTCTTCTAACCGTTGTATATTTGCTGCCAGTTTTATAGCGTTAACAAGCCAGTTAATGATTTATTTCGTACCCCAATGAATACATAAACACCTACATGTGAGTAGACATAGAAAATGCAGGAATCAATCAATAAAGGAACGCAGGACGTAATTTATGCCCATACCAAAACACTGAGAATGCGGCAATAGAATCAGCAAGCGACATTACGTATGATTAAAATTTAATAGCCTTGGATTCCTCACATTTAGCGCGGAATTGTTTGTCATAACACGAACATTACAGTTTTTTAGAGCCATTTGATGTTTGTTTGATGCTCGGAAAATGTAATACAAATGATAAAACGAAGATAATTTATTGCGTAATAGCCAATATGCCGAAACGTTGGATAAATTGCTATTTTGAATTCCGATTGTTTCTCGTTTATACTTTGCGTAAAACGCAAGCCTTAGAATTTGTATGACAATTCAGTTAATCTGGTATTTAGGAATAATTGATAATTTGAAATTCATCCAATTTTCTAAATGTTGCCAGCAAATATATTAGTGCCTAACCAGATGACAAGTTTTATAGGAAAAATCTTTTATCTACTCATTAGGAAGCAAAGCATTAGCTCTATGGTCCATATAATTTTATTCTATCATAACAATCAAAGAAGAACTCATAATAAAATCTATTATCTATATTAGAAAACACTCTTTTTTCTCCTCTCTTCATTTCAAACATAAATTAAGCTCGCATTATTAATTAACCAAATTTAATCGAACATTTCCGTACGGATCATTTCCCAGCCCCCATTGAACCGTAAAGAGCCATCGCAATAATCTCTCGGTTTAATACCATCATTGTCATCGACTTACCTATTTAGAGTTTAGTGGTCACAGTGGATTTTCTGTGAAGACTGCCGCCATTAACGAGGTAAACGCCGCCGCTATCTGCCGCCCCAGTATAGCGGTAACTGCTATATCTCGTGTCCCGGTGCCTCAAATTGTAGAAGCATCCTTTCAGCGCTTGCCGTACATCATGATTGGCGAAGCAGAATAGACATGCACAGCACAAGCCCTGCAATTTAATTGTTTGATACCAGTTATTAAAACCATAAGTGCCATATTAATAACATCATTGTCATATCAATAATAAACTAATTGGTAATTTAATTAGATGAAGGTTTTGTATTACCTGGAAAGGTACGATGATGAGCGTCAGCCACATGTAGGACCGGTACAGGGGATGCCCGGGCTCCGGTACTATTGGTAGCAAAATGTACTGAATTCCAAATAGAGGGATGAGAATTAGGGCGGCTCTGACGGCCCTACGGATTCCCACAGGTGCTGGGTTTGATGAGTTAGGGCGCATTATTGTTAGAATCACTCGAAGCACGTTTAATAAAAATGCTGCAAAAGGAAGAATGGAAATGTTTGAGTAATATCTACAACTAAATACTACGGTGCAGATTTGATGCGAAAACTTGTATTATTATACCATTATTGTGTTAAAACTTATATTAAAACTTGTGTTATTAGAGTAGATATTTATGAGGAAATAGAATAAGCCGGGAGTCTTGGAACTTTTAATTTAAACTGCTAAGTTTGCCTTATGCTCGGGTAAATTGGGAAGGGCTTATTTCCATTTTGCATGCAAGTTAGGGTAATTGATAATTAAAAATTTTAATTTATATTAAAGCATCCTTAATTAACCTTTCAGATGATAAAATTATTTTCTATTAGGTAGGTGCATAATAATAAATCGAATTACCTGTACATACTCCTAAAATTATTAATACAGGAATGCTTAAAAACCAGTGGCTAAAAGGTGATTCATCCATCCAACACCTAAAAAAAAGTAAAATTCCCTTGTATCGAAATTTTTTTTTGTTCTTCACATTTTCATTAAAAACACAAACGTATCACGTTTTTAGCTGGGGTTATACAAGAAAAATAAACTATTTCCAGGTCAAGTATTATACGAGTGTGTTGATTTTATACGATAACATGAAACAAGTTACTCTCTTCATGTTATTTTCCCATTTCGTTATAATAAATATTCATTACTGACTTTAAAATAATTCAAATGGTAATTTTATGCAAAACAATCACTTACTTATTCGTGTCTTTGGTGTAAAAATACCGAACCAAGTTATGCACGCCTACAATTAAAACTGGCAGGCCCCAACCCAGCCCGTAGAACCACTTTATGGTACGTTCCTCGCGAACGAAAACCACCACTAGGGCTAAATGCAAATGAAGACCCTCGCAGAACATCCACATGTAATTGGCGATCATAAAGTATTCTCGTATAACGTGGAGCAATTGACACCAAAGCTGAAATTAAACCTTTTATTAACATTAATGTACACCAAAGTTCGATACTTCGGTTCGAAAGAATTAGCACTATTAATATGAAGATGGCAATTTCGCTCGTTACAGAATTTCTTGAAAGTTTGTTAATAAAGTTCATCGATTGTTACCGAACTAAATGCTCCATCATTCAACATAGGTATCGTTTACCGAACTTACCGGATTCATTAAGGTAACTTCTAAGTAAGGTATAACTTCTTCGTACCATAATATCCATGTTATGTTATTCAAAACGAACGATATGAACAGCTGCGTGTGGATTCTGATCCTCGTGCACTTCAAAGATCTAAAAGACGATTGAAAATTGAAACACCCAACGAAATATTTTCACCGCGTAAATAGTGTCCAGAAGAAACATCTTCCATCTACATCAATCATACTTAACGGACATAATTTTTGACACTATTCAGAAAGCTTTTAATGAAACAACGATGTCGTTCGAGATCGATAAAAAAATTAAGTTTGGTCGTATTTAGCAACACCCACAATATTTTTATTAGAGATATTAATTTAATATATTTTGAAAGATCATTTCTAACAATAGCTCATTCTCATCAGATATAAGCAGCTTCATTTTACAATGAGTATATAATTAAAAAAACAAGATTGATAATAGTATCAAAAGCACTGCACACAAGACAATTAATACCTGCTTAAAATCAGGAAGTTCCTACCTTTGGCGAACCTGCGAAGCATTCTAATTTATACCACCATAATTCCAAAAACCACATTTTCGATTACAGTAATTAAACGCAGAAGCACCTAATTATCACAATGGCGATACCCCGATGAATATTAAAAGGGAAGCTGTTCCAATAAAATAATAATTAAGCCAAGTTTCTTTAGAATATGGAATAAATTAAAGGACGAGTTCTTTAAATTCCTCCGCTGTAAGTTCTAAAGAAGGCAGATCGATCGATCCGGCAAGTTCCCAGCCCAAAGTCTAAACCAATTAAAAATATTGTAATTGCCAGACCAGTAACAATTTTAATTGCTAATCGATTGCAATGATAAGATGAGAGATGAGGGTAAAAGTTTCTCAATTTAGCTTTGTTATGGAGATTGTAAAAGTCTGAGAATTATTTCTTGCCTTGGATAGTAAAATAGTTTGCTACTTTTTAATGAGCAATTTCTAATAAAGATGATATATGGAGAAATCAATGGATAACACGAGTATATGGATGAATGCTATGGATGAATCCCATTAAATTCGCACACAGTTGATAATGCTCAAGAACTGAAACGACCTCCGACTGGTAATTTAGTAATCAATACGGTTATTATTAATAAAGATCAATGGTTACTTTGAACTACCTAAAACGAGGAGATGCGATGAAATTTCCAGAGGGAGTAAACGTACGTGATAAATTGTTATTTTAAATGAAGTTGCGCTTCGCCGGCCTGTGAAATACAAGACCAAACTCTCATTCAAAATGCATCATAATAAAGTAGCAATCAATAATAGTTTGAAGATGAAATGTCCAATCGTGTTGAGGAAATCTAGAGTATGCAAATTATTACTAATGGGAAATGTCCAAATAAATGTATTTTACACTACGACAATCTCTCATTAATCTAAATTAGATGTCTAATCTCCTATCAGTATCTCCATTATATTCGTCTTTTGGGTGAATATCTTAAACATGACGAACATTCGCTCAATTGAATTGATGAAGGCCTTTGTTTTCGTTAATAAAGCATGCGAATTTATCGACAAATAGACAAATATGTTCTGGCGATATTAAGTGGATATATCGGGTATAAGAGAGGTTAAATGGTTCCTGAATCGTATCCAACAATAAATGAACTTGTCTGTTAGTAAGTAATTGTTTCCATTTGTTCCAAATGGATTTTATAATTGCTCCTTTTAACGTAATTGTGAATATAATCTGCGGAACGGAGATGGCGGAATAAGTGAATGTCGGAAGAGATTAGAATGCAATTATTAAATTGTGCTCGGCTTCTGCTCTCGAAATTATATTAGCAATTTTTAGTGGTTCTTCTTTCCTTTGCTGGAATTTCCTTTCGGATTAGCTTTAAGGAAATTATTCTTTTTATTTAAAAATGTGGTATAGATGTCGTAAAATCGGAGGTTTATAATTGTAATTATTCTCAGGCGCTTTTGATACCTATTGTACATTCTATTTCTTCTTAGAGAATAAGTAAGTATTTTTAGTGATCAAAAATAAATATACAAACAGACTCGCTCTTGTTACTTAGAGTGCTCTACTTGCAACTTATTGCACATTGTGAATTTTCTTTCTAGATATTCCCATCGGGTTACATCTTTTACACTCCTAAGACTTTCATACTCATTAATCTTTGTTATTGCTTGTCTATTCGATTTCTCGCAAGGAAGCGACGCGCTGTTCCTTGAAACAGGATGCATTAACATCGGATTCGGTTAACACAGAACATTTGAACGTCCTTTTATCAAAAGAATCTGGATTGAATTTCAAAGCAAACTGTTGTATTTATCATTTTCTTTTAGATACTCTCATATTAAATAGAGTGGGTATCGAGAAATCTAAATACGATATTTTTTACAAGAGCTTTGACGACATTGTAAACTAAAACTTTTGAAGTTCTGCGAGAAATTGATATGCCTATTATATGAATTTTCAGGGTTTGTAGTAACAAGTAAATAATTTATTTTATAATAATAAATCTTACCTGAAGGAGAAAAATATTATAAGAGAGATTACTAGGGCGGTCGTAGAGATTGCGTAACCGATTACTGTAAGTTCAATAATGAGTTGAAGGAACTAAAAAAAAAATACTAGAATTACTATCAATATTTGTACTTAATGGATATTAATACAGAATGTCCAGCGATGGAGATACAATATTTTTATATTTGAATGCTTAAAAATAAATATTTAACTATTTGAAACACACATTATAGTTAAAAATTTGATAGGACTCTATTCAATTTATCCTACTTCATTTGGGTGTTCCTTTTGACTGTTCTGCTAAATGTATTTTTTCTTATGATCGCAATGTAAACTGTTCTAACGAGTGTGTCATTATTTTCCGTTCTCTTTGTCGTCATGTAATTATTTCCATCCATTTAACTGTATAATATTTTCCAACCCCCATCGCAAGACATTAGGTTCACTTGTTTGATCCTGCTAAAAGGTCTCCTCGAATTGGATTAGGTAATGAAAATATTTGTTTACTTTTGCTATCGTTAGCATTTTGCGCAATCGTATAATTTTAAAGCGCGCATTTCATAAATTAAAATTAATAAAATTCGTTGCAAACACTTACACTATAGTCGTCCGGACTCATGATGAAGCACTTCGAATAGTCTACATAAGGAATTGACATGTTGTTCATATACCAACTTCCATTTTGTAGACATTCTTTGAACATGGATTCCGATTGATTAAATATACTTATAGCCGGGCAAGAATGGTTCGCTATTGTGCCCGGCGGAGTTTCCGCCCAGCAAATTTCTTTACCCGCCCAGAGGTACACCAATGTGTCGAACACCTCCGGACAATATCCTGGAAAAATAATTTGAAGAAAATAATTGATAGAAAATAGCTAGCGTTAAGAAAATTGATAGAGAATAGCTGAATCCATAGTTATTTGTTTTTGAGTCAGGTGCATAACTAAATTCTTCAATAATAGACTTTAAACATTGTTTTTAAATTAGTAAATTACATAAAATTAACATCTTGGAAATTTCCTTCATAAAGCTCCGAAACAGTCCATTTTCCTTTTTCCAATTATCTCATCGTCCGAACCGCTGGGTTAGCTAGTAATAAATCAAACTCCATTCATACACCTGTAACTCGGTTTCTTTTGCTTCAATTCATTAAAGCAAATTTTCTTATCAAATACTTTGCAGGAGACCTCATTTCGTACGACTTACTTTCGTTCTTTATAATTGAATGGCAAGGAAAGTTACCTTCATTATAAATAAATAAGGTAATCTCGACGGCCTCGATATTAAATTCCATTTCCAAAAAACGCCTGTAAGAATCTTGGCATCTCGGATTCCTTTTTTTATGTACCAGAAAGAGATTTCTAATTTGATTAAACGATTCGAGGCATGAAAGAGAATAAAACGAAATTAAAGCCGGAGGATTATTCTTGAGTAACACCGAGTCCGATAAAATAGAGGTGTAGTGAGTTTTAAAGAAAGCTCAGAGTAAGCTCTGTTAATGGTATTAACACAAAATATGTTAAAACGATTAAAAAAAGTGCACATAAAAATTAATTAGCATAAAATTAATTATTAGATATTAAAGAAGGTCGGCTCTAATTAATTATTTTTTTCTCGCGATTAAAACCAGTAGGTATGTTTGTTTTGGGATAAAACGCAAGTATCAGTAATTCAGAATTTTTATACGTTCCTTCCTTTATTAATAAGGGAGTGTGGCTTATGTATAGCAGTTAATATAGCTTGTAGGTAAAATATTTTGTTGAGCTTTCGCGGGTAGGGCTTTGTTTACCGTTCATAAAGCTTGCACGATGCCCACGCCTAAATTAAAAGAATCAACAGATTTGGGTAGCGTTCCTGAACTCAGACCGTCACAATTTCCTTTTGATGGTATCAAAGACTAAACGAAATTGCCCCTAATGATTCTGGCGCGTTGAATAAAATATTAAAATATAATCGAAAAACCTTCTAAAGGTGTTTATAAATATCTTGTAACATTGTGCTGGATTATCGTTGGTGACATAAAGGAGCCCTTGTGTTCCATAACATGAAAAATTACCAAAATGGCCCTTGGCTGTTGTAAATAGGACGGAAAATTTTGTTTGCTCACACTAAACTGTCGACTCGACGATTTTGAGCGGATAATTTGTAAAAAATGGCGTTCAATAACTCTGCAGAAGGACATAATAAAACCGATAAAAAATTCACCCGGTGAGTTTATAAAAAAATGGAATTGCGCAAAAGAGCTTATACAGAATTGTTTGAATATGGTGAATCCTATAGGCCTGAAATATGGGAAAACTTTTAATGGAATCTTGGTAAAGTTGTATAATAAATCTCGTTTAATTAGCTATATTTCTATTAAAGCACGAGTAGATACCGTAACCGATGTAAAAAAGTTAGTAATTATTTCATTATAATGGGAAATTAACCAATTAAAAGATCCCAAAAAGCCATTCATTTTTTTTTTGAAAATCACGAACTTCAGTATTTGCTCCATTGCGGTTGAAAATTAATCCGATCGCTTTAACTCGATCACGATCGAATGAGCTTTTAATTTGTCAAAATCTCATTTTTCCAACTGCATTAAAATATAAATGAAATAAACCCAAATCCCTCTGATAAATGAATTTCTGTCCGGATATCAATTAACAAAATTGTTTCCAACTGTTTGGGACGATCAAAGTCGGATTCATTAATTTTATAAATCCCTCATTCGTTCAAATTGTTTTTCCAAAAGTATTCGCTTTGTTTTAGTTGAATATACTTAAAAGAAAAACAAAGATACCTATCTATAAATGTATTCAGATAGGTTTTATAAGTACAATTAATTTCAATTAACGGAAAATCCTTAACGTGAAAATAAATCTTCGTATCTACATTTCAAATTTTCAATTTTTCAACATCACTCAAGAACCCGTAAACGCAATTACTTTTAAATCCTATATAAATATAAGGTGTTACTTTATTCACACTATAAATATTTACGAGCAAATAAGACACTCATTAATGAATCTAAATATTATTACAAACGTCTTCGTACTTGTATAATTTTTTTTGTTTACTCTGTAAAGAATGTAGGTATACATATTTTTATGATGCGTAATGTAGTTCAAATAAAAATAGTCGGGTTGCTAAGAGAAAGGCTAAACACAAGGGTTTCGCACTTTTGATCCTTATTTTAGCCATTTATCATAAGAGCCAACTGTAAAATCGTTAGTAGAAACGTAAACTCTGCTCTCGTAAATTAGTGGGAAGCATCATTATTATTTCGTTTTTCCCACAACTCATATAAAGTATAATTAAGTTAGGTGTAATAGTGATTTAACGAGGTGTAAAGCAGGCAAGTTTTTATTACATTTAGTTATACACCTGAGGAAAACTTCATCATTTGATGTTTATAAACAATAACAATAATTAGATTTTATGTGAAATTAACCTACCTGGGGTGGTATTTTTGTATTTTCCGCATTCCAAGTAGACTTTGCTTTGATTCAGTTGTGAAAGAGCCTCTTCGTCCAGTAAATTGAACATTCTGAAAAAAAAAACATTAACATTTAACTTCCAGATTTAAAGATTATACGTATTAAACTCGACACTTGATAAGAGTGTTGGGTACGTTAGATAAACTGCTCCACAAAAGTTAAGGAAGTTCGCAAATTTTGCGATTATTTTAAAAGTTACAGACTTTTTGATCACCAAATTTTCAAATATGCGAAATTAAATGTTTTCTCTCATATCTAAGAGGAATTTTTGCTCCTACCTCTACAACTTATACTAAATTTGGCGATCAAAAAACCTGAAACTTTTAAATTAATCGCAATATTTGTGAACTTCCTTAACTTTTGTGGAGTAGTCTATTTCAATAGTGTACATAAAAGAAGGCAGGTTAAATAAATATTTAAAATGGGTACAGGTAGCAAATATTGGCAAAAAGAAACTATCGAGAAATTCGCTTCTGAGCTCAAGCTTCCTTGTTCTTTGTTGCATGGAGAAGAATAAGTTCTCGCAAATCAGAAAACGTATCGTAAAATATGTAAATATTGCCACTTTTACAGGGCACCGTATGCGCTAGACTTATCTAACATATTGGATCTTACAGATGGAACATACATATTTCATTTTTTTTATATATTCTTGTTGTTTTCCTAAGTTTTAAAACTTACAATCCGGATGTTCTTTGTTTGCCGAATCAAAATTAAACCTAACTGTTAATTAGCTAAAATGGATAATTACTAATATGACTTATTGAATATTTTATGAGATAAGAGCAGGGTTTATAAGTTAAATTTCTTACAAAAATAAAGTAGTGCAAGATGTTTAGTTTCTGTTTTATTGAATTAGGAACATGACATGAAAATATAATTAAAAAAACATAAATTAAAACTTTTATTAGCGTGTGTGTTACCCAATCTCCGAACTGTAAACGACTATCTGAATATCTGTTATGAAAATATTGATATTATTTAAAGGTACTAAAGCTAAATTAAACATAAATTACATGTTTATTTTAAATAAAAAAATAAACTTAAGCGATATCGTTTCAAATATTTGCTCTGTCCAAGGGTGCCAAAAAATATACTACGTAAACTTCTTTTTAAATTACGCAGCTTTCACCAGTTCCCTAAAATTTTAAATAATTCGATAAAATTTATATTAGACTAGTGTGGGTGTCGAACTAAATAGGCCAAATCTTATATAAAAGCCGTATCGCTTGATTGATGAATGATTCAACCGTATTCCAGTAGGTTTTCCGCGTGACAGGTTTGTTGAATGTGTCCTTGCACTGCTATGATGAATGATGTTTGTTTTTGAACAATACCCTCACAAAAACGTCGAATTCTCACCTACAAAGAGTGCCCCGTATTTTAAATAAATTTATATTTTTAAAGGTATAAAATTTAATTGATTGACAAACCTAAGTAGAAGTAATAAAAGTCTCGTACTAAGCAAATGGTAATTAAAAATTTGCCTCGTTGATTTCGTTTGGCTTTTATCTAATTTCTTAGTAAAAAATATTTGTTTCCGTAACGACTTTAAAGAAGCTATTTTGAGGACGGCTCGTTTAGTTTATTATTTCATTACCACAATGTGCTATTAATATTTCCTATAAATTACTATTGTGTACAATAAAGCATTTTAGCCAATGAAGTTTGCTCTACTGTGAAATTAGGTCATTACCACTTTAACTTTTTTATTTACTGTAAGTTTTAGGTCGGTATAGGGTTTTTAAAAATAGAAAAGAAATAATAAATTATATAGGCAATTTTCCACCTTTTCAATTCAAACCGCCTCTTTCTTTTGGTGAAGAAAAATTAGGGCCTCCTATTTTTTCGTTTTCCGTTTTCCGTTGAGCTTTCAACGTATTCCAGGGGTTCGTTAAAAAAAGCTTCATCGAAAAAGCTAGAGCAGTATTAACCGAAAAGAACTCACATATAAGAGCCATAATTCATCATTAAATGCGTTTCTGCGGTGTTGTGTGTATTCGATCCTATTTTATGAACGACCGGGACTAACAACAAAAAATTGGAGCCCTTTGAAACAACCGGACTCTTGCTAAAATTGATTGTACAGAGTGTACAGAGTCTAAAAATATTTGTACCTAATTTTGATGATGATAAAATTTTTTAAATGTGAGTAAAGTAAACTATTGTAATAAATTGGACTGAAAATATATTAAAAGGTTTCTGTTTTACTTTCATTTCAACACTTCTACACATAAATTAAAAAGTGGACAGAATTTGGTATTTTTACTTCAACTTAGTGCATTACCAAAATATACCAAAGTGTTAATTGATGAACGAATTAACGCACTTGCCAAATTAAAATGAAATTATATCCAGTGAGAAAATGACATGATGGTAATATTAAAGCTTCTCAGTACACCCTCTATGTATATTTACGATTATAAACCGGTTCTTTCTAATTAGATAATTGCATTCCGCAGTCGTCAGAAATTATTCTGAGACAACGCAAATTGCAAATCAACATGGTTTAGGTGCAATCTGCATAATTGCATATGCATGAGACAATTAAACCTAATTAATTCCATGCAAGAAAAGTCAGCAGTTAGTCGTCTTCTGGCACAGAACTTGTAAAACCACCACATTTAAGTTAAGCATCCAGGAAAACTTTCAAGGGTTTTATAAATAAAAACTACAATACTAAATGAACTTGGGTAAATATTCAGAAGCTAGTTAATAAATCATTTTATTAGTTTTTTAGATGCCTTTAATACATTTTCCGAAGCAATTTTCTTTCGTTTTAATTAGCAATACAGTTGTCATACTCCCTTAATTCGACATGGAATTCAGACTATTCGACGCGTAATGACGAGAACTTGTATTCGAAGTTTAATTTTGACTGTGACTAAATGAGGAGAAATTAGATTGGAATAAGATTTAACACAAAGGCGATAATTTAATGGGTTGGTAAATTACGATTCAGAATAAATTAGAGATATTAATGAGTTTTTAAGACTTTGCTTGATCGTACTTTTGGAAGCATCGGCTTAATTTCGACTTTATCCAAATACATATTAAGTCAGTTTAAGTAGAAACCGAAATTGTCTACAACAAAATATCAAATTCGGAGATAGCAATGCACAGCAATTCAATGGAGAGATGGATATAAAACTAACCAAACCAACCATTGAAACTTTTATTACGCGGGGAATTCGATTTGGCGGTTACACATCGAATCATGGTACGCTTCTGCAGACACATTGAACTAATAATGAATTTATAATGAGAGCAAACATATTTGAGTTGCGGGATTAAACTGGGAATAAACGAAGGGATCCATAACAAAGTTTCATGCACCGAATAAAAACACTATACTTTTTCGTTATAATTATCTTTTGTGCGGTCTCGAGAGGAAAGATATTGACGTCGACTAGCACATTATAATATTGATCCGCACAAATAAAGTGTTAATTTACATGGTTAATAGTTGAAGTAGTTTTGGAGGCTGAAAGCACTTCTGATTGAATATAACCGAGGTACATACCCTTCTAATCTTCGGAAGTTTCAATCAATAAACACACCGTGAATATCCATTAAAATTAGTTGTATTAGAGCCTCTTTTGGTGTTCTAGGGTGGATGAGGAGTAGCCTCAAAGCGCCGGAGCCTCGAAAACTGCATGTTGAATAAAATGGCGAAGGCAAAATCGGATAAAACGGTTAATAATGGAGAAGACCAGGACATTTTAATTTTTGTTTTCAAAATAGTGTGTCCTAAAAAGGCGATTGATGAAATTTTTATTTTATTATGTGCCCAAATAAGAGAGTTGCAATTAAAAGTCACATTTAGCCATGTTGCCACATTGGTAACACATATTGGTATTAAATACACAAATAATAACCGTGAAAAATCTATAATTTGGCAACATTCTTGTCAACGTCAATATTATCGATGTTGAGTTATAATTTACAATAAAAATGTAACCAATAAACAAGCCGAACAGCGGAACATTGATAGATCAGTTTTAAGCCCCGATATCTATTATTACAGATTCCAGATCATTTTTTTAACTGGCACATTTATAAAAATATGGGCGGCAGATTCAAGGTAAATCCACACTTTTTCGCGAAGTCTATTCGATTTCATGCGTCTCCTTGTTCCATAATGTAAACAAATTGGATTATTTATGTTCAAGTATTTCGATTGAAATGGATTGGCAGGATATGTCGAATACCAACAGGAACGAATTTTTTCACAAAATACAAAGGAAACGCTTATCAACGCGTTTTCAGAGGTTGAATATTCTATTTAGCTGATTTCTGGAATCGCCAGAGAAACTTAAAAGCGTCAAGGATGCCAAATAAATGGTATTTATCATGGTTAGTATTAATGATTGTCTCGATAGAAGTTTTATAATTTTCGCTCTCTTTTTCTCTTCAAACAATAGCATTAGCTACCTACACATTTTTATTGCTTTATATTTTTTATTGGCTGGGTTTTTACGTCATTACGTTTGTACGTACTTTGAGAGCGCATTAATGAAAATGTATTTAATAAAAACCTAATATCAGCAATTATTAATGTGGAAAACAGTGGAATATTAATCCTGTAGGTAAATTATCATAAATTAGCTTAACCTATATTAATTCACAAAAGTATAAAAACGCATTAATAAATTATAAATGACTCGACTCTAATTTAATATTGAATTATAGATTATAGATAATAGGCAAATTCTCTATCAAAAGAAAACTAGTGTAATTCAATTTAATGATTAAGTATCTTAATTGTTTTTATTCACAGTCATAAAAGTAATTACATCTATTCCACTTCTATTTAGTTTTCTCATTTGTTCATGTTTGTTGATAATGCGTATATTTTTTATGCTAAACACTCTTTACTTAATCCCAGTCTACTAAATGTGTTCAGGTAAATTTGGGATAACTACATCTAAACATAACGATGATCGCATCAGGGCCCATACATTTTAGCGTGTATAAATAATTCTGCGACTTAGTATAAAGCGTGATATCTAACTAAACTTAACTCGGGAAGGGTATTAGTCCTCTGAATTATCATCACCTCAAATTCTAAATTATTCAACAATTACTACCAAGAAGTTTCAAACAATTCTAATTTAATTTATTTCATCGGCCATTTCCACTTCCCGTCCACTACACGCTCTATCGATTTATCCATCAACAATCCTTTTTTTTTTATTTCCCTAGCCCTATCTGTTCCCTTTGTTCTTGTTATTTTCGGTCTTGGATCTCATCGCTCCGTTCATTGCGGTTGATTTTTATGGCCTTATATTAGTTGAGTAACTGAGCCGAATTCCTATTCTTCCATACCGAGCGAGTGAAGTCGAAGGACCCATTTGTATCCAGCCTGCATCTTGAAGGTAAATATTTGCCATAGAAATTTCAGTGGTTAACAAATTACAAAAGCCGCTCAGACAAGGGAAACGGGCGTACACATGTTTAACCTACTTTAGGCACGAATTTTTAGGAAAACATAAGCTTTTCAGGGAGTGGAAATTTATTGAGACTATCATTTTATGTCTGCATTTATTATGCGTAAAATTTGTTTTTTTTTAAATAAATGACTGATGTATAAAATAGGAAGGAAATAACCGAAAGTGTGATTTATTTTTCTGAGTATAAAACAAATTGTACTTCGCAACAGACGAAATAAAATAGTGAGGTGTTCCATTGAAAAACGTGGCGTTTTGTGAAATATGTGTCGAATTCGAGTTCCAAATTGGATGGATAAAAACAAATAGAATGCGAATTTGGAGAGACAGTCTAGTTTATGGAACAAGTTTATTTGATTTGCTGCGAATTTGGGATAACTGTGTCTGCGTATGTGGATAAGAGCTTTGATCCTTAACGTTCAAGTTTATAGTTTAGGTATAAGTTGAAATTTGTTAGTTACTTTGTGATCATTATACATATTACTAGCTTATTACTAATATCCGAGTCTCTTCATGTTTCATTCAAAGTGCAACTTTGTAGAGAAAACGCTTTGCGTGCTTGTTTTACGGATTTTTATTTTATAGCAATGACTTTATACGATTTAAGTCTTTTTCTTCTTTTGGCAAAACGATGTAAAACCAAGGCTGTTATAACATGAGGGTAAAAAGAATTGCTACCGATAAAGATTATTGAATAACATACCTACAAAAATCCGGCATATTTATTCTGTAACAATGTAAATGTACTTGTAACTTGTAATGTTTTCTAGTATAAAAAATCCTATTATTAAATAAGTTTTCCCCTGTATTTTTAGTACCTTCCTAATTATCGGTTAATCATTCGATTGTTTAACAATTTAGAGAATTATGGATATGACGGAAATATTTAATTACCACTAGTTGAAAAAATACTTTATAACCGGCAGTAAATTCCGTTTTATCAATATTTGCTCCCTGTTATTTGCATGTTAATTAAACGGTGTGAATAATTCCCATTTTCTCTCTGTATATAACAACGTACCTAATTATTACTACTACCTACTTGTAATATTTTAGTTAAAACTATGCGTAGAAATAAACCTCAGAGGTGACAATTTCATAGCATCGAGGTAAAATATTTACAGGTAGTAAATCAATTGTAAATCTTGTGAATACATTTACTACAAGTTTCTAATTTTAAAACGTACCAGTGAAATCTTTGTATTTCTGCACATTTTCAAACAAAGATTTTTCTTCGCCTTTTTTTTCGAATCGATTATTTTAGAACTAAAATAAATAATTTCTTCCACGTATTCCACCAAAACAACTCGTTTAAGAAAGTGGAAACATGTAAAAATAAACTATTTTCCCCGGGATGACTTAAACAGCAAGCTGTTTCAAATAAACCGCGATATGAATGAATTTACATTGCTTTTGTGGCAAACTTTAAAATGAAAATATTTTTCAACCGTCCAAGGTTTGCCTGGTTTGAAATATAACAGACAAGTTACAGGTAAGAGTAGGTATATAAACTTTAAAAATTGGGATATTATGGGTCCAATAAAAACGTCTACATGATAAATTGCAAAATATAAACTGTATAAAATGGTAAACTAATTTAATTTATTCATTAACATTTATTGCTAATTAGGAATGTTTTCAAAATAAAGTAGTAAATTTATAAGGATTTTCATTAGATTTAAAGAAACGAAACGAAGCGAAGTTTAAGAAGTATGGAAATGAGGGAACTTTGGATAATAAATACACTCGTTGAAAATCCCCATAATTTAAAGTTATCTTAATACACAGATTTATTGAAATTAATGGTTCAAAATGAATCTAACTTAATTGTACACTGAAAAAATTTTGGTACATAATATCAATGAACACCATGTTTTCAACTTGTTTTCATTAGCTCAATAAAATAATACATTAATCCAATAAATTTTCATTCATTAGTTAATGAATTCATTTATTAACTCAATGTTTCTTGTAACATTAATTATTAATGTAAAATTTCATTAATTCAATAACAATTTTTATTAATTCAATGAAATTTAATCATTAATATAATAACCTAGTACATTAAAAGCGAATATTTCAGTTAATGTATTCGATACATTAAATCAAAGTAACTTGTACATTAATATAACGAATTGTTCATTCTTTTAATGAAATTTAATTATTGAACCAAAAACATTAATACATTCGTTCGATAAACCACATTCGTCATTTTTTATGTTGCCCGTACATTGATTCAACAAATTGAGTACATAAATCCTATGTTCGAGTTCATTGAGCCAATGAACGCATATACATCATTAGTTCGATAAAACACATTCGGCATTTTTAATGTTGCCCGTACATTGATTCAACAAATCTAATACATAAATTCTATGTTCGAGTTCATTGAGACAATGAATGCATATACATTGGTTCGATAAACCACATTCGCAATTTTTTATGTAGCCCGTACATTGATTCAACAAACTGGATACGTAAATTCTTGTCTCGAGTTCATTGAGTTAATGAACGCTTTTCATTAAGTCAATGAATATCAGTTTGGATTTTGGCAATACACACTAGAGTGCAAATCTATGCCGTTCTATTCTATTAGAAAAAAAGAAATAGATAGAGACGCTTTCGAAAATCGCGTTGACCGTTAATTACCCCTCTTTCTCTCCTGTTATTTCGTGTTGAATCGTTGAACTGGAAGTGTTCTGTTTAGTTAATTTCGTTTTCGTTTTGTATTATAAGAAGGAAGGAAGAAAATTCAAGCGCTGTTGTTTTAAGAGGTAAGCATTTTTTAATTCGGTACACTATAGGTTAATACTTATACATTTTATTTCTAGGATTTAATTTTAAACACAAACGTAAAGCCTAAGGGAGATATAAGTGCAACAACTTCAAGATTCATACAAAATGTGTGTAAGTTTTTATGGTTTTTACTACAACTCATTAAATTATTGGATATATTAAATTTTTAGGCCCCAAAGACATTTGTGAAACGTGCATAAGACTTCTGAAGTTTGAAAATTTATCATCGGAAGAGTTCGACGTATGCAGCATGTATTGGAACTTCGCTTGAGTGACATAAAAAACCCACAAAAATACAGATGATAAAATGAACTTATTACAAACGACCATCTGGATATAGCTTGGTGAGTACCTTCAATAGTATACCTACCTATACACCGTGCTTCATTCGCGATTGCAACATGAGCATTTCTATGAGTTGAACAAAGAAATATTAGTAAAATAACAGTTGTCAGAGTGAAAAGTTGCAATGACATAATATCATACGGTTTCTTTTTCCTTTACAAGTGTCTAATTGAAGTTATCTTTGTTGCACCCATAGCCTATGTTGCAATCTATATACTTACTGGATATGTAGATAGGAATTTACAGTCTACTATATTAACCCATAATTTTTTTTAGATCGATATGGATTTCGCCCCAGCGTATGATGCAAAGAATTTTATGGAATAATTCGAAAATAATTCTTCGAAGATTGACCAGTTTCTTCTAGCAATAATACAAAAAATGTAAATTCGTTAATTTAATAAATCAAATTCATTAATTCAATGTACTGCGTTCATTAATTCAAAAGCTAAAATTCCTTAATTCAATAAAAGAAATTCATTAAACCAAGATCCAAGTTTCATTGATTCTATGAAAGCATTTCATTGATTCTATGAAAGCATTTCATTGAATCAATGTACTACATTTATTAGAAAAAATCTAAAATTTGTTGAATCAGTGTACACCGTTCATTAAACCAATGTAAAATATTACATTGAATTAATGTACTTCTTTATTGGGTCAGCAACTTTAATTCATCGAAACAATGATTTTCATTTCATCATATCAACGAATTATACATCACTTAATGTACCTCTTCATCGCTTAATGAACAAACGTTCATTGATTTAATGAAATCGTTTATTGGACGACTTTTAATGTAAAAATTTCTTGGATTAATGTATTTTTTCATTATCTGCACGTACTTTTTTGGTTCAGTGTACGTTGAGCTAACCACATTTGTTTTGTGAATTTATTAATCAGCTGGAAGTTTTGATTTTAATGGTAAAATGTAAAAATTATTTTGTGTGTGTTTGCTAAAACCTAATATATTCTTAATAGATGCATATCCATAAATAATATATTTATGCATTGCAAACCAGCTAGTATTATATTTCATACATTACCAATCGATTATTCAATTAATATTTCGAAAGAAAATTATGTGCAATGTTATTCAAAGTATTTTATTTGATTTTATTAAAAATATTTATGATTTAATTGAAATATATTTCTTCGTTACAGCAATTTGGGCACATTTGAGCTAAGAGATGTAATTTTACCAAAATAATTAATAAAATTGTTCCTTTCTTTATGACTTTTATGTTTCATCTTTGCCCTTCATATATAAAATTTTATGTTTAGAAAGAATGAATCAAATAATCCGGGACCACAAAATTGATTTCGATTTCTCATATAATTTTATAATCATGGAACCAATAGCTTTACTCCAATTATTTTTAATATACCTACATATTTTTTATATTTCAGATTTTTTTGATAAAAAGTTATCCTAACCTTAAGAATTTGGTATAACTGAACCAAGACTTAATGCAAGAAGTAAATATTTGAAGAAGTTTCTCTAGCATGTTTACTTTTAAGTTTAGTTATGTACTATGAGAGGTATTATAAAGCTTTACGTTAAGGCATTGAACTTTAATAGTTTATAATGAAATTGATAAGTGAAATTAATTGATTAGTTCTATAATCCTAGAGAAAAGTCAAATATTGAATAGTTGACTAAAAACAATTGTGGCATTATATTATGGCATTGTCGCAAAATCCTCTTAATCGACGAAATTAATAATAAATGTGCCATTTTTATTTACAGCATATCATATTCCATTAATTCTAGAAGCACTATAAATGTTAATTTTGATGTTTAAATATTTTGCTCTTCACATCATTTTAGTTTGACTTTTTATCACAACACATATTTCAGTATGTTAATTAAACTGTCACCCATCATTTAGCATATTTAAATAATTTATAATCCTATGAAATAATTCCAAATTATTATGCACATACATATTTGCCGCTGCACATAAATATCGAACAATCCATTTAGACATGTCATTTTTCTATTAATTCGGACACTCTTAAACTCAGTAAAAAAAACTCACCTTATATTTCGATGTTCCACGACAACAACCTAGACTATTCTAATAGAGAAAAACAGCGAGCACTTTTACATTAAATTATATTCCCGCCGAGCGTCCCGACTTTACCGAAGTTTCTGCTAGATCAACAAACGGCGGAAAACTGTGAAGAGCAGCTCTGAAGAGGACCGCCAAATATCAGCGTCAGTCGTTCATTGGCACATACAGGAGCTGGAGTTTGAAAGTCCTGTGCCTGCCGCCGCTCCGCGCATCGCATTTTTGAGGCGAATAATAAAAATTCTACGAAAAAAATGGATCGGGTTAATGCATCAGGCGAACGAATGGTGTTTACTCTAAATGCGGATCAACTGAGAAAAAATCCTATCTCATCGTTGTTCTATCCAGATGGTTGGATTTTTTTATTTGGAAATATCCATGATACAGATACGTTCGAGGGCTTTAACGGAGAACGTAAGTAAAAAATTCGAGTTTGTGTCAGTGGAGTTGAAATAAATTTACAAGTTTTTAGTTCCCGGTGCTTTATTGGGATTAGCTATATAAATGAGGTCGTTAAAAAGCTTATTTAGCTGTCCTATAATTTTATCCGTCTTACAAATACAGTTAATTCTTGTCCCGAAGGAATATTTTTATGAAATAGCAAGGACAATTAATATAACAGGCGTTCGATCATTAAAAATATCTTAACGACAGAATTACTATTGTGAAAAACCCTGTATAAATCCCCAATTTCGCCGTATTAAGCATTGAAGCATTGCAAAATTGTATATCCTATCATCAGGTTACAAAAGTCTGAATTCAGTTAGAAAATGAAAAGGTGGAGATACGCTTTTTATTAACAAATGTACATACGAGCATTTCTCCTTTCAAATTTCTTTGCTATACTCGAGTGAACTTATTTTCTTCTAAAGGAGGATTGGAAGGAAGTTATTTTATCCTTCATAAAAAAATCAAACGATAAGTACCTACGCTTTTTGAAGGATTTTTCTTCATTACTATTTTATCATGTTTTTCGAATAATGTATTTTCTTTTCAAGCGACTCACTTTCATTTCTAATTCATGAAATTTTTACGCATTTTAAAATCTAAAAAAATTTGAAACAAATACCGGATAAAGAAATTCTAAATAGTTCCTGTTGGAATACTCGTATAATTCGAAAATATGTAGATATGGTATAGTAGAATCAATTAGGATATCCGGAAATTCTTAAAATATTTATATTGAAAAACTTACTTCATCCTTTCTTCGAAAACTTTATAAAGTTGCGTGTGTCAAAGGGAACACTCGTCTGTTTTTCTTTTTTCCAGCCATTCATCTTAACTTAAATAGTTTTTGAAGCTCAGAAAAGGCCAAGGATAGAGTTTTTGTTTGACAAACTCGCTTTATAGAGGTTCTGCTTGCACTGTGCCAAATCCTCGACTAAGTTTTTTTCTTTTCGATCGAACTTTTTGTTTAATAATGTAATAGAAATACAGGAAACTCCATGAGCTATGCCAACATTTGTAATTGCAATACTTAGCAAAAAAAAATATTAAAAAAAATCTACATACCACATAAATTAGGTATGGGGTTTAAACACTAACAATTTTGGTAACAATTTTATTATAAAAATTACAAAATATTTTTAACAGACACAATTGCATAAATATTAAGTCCTTATACTTCAAAATAATATTTTTCGATAATGTTTTCTTGGTAGTTGGTAATTTTTACAGTAATAATCATGAAACATTATAAATTAATGCCGTTAATTTTTAAATACATTTGACTAGCCTATATTAATAGATAAATACTGTCTTTCTTTGTAAACATTGAGTTGTTAAGGCATTGTAGTGATAGAATATTTTAAAATGATAAATATTAAATAGGTACCCTTTTATCACAGATACAAATTTGTAGGTATAAATAATATCACTCATTTGCATGAAGGATTTGAACAGTATGAACAAATTCAGAATTAAGAACATGAAGATTTTTCAAAAAATTTAATACCATAGGCATAATTTGTTTTATTAGAAAACAGTTATTTCAATAGCATGTTAAGAGAAATTACTAGCTAGCAAAAAGGAGTTTTTTAAGTACACAACTATTGTATATAATATAACGTTCATAACGTTTAATAAAACTCAACATTGCTCTTTGAAAAATACTGTTTGAGTTAAAATAGCAAGAACCACTAACGCTATATAAAAACAACCTATAATTGCCCCAGATATTTTAGACAGCCTAAATTTACCAATCAAAAGAATTGAGTACAAAACTACTACAGCAACAATTAAAGACATAATCGTGTATTCCAGAGAACCAGAATGAATTTGAATAGGAACTTTACCTTCTCTGATTAAATTTTTGAGCAGCCAAGGCAGACCTAGTGAATATAAAATATTCATTGTATTGGCCCCTAATGAATTGGATACACCGAATGCTCCTTCCCCTAAAAATATATTAAATTAGTAAGGCAACAAGCGGATTTAACTGGTTATATTTACCTCTCCTTGCTATGATGGTCATAGAGACTGTTTCGGGCAAACAACCTCCCACCGCCATGATGGTCATTCCCAATAACGCATCGGGGAGATGCGTAATTAGACCTAAAAATAAAATGTATAGTAAGCAAAATTTATTCTAACTTTAACCGACATATTGCTTGCTCAAAAATGTGCGTGAGTGTTATAGAATAATTAATTTCTTTTAAACAGTTACTCTTTGTCTTCTCGTTTCCATTGCAAAATTTCATATTACATTAGAGGAGACATCATTTTTTTAATTGCTTAGAGATTTTTTATTCAAATAACATTTAGATTTTGAAAGTAATAAATTAAATTAACTCTTACCAATTAAGCTAATCATCCATGAAATCACGTACGAATTGACTCCTATCCAAAATATGCACATTAAAAATGTAACCGGATAAAACCTCGGATAAACTATTGGATTTGGCACCGTGTACCGGAGAATTAGTTTCAGCGGCCAGGCGTAATAGAAGAAAATCTTTTGAAACATATTTCCTTCCGGTCTTCTGAATAAGGATTGTTGTGCCTCTGAAATTAGATAATATATTCAACATTTGCATCATAAATATTATTGTAAAAGGGTTTCTCTATATCTCTTGGATTTCAGAATCTCTCAATTATTTTGTAAAATTCAGAAAAGTTTATGGGTTTGAATTAGGATATCTATCATTTATTTTTCTTTTGCTCAAGGTTAAGGTTTGATAAAATTTTAGGTAGGTACATAAACTGATAAGTATTATACACTTAACGACGAAATGCGTAAATAGGGTATTGAACTTTATTACCTACGTAAGTGGACATCTTTCGATCTAATCGGTAATTCAATCTAATATCGGTAATATCTAAAGCCGATAATTATTTACATTAAACAACGTTATATATTTTTTTAATCAACTGCGAAATCTTTTGAGCAGGATGTCTTAAATGTCTTAACGAGTGCAATACTTATGTATAAATAATTTCAATTTCTTTTCGATTATATATCGAATTAGTTTGCAAGCTTACCCTTCTTGTCTTCTGATAGAACAGCTTCCAGAACTTTCTGATGTTCAACTTCGTATTCCGCCGTTTTATTTTCTTCAGAATACGTTCCATAAGCGGAGATATGCGAAGCCCTAGGTAGGTCCGGCTCCACCTCCTGAGGCTCCTTGCTGATTTCCTCTTGGGAGTCTTTGCCTTCCTCACTTTTAGCTAATTTTTTAACGAATTTTTTAACGAATCTCGCGATCTTCTTGTTGTTGAACATGATGATGAAGTAGCAGATGTACACCGATAACGAGATGAGGGTTTCGTACCAATATATCCGTCCGTCGTACGAAATGTAAATTAAAACACTAATTGCTATGAGGTAAATGAAGGCGTCTCGGCTAAGAGGATACCAATCCAAATGAAGTGGCTGAAATGCAAAGAAATGTGATTATTTTTATTGATATTTACGTTTTAACAACTACATTGAAACATGTTTAAAAGTATGCTAAAATTAATAATCTATCTATATTTAAAAGCAGTGTCTAACTAAGACTTACCCGTGCACTGGCTAATCCTCCGATTGCAGGAACACCTAAGGCGTTGAACATGGAAGAACCAACGATAGTACCGATTCCCAAGTCGGAATTTGTGACGAAAGTACCGATTGTATTGGTGAAAAATTCAGGAGTAGACGTAGCTATAGACATGAACGTTGCAGCAGCCACATCCTGGATAGAATAAAAATTAGTTCGATTGAAAAAAAGCTACAATTTTTCTATTTTAAGCCATGATTGGGACCACTACGTTCAATGAATGCGTAATTTTACAGAAAATTCATCGAGAAAATTGACTGCGAGGGGAATTTTTAGATTGAATTTTGAATATTTTCATGCTAAATTTCAGTCATGTTTTGGTTGGCTAATTAGCGGGACAGATATTTTGTACTTCTTGAAAATAAATTGGTAGTTTCGTTCTACTTCACTGTGCTTAGCGCTCGTAAAAGTAATTTCTAACGTGCTGAACTTACGGGGGTTAAATTTAGTCTTTCGCAAATCGTTTCAACACATGGCAGGAAGTAATCATTGCAAACGACAGCCAGCAACGTAAATCCGTATATCCCGATCAATACAATTAGGATTATGCCTCCATGAAGGATTTGGTCCTCGCTTAGGAAAAACGGAAAATCGTCGTCGTCGCCGTCTCCTGCACTGCAAGAGGAATTGTCCTCTCTAAAATTAAATTTAGGTATTTTAATTAAGATGTTACAAATTTATATCGGTACTTGAAATATTATATAAAATTCTAATTTTTCGAGTACCTAAGTAAATAGGAGATTAAGTTTGGATTAGATAAATCACATGACTACAATAAAACTCCTCACAAAAAAGTACTCTAATAATAGAAAATACTAGATTATAAAGCCTTTAAATGTAAGTCGTACTCAAACAAATAAAATAGTGCAAACAAAATTAAATCACTTACCCTTCGCGTAGTTTAGCAAATGGAACAAATGTTAATCGATTCCATTCTCTTATATACTTTTTCTGGACTCCACTGTTGTGATCATTTTCGCTTGCTTTATTGTCTATTGTCAAATTTGATTTGTCGCGTGAAGGATGAGCCACTGAAATAAAATGTGTTGAGTGAATCTGACAATAGTTCAAATGAAATCATTATTATTAGTCTAGTCAAACAAATATTTATGAGTTTTCACTTGCATAGCTAATATAAATTTAATTGATAGAGCATAAAATAATTTTTCCAAATCTCTGAACCCTCATAAGTTTGTATAATTATCTGATGTAATTAGATGTAATCAAACAATGTAGATTTTATGAGTTTTTTGATATATTTATCTAACAGTTCAGTCCTGATAGTGATAAATAGAAATATTGAAGCTAATCATTTTTAGGCGCTAATAGTCCTGCTAGAACACCCCGTACTTTCTCTGTCGAGTGATAATGTCGATAAACTTTTCGCAATAGCATCGTGTAAATCACTTTCGTAATATTTGTTTCTATTGTTAATCGCACAGATAATAAAATAATTGTTTATTTTTTATCGAGTTTGAGGGGAATTACTGTTTCAATAAAAAACAGAAATAACAATTTAAATTTTAAACAAAATTTTAAACAAAAAACTTTATTAAACATCTTTATACCCAAATCCCTTAAACTTTCATTACCTCCTTCTATAATACCTAATTGGCAAAAAGATAATTATATTCAAACGAACTGGATAGAAGGAATTAGTGGAGTAATGGAAAAAAGAAAACAACTCAAGTCTGGGCAAGGAGATTTTAGGATAAAAAAGGATAATAGGATAAAAAAATAAATTAAAATTCCAAGTTTGCTTAGATTTTCTTACCGACTAATGTAGCAGCATACGAGCATACCAAAATAAATAAACAGAGAGACGACCTCATCATCACAGCGATTAATCTGATTGACTGATACCTAACTGCACAGAAGATTTATTGAAAAGCATCACAAATTGTTATCGATAGATTCTAATCTATAAAAAAAATTCAAGTGGTTATTTATACAGAGGTAATTCAAAAAATGGAGTATTTACGTCATTAAAATAGTAGAAATTTCATCAATTAATATGAAAGGTACACAATTGTTGAGGGAGCTTTAGGTAAGTACATTTGATATATGGATATTTATACATAATATACTGCTCCACAAAAGTTAAGGAAGTTCACAAATATTGAGATTAATTTAAATGTTGCAGGTTTTTTGATCGTCAAATTTAGTATGAATTGTAGAGGAAGGGACAAAAAATCCACTCAGATACGAGAAAAAACATTTAATTTCGCATATTTGAAAATTTGATGATCAATAAGTCTGTAACTTTTAAAATAATCGCAAAATTTGCGAACTTCCTTAACTTTTGTGGAGCAGTTTATATACAGGTAAAGGTTATCAAAAAATTTACCGAATTTATTTCTAAAAATACTCCGATGGGTGGGTATTTAGCTAGGTTTAATTTTTTAAAAGAAACCCTATCCCGTCCCTGCAAAAATTATTGTGCTCTCTCTATATTAAATTAATTTCTTATCCATTCATATTCCAATCCATTAAAACGGTCCACATCAAAACACTATACATCACATAGAGATAAGATCCTGATAGATACATCCTCGTGTTTTTGCCACACTTAAAATTTCTGCACAATATTTGATACGAGATATTTTAATTAATACATTTCAATTCAATCAATTAGATAAAAAATATATAAAAAAAGTTAAACTGCCGTTTACAAAGAAAATTGATATGAAGTAGCTAATTACAAGCACAAAAGAAGGGTTAAATTTAAAACTCTTACCTTAAGCAGTTTATGAGAAACATTTCAAAACTGATATTCTTGTCTGACAAAATTAATTTAAAGGAAATGAATTAGGTAAAAGGTACTTTCCGAAATAGTAAACGGTTAAACAAACAGTCGTATTATTTTATACGACTTGAAATTATCTTATCGTATGTGATCCCCTGCATGTATTTCCATACAAACAAGCATATAAACCAGACATAACAATTATTTTGGGCACCTCAAAAATACCATAAAGGTAATCCTTAGTCGCAACCTTTAATCATTCTAACAATAAAGAAATTAAAACTAATATTATGATAAAAAGTCACTTTTGTTTTATTAGTAGAAGCTTATCGTTAGTCAAAACACAATTTTACATCATCTTTTAGTAGTATGGTAGTAGGTTTTATTATTAAAACATAATAGCCGGAAAAATTTATTGAAACTTCCATACGATGTGATAAGCATGTTATTTTATAATTTATATTATAATAATTGTAGAATATTTAAATAATTTACATTTGAATTTTAGTCTATATCCGATTCTCGCCCGTCGTCGGGCGCAGTAAAATCGACGCGACTGCTGATGTTCTGTTTGCGTGCAGCTAGACTGGGAAGGTACGGATTAAAGTTCCGCGTGATCCGCTTCGAGAAGCTGAAATCGCTGATGTCGCTGTCGTTCTCGTTGTCATCGATGGTGCTCTTCGAATTCGAATCGTCGATGCTGATTTGGCTGGCGTCCGACGGCGTCTCGTCTGTCTGCAAGGCACTTAAATTTACCGAGTTTTTCATCGAACTGAAATTTTCCAGGTTCTTCTCGAGTTGCTTCATTTTAATCTGGATGTTCTGCAAGTCGAGCTCCGGGTTGGATATGGATTGCACGTTGTTGGACCGTTTGTTGGAGTACTTCGATTGGATTTTCGTGGTGTCCGCATCGTCGCGTTCCGGCTCGTTGGCGTAATTGTTCATTCGCAGGTGATCGTCGCTCAGGATGAACCGTTCCTGCAGTCGTTCGTACGCCTCCTGCAGCAGCTTCAGTTTCTTCTCTAGAATTTCCTTGTCTCTCGTCACTTGCTGGAGTTGTTTCTTGAGGTTCTCGGCGTTGGTCGCGAGCTTCTCCATTTGGTCTAAAGAAAGTTTCTTGCATTTCTTGTTCGTCGTCATTTCTTTGTTGAGCATGTCCACTTTTTTTAAGAGAATGTCCCGATCCTCGACGAGCTCTTGGATTTCTTGCTTGGCGACTTTATTTTCATGTTGAGCGGTGGCGAGTTGTTTGGATAGCTCTTTCTTAGACTTTTGAAGTTTATCGATTCTTTTGGATAAATCAGATTGTTCCTTCATAGAGATATCCTCGAGGTTGACGATCTCCTCTTTCAATTTGTTTATTTCCGAGTTGGCGACGAAGGAAAATACATTTTGTTGTAGGGAAGGAGGACCGGCAAATACGACATCTTTACTCCTTTTATTAAGAAATTTTGTTTTATCCGAGAGGTTGGTACTTTTTGATGTGTTTAATATGTTGGGACTGCTCGCATGGCTTATGATTTGAGAAGTTTTGGGTAATGCTACTTGGGAAATGGAACCTTTAGGTTCGATTATTCTAGATCTGACTTTTATGGGGATTTTGGAGGTAATGAAGTTAGTGCGCGGGTAGCAGCAAGATACTAAAGCCAACGTGGAAATAATTTGATTATTCCTGCTAACGGAGAACGGTTTAATGCACATCCACCACAGCTTCCTTACCGTAATACAAAACAGTACAGAGCACAAAAACGTCGCCGAATTCCACAGCAAAAGGGAGAAACCGAAATTTTTGAGTACTACTAATAGTTGCTGGTCGAGGCTTTTGGGTTTGGCTTTTTCTTGGTACAACGTTCCGTAGATCAAGTTGTAATCATCGTCGCGCATGAAACCCCGCGGATTACCAAGCAAATCGAACGAGCACAGGAGAAACCAAAATATTAAACCGAATAATACTAAGGACTTCCAGTGTACGAACATTCTCTGCGGAAGTTTCACCCTGCATCGGTGTTTCGCTGGCATAGGACTTTGCGATTACAGTTTATCGGTAGGTAACAAAAACCGCTTTCGGATGGTGATTAACAAAAATTATTTTTGTTATTTCTTGACTTTGAAATTTAAAACGTAATGACTAAATTATTTGACATATGTAAAGCGGATCGTTTGCGCGTTCGGGGTTTGTATTTAGCGACGTTGACAAATTTAGGGAAAAGTTTTTAGAATTTGGTAAAGCAAAATTCATTAGAAATAGATTAATCTAACGCTTACCTTCGATACAAACGCACTGCCAATATCTAATTCTCCAATAAACACAAACTCTTATTTATCCCGCCATAAATTTCGATGTACTCGTATTGGTACGTAAATCCCTAATGCATCGATAAGAATTTTAAATTGACATTACGTTTTTATAGGCTTATGTAAGCAATAAATTAACATTAATAACACCAGAGTCGCTAAATAGTTGTAACAAGTCCATCGAGTTTTTCTCTGAACAGAAATTTTGAATGAAAGGATTTTCCTTAACGTGATTCGTTTACAAACACATCGGAGATCGGAAAAATATTGTATGGTATCAATACAAGTTTGTAGTAGGTACTTTTTTCATTTGGAACGTGTTCATTTTATTCCATTGTGGGATGTCCAGTATACCTTATTTATAATTCACAACATCAACTCCTATTCGGCTCGTCGATTTATTTTAGTAAATGAATCAGAGGAACGTTCTAATAAGTTCTAATTGAATCAATCAAATGGGTTTAATTTGGAATAACGTTGTTAACACATCGATTATGATTTTTTTATGAAAATTGTGGTTTGGTTTATGTTTCAACTAAATTGTACTAAGAATCTGGGAATAGTTAGGTAAGTTTTGTGGTATATTTTAAATTGTAAACCATTTATGTACCTACTATTGTGCACATACAATTAATAGGTTTGGAAATAAAACAGATATTTTAGAAACATATTTTATAAAATAGTATTCGCTTTGTACAATATATTAACTTGTATAAATTTTCCAATAACATCGACAATAATCGATAGTAAAACGTAGGTACTAAAAAAATCTTATAAATCACTTGTGAAAAGGGTTGTGAGAAGAAAAAAATCAGATCTTCAACAGGTATATTCGATGCATCACCGATCGCAAGTTGGTAAATTCACAGGAAAGAAAACATTCAGTTCCACTATTGTGGCTAATACCAAAAAACCCAGGTATGTCAACAAACAACTCGTTGCAACTTTCCAATCTAATCTGAAAAATACACAAACTGTTTAATATTAAATGCATTATATTACTTTCGGTAACTTACCGATACTTATTTAGAGCTATACTCAAGTAAAATAGAACCAAAGTGGTTAATAAAGCGCAAGCGCTGATATTAATTCCGGCTGATTGAATGTCCACCCAATTATTTCCGGGCTCCTTCGGATAAAGCCCAGCTTTTACCGCCCACGGTAATCCCAAACACAGTAGTATATCGAACGTATTCGAACCGAGAGAACTGCTGAGCCCCATGGTGGCATGACCTTAAATTTTTCATGTATTTACAATTCCACAATGTAACTTAACGTGATTTATTACCTTGTCTGGTTACGATTACACTAGATACGGCTTCAGGTACACTAGTTCCGGCAGCTAGAAATGTTAATCCCATAATGGAATCTGGTATATTTAATGTGTCGCCTGCGAAATATGTTATCTATAAATTCAAATAAATATAAAGTGGGGGGTAATATCGCTCACCTATTATTGTAATGATCCAAGAAACCAGATACGATGTAGATCCTATCCAAATAATACACATGATAAATGTAATGATGAATAATCTAGGATATTTCCTACAATCCGGTGTCGTTAAGTAGAGAACGAATGATATTGGCCATGTAATGACCCACCATAATTTTGATTTAGTGGTCCCTTCTGATGGCCATTCCCAAATTTTCGTCGATTCCTCTAAAAATATCAATCAGTTTCTCTGCCAAGAAAAAATTATAGTAACTTACCGAATTTTTGGCAATCTTCTAATGTTACTTCGGCGTCGAATATTTCCTCGATGCCGTGATATTTGCCGTTTTTTTGAAACAACAATGGGTAGGTTTCTCCCAAGACTTCGTTGTAGTATTTCCGGCGACGGAATTTAGCCACGCATTTATGCGCAAGTCTACTTAATTTGTCATTAAAGCACATTACTGCAAAAGCACCGTTACTGTAGAGCAATTTCGATTAGGGCGCGATTCTACTTACGCAAAATATATAGCGAATAAATTAAAATCAAAGCTACTGCTTCACCGACAAAAATTTTCCCATCTTCTAGTACCACAATGAGGCTTATTACGGCTACGCTGTACATCATGCTGTCGCGACTCAGTGACCACCAATCTACTTCCATGTACTAGAACAAGGACCCAAGTTTAAAATACCAATCTGCTCAAATTGAATTAGGATATTATTTTTATTATTCTTTTGTGAGCCATGTTTATAAGGAATCGGCATTTTTTAATATTCTGCTTTTTCCAATATGACTTCCATCACTATAATCCTTTAAACAGATTATTTTAGCCCTTAAAATGTAGTATAATTATAGAGATTTTTTAATCGAAACAAATTTCCCAGATTTTTGGATCAATCGTATGCTGTTGTAGAAAGAAGTGGGGTTTTATTTTAACGAAACTTCTTGCCGCATTTTCGGCTAAAATTTGCTCAAATTTGATATCGATGGATCCGAAGCAATAAAATCGAATACTCGAATTGTAAATGAAAAGCGTCATATTCTGCCAATTAACATCAATCGGGCGTTTGTCTGGCAACGACGTTTCATTTAATATATTAATTGCCTACTTCAACACGACAAAAAGGAAATTAGGTGTGTTTTAATGCAAATTATTTAAATCACATTTTAATGTGGATTATTTCACATAATTCTGAATATATCGTTATACGTGCTCTTGATCAAAATATCTACGGACGTGAATGTTTCATAATTAATTTGAGTACTTGATAACAATGTTGCTATGGTAGAACAATTGTTCATCTATGAATCATTCAAATTGTGTGTAAATGCGTATGCAGATAGCCCTAAATGAAGTGATCATGTTATAACTAGAAAATGTTATTATGAAACTGTTTCAACTACCGGTAATATCTAATCTTGAATGATTTTTTGTTAATCAAATTGATTAGATTACAGTTTATAAAACTATTTCTTTTTGGATCTAATGAGAGCAAGTTTCCAGTTATGTTTCCAGCTTTGTACTCTACAATTAATGCGTCTCAATACGTATAGTTCTATAAAAAAAATCGATAATACCCTGTTGTAATTGTGAATGCATTGATGAAAATGATAATTATCTTATCAACAGCTTTAATTACTTTGTTTTTTGTCAACTACTATAATTGTACTACTATTTATTTTTATATACGTAATTATGAAGATAATTTATATCTGCAAAGTTTAGCAACATTAAATTGAGTATTATTTTTTTTATAAAAAACATTACAGTGTATACTCACCACACGAGAAAAAAAGCCGCAACAAGCAGGCACAGCTAGGATATTAAATACTGCTGATCCAACCACAGCTCCAACTCCCAAATCCCCTTCAGTTACGAACGTACCAACGCTATTAATAAATAATTCCGGACTAGAACTGGCCATAGCCATGACGGTAGCTCCGGCTATGTCTTCCTTCATTTTCAACTCTACAATCGAAAGTCGCTAATCATTAATAGAAATCATTCGATCGCCGGTGATCCTGCAATGACTTACTATCACAGAATTTTTTAATGGCCGGGACGAAGTATTCGTCGCAAATCGTCGCCAGCATCACGAACAAATAGCACGCCAGCAATGCGTGTAAAATAATAAAACCATTTTGGCGCTGATCCCTTGTGAGCCCATCTGATGGAAATTCGTCGATGGCCGGCGGGGTGCAATTTTTCGTGGTGTTCGTGACGAGAGTTTCATCGTCGATGGCCAAAAGATGACGGGAGAAAGGATTTACTGAAAAATAAAATGGTTTTTATACGTAAATAGGTCCTCAGTAGCCTCTGTTCGATGGGAAAATAAAAAGCTTGGAGGTTACTGAGCATTAGCTATTTCTGTCGATCTGTATGTAAATTTCAAAATTTTACAAATAAGCACATGTTATTCAACTTGTTGCAGAGTTCAAAAATGTAATATCACGAATGTGTTATCTTAAACTTTGTTCTTGACAGTGACTATTAATTAATTAACATTAGAAGATTGTCGTGAATCACCAGTTCATAAAATGTTTGGGAAAATATTAGTGTAAATTACTCATTGATTGTCTCAGTCTAGTTTCAATATTTTCTTAAGAGTAAATCCATTTGTCTCTCAATTTCACAAATCATTCCTTTCCCCAAACTAAATTATTATCATGCAATCGTTTAATTATCAACACTGTAATTAAAATATTAACAGCTCATTTGATTATTGCTCAATTTTAAAACCGACATAGGTACTTTAAAATGTATAACTCTAAAATTATTATATCATCAACCTACCTGTTTGCTTTCGAATAAGTGGATTATTCCGCGAGAACTGGTTAATCAAAACATAAGTAAGAGTAACGGATAGCACAGTGAACACTCTGAAACCCAAGATAAAACCACTCTTTCTAGTCCTGAAGGGTATTCCCATTCTTTTACTAAAACAATGCCCGTCCGTTTGTCAAGAAAGCATGAAATCCGGTTTTATCGCGGCTCGATTCGCGGATTTATCTGTAATGTATGACGTTTGACCCGAAATTATTTTTAAACCGGCGTCACAAAGCTGCCTGTACTTTCGAAACTTGCACCAGACAAATGAGCTGGTCACTTGGATATCTTGGGAATAAATAATCCTCCTATCCCCCTTCCGATTTGTCTACCTATCAGTAATGGAAACGTTATAAAAACAACATTGGTTGGTTATCACACCAAATGGAGTTCATTTAATGTTATTGAAATGTTACTGAAGATTAAAGATTTTTGTTTGCTATCTTCTGTGTTTCCAAATAAAATCGAGTTACCTACTTATACAGTAACAAGTGATTTTATTCATGTATTTGTGGGCATTTAAAAAAATTAAAATACCCATTAATTGTTATTTCAAGTAAATTGCGTATGGTGAAAATTTTATTATTGAATAAAGTGCATTCTTTGATTGGTTTTGGTAACTTTAAATAAGTATTAATTGGTTTTGGAAGTATTCCTAACTTTACTATAGAAATTATTGTAGGAGCTACAGTTGACCTTATGATTATCTGATGTAATTAATAATAATTTTGAATATAAAATTGCGAAAATTTGATTTATCACACGTGCTTAAAATTGCGTACTTAATACAATTCATGTTTGCTTGCCCTTGGATCATCCAATTGCATAAAAAAGTTCTAATTCCAAAAACATTATAAAATATTAAATAATGTTCAGATAGTTAAAAAATAATTTACTTTCAAGAAATTGTAATATCAAAGAGTTATTACCTACTCTCACCAATTACGCTTATTTCTGTCGTAGCGCCGATAAAATTTTAAATAAACGGTTTATTTATTTTACATGCAGATAAGTAGCAAATTAATAATATTGACGATCAAACTGAATTACGAGTTGTGTCGAGTATTTACTGCAATAAAACAGTTTCGATTTAACCCTGAGTATTTTTCCATTTTAAAAGAAAAGATTTTTCTAAATTAAATGACCTGTGATGCAAGACTTATTGATTAAAAAGCCTCCTATAATTATAAATAATTTTATCGGGTCGTAATAAAATATTTCAGGAGCGGACGCATCGAGTTTCCTCTGCAAGGATTAGGAACTTAATTAAATGCGAATTTAATGAAGTGCTAAAATGTGTGTTGTGGAATTTCTTTAAACATTTTTATTTTCTATTTCTCCGACCTTTCGTTCGAGTTTTAATATTGAAGTTCGAATAGCCGAAAGAAAACGTGGGTTTTTCATTTTCAACGGACGTCAGCGAGTTTGTATAAAGGGTGGAAAATTGAATTTTGCCGAATTCAACAATTCGATCAAGTTTTACCTGATATACCTACATCTACGTACATTCTGCACATCGATCGAATTGTTTTTAGATGAATTCCCTCTGGGTGATATTTTTTATATTACTTTGTATATCGGTTTCTTGAGTTTCTTATTCGCAATGTGCATTGCATATTCAATGAATTATCGTAGGTATTGGAGGAATTTATTCGAATGAGATTGTTTGCACCGCATACGAAACTACGTAGAGTCAATTTTGGCATTGATTGATTGATTCGTTAGTCGAATATTTTAAGTAACTTATCTATTAAAGTCTGTATTTTATCTGAGTTTTTGTAATATTTATACAATACGTAAAATGCCAAATAAAAATTAAAGAAAAGTAATTTTTCTCTATTTATCTCTCATTTTTTGCTCGAACGATATTTTACGTAATCGATAACACATTTTATCTACCACATCTTAGATTCTTAACTGCCTAATCTTTATAAGGTAATAAACAAATGAATCTCCATAGTTATCTAAAGAGAAAAAATGCGTAGGTGCTTCAATTATAAGTTTGTTCCATAAAGAGTTTCATTAAATATTTTTAGTATTAACATGTCTATTTTAATCCTCGTATTGAAAACATTTATTTCTCATACATTATAACAATAAAATAACTCCTTTGAACAATAACCTACTGATTCTAACATAAAATCAAGATCACTGTGGTGAACATTGATTGTACAGTAGGTAGAGATTTAATAAAATAATCCATAAAATAGCTTATATTTTCTATTATAGTATTATGCTCCATGACCCTGAGTAGATATTGATACAATGTTTTGTTTTGTTTACTTAGTACTTTTCCTCTGGAGTGATACGAGCTCTTTGGCCTAAAAACTATGCTAAGATTGAGTAAACAATTCATTAAAAGCCTCAGATATTTAATTTACGCAGTACTTACCAGAAACTAACTATCTACTAACCAATGATAAATAATTTTTAGTATCTAATAATAAATTTTAAAATGTTTCTGTCTAATATTGTAAAGGTAAGTTATTTATTTACCATAAAAACACCAGGATGTAACGTGTCAGTCACGAGTTTTACTGGTACTTACAATGCATTAAAGAAGTTCATTAAGTACCTACTTTGAAGTGGGTGAAAATGATAATTTTTTAATTAAAATTAAGCAATTAGTTTAAATAATAAAAATAAAAGAGAATTAAGAAGGAAAATAAACATCGACTACAAACTTTATTTTTCAACAATATTCGAAAATTTACATTAAATCACTCAACTCTTTACAAAAATAGTTTTTGGTTTGAACACAATATTCACGAGAATTTGATAACTAAAAACAAAAAATTAATATGTAATTAATTATCTAGCATAATGAAAGTATATTATGCAATTAATACTTAATAATTAAAGTCGCAAGTCACACAAAACAACAAAATCGTCAATAATCAACTGCACTGTACAATATATTACAAAAAAATAAATACATTCAATAAATAATATCCTAGTTAAGAGTATTTTACATATTCACACAAATTACATTTACGCGCAAGGAAAAACTTAAAGACTATTTTTCAACATAATATTCACCTACTTTAAGAAATTGTTTCGAATTTAATTGCACAGTAAATACAATAAAAACGTTAATCAGATTTTAACGCAACAAATTAAAAATATCGTTTTTAAAACACTTCTAATCACTCAACAGAAATCCGATTGACGCAAATTGATTATTAATATTCAAATTTCTTTTAAAATTGAAACAATACTAAGTAACCATCATTTATCAATTTTGTAAGTAGATACATTCTCTGAGCATCAAGTAGGATTAAATATGATCAATTAGAAACAATATTAGTTAATCATATTCATTGAATATGGGTCCAAAAACCACTAATAAAATCTAAAGTTGATACTAAATCGTTTACTGCTAATTAAGCCAAATTATCAAAATTATCAATTATCTTAGGAATATAATAATTCATGCTGTGAACCTGCTATTATAAATAATAAGGTTTTTAATAGGAAATGTTGCTGAAATATTCCAAAATTTTGCTTATTGTTTAAAATAAAAAAATGGAATGTCAATTGAGTTAAAATATAAGAATTTTTGATAAAATACGACTACTTTACATATCTATTTGAACGGATAATTGGACGTTTATTTTTCACTAATGTGAAAACGTATAAAATCTAATTTTAGCTAAAATATCTAAATTATCTACATTTATTTGATAAAATCGAAATCTGAAATCCTGTACAAGCCGCTATCAAATCTGTAAAATATATTTTTTAACATTTAAATTTATTAGGTATGTGTAATTCTTTTTAAGAGCAGCACATCCTGCATTTATCAATTTATCAATATAAGAAATACTATTATATTTTCGTTTACATTTGCAGATAATTAATTTATTTATATCTAAAGTTTGTTATTCGTTCGATTTACTGAATTTCTCTTATTATGAGATCAACGAAAAATGTACAAGACTCCAAATTAATTAAAAAACTACAATACTTCTCTAGTGTATTGGCACATATTTTGGACTAACAGAGTATTAAAACAGCTTCAGCCGCCAAATGGATATTGGTCGTTGGAACACCGTCACCTGCCCTTGCTCCTTTCCACCGAAAATATACAGGTACACCTTAAGCGCAGGATCCACGCCCGGCCCAAACACCTCGTGCTTCGCATTCTCCACTTTATTCTCGGCCCTTCCGGCGCTGTGCGCTCTGCACTTCTCCCCGCCGCCCGACCGGCTCCGGCCCTTGTCTATGGCCAGCGACTGCGGCGGCGGCCTCTTCGTCCTGCTGGAGTGCCTGAACACCACCTTGGTGTTCCTGCTGAAGGTGCCGTTGTAGCTCTGCATCTCGAGCGCGTTGTCGTCGTCCGAGATGCAGTGCTCCTCCGTCGACAGGAGCTTCACGATGCCCTTCCTGTCCGGCTTGTTGTCGCTCATCGCCGCCCGAATGTCGGGCCCCATGTAGTTCGGGTTGCAGAATCCGAACGGGCCGCTCCTGTCGCGCTCCACGTTCCTGGCGTTCTCGTCCTGAGGCGTCCCTGGAACGCAAATATTCTACTATATCGCGTCTACTCCAACGCGCGAAGATTCTAGTAGCGTTTGATGAGGGAAAATAGATGAGTTTATACCTGTTTTGACGCTGTAACTGCTGGCGGAAGAGAGCCGGTTGACCGTCTCGATGCTGGCGTAATCCGAAGTGGACGAAACGTTTTCCCTGGACTTTTCCTCCAACGACTTTATCATCTCTTGGTACAACGGGTTATCCGCGTAGCCTATGTGAGAACTGTAGCTCTCGCCTTTCTTGATGGGCTTGAATCCGTCGTAGGCGGACTGTTCGTTGTTCGCTTGGACGCCGTTTAGTTTCTCCGACGGTTTGCTGGACTTTTTGCCCAGCAGGTCGTTCTCGTCTTCGCTATCTAAGTACACCAGTTTGCTGGCTTCTACGGGGGTTAATACTGGGGTCGGTAGGGTGAGCACGCTGAAATTTGGCACGGAGATCGGTTCTCTGGGGATTTTCGTGGCCGTGCTGTCGAACTCCACTCGCTTTTTGGCCACCGTTTCCTTCTGCTCCTCGTCCGCCGACGGGGAGGCGTCCGAGTTGTATTTCTTCTTTATCACGTACGCCGATTTCGATTTTATCATTGAACCTGTTCGAATAAAGTTTAAGCACAAATTGATTTAAAGGAATGTCAGTATCACCTCTACGTGGCGTGTCAATATCAGTATCGATGACTTCGATTTCCGTTTGAGGACTGGCGTGTTGCCTCAGCAGGCTCTCCGTGCTATCTCCAGCGCAGCCGGTGAGCACCGTGTAGCTGCATTTATTGCTCATGCGAGGAATGTTGAGCTGCGACAATTTCTGGATTTCTTGTAGGAAACTCCTGGAAGACCGGTTGGTTTCGGAGAATTGCTGCGCCAGGTCGCTGCCGTCCGTGTAGTTGTTCTGAGTCGCGTGGAAAACGAACGTTTGTTCGCAGGGCGCGACCTGCAATGCGATGCGTTTAATTCAGATCAAGGAGTTGCATCAAAGTGGATCAGAAACCGACCTTGTTGTTGGGAAGATAAGAGGAATGCCGATTGCTGCGATCCGCCGACGTGCACGTCCTTGTGCGTATCCTCAAGGACTTCGAATCGAAGGAAGTAGTGGAAGAACCGTTAAGGAGTAATTCGGAGATGATAATGGCTATGCTTTCCGAACGGGGCTGCGGCTTCGCGCTGGCGTTTATGGTAATTTTCTCCCAAGTTTCCAGCGCTGAAAACGAGGATTAGACGCAATTTAAACGGCAGAAATCGCAGATAAACATTCTTATTTTTCGAACTCCTCCAAGTTCTCGAAGTTAACCGAGTAGATCTGTTTAAGTTCGAGTCGATTTAAGGGAATGTTTAAATATTTAACCACCCGCCGGTACAAATTCCAGACTGGTTTATTATTCCATTACTGTTTTTTTTTTAAATGGGAACCGTAAATTTAGGCGCACGAGGGCGATGTGAGTAATCGTACATGAATACTTCATTTTGAATAACAGCTGCGTCAACATCAAGGGGAAACCAGCATTTATTCTGAATGGAAGCAATTTCAAATCGACGACTATATTAAAAAATCTTTAACAAGTAAGGTGCTTTGAGGATAAAAAAAATCAGTTCAGAGTGATTAATAGTTAACAGAAATAAGGAGGATAGAATGGAGAAGACTAACGATTTGAGATATGCGGATTTCAGCCCAAGATACGATTAGAAATGATTCATTAGAGCTCAAAACGGTTTTGAGTTGCTCAAAATGTGTAATAATTAAAAAGATGTATGAATTTTCGAACACCCTAATAAAGGAACAAAAATCAAACTGTCATTTGTCAGATTTTCTGATAAATATAAAATACAATTGCTTGGTTAAGGTTTTGTTTCTCATCAATCTGCCGCCCATATTTTTATAAATGTGCTATACTTGGCGCGTTTGGAAGACGGAGTAATAAAAATGTCAGGCGGTTCCAAAATATCCCTACCCCTGTACGGCAAAATCCTGTACAATGATCGATTCGATCGATAGAAATTTCGCACATCGCCTACAATTACTCAAAACCATTCACAGAGTATCAACTTTTAGGCCGGCCAATGGGGAGTGAGTGATATCGGCGACTCGTTTACACCCCGGGTGGACTTCGGCTGATTAATGTGTTTATTACTCCGTCTTCCAAACGCGTCAAGTTTTTTTATAGTTATAAAAACCATCTGGAATCTAAAATAATAGATATTAGGGTTTAAAACTGATCTATGTTCGGTTGTTCCGCTTGTTTATTGTTTACATTTTTATTATGACACGATCAATAATATTGACGTTGACAAGAATGTTGCCAAATAAATTTTTCAGGACCATTATTTGTGTGATTAACACCATTGTTTGTTACAATGCATATAGATGAAGATGGTATTCTTTTATTATTATATCGAATTTTCCATTATGTAATAAGAAAATGAATATATCAGAAAATCCTTATCGTATATAAATATACAAAAAAACGCACATTTTGCGGAGTAAAGAAGGGTACCAAGGAATGTGGCAACATGGCTAAATATGACTTTTAATTGCAACCCTCGCTCTGATTGGCGCACACGTTATGACGTTTTTCAAACTTTAAAAATTCATTGCGTTTTTAAAACACACTAGTTTGAAAAAAAATAAATAAAAGTCATGGTCTTCTCCATTACGGTATAAAATGTTCGTTATAGCTACGATAAACGGGCTTCAAAGCATAAAAATATCTTACCGAAACTGAACTTCCACAGGTCGCTGCTGGCCTGGCCGTTCCTCTCGCCGCCGAAGACCAACATGTGGGAGGTGGGAAGCTTGGTGGCGGCGTGGCTGTGCAAAGGTCCCGGATTGATTTTGCACTTGACACAATGCCACGTCCGCGACGGCACGTCCCACTTCCAGAGATCGGAGCGCTCCTGCAGGTCGGTCATTCCCCCGTATATCCACATGGCGTCGCCTTGGAGGATCGCCGAATGCTTGTGGCGCGGCGGCGGCGTTTGGTCGGAGCCCCGGCCCGCCGTCGATATCAAATGCCACGAATCCGTCTCTGGAAATTCGCGATGATTGATTGATTCCGTGCCGGTTGTACGTTCAAATGATTGATCGTGCAAATAAATGCCATGATTTTGGTAAAAAGATATTTGTGGATATTCCAGAATTTCCCATATTTCAATAGAATAATATGCTCATATAATTTGTAATAGTTTTTAAAACGCCTTGTATAAGGATTCATCCCATTCGACACCACACAAACGGAAGCAATAACTCCAGTATAACGTCCACATCCCGTCGATATTCGATTAAAATGTGGACATTGTTTAGTTAATTACCTGCAGTGGTTTGTAAACGAATGTATTGGAAATTATAGTGCAATAGCAGGAGCGTTGCAGTATCTCTATTCATGTTCAAATTAAAGCGAGAGCTATAATGTCATGTGTGGAATGAAATCGATTTTCATTGTTAATTTGTAATTACAGAGAAAATTGAATTAAATAATTTTAATACGTACCGAAATGATACGCCCATAGTTCGTTGGTGGATCCTTTCAGGTCTTGGTATCCCCCGTATATCAGCATGGAGCCGTTGTAAACCAACGCCGTGTGACCTCTGCGTCCTTTGGGAGTGGAAACGCCTGAATAAAAAAAAATCACGAATTGCAAACGAGAATCTGGCATTGTTCCAACGTCGAGTTGCACGAATGCAAAAAAATGTAACTATCTAGTTGCATCAGTAATTGATTTGGATGAGTAAGAGTGGTTGAACAGTAACCTTTTTTCGCTTTTTTCTTCTTCCAACTGTTGAGTTTGATGTCGTAGACCCACAAAGGAGTTTCGGTTCCGTTCGAAAATCCGACTTCTCCGCCGAAAACGTAGATACTATCTCGATAAGCGATCGCTGTATGTTCTTGAAGACATGGTAATTTGTCTCCTACCGGTTTGACTTGATGCCATTTACCAGTCACTGGAACAAACATTTTTTTAAGAACTAAACCCTTCAATCAGCAACTTTCCTTTTCATCGCAATTCATTAGAATTCACCTCCATTTATCATCATTTGCTGAGATACAATTTTTTTATCCATCACAAATTCGTTAGTCGCTTAATTCAATTCAGTTTCACCCTCGAACTTTGCCCGTCAATTACGCTTATGCTACCTTCCACATATATCTTCATCTGGTCAATAATCCCCCAGATACTAATCTGTCGGATTACGTGAGTGTGTTGTACAAGTAGCCAGAGATTAACAAATTTCGCCTCGAAAGGGAAAGTTTCCCTAAACACGTTCGGAACAACGGTTAAGTGCATTGTCAATAAGATGAATGGCATTAACACGGATACCTAGTTGGAGGTTTAGATGAATGGGAAAATGGAATGCATCAAATTAATTTGTAATTTGTAATTTTTTATGGAGCAAATAAGAGCAATAAAAGGATCTCTAATAATCTATGTATATAACGAATGCCCTGTATAATTTATACTGTTTAATACCGGTCGCACACCCACAATATTGAGCCAAATCCCTCGCTCTGTTTCTGCAATAAATCATTCAGAACGTGACCATACGACGCAAGTCTAATTCCCCCAAACAAGTCGTGTATTGCGGGAAGATTTCCTTTCTGGTTTTCCGTAATTGGATATAATTCTTGACGCGTTGACAACCAGTGCATTAAATTGTCGAAGCAATGTATCACGATATTTCTTATACTAGTTGACACGGTTTAGAAGTCTAATTAAACGCGACAGTGTGGCGTTAAATTTAATTAACCGATTCACTTACCCAAATTGTACTTCCAGAAGTCCTTGGTGGGCAGATTTCCGTTCCTGCCGCCCAAAATGTAGACGAATTCGCCCACGAGCGTGGCGCTGTGCTTAGACCTAGCCGATGGCGCCGGGCTTTTGATGTTTTCGGGCGCTACGCTGCTCCACATTTCATACAAAAAAGGACCTCGATAACCGTCTGGAACAAACGCGATTATCGTTGAAAGGCGAGGATAAAATTCTACGACCCGCCGACTCCTTCAACTCGCCGTATTTCGAGAAAAAATGGAGCCGAGTCATTAGCAGGACGAGATGTTCCGGTTAATTGAAAATAGAAGAGCTGTAGATAATTTTTCACGGCACGAACTTAGCAATTCTAATGGGAATGAATTATTAAAAAGGAACCGAACAACGACAATTCATAATGTTTACGACGGCATGAGCAAAAAAGAGTTCGTGCAAAGCCCGGTGTAATGGTAAACTAATGTATTCGACACGCAACGCAACAGGAATATTTTATTTGATAAAATAAACAAACTGAATGTATTATTTTTGGTGCATTTCGAGTTGAACGGCATACAGTAATAATACAATATGTGTTTAAAGCATTTTATTTTCTGTGATATTTTTTATTATAACGGTGCAAAATCGTAAATAAGGGAGAGAGTGCCGCTCAGTTGATAACGTAAAAATCGACGCGACTATGTCTAATATTTAAGGGTCGGCAACCGAGTATAATCATTCTCCAGGGGCAGAAGTCGAAACTCCCCTAGGCATAGCCGAACATCTTTCCCTCCTTTTAGCCGAGAACTGGCCCATTAGGAAAAATGCGATGACATATAGTTGCGTGTGACGATGAGAATATCAAGAATTTATCGCCAACTGTACGCGATGTTTTGGGAATTGTTCACTCGAATGTATCGATATTGATGGGCTAATTGGCGTGACTGAAAACTGTTCTCGTTTAAGTTAATTTGTTTTAGATTATCGATAGTTTTTGCATCGCTCGCTTTTCGATTAGACTGGGGTAGTCTTCGGAAGGATGCTCTCGAAACTTACCCTTCCAATCGTGAATTTAATTTGCATAATAATCAGTTTCCTCTACTATATAAATAGTAATACGGTTTGGCTAACTAACCGACACAAAACAAACAAGAATTTACCTTCAAAACCATTATCTTTGTGTGTCAACGTTCGGTGCTAGAGCAGCGATATGAGCAGTATTATTTGTTTTGTTAAACACATTATTTATTCGAAAAATTTGATATTCTAGACTTTTGAATAAAAATGCGAACAACATAAGAATTTACTTTGTTTGTAGCATTTTTCCGATTTATTTCTATACTACATTCCTTTCGATTCTATAAGATTATGTAAATTATTACTCCTACTTATTCAAACATTTACATATTTGAGCATTAAATATCTACACAGGTGAACGAAATTCGTAGGTAGGTAAGTTTAAAACTATTTAAAAATGTATTTTGATTCTAATAAAATTACTCACACACTAAATATGTATTTTGAAATAGTTTAATTCAATTAACAAAATGAAATAAAACTACAATATCACTAGATTACAGTAGGCCTTTACCTGTTTAATATTATTCACTAAAGAGAATTAAAGCTTACTTGAATGAGGCAACAGCCCGCCTACACCTAATCTCTTCTATCGAATGCTAATCAGTGAACACGACAAATGCGATTTATTCAAATCGCGTACAATCACCGTCTCTTCCGAAACACCACCAGCACGAATTCCTCCAATCTACATCGCACAGACTTTCGACTTTCGACTTCCTCGAACGCGACCTTAACCAGTTTGTTTATTTTCGTAGCGACACCGCGAAGGCCCCATTACAACGAAACGCATGGCTCGAAACAGTATTATTGTTTTCCGGATGTCGCCCTGCACGGCGGCCGGCCGGAGGGGCGCCTGCGCCGCGACGTCGCCGTCGGAAGGAAAGCTCGCGATAAAGCTCGGGACAAAATGATATTGATTGGAGTTTTCCCGGCAGGAAGGCGAACCGGCTCGTCAAGCGCCGCACACGCTGGTTTGTTCGTTGATGGGGCACGATTCGGCCGGCTTTAGTCGCGGGTTTCGGTTAATTGACCTCTGCTTATTGTACTACCTTGATCTGTAATAGCCTGCGTAATGAATTAATTTCATTAATTTATTGGTAGGATGTTAATGGTACATGTACCACTTATGAATGAATTACTTAGCGTTGGATTAATATAGCGTGAACCGACGATACGTTTCTCGTATTATAAAAAAATTAATATTGTTTTGAGTTACTGAATTTTAAGTTATTCTGACTTGTTTGTTGATACGTTTTTAATAATGTTTGTTTATAAACTTGAAGAGTTCAAACTGTATATTGTTGACCCATAATAAATATCTAATCTCGTTTTATTATTCAATTTTTGTGAATTTAATAAAGTAACAATTAATAAATATGCTGACACCAAGTAACTAGGGTTCACTTACCACTTGTGCAATATTACATATGTTGCATAATTTGTATCAATTTGTATTACATATTAACTCTATAGACACACCGCATTACTTGATTTTTTTATGTAAAAAAACTATAATTAAACAGGGTAAAAAAGGAAAAATAAAAATAAATTGCAAACCTACTAGTGTATTAACTAATTGAAAATTGCATAAAAGTTACAATTGAAACTTTAGAAATGTAGAGACGTTGATTCACTTCTCATTATTCACATTGTATATGAGTGTTATAAAAGAATATGTCGCCCGCATAATCTACAAAGAAAATATTAATTTACCCTCTAAATTCTCTCGATACCTCTCTACTGGATTAATAAACTTACAGATATAAATGTTTCGAGGGACATTATGCCGAAACTTCCGATTTCCAAGGTGCAAGGCTTGTTACATCGTTGCATTAGTAAAAGAAGAGATTTCTTAACAACTTCAGGTTGTTCGTACCAACAACTATTGTAAATCGAAACAGAAATTCTGGAACTCTAAAGAAATTTGTACTAAAATCAGGAGTTTCATCAAATTTACATTTCGGGGTTTTTAATTTTTATCGTTTCAATTAATTAATTAATTGTCTCAAAAGTAATTATTGACATAAAAATGTTTCAATTGACCTTATCAGAAATTGAACACATTTAAAGTATTAATTGAATAAAAGCAATTAACAAAAATATCAGGAATTTTATCTTACGTTTTTATTGTAGGTACTTACCTCGACAATAATTTCGTTTGCACACCAATAATATATCAGTAATCTCATCACCATGCTCAAAGCGAATTGAAAGCCTAACAAGAAATTAATCAGTGTTACTTTGGTCTAAAAATAATCTTTTTAATAATTGAAATTGAAAGTTACAACAAATTCCATTACCGTGAGTACTTGTAGAACAATGGATGCTAATTGAAAAGAACTCTGCAAGAAATCTAATACCATAATATTTCCCATTACATCGTTAAAATCATCGATGAAGCTGTAAATAGAAATTTGTAAAATTTGTCCTAATTGTTAATAATTACTTATTAACCTTAACATTTTCTTGTGCATTATCGTGCACTCCCTTAAAGCAGTAAGGCAAGCCTCCTCTTTGCTACATTTTAATTGATTTTGTACTTGAATTGCATACTTATCGAAATTCGCGAATAGTTCATTTAATATCCTAAATTGGCCTATAGCATATATTACGAGGCCAATAGTCAGAGCATCTAAAAAATGAATTTTATATACCCGGTATATTATAAACTCCTTATTACATAATACCTGAGAGTATAATGTAAAATTCTGTAATGGGTCCACAAGAAAATTGAAACAAATAGGCTGCCATGTAATGTTTCTGCTCGTCGAAAGGGAACCATGCACTTAACATTAGCATCCTTTTCGTGACGGTTTCGTTTCTCGTTGGGTAAAATATTTCTATCGGAGGTGCACATAGTGGATAAATAACAAAAAAACACGTGTCTAAAACAATAATTTTTTCCAAAAAAAATTCTTCTTTATAGTCAAAAATTACCTAACACCATGCTGGCCATGTAAATCGTTATAAAAGAATTATTTTTCTTCGCGAATTCGTTGTAAATCCCGATAACTCCGGAATTCTGAGAGCCCAAAATTCGCTTCTCCGTAGAAAGCACCTCGTTTATCATATTCTTGGACCTTTTTGATTTTAAAGCGTACGCTCTTATCAGACTGAGCGACTGTATTGCCGTAATGCTTACGTTTCTCATAATTTCTTCAACGAAAATTACCTCGTCGAGAAGCAGTTTGATTAATTGTACGACGTAAGTGCTCAGAAACAGCCAGGTGAAAATGTAAATAAATTTGGAATAACGAAAGTACATTTTTTGATAGAGGGGATTTTTTGGAAATACGAATGGCCATAATCCTAAAATAGAGCAACTGTACATTGTTACTCTGAAGTGCTCGTTTTTGGGAAAAATCTGTAAAGTCAATTAAGATAATTAAAGACTATACAGTATTTGGGTAGTACTTACATCTCGCAGGAGCATAGTGGATATTGAAATTGAATTCACACTCAATCCTAGCAAGTTGCAGGAACATCTGATTATTTTATGTTGAATAATCCTAAGGTACAAACAATGACGTAGTTGTTATAAAGTAATAATAAATATTTTATTAGAAAATTGTAGACTTCAAAGTTTGGGTCACAAACTCGTGGTTATAAGGTTTTTGCAAAAAGTTTAAATCTAGATCAATAGAACTTCGACACAGGAAAATTTGCATTAATAAATTAAATCACCTGGAATAATATAAAAGAATTATTTCGTGGTAATGCAGAAGAAGTTTTAAGAATACCTAGGTACTTGTGTATTACCTAATTGATATTTAGAAAAAATGTATAACTAAACTTCACTATTTAAACTTATAAATGAGTGTTATAAACGAATACGTAGCCCTCATGATCTAAAAAGAAAATAAAAATATAGAAGATTTATCTGTTCTCTAAATCCCTTTTTATATCTACCAGATAAATAGTCATAACACAAACTTACAGATATAAATGTTTCAAGAGACATTATTCCAAAACCTCCAATTTCCAATTTGCAAGGCCTGTTGCATCGTTGAATTAAAATAAGAAGAGATTTCTTGATAACTTCGGATTGCTCGTACCAACGACTATTGTATATTGCTACAGATATACGAGAACTCTAAAAAATTTGTTGCTACCTATTAGAATTTATTTACATTTTTAGTAATTAATTTAATGCATGTTACCTCAATTATAATTTCGTTTGCAGACCAATAATAAATCAATAATCTCATCACCATGCACATTGCCAATTGAAAACCCAACAGAAAGTGAATAGGTGTTATCGTAACCTAAAATTGGGGCATTTTAATTACTATTTTCTAAGAAAATATTAAAAATTCAATACCGTCAAAACTTGAAGCATGGCAGATGCCAATTGGAAAGAACTTTGCAAGAAATCTAGTACCATAACATTGCCCATTAATTCATTAAAACTATCTATAAAGCTGTAAATAATACTTACAGGTATCTAATATTTATTCAATTTAATTTATTAATTAAATAGAACATTTACCTTAACATTGACTTATGCAGTAGTATGCACTCTCTTAAAGTTACAAAACAAGCCTCCTCTTTGCTGCATTTCAATTGATGTTGCATTTGATTTGCATACGTTTCAAAATTCGTGAATAACTCATTCAAGATTTTAAACTGGCCTATTGCGTAAATTATGAGGCCTATTGTAAGCGCGTCTGAAAATGAAACGTTCGGTAGTTATTGCGAGTAAAATTAAGCAATTTCCTACCGGAAAATAAGGTGAAAAATGTCGGAATTAATCCGCAAAAACATTGAATAAAATAGGCCGTATAATAATATTCCTGGTCGTCGAAAGGTAACCATATGCTTAAAGGTAGCAACTTGTTAATTACGGTTACATTCCTCTTTGGGTAGAATTTTACAGTAGGAGGCGCAATCAGTGGATAAATGGCGTAAAAACAAGTATCTGAAATTAAATTGATAACTTGATAAAAAACTTGCAAATTGGACTTATTTTTATTACCTATTAATATGCTGCACGTGTACACGTACGACAATAAAATAATTATTTCTCTTTGCGAATTCATTGTAAATCCTTGTAAGGCGAGAATGGGAGTTTACAATTCGTTTCTCCCTAGAAAGCACATCCTTTATCATATCCTTCGCCCTTGTTGATTTCAAAGCATACGCTCGAATCAGATTGAGCAAGTGTAATGCGGTAATACTAACGTTGCTCATAATTTCATTCACAAAAATTACTTCGTCGATAAGCAGTTTCGTTAATTGTATGATATAAGTGCTCACAACTAGGCAAGTAAAGAGGTAAATGAATTTAGAATATGCGAAATATATTTTTTGCCGAGTGGGATTCCGGGAAAACGAGAATGGCCATAATCCTATGATAGAGCAGCAGAACTTTGTTACCTTGAAGTGCTCGTTTTTGGGAAAAATCTGTAAAATTAACAGTAACAAAAAGTAGATTGAATGGTACTTAGGTAAATACTTACATCTTTGAATAGCATAATGATGGTTATTGATGTAATTTAGATGTGCTTTAACTCGAACAATGTAGGTACTTTTATAATATCCTGGTCATGAATGTTTAATCCATATGTAGGCAAGCAAACCCAAAGGACGTTGTTAAAATGTAATTATAAATGAATATTTCATTGCATAATTCTACCCCTCTATGCCTGTATTGTTGGTTCAAAATGTTATTATTCAATTATTTCATTGCGAATTTAAACAAATCCAGCAATATCGGAGTAAAATTCCCAATTGGACATAATTTTTATTAATTGAAACACATTTATATGGAAAACATCAATTTATTTATGTAAATAATATAAATCAACAAAATCACATTAAATAATAAAATGACGAAAATTCGCATTTGGATTAATACAAGATATAATTACTATTAAACACTTTAAAGACTGTAAAGCTATACGTATATGCACAATTGCAGTTCACAATAATCAAATAAATCTTTCAAAAAAGTGTATTACTAAAACTTGATATTAACAACACTTAACTTAAAGCACATTGACTACTTTAAAAAAAATAACAAGCCGAAAAATTGAATGAAAACAATGCTGTATAATATATCGGATAAACTGTAATTACTACATTATCAATTGCCATCTATTTAACAGATATGCCCACATGATTTGAACAACAATTACTTCATTAATCGTTAACTTCTTACGTATTAAGTCTTAATATTAGGTGAATAAATAGGCTTCTTATAAACATCAATTTGCCCACAAAGGAGAATGACTTGTATTCGTCCAGTTCGATGAAACTACAACTAACTAACGTACATTATTTTGTCGAAATTACATTAACAATTGTATAGCCTAATTTAAATAGGTACTCTATAATAAATTATGAACACGGATTGCCCACAAATAAACAGTTTATAGTACTGTGCGTAGTTAATTAATAGCCTTTAATGTCCAGGCTGTTCGAGCTAAAACGCGTAGATTTCAGGAAATATGTATAGAAAGTGATTTGATCTTTCTATTATTGTTCAATTAATTAGTAAAACTAAGTTTTTCTAAAAATTTAAGCGTTGGAATTCGAACGTATATGGTAAGTATTTTCGGAAGTTGTTGGAAAGTACGGCGATTGATTCCGAAAAAATTGCAAAAGTTTTTTTGTTACGCTTGAAGTTTTTCTTATAGTAACAAAAGTTTCGGTTTTATTGTAGTGTTATTTTGTAGATTGGATTTGAGGATGTTTTATCTAAGTTTTCGAAACTATTAATTGTAAGATTTAAAACAATTTGAACATTAAATGTTGGTCCACTATTTAATGAAATTAAATGTAATTAAATTACTCCACTATGTTTAAAAGGTTTTTTTTGTGAAAATTCATATTTTTTAATAAAATTAGTACCTCATAATATTAATTTCGAAGGGAACCTAAGACTTTGTTCGTTGCATTATCAATCACAAATCAAAAAGCTAATAATTATTATTTTTTTGAAACTGATATAAATCCCAATAAGATAATGGCAGAGGTATTTTACCTAAAGCAGCTGTTAATTGGTTACTCAATTGCTTTATTAAAAGATAACAATATTTAATAGGCTTTCTAGTGCCGATTCAAATTTAATGAACTTTTGTAAAAAAATGTAATAGATTATCTTCTTATTTTTTAATTGCTTTAGGTATTCACCCCTTGGAATGGACGGAATGGATTCTATTATTTGTGTGAAGTAGGTAATTTATTCTTTTGCAGTAATTTACGAAAATAGTGCCGTTGAAAAAAAATCAATTTTTAACAAGTAGATAAAATATTCTTAGACCTTATTATTAATTTACCATTTAATTTTTTATGGTATTTACCTTCTAGTTCCTATAATTTTAATTAAAAACAAATGTGGATTAAAGTCACTTAATATTCAGCGAGAACTTGGGAGTGGCATACGACACTTTTCCCACGACTATCGCAGATTTCAGAAAGTCTATGAAAAGTAAATTGAAAATTATTATTTTTTATAAAAGACAAAATTTCTCGCACTATTATGTCAATTCCTAGCAGTTTTATTGTAGGTTTATAATTTATTGTTGATAGTTCAAACCAGGGCTTCAGTATTAGATGAAAAAATATATTTTTTTCAATCAATATATTTATGATAATTATTCACATTAAAAAAAGATTTTCTGTTCATTCCTTACCTAAAGCCCCAGCTAAAACAACGTAATTTGCATAACATTATTTATATTTCAAGTACATTTATTAATAAATAAACTGAAGATAATCACAAAAAAATTGTTAGTTACAAAAGAATTTGTAAGTAAAATCCTCTATATCCTTATTAAAATTAAGCAAATATTTGCTAAGTATACAAAAAATAAATAACTTTATTTACAGATTTAATAGAAGTATATATCTCAAATAAAACGAGATGAAAATCTTGATTTAAACAAGTAATTTTTGTCTATACAACAACATCGAATTCGTTGAAATATGCCCACACGTATTCACGTGAAATTTAGTACCATAAACGATATTTTCACAATTAATATTAGGCCTAGTGAAAAAATTTACAATTTTATCATTCAAAAATCCATTACAGAGTATTTAATACATGTCATATATAACCTACGAGTAGGTTAAATTTTGAAAAATACAATAGTGATTTTGAATCGTTTTTAATTAATAAATCGAAATTTGTGTATCAACTTTTGCAAATTTCAAAAATATTTAATCCTATAAAACTTTGGCGTACACTTTCGATTTTTTTTATTATTTTTGGCATTATTTATAAAGGAATACTTAAATTCTAATTCTGCCAATTGGGTCCTCAATGCTAGAACTCTAGCATCTATAATAAGCAATTATAAAAATTCAGTAAATTAATACAAGGCGTATTAAATTACTAGGTTCAATTGGATGAATGATTCATAAAATTACAGCTTACATTGTTTTCATTTCTATCTGAATAACATAATTATCAAAGTTACAAAAAACGTATTATATTTTTTTGTGAATCACAGATAGAAAGCCAGTTCAAGTCTTAAAATTTCTTTCCTTATCAAATTTGCCTGAATTTTAACGAAACAACTCCAACAAGATGTAGTAAAATGCATAACAAATCAATCTTAATCCTACGAACTGTAAAAGAATACTAAAATTTGAGCATATTGACTCATAAAATAGTATTACTGGCACATTTAAACAACATTGAACACTTTTTAATATTAAAGCTGAATAGGTACAGAATTAAAGCCTGCAAAAAACAATTATAAAGACGCTTATAATAATATACACCTGCCAAACTTTGGCAGTTTCTTCTTTTTTCGTTTATCATTTTCATTCTGGGGTTGATTTCTAATAATCCTCACCACCTGAAATGAACATTATTTCATCAATAAAATGCTCGTGTATAAAATATCGAGTAATAAATACCTCGTGAAATGTGGCATCAATATTTAACGGAGGATCTTTTGCACTGGTTTCGATATAAGGAATACCTAATCTATGAGCTAAATCGCGCCCTTGTTCTTCTGTTACTTTCCTCAAATGAACAAGATCTACTTTATTAGCCACAAGCAACATGGGATAAGTGTCTCTAAAAAAGTATCATTTTAAACGTAATAAATCGATTTATCTATCCAATATTTACCTGTCTTTGACACGTAAGATTTGAGTATGGAAATGCGTGATGTTCTCATAACTGTTCTTATCAGTAACAGAATACACTAGTAAAAATCCATCCCCTTTTCTCATGTATTGTTCTCTCATAGCGCTGAATTCCTCCTGCCCAGCAGTATCGAGAACTGGAAGAGGAATTAATTCGATCGTATTAGTTTGAAGCTATTCGAGTTTTAAAAAAGAGCCTTTACCGTCTAGTATACACCACTGGCTATCGACTTCGACGTGCTGCAGGTAGCTGTCTTCGATGGTGGGATCGTAATCGGTCACGAATAACTTTTGAAAAAATTGTATTGTTATGGCACTTTTCCCGACGCCGCCGTCGCCGACTACGACTAATTTAACGGTCGGTATATTCTCGTTTGGTGGCCTCGTCATTGCTCCTCTTGTGCTGAATTTCTTACTTTTGCTACCTATCGTGCCTATTTATTGGTTTGTGGGAAAAATCATCTACCCTTCCTGCAATAAAACGTCCGCGCTGGTTATACAACGTCGCTTTTTTAGGCGTTAGTTTCAGCTATTTTAGGAAATGATCGTATTAAATATAAAAACAAGATATTGATCTCGTAGTTTCTACATTTTAAATCGCAATGTTATTGAATTACTGCGAGAAGACATCAAATTGTACGTACCTTTTCATAATCGGGTTGGTGGGTCTGTTATTCAGTGCCCGTGGTTTTCGTTGTATACAAATTAAAATTAAAACCAAACCAACAATGTTGGCTGTAAAATGAATGCATTAAGCTCAATGTACCCGATGACCTTGAGCCTTGAGTGCTAATAAATTGACTTTTGACTTCTGACATATAGCAATCGCAACTAGAGTACACCAAGCGAATTTAATTGAAAAGGGAAGGATATATAATTTTTCGTAATGATAAAAAAGGAGAAATATAAAATTAATTCGACCTTCAAACTTCTTCTTTTTTGTTGAAAACTGTCATTTAATATCTACTACAGCTATTCTTTGTATTTCTATTATATTTGTTATTTTCAACAATATATGTAATTGTAGTGTAAGCTATAATACGTTTAATATTTTTTTTGTTTCAGAATTACGTTATGAATAACTTTAATTGAATTTAATTTGTTAGACGTGTACGCCACTGTCTGGCTGATGACTCAACTTGTAGCGTGTGAAGTGGGTTGATTGACGGCTAGTTCTTGTGAAAGTGGGAGTTTAAACAGGAAAACAATCGTGTTTAAATGATTTTGCGGTGTTTGTATATGTGCATTGTTCCGTTTTTCCGATTCCGCAGCGTACAATAACATCTCCCCGATCGAATTTCGCGTCAGCGGTAACACCTTCGTTCTTGGATCCATCAAACAAGGTGAGAAATCGTGAAAAAGGTCATTGACTGTCGACTTATATGAGTAAACATGGCACGCCTATTTTTATCTAATTCCCGTCGTTTTGCAGCACCGAAATGGCGAAACGACCCGCCGTGCAACCGGCCTTGCATAAGGTGATAATGGTGGGCAGCGGTGGTGTTGGCAAGTCCGCGCTCACCCTGCAATTCATGTACGACGAGTTCGTGGAGGACTACGAGCCCACCAAGGCGGACTCGTACAGGAAGAAGATCCTCCTCGACGGGGAAGACGTCCAAATCGATATCCTCGATACCGCCGGTCAGGAGGACTACGCGGCTATCAGGGACAGTTATTTCAGGAGCGGTGAGGGTTTTTTATGCATATTTTCTATCACTGAAGATGAGAGCTTTCTATCGACAGCCGAATTCAGGTATTTTATTCACTCGTGTTAGACGGACGCGTTAACGAAATGTTGTATTCTTCTAGGGAACAAATTCTTAGGGTAAAAAATGATGAAAACATTCCCATTTTACTAGTTGGTAACAAATGTGATTTAGAGGATAGAAGGAAGGTTTCCTTTCAGGAGGCTTCGGATAGGGCGAAACAGTGGGGCGTGCCTTATGTAGAAACTTCCGCCAAGACTCGTGAACATGTAGATAAGGTAAATAATGTAAATAATTTTTTTATTAATCTAACATTTACCACCCGTACATTTTTCACTCGTAAATTGCCTACTACTCCCTTTAAAATAAATAATTATTAATGAGGAATAGACAGTTAAATAGTAGAAATTGTTCCATTGTTTTCTCTATAATAACAACGATTATCAACATATAACATCATCTCGATGTACGTTAAATATGGGAATTTACATTGTTGTTTCCTTCGAAGCATATTTGAAATCTCATTTGTGTTACTTAAATCCTATTTTAATTCCATTATTTTGTATAACACTATTTTCTAAGTATTCTACTTTCATAAAATAATTATCCTCTTTTTTTTTGTAGGTATTCTATGATCTCATGAGAGAAATAAGGGCTCGAAAAATGGAAGAAAACAAAACCAGTAATGGCAAAGGAAAAGACAAAAGCAAGAAAAAGAAACGTATATGCCGTATTCTTTAATATGTGTAAAAATGTGTGCTTGTTCAATTTGCTTTGTGTATAATCGTAAGATATTTAAGTGAATGCGAGAACTTGATGTTGATGGGGTTTCTGTTTTTAACTTGTTGAAACGAAAAGGAATTTCAAAAGACTCGGGTTATGTTAAATTCGCTTTGTGCACTGTTTCTTAATGTTCTGTATATCGTGAAATTCGCATTGAAATGAGAATACCTCGATAATTAATAACGTTCGAATTGAATGTATAAAACGCTTTAAGTGGTTATTAAATTTCGGTTTATTGTTTCATTTTATATTTTTTAGTGGAGTTATTTTCCCACTTTAAAGGTGAATCGGAATATGTCGATTTTTAATACCAAATCCAATTAAATTAGTAATACGTTATTTTTCACTCCATATCAAATCATGTTGGTCTAAGTCTAGATTATTAGTGCATATAATGAAGTATTGAAATACTCATTTTATTCTATTATGTTTAAGGTATGTACACAGTGACTAAACCGTATTTAAAGAGAATGAAGAAATTGCTTCATTTAAAAACCAGTGCACTCGAATGAACATTTTTTATATGAATAATTTAAAATTTAAAGTATAGTAAAAACTGATTTGTACATAAGCAGATATAGAAATTATAGATATACAATCAGGTGGAGGATAATTTCAACTATAAATAGTCACTTTGAAATTAACCATTTCTTTAAATTCTCGATTAAAACCAATCTGTTTTTTAATTTAAATTCCAAACATGACTATTTAAGGCTGGAATAACCTTAGTTTAGTTACATGGATGTTACATTTATAAATATAACCAGTTTGATATAATGGTAGTAAAGCTCAAGGGGAAATATCACTGTTTACTCCTATTCGGTACATTCTTATTTTTTTATGTTACAATTTCTAATTTGTTTAAATAATTAATTGGTGTTGACAACTGATTAAGGTTTCAGAACACAGAATATCAATTCAACTAGTTTTAATTTTCTTTGTGGATCTTTAGAAGATTGTGTGTTATTGGATTATTTTAAACCGAAATCAAATTGTAAGATATCAAAAAGGTAATAAACCTTTTAAAAATACTGCTATTTTTATTACTATCAGAAGTTTGCCCCCTAAATGGTTCTACAGTAATTATATTGATTACTACTAATTATAGTACATTATCACATAAACGAAGCTTGTTTAACCAAGTATATTACGTATAATAATTACTTGATAGTAATGAAAATATCAAGCAGGGGCCATTTTTAATCCCTATGCGAATGCATTTTTATTTTTACTTGTTCTGTAATTGTAAGTTATTGCTGTTTTCGTCAGGTTTTATCCGTTTTATTCATTTTTAATGCTGTTTATTATCAAATCAAAACCAGTGAAATAATAAAAAACAAATACCCATTAAAGACAACCGAAATTTATCAAAAAAAGTACGTCTTTATTTATTTATTTATTATATATAATATTTATAGTAGTTTGTAGTGAATAGTTTCACTTGAATTAAAAATGTTGCATAAATGTCATATATTTTTTCGTTATTCATGTAACTATTTAGCAAAAGTAGTTTTGATATCCACTTTCAGCTTATTATCATTAGCTTATGCCCAAACTTATTTATTACTCGACCTATTTGAATTGATAAATCAAATCTCGCTTTTGCTTCAATTAATTCCTACATAAATTATTATTCTCTATTTTAAATTTAATACCTCCAAACAAAACTTTCGTCCGTTTGATTTTGGATATAAGCTGAAAAGTTGCAGAGATGCCAAAAACAAGAATCAATAAAGTGATAACAAAAAATGTAAATGAAGTAGTGTAATTTTTATATGACAAAATGTAACTTTCTTTCACTGTTTGTACTGCCATAGCGTTAAATAAACTTTATTTGCAAGAAAAATCAACTCTTCCTCATTTTCCAGGCTTAATTCCTAAGATGCCGGATATAGCGTTGCTTTTGTGAAATGTTTTGTTTATTTGGTATTTTATAATTTCTGTATTTTCATATTATTTAATATATTTTTCAGGTTGCTGCTTCCGTTTTTTCTAATGTTAGAGGAAACTACAAAACTCCGAGTATCTCATCGTTTTTATACACTGAAGCTCTTTATTTTTCTGAGGATGCTAAATAATTTAAATAAAAGTAATTTTTAAATATTTCAGTATATAATATTGTTGCATTAGTATAAAAGTAGAATTAGAATCAAGAAAAATAATCGCATCATTAATCCTATCAGTCCAAATAAACTTATCAACTAGAATATACATACAGGTTGATTCATTTCAGTTTGCAATACAGGCTATGGGTGCGATAAAAACAACTTCCATTAGACACTTGTAAAGGAAAAAGAAAGTGATATTGGGTCATTGCAACTTTTCACTCTACCAACTGTTATTTTAATAAAATCTCTCTTTCTTCAATTTATAGAAACGGCCATATTGCAAACTGAAATGCATCATTTGGTATAAAAATTATTTTAAAACAATATAAAATCGCTACGCCACACGCCCTCATGGGGGTCCCGCGAAAGCATCTACACTGAAACACTTGCAATTACACCCACTCACAGGACATTCTTGGTGCTCTCTGGAAACAAGCCGATCATGAAACATTATCCAGAAGAAACGAGAAAATACAAAACTTACTCAAACCACGTACAAATATGCGCAGAGTGACCGCCATGCCTGCAAGTTTGACACCAACTAAACCACGAATCAAACGGGGTACTTTTACTCCCCGATATATCTCCGCTATTTGTGCCCATGTATAGCAAGCAAATGGTACATCTCGGTAACGGTTTCCTGCAGTTTGGACACGATGATAACTAAAAGGAAAATAAAAGAGTTTAGAAATAACCCTATCAAAGACAGGTCGATTAATATAACCTTTGTTTTGCTCGAAGTTTTGTGGAGTTGCCGATTCCTTTCGGCGTTTTGCAAGAAAGCCGATATACTTTTCCCGCAAAAATTGCACGAAACGAACACCTGTTGGGCGGGTTTTTCGGCGTTTTTAAAGGACGCCAGCATTATGTCGAAGTCTCCTCGTTCGTGGAACATTTTCCAACTGTTCAAAATATCCCTATAACTAATACCGCAAACGTTAATAACACCAAACAATTTTGCTCGAATTAACGCACTTTTCTATCCAGTTTTTGACGGTGTGCGAGCCCAAATACTCGTGAAACGCCCTCGATGCAATTACGGTAGTCGATTGGATGTCTCCAGTGTTATCCAAGTATTTCTGCAATAGTTTTAACCCGTTTTCGCTGTTACCTGAAACACCATATTAAAGCGCATTTTAATCGACAATTCGCTCCCCACCTGTTACTAAAAGCCCGTCTAAATTTCCTTCATTGCACAGCTCGTCGCCCAATTTCTTCATATACTCCAATAATTTATCATCGGGCAGATACAAGCAAGCTATCGCCACTCTATCATCCACAGCCATTCCTTTTTCGTTCTGTAATATTTAGAAGACCGATTTATCGTGTTAATAACCATTAAATAAATCGTATATTACCAATACATCGTCGTAATTATCGTCAATGGCTGTCAGAAAATTGAACATGGCTTTCAAGTAGGGATCGGTCATGCGTTGAATGCAAGCGGAGCAGTTCTGTTTCCATACGCTAACGGGATCGTCTGAGAAACCCGATAGTGCCATCGCTACGATGTTTAATGTTGAGCCATAATCGGTGTCGTCCGGAGCTCTGTTTAATATATCCATGGCTAATTCCAGCTTGAGGTTGAGCACTGCTATAGTAGCTGCTCTAGTGTAAGCTTTGGCCGTTTCTAAAGTAGTTAGGAAGTCGGTCATGTATTGGGAATCTCGTTCCAGCGGCCAGCTGCACAGCTGTAGAGCTTTATCTCTGTCTTCGTGTCTGGAAGAAACGGGAAATTTTGTGGGAATTTATAAAATTATTTGTGTTTTGTAAGGTCTCTTAGTTAGACCTCTGGCAGAAACGATGACCTTACAACAGGGGGAAAACCACAGAGGATTATATCATCTAGATGTTTAAGAAACAAAAAAGTTTCTTTGACAAATGGAGCCTGCTAATACACTTGACTTTTAAAAATCCTGCTTTTGATTTACTCTGTACACATTCACACATGTTAAATTTAAACTGATTACATTCAAACCAGATATCAAAAATTTTATGTGACGAGTAATTCGAGCTTTGTTTTGATCTGTGTCTGTTCTCTGTTTTTATCTCTTTATTCTAATATCTGCCTATTAAAGTAAAAAGCTAGTTGACCCGACAGATACGAACATAAGTACATCTGAATTTTACGAAATTGCACATAATTCATAATATACACCTCAATAGGTAAGTGTAGAAATAACCGATTATATTGTACGTATTAACATTTTAATTCTTCAGCTTAACGATGGATTTAGAATTATTAAACCCGACAATAAGCAGTAATAATACCAGACTATCCAATGAAGACCTGATGTGGATTCATGTGGCCCAAAGTTATTTAGAATATATCACTAGCATTATGCAAATTATATTCGGTTTTCTAATTGTATTGTCGGATGTATTTTTGATATTGGTTTTTTGCAAAAATCCCCGCTTGAAAACTACAACTAACAAGTACATCTTTCATTACGCTATATGGCATTTAATTTTTACGGTTTTTTCCAGCACTTTTTTATATTTTACGCAGCTAATTTCGGTGGCTAACAGCGTTCCCTTGATAGTTTTTTATTTAGTTCTTGAAATAGATAAACTGAGTTTGTTACTTACTTATTTATTTGTGCTAGGATTAGCTTTGGGTTGGTTATTTTCTTGTTACAATATCCAATTGCAAGAATCTAAATTCAATGTAGTGTACAATAAAATGGTTTATATAATTTACGGAAGCGCATTTGCTTATTCTATCGTCCAATTTACGCTTCTTATGAATAATTGTTGGTTATCCAGAAGTACGATCAATGAAGTTATATATTTTTCTATTTTGTTGTTTATTTTTGCATTAAATTGTTTATCAATTAAGAAAAATCGTTCGGAAAATAGCGACAAAAACTATTCCCTCACAATCGCAACGATTGTAATATTTTTTTCGTTACCTTTAAAAATTTACCGCTATTTACTGATATATTCCAACGATTATGATTTGATACACATAATTTTCGTATTAACCAGTTTTTTGCCACAATGGATGCGATATAGCACTAACATAGTAGTTGTTATCATGCTAAGCCAATTAGATGCGAAATTTAAGAAGGCTTATTATTCAATACTTCGTAAAAAAGTGAAAAATTCTGAAAGTTATCATTTTAAGAAACAATCACACGATAGCGTATGTGAAATTGAAGATGCAGCGCCAATAGAAGAAAAATTCACTTATATTTAACACAATTGATTTGTAAGTTCGCTTTAAATATGTATGCAATAAATTTGTTTTTCAACGAAAATATATTAATTTATTATGCTGATCTGATTTCATGAGTGTTTTGATTTATAAATTCCTATAAAGGTTGATTCAATTTCCTCTGAAATTAGCGCAAACTTACTTACCTATAAAACACAATTGAAGTCTGGCAATTTGGATAACCCAATTCGCTCCAAGCCATCGTCACGACTTCGGACTTATTTTGAACGGGATCGATATTCGATAATATCGAAAGGACTCCAGGATGGTTATCCTCCCCTTCGGGTAGAATACCCCCTTCTTTTAATTTCACAGTTAATTGTAGCCAATTCCAAACGTTGGCCAATGACAGGTTGTCTTTTACCAGTTCGCCGTTCTTCGCGAATTCCTCCTGAGAATTTTAATGAGCAATACATTTTAGAGGAATGTTTAGTAGTGAATTTACCTGAACTCCATATCGCTGTTTAGCTCTCTCTTTGATTCGAGCAGAAACATCATCTACAAAAGAGTCTTCTAAATATCTAAGAGATTTCCTTCCTTGAGACCAAACTATAGTATTAGTAGACCAATTTACTGTAATCCTATCGAAAACAGTGTAGTCTTTAATAGCACCTGGAATAATACAATTAATTTACAGCGAATTTGCAGTCTAAAATCATTATACCCGATACTGCTATAGTTAAAAGTCGATTTTCGTCAGTTGCATGCCAGGAAAAGGAAGTTATGTTATGATTCGAACCGGGAATTACAATTCGATCCATAATATTCGGCTCGAGTTCTTCATTACTAACTACTGTTTGTTTAATATCGTACAGATTAATAACGGAGCTTTCTCGTTGAAGGGACGCCAATGAACTGTACCTGTAAAACAAATAAACTCAATTAATGAAGATGAAAAACAAATTTTTCAACTATTTACTTTGTTGGACTCCAAGCTATTTTCACAACAGGCTTTGTTTGCGGTATAGTAACAACGGATTTTTCGAAATTCCTCATATCCCAAAGGTAAATTTGATTTTCGACATAAGAAGCCAAGTATGTGTCATCGTTAGGATTCGTACAAACTCCAAAAACTGCTTTAGTCGTGGTGGAATTGACGATTTTATTTTGATCTAAAAATTCGTTAATTAGAAACAATTAATAAACGTTTTATACTAATCAAACCTCGTAAATCGAAGATCTTAATATTCTTCGAATTCATTCCTGCTGCTAACACTCTATTCGAGCCATAAAACCAGGCCAGGCTAAAGGTCACATCCGATGTTGCGAACTCTGCTACCGGTTTAGCTAATTCCACAGCAGGTGCCATCGTATTCACTGCCATTCTGCCCGAGCTGGTCGGTTCGTTGTTTGAATTAAACTTATTTATGTCCCATATCAAAATGGAGCTATCTGCCCTGTATTTATCCAGGCCAGCGGCGAGTATATTATGTTCGACAGGATTGAAAAGTACTGCGTTGCAGTAACGGCTATGTCTAGGAACTGAAATTTGTTCATGGATTAGGGTGAGAATTTGTAAAGTTTCATAAGAGTTGGTTACCTAACTCTTTTCCTGGAAGATTAGCAGCATCGTGTTCAGAAGGACCAAATGTTGTCAATGCTACTCTTCCGTTTGCCAGGCCTATGGCTAATAACAAGTCTTTTTGGCATTTTGGGTAAATATCAAGGCTTCTAACGAGGTGATAATTACAGTTTGTTGTTAATACTTGAGCAAAATGCGTATCAGACACCTTGAAACCTATAAAATAACACTACAATTACTTTAATGTTAAGTGTATTTTATAAAATACTAGCCTGTAGGTGGCAAATCCAAGTCCTCCCTATAAGGAAGGATTTGATAAAGCCCAATTTCAGCTCCCCAAGTTATGAATTTATTAGTTATTGGAGACCACTGTATTTCAAGTTTCCCAGACATGTTTCTTGTACTGCAAATCACAGAAAACGCTATAATCGAATACAAAGTTATAAATATTGTTTAAGCAAAACAAACAATAAACTTTAACCTTTTTCATAACACAAAATAAATTAGAAGTTTATAAGTGAGGTTATGTTTTATGTTGTTGGTCGTATTTGGTTTGTTTGGAGTGGTAATTCGGATTAAGTTGGAGCAGGTCGGTGTAGGTTTGTTTTAGAGCAATAAAACAAATAAGTCAAGAAATTTATTCTTTCGTGTTCCGTGTTTCTGTGCCAGTTTTAAATTTTAGATCACCCGGCAGAAAATCATATTGAGAATTTCTATTTTTTATTTAAGTTAGACATTAATTAAGTTGATATGCTTGAAATAATAAAAATAATTTTGGGCTTACCTTAAACTACTCATTAATTCTGTAAGTTGAAAAACGACTTTTCTGCCACGTTTCCACTGCCTTCTTCGATTTTTATCCTTTTGGGCTTTCGTCAATTTTGGCGGAGGAGGATTGTGATAAGAGCAGTCGTAAAATTGCATTATTTCAATATAATATAGGAACAGTTAGACAAGCACACGTTAAAATTTAATAATATGTTCGGTTATAGCATAACAATCACATATGGCTAAGAATAATAATAATCTAGAGTGTTAACACGTTAATAAAATAAGAGAAACAAGTTCTTTTTTAACAAAAAATTGATATTACTAAAAAAAACATAAATATTTTACTATTTAGAACGTTAACAAAACAAGTAGGAAATAAAATAAAATTCAAATTTTACGTCACTATCGGTAGTAATTGTTAGCGCTAATTTTTATACTTGCAATGGAAAAAACATTAAAAACAAAATAATTTTTTTAAGAATAATTATATTTTATCTACTAACGCGAAAAATCGCCTAAAAAATATCACCATCATGTCATTTGTCAGTGACATGTCAGTACTGTCAAATCCACTGTCAACGTCAATTAACTGTCAGATCCAGTTCATTTTTTGAAGATTTTTAGCTTATGGTCAATTTTATTGTACGAAATATGTTATTATTAATATGCCCTTCCAGAATTAATTGTTTTTGAATTAAAACGTGCATTCCCGGCCTTATTTTGTGATAATGGCATACGTCAAGGCATTAACCAATTAGATTAAAAATGTTTGCGTCGCTGAAAAATAAAATACGCGAAGAAACTGGGAGTGACTTGTCGAAGTTAACAGCGAAAATAACGTCCTCGACGGTCCAAAAGATCGAATCTCTAAGAGGCCGATCGACACAGGGCTCCTCTTCCAGTCTCAACTCCATCGTATCCTCGGAAGGGGTCAAAGACGACGGTCCCATCGATTCCGAAGAGTTCAAGAAACGATTGAACAAGATCGAATCCGAGTTCACTAGAAAATTAGAATACAAGGAAATAGAATGGCGTGAATTAATCAAGGAGAAAGATAAGAAATTGCAAGTATTGGAAAAAGAGAAGGATGATACCCAGAAGCTAGTCGAAACTCTAAAGGAGTCATTAAAAAATGCCGAAGGTATGTACTTTTACGCTGTACGATGAATATCTTATTACTCATTTGGGATTTAGTACTAATTCTATGTAAATTAAATAGTATTAGTCAAATTAAATTAAGGGAATGCCAAGCATTTTGTGTTATTATATGTATTAGTCGGTCTTTAATAATTTTCTGGAGAGTTTTCCTTCTCTTATTTCATTTTACAGGATCTCATTTTAATATTGATTCCAGGAATAACCCGATTGTAGAGATCTAATAAGTATTGTTTGGCATTTAATTAACATAATAACATAGTTTAAATGATAAAAATTTACACTTAAATTGTACATGTCGCCTATATCTAGCGTATTTACTTTCATAAAAATTTTAACATAAATTTAATAATGCTGTGTAATAAACTTGGTTATTTCATTTGACATGGGTCATAAAATATCCAAGTGTTCCTTTAAATATTTGAAGGAGTAAATATGGGGTTGCTGATATTTTACTTTCGAATATGTACTTATTTAATCTTTAAAGAAATTCTGTAAATGTAAAGTTATCTTAACGAACACACACACGCTGATAAAGAAATTAGTACGGAATTTGCAATTTTAAAATTTTCTGACCTGGTTGATAAAATATTGGTCTTTCGAGTTTAAATTAAAACTATGCATTTATTTAAAATACGGCAAGTAAGCATTACAGTATGCCCCTGTTTTGTTATCGTTTCCATAACAAAAGTAAGTATTCTTACTGATAACTTTATCTACTATAAAGTTCCGTGTGTTGAGTAACTGTTCAAGTCATTATAGTGCATTAAAAAATATATTTCACAAACAAATTTTCCAGTCGGTTTTTGTTTTGCGCTATTACGAAATCGTTTAAATTAGATATAAATTACGAGTCGGATTTTATTGCACGTTTTATTTTATTTTTTTTGCTCGGTAGATTGATTTTTCGTTCGTAAAATTTTACGATTTCTTATCGCTAAAGTTCCGGCAAATCGAAATGCGATAACGCCTACGTTTCGTTGCTTCAGATTTCAATACGAAAATTTTACTGCATAAGGAAAACAATGAGCAATTGGAGAGCTTGCAAATCCAGGAAATGTCTAAGGTTAAAAATCTAGTCTTGCTGAGGGATCAGGAAATCGCCGAAAAATCCACTGCCCTCAAGGACGCCAATGTACAATTAGAAAAATTAAGAAACGAAGTGGCGAGACTTCGAAGGCAGGAGGAGACTCTGAGCGATGTGCAGGTAAGAAACGTTGAATTGGTTTATGAAACTTTATTGAGAAACGTAAGTATTTTATTTTTAATTTTACAAGTTGCACATTTTTATATCGGTGCACCGGAATTCCCCACCAAAATAAATATTCCCGTTTTGGGCAGTACTTAACCCTTAATCCTGTACCGGAGTTCCACACCAAAAATAACCGTACCTAAAAGAATATCTGAACAGTCGTTACTGCACCTCTATATCAAAAAAATGATTCCCACCTCTATTAAACTTATGTCATACGAAATGTCATTAACGTCAATACTGACAATTTTTATTTATGTATCAAACGCATCTTAAAATCAAATAATGCAAAAAAAAGTTCACTAATTTTTAGTAGAATAGAATAGAGTAGAGCAGAGCATTAATCAAGTGAACGATATTTGCAAAATAACACTTATTTTGTAACAGTCGTTACAGCACCTCTATACCAAAAAATATTCCCACCTCTATACTTCTGCAATACGAAATGTCATTAATGTGAATTTTGACAGTTTTTGTTTAGGTATCATCGAACGCGTCTTAAAGTCCTACTTGCATATAAAATTTTTGGTGCTGAATTTCTATACAGAATTAAAATTGAGTAAATTCTTATTAAGGATTTTTTTAGTTGTTTAATGAATACATTGTTTCGAACTATACTCGTAAATAAAATAAAACTACATGTGGTCCCGAAAGAACTTTTATTTTGTGTTTAACATAACATTAATAATACGCACAGTTTGACGATGTTTCACCTTACAAAATAGTAATAGTTACCCCACTGTCTCGTGTTCATGTATAAGGCGGGCTTCTGGGCAATTCACAGGTATGTGCTTCTCGCATTTATGTGCATTTCAGTAGAGAATAAATCGCTCAGCTCGCGCCCCGTTTCGTTGCAGGACGATCTGGAAGCTTTGCGGCACAGCACCTCGCGCGATTTGGCCCACCTCGCCTCGGAGCTGTCCAAAAGCGAGCAGGAGAAGAAGCACTTGCAGGATCTCGTGGTAATTTTGCGCCAAAACAGCAGCACCGACGGCGACGATAAGACCGTCTCCGAGCGGAAATTGCTGGAGCAACGATTGGAGGAGGCCCATCTGCATTTGGCCGACATCAAAACGTCCTGGAGCGATAAAATCGCCTCGTTAGAAACGCAAGTGAGTGCGCGCACGTTACCGATTCTACGGGGTGTGTAAAAAAAAAGCGATTTGTAGGTGGGGAGATTGAGCAGGCAGGCGGCCGAGGAGGGATCGGAGAGGAGACGGGCCGTTCAGGAGAAGGAAAAGCTCGAGGAGAGAGTGAAGCAGCTGGAAGCTGAGTTGGAATGTAGCAAATTCGAGTTGTTGAATCGCGACGTGAAGATCAAGCGTTTGTCTGAAGACGTGAACGAACTATCGGCTGAGCTTAAGCACGCGCAGGTGGATAAAGAAGAAGAAGTGACGTTCTTGAGATCGGAACTAGTGAGTTAAGATAAAGCGTGTGGGGGTCCTAACTCTTTCCTCTATATTATTTTTTAACCCGCTTCGGTTTATTTTAGCACAAAGCTTTGCTTTCTCATTGCTGGATTTAGTTTTTAAGGAACGCCTTAGGTTGTAAGATCAAATTTGTTTTTATTGATTTTTTTTCGGATGTTTATTTATGTTATTTACTTTGTCCTAATAAAAGTTTATTTCATTATGTTTGAGTTGTTCTTTCTATTTATGCGTATTTAACTTTTAATGTATATCGTCGAAGCGTTTCGTTAGAGGGTTAATTGTTTTCGTGATTTTTTTAAGGATAAATCGGAGGATAGCCTGCAAGCGACGAGGAAGGATTTGGAGACGGCTCAAAACGAGCGGCAGGAGCGCGAAAAGGAATACAAGCAACTGAAAAAATCTTTAGATTCGGAGAATTCCGCTAACAATTCGCTGCGAGAAGCCGTCGCGAAATTGGAAAAGGACTTGGCCGAGGAAAAAGCGAACTCTTTGAACGTACAAAAGACTCTAACTAGGTACAAGCACAACCAGTTTCATATTTACGTAATAATTCGTTATGATCGTAGGGTAACGTCCGAGAAAAACACCACTCTCGTACGAAACGCCGAAATTTCCCAGCAAATGGAGCTCGTCAAGCAGGACATGAGGCGACAAGAAACCGAAACCAACGAACTCCACCATAAATTATCCGTGTTAGAAAAGGAGAACGCCAAATTGAAAGACGTCGTGCAAGTAGAACAAAGACTGAAACACACCATATCCGAATTGGAGGACCAAATAGCCGAAAAGAATAAGGTGAGTTATTCAAAATGGACGAAGAAGTGTACAATTGCCTTGTGCTAACCTTTTTGCGACACCCTGTATATTTAACATATCACACTAACAGTATCTTCTTCATAATAGTCGCCAATGTGGACTTGAAATTTAGAAAATATGCAGCACTTTTCCCGATTGATACTAGCTAAAGCAATTTCTCAGTTTCATATACTGAAGTAGCAACTCTGATTTGAGTAGTCATTGGGAAAAAACATTTTTTATCTCAACTCGCTGCGCGAGCTCGCCTTCTCTATAAACTTCCAATTCTCCATTAACGTCGGTGAACATTTTAGAACATCAAAACCTTGCAACTTCGGCTGGCGGACATGAAGAAAACCCTGCAACAGGAACTCAGGACGCCGGGCAATCCGAACTACCACTCGGACTTGATGGATTTGAATTCGGCCGCTATTCTGACGCCCACGCAGGTGTCGACCCGGCACTTTCCGTCGTTGGTGCGCAGGGACGACGAGGACGTGAACTTTAGGTATTTGAAGCACGTTGTGTTGAAGTTTCTGACCAGCAAGGAGTACGAGGCGCAGCACCTGATCAAGGCGATCTCGACGCTGCTGAAGTTCACGGCGGACGAGGAGAAGCTGATACAGGACACGTTGGAGTGGAGGAAGTCGTGGTTCGGCAGCAAACCTAAATATCCGGGTGCGAAATTAAAGAATTTCTCCAACAGTTGATGGTTGTTTTCTTTGTATCAGTATTCTATTTAATGCAGCTGGTTTTATGTGGACTTTTATTGAGAACGAACGTTTAATTGTTGAAGATGTAAATTTATTTGGCTTACTCGAAGAGAAAGGTAAATGTACTATTAGTATTAACAGAACCTTCCATTTAGTTCGTTCATAATATCGATTTCGTAAACAATTATTGTATATTTTTAAACGATATTTTAACAGTCTACAAGTGTTTTTGGGATAATAAAGAAATTTATACCATTTCATACAACCTTTACAGTTGCTTCTTCTAGCGCAAGTTTGCTCTCAAATGAAATTGATTCGAGTTCATTTGTATTGTACCTGTACATTCTACCCTACCTCATCGAGAGCTACAGTTAAATTATTCGATTATAATACCCTGCCTTATTAAATATTTAAGCTTTTAAGACATTTCGAAATATTTTTAATTTTAAAACAATGTATAATGCTAATCTTCAAACAATGAGTCCTTTTACCAGTAGTTTTGTATTATTTATAATTGGTTGTGTAATTTTTAATAATTTCCAAAGAGTTTGCACGAGGAAGCTTGATATTTATACCTCTATATAATTTGTAGAAGACAATTTTCATTCCGTTTGTATGTGATATACAGGGGAAAGCATCCTTAACTAACTTTACTATTAGTGAGTAGGTGACTCTGTAAATATGTAAATAAGCTTCACACATATTTATACATTTTTTGAACCAGAGAACATAAATCTTATAATTGAAATTAAGTGTTTTATTAAACCGAAACAATTAAGTAATTAATCAAATCAAATGTACGATTCATGATGATTAGGTCTTGTTTTGTTTATTTTATCTCCCCCTACCATTTTCTACTTTCAGAGCGCTAATATAACGAGCGTAACCCAACATTTATAAATACTTGGGCTTTTGAGAGTGTTATAATAGCAATAGCATTCGATTCTCTGCGATTTATTTTCTTTTTTAAACATGGCACCGGCTTTGTACTCTATACAGACTAGCCCTCCGGTTAGAGCTGTCCAAATGTGTGCCAAAGCTATCGATCTTGATCTGAAACTAATAAATGTGGATCTGTTGGGCGGAGAACATCTGACAGAGGAATATTTAAAGGTAAGAAAAATTGTTTTCCTGAAAGCAGAGGTAAAGTATTAAAGTAACTTGTGAGTGTAGAGGGTTTTCTTCGTTTCCAAATTGAGAATTTTCTAATTTTTATATCTTATTTTATCGTTCTTTATTCTTATTTTCAAATTCAGTGTTTCTTTAGTAAAATAAAAAAAATTGTTTTGTATTTATAGTTGAATTTTAATATGTTATCTATTAGGTAATAACTAACACTGATATAACAGTTCAATTAAATCGTGCTATTATTTTATTTACTCGTTTGTGAAATTGATTTAAGTGAAAATGAATAAGGAAATAAAACGATGCATTTAATTCAAACGAATATGTACTTTAGAAACCTTGAATATACCCGTATGTTAAAAAAAGTGTAAGTTACAATTTAGCTGATTTCATCATAAAAAATGTACCTACTATTTTTACTAATTAAACAAATTACTTTTCAATCGATTGATGTTAAAATTATAGTTAATTGTGTATTGCTGGTTTTCAAGGTACCTAGACTTATAGTAAAATCTAGCTACTAATACACTAGAACTAGCTATTTGTTGGATATTTTCGGGAACACTTTGATTTATTCGGAGAATACAAAATTTAATTTGACCTCTACGCAGATAAAATACGATGTTTGATAATTTTAACGATTTTTTAGTTAGCCATGAATGTCAAATTTGACAGTAATGACAGTAAAAATAAGAAATAGTTGTAATTTTTCTTAAAATGAGCCTACTATAATTTTCTGTTTATTATTTTATCTTAAATAAACGATAAATGATATTAATCTTTAGAACTCATAGAGTATAGTTTCCTATAGTATAAAGTACCTTGCCTTCTTAATTGTTTTTAAATGAAACTATATTTTTTAGTTATTTTATCTACCTCTCAAAATTTGAATGGATATCGCCGTATCATCTAATTTGTACCAACTAAATTTTTTTTGTCTTTTTTTTCTAAATTATAGCTGATATTTTTTTCAGAAAAACCCCCAACACACTGTACCATTACTAGACGATGACGGTTTTCTGCTAGCCGATAGCCATGCTATCATGGTCTATTTAGTATCAAAATACGCTAAAGACGACTCATTATATCCAAAAGATTTGAAAAAAAGAGCTATTATTGATCACAGGCTTCATTTTGATTCGAGTTGTTTGTTCGCCAGAGGAGTTAATATCTCGGTAAGTACTCATATTTTATCCCCCATTTGATTCACTAAAGGCTTCGATAGCGATAATGATATCACTACATTGGCCTTGTACTTAAAGAAAAAACAAACACCAGAAGCTGCAATAATTATAATAGATAAAGCGCATTTGTATATCAAACAAAATATAATTGTTCAATTAAGTCAATTTTCGTGCAATTCATTCGTTCAAATAACGAGTGTGCGATAAACAAGCGAGATATTAGTTTAATTATTACCTAATATTTGAAATGATGCTTCAGTCATTTGAGTAATTATAATTCATCAACAACAGGCTGAAAAATATTACTGTGTCATCCTTTGTTAATTTAAACTATCATTGCTTGATTTCTATAACCCTTATCATTGACATAATAAGTCCTACTTGAACTACTTTTGTGTTTTAGATGGGACTCATCTTCTTCGGTGATAAGTCAATCGATCCTAAGAAGCTACAAGGTGTCGAGGAAGCTTATGGAATCGTGGAAAAGTTCCTGGAGGATAGTCCTTATGTGGCAGGGGACAGTTTATCGCTAGCTGATATTAGTTTCATTACAACCATCACCTCGTGGAATGTGTCTATTGCTCCGGTGAATGCAGCCAAGTACCCAAAAATTACAGCTTGGATAAAAAAAATGCAACAGCTGCCTTACTATCAGGAAATTAACCAACACCCGTTGAATGTATACGAGAAACTAGTGAAGAGCAAATTATCTAAATAGGTTAAAGGGTTTTAATCGAATTATTATATGTTTTAATATTATATTCAACGAATAAAAATTCCAAGTCTACATATTCAAGAATTCATAATTGCTTCTCTTAATATTAGTAAATAAAACTGTCATTTTAATCATTTATTAATTAAGTACTTTATAAGTACCTACTTATTTCTTATTATAAGTATTTGAACGAGTAGATGACAATTTATTTTCAATCCTTTTTTAATGTGATATACAGGATAAGGATCCTTTTTATTACCTTTGCTATTAGGATTAGTATGTAAGTTCTTTGTAAATATGTAAATAATTTTCACACATTTTTTAACCAGAATACATAAATGTTACAATTGGAAGTAAGTAAGTGTTTTATTATACGAAAACCATTAAAAAATTAAACAATTAAATTTAATAAACACAATATCATTCAAAATGATTAAGTCTGGCTGGTTATTTTATCTCCCCTACCATTCTCTGGTCTCTCAGAGCGCTAATATAACTAGCGCGCAACACAACATATAAATACATAAGGTTTTAACAGTGTTTATAATAATAGCAATAGCTTTCGATTCTCTGCGATTTACTTTATTTTATAAACATGGCTCCGTCTTTGTACTCGATGCAAACTAGCCCTCCAGCTAGAGCTGTCCAAATGTGTGCCAAGGCCATCAATCTTGATCTGAAAATAATAAATGTGGACGTGATAGGCGGGGAACATATGAAAGAGGAATATCTAAAGGTAACAAAATTATTTTCTTTAAAGTGTAGTGTTAAAGTTAGAGAGGTGTCTTTATTTATAAATGAAGAGAATTTTCTAATTTTTCCTTCCGAACAGGAGAACTTCAATTTTAATTTTTTTATCCAAGTTTTACAAATTTTACAAGTTCAACCAACTGTCAAGGGTTATTCATTATTACTGTATAATAGTCTATTATCGTTCTGTTATCAATTCGTTGATTATGTTTTTAATTACATTTTTTTCGTTAGTTCATTATATTTTTACTGACTTTCAAATTAAGCATATCTACTTAATTATAGTTATTAAAAAAAGTATCACTACGAAGAATGCAATTTTAAGGAAAATATTTCATAAAAGATTTATTATATTACATATTTATGGCTAAATTTAGATAATTACCAACAGATTCGTGATAGGACTTTTTAATTAGCTCATAATCGTTTGATAATGATTACAATTATTTACCAATAATTGCCAATATTTAAATCATGCTATTTTAATTATTCTTTTAAATTATTTTAAATGCAAAGGAATAGTGAAATAAAACGTTGCGTTTAATTCAAATTAAGTACCTAAATACGCAATTCACCAGCCTTGAATTACGAGTATGGTAAAAAATTGTAAGTTACAATTTAGTGAATTTATGGTACTCACGAATAATCATCAAAAAATGTATCTATTGTTATTAATTAAACAAATTAAATTCAATTGATTGATGTTAAAACCTAGTTAATTATATAGGTAAATAATTAATGCTATTTCAAGGTAGGTATACATAGTAATATCTACCTAGTAGTAACTTTTTAAGAAGAATAAAAAAATTACCTAAAATTACCTAATTATTAGAAGAAGGTGTAAAATAAAACTTTAAAAAATTGGATTCAATGGTAGTAATTTAATTCTCATATAATTTAACCATGAATTTTTTTACTAACGAATATACCTATAAGTTGTTGTTAAATATTCTTGGGAACACTTTCATTGATTCATGGAAGAAACAATTTAATTTGACGTCTATTTAAAATAATACGATTGTTTGATAATGTAATTGTAACGTAAGTTGGCAATGATTGTCAAACTTGACAGTAATGACAGTAAAAGTTAGAAATAATTGTCATTTATGTCAAATTTTTCGTCGTCCTATTAATTTCCTGCATATTGTTTTATCTTAATGTCATTTATCTTCAGAGCCTAAGTATTTTCAAGTACCTATACTTGACGCGTTTGGAAGACGGAGTAATAAACACATTAATCAGCCGAAGTCCACCCGGGGTGTAAACGAATCGCCGATATCACTCACTCCCCATTGGCCAACCTAAAAGTTGATACTCTGTGAATGGTTTTGAGTAATTGTAGGCGATGTGCGAAATTTCTATCGATCGAATCGATCATTGTACAGGATTTTGCCGTACAGGGGTAGGGATATTTTGGAACCGCCTGACATTTTTATTACTCCGTCTTCCAAAAGCGCCAAGTATACATTTTTTTTATACATACATATAACCTGTTAATTGTTTTTAAATAAAGCCCTATTTTTTAGTTATTTCACCTTCCTCTTCAGAAACTACCTTGTTAAAAATCAACTAATTCTCATTCCGACTAATTTTTTTATCAAATGTTCCATGGCCATCATCGTTGTTTTTTTAGATCACGAATAAATTATATTAACAATTAACATATTGAATTTTTAAAACACATCTGGTAAATATTCATGGAATTTTGTGAGTGCATTAGTCCTACAAATATCCAAATAGTTAAAAACAACTCCGTGATAAGATTGTTAGGAAATTTAATATCAACCGTATTTGAATTTATTGGTCCACTTCTATAAAAAAGTTATTGGTTGCTTAATCAAAATTAAACTCCTCCTTATTTTAATCATTTACAATAACACAGTCAAAGAAGCTCTCATTTCGAAAACTTATAATTACTTAGAATAATTAAGATATTATTTATCAAATTTAATAAAATTTTTTTAGAAAAACCCTCAACACACCGTACCATTGCTGGACGATGACGGTTTTCTGTTAGCCGATAGCCATGCTATCATGGTGTATTTGGTATCAAAATACGGAAAAGACGACTCATTGTATCCCAAAGATTTGAAGAAAAGAGCTATTATCGATCACAGACTTCACTATGATTCGAGTTGTTTGTTCATCAGAGGACTTGTAATCGCTGTAAGTATTTTATCCGTCAATTTGAATCACTAACGGCTATCCCGTATGTGATAATGATTAATGATATCACAAAATTGGCCCTGTACTTAAACAAACAACAAACAGAGGCATTTATAAATAGATATTAAAAGTGCATTTGTATATCAAGCAAACTATAATTGTCCAATTAAGTTAATTTTCTAGCAATTCATTCCTTCAAATAACGAGTGTTTGATAAAATTTTCCACAAGTATTTTGTAGCATTCGGGTGATTATTTTCAATTTATCTAGTATTTGAATGCACGCTTCGGTGATTTGTATAATTATATTTCATCAACAAGAGACTAAAAATTGCATATGTAGGTAATCCTTCTTTTATCAGTTCGATACATACAGCTTCTATTCTAGAAAGGAATTCTCTTCCAAGGTGAGAAGACAATCGATCCTAAGAAGGTAGAAGCCATCGAGGAATCGTACCAAGTCGTGGAGAAGTTCCTGGAGGAAAGCCCTTACGTGGCAGGGGACAGTTTATCTTTGGCTGATTTGAGTTTCGTTACTAGCATCATCACATGGCATGTGACTTTTGCTCCGGTGAATGCAGCCAAGTACCCAAAAATTACCGCTTGGATAAAGAGAATGCAAAAATTGCCTTACTATCAGGAGGTTAACCAAAAAGGGCTAAAAGATGTGGAGGCAACAATAAAGAGCAAATTAGCTAATTAGATTTAAAGGGTCCAATTGAGTTAAAATATATTTTAATACGAAACTCTCAACGAATAAAATTTCCAAGTTCAGTTATAAAAATTCTTTTGTCGAAAATGAAACGAAATAAATCTAGTTCGAGCAGTTTATTGAAATCTTACTTACAATACGGGGTTTGTAAACTGGAATCTACATGTGCAGTAATTTTAATCACTAATTAAATACATGAAAAGTTCATAGCAATTACTAGACTGCAGCGGTTAATTTTTAAATAGTCGCTAGTCGTTAAGAATTACCCAGTCTTAAAATTGCAGGTGTTAGGTAAACGTTTCTACAACTTGTTTTCTTAAAAACTATAACGCAGGAGCCAAACTTGTTTTATCACAGAAAAATATATTCGATATAAATCTGGAACGTACAAAAAGCGAAGAGTTTGACTCTTTACGTTTGTACACGCTTTCTGCCGAAGGTTCACATTTTCCCACAACCTTTTATTAGTCAATAATAAAGATACAAATAATTACTATTGATAATCAATTTTCTAATTTATTTAGTTCACTGGTTGTAGAAAAAATCTTCACTTACATAACTAACAACTTTATTTGTCGATCACAAAAGTCTTACAATTTTTACGATATGTTATTTGCAATTAGAAGATATTTAAAGTTGGTTTAATATTATTATACTGAGAGGGTATACAATGTTACACAATTTACGAGATTAAAAACGTATTTTTTAAATAGTTTTTTTAAATGGTATGGATATCTATAAAAATATAAGTAGCAAATAATTACGATTTCATATAGGGTGTACCAAATAAACTGTTCGTTATAGAGATTTATGTGTTATGGTTTTAGGTATAGGAAACCTACGATATTTAAATAGGACATACCATACCTTACCTTAAAAAGCATTAAAGCTATTTACACAATTTTATATTGTTATTACTACCTATTTACTACATCCTTCTCACTGTTTTTGTAAAACAGCGAGAGATATATGAAAAAAAAATTGCACAGTGACACAGCAAAATTAAAAACATACTGTAATCGACAGTTTATTTGGTGTGATTATTATCAGTACTCATGATAAAAATCTGTAATTGACTATCAAATTATTCTACCGAAATGATTTAAGTATTATGACTTTAGTATCTCATTAAAATCTACCCGGTAGTAATTCGATGGCCACATTTTGACTCGCCTTGTAAACCACAAGCGAGTATTGGATACATTTTATAAACGATTCCAAAAATTTCAGCAAATTGAGCAGGAAAAACATTCATACAAACGAATTTGAGACAAATCTCAAATCTTCGCTTGCTTAGATTTACTACAGCCTAAAACTTCTTACAAAGCCGTACGTTCATCGTACACTATAACAGCCTCATTGTCGACCAAAGAATCCGTGTCCTTGTGCAGGAACTGGCTCCTGGATTTGCTTAAAGCTATTATCGCGGCCTCGTCGTTGCGCATTCGATTTTTTCGTTTTTTACTAAAGTTTACCTGCACAAAACATCTCATTTACCACAACATTAAATAATTATTTCGCATTTACCTTAGCGTATAGATCGTTAATATCGTCTTCTGTCGATAGAGGCCTAGGTTTCGACCTCACCCAGGCCGGTAGGCTTCTGGTCTTCAGCGAAGGTTCCCCAGAAACCTTATCCTCTTTGGTTCCAACTTCATCTAAAACTGGAGTTAAACAGCGCATAAGTATCGACGAAATTAATTAGAGAAAGTTCGATAACAAAATTCGTGATTGTGGTAATCTCAACGAAATAAACCGACCCTTCTGGGGAATTTAAAGCTAGGCTTAACGCGAGTTTTCTTCGCGTTTCGCCCGAACGAGAGCCGGCAGGACGCGAATGGGTAGTTGTAAATTAAAATTTAATATGGGTTGCTAGACAAAAGAGACGGGCTCGAGTCGAAATAACCGGTGATTACGAAACGAACCATTTAGTTTCGCGAACAAAGCTTTTAATTATTGCAACTAGCAGGAGCACCGCTAGGCGCCGTAATTATGGAATAATATTTATTTAAGCTGGTGAAATATTCGGTGTGTTTAATTGAAATGGAGGGTCAAAAAAAAACCGGCCGTAAAAATTTCAGCGGGACGATTTGCATAACCGTTTCGTATAACTCCTCGTTCTTCAGATGGATCACGTTTTATGCTAGCACTTCCGAGGGTCGTAAAATCCACCAGATTTCGAGTTACACGTGAGATGTTACGTAGGATTTTCAACCTGTTTTGTTCCCTTTTTTTACGTCTACCTATGAGCTTTATGCTTTATTGATAGATCCTTGTGAATCTGGGTACAAAAAAGCGCAGGTAGGGTATTTTTAAAAATGCATCAAATCAGTCAGGATTCGAGGGAAGCTACTTACTGCTGCTCGAAGCGTATTGCGGGCTGCTGGGAGAAAACTCCGAGATCTCCGGCAGAGGCGTTTTCGGTACGATCTCCCCGTTCAAATTCTGCGGAATGGGCTGGCTGAGAGGTCGCTGTTTCCTCATAGAAGACTTGCTCGTTGAAGGAGCCTAAAAACATTCTCTCCTTAAACACAACATGTATTCGATCGTTTATTAAACGTACGTTATTAGAGGAAGTCCCAGGATTGCTCGAGCTCCTGGGAACGGGGCAAATACCGGGACACTGCGTGCACTGGGGCCCTCCTATGACCCTGGGAATGTACCAAGGGCTCGGCTGCGCAGGCGCCACCAGGCGGTTGCTGTACCCCCAGGTGCAGCCCTTCTGCTCGGCGAAGACGGCGGCTTGGTTGGGGTGCGCTGGCGGTACCACCGCCGGTACTTGGGTGCCCGTCGAGTTATCCGCTTTCCGAAGACCTGAAGGAGTTTCTGAATAAGAAGCTGGGATATTTTAAGCCTCATCGATCGTTTAAAAGGCGTTACTTTTTACGGTTATTACATTGAAGCCGGACGCGGTCATTTCGCTGGATAAATAATTATTTACGATCTACGTAAAGGCGAAGTTAATGGGCTATAATTTTTACAATTTACGAAGATAATGTTTATCGTTTTGGCGTTATAATAAACCACGTTTTTTCGTTGATTGTATTCGATTTTAGCGAAATAATTTATGCAGCTTAGAAAATTCGCGTAGTGCGGAGAAATTATCGTTTCGATTATTTATAGCGATAATTTGGGGCGATAATATTGGCGGTGCAACATCGGCCCGAAGCGTTTACCGTCAGAGACTTCATTTCCTCCCGAAGCGCAGCAAGTCTTCACAGGAAATTGAACCGATCGAAAACTGTAAATACGCATATACGTGCACTTCGGATTTATCAGAATTATGCGATGTGGAAATGGCACTTTTCCAGTCAGACGAATTTAATCCGATTGCAAATATCGTCGAGCTAATAATAACGCGAGCGCATATAAAACTCCGATTCAAAGGTCTTTCCTTAACTCGTAGGTTGATTTCCCTTCAGGATTCAGGGACCTTCGGGATTGTTTAAAACAACAACACTTATTCATTTCGCTTGATGCAAGGTCCGGGGGTTCGAAAATAGAAGTGTCAACAAAGACCTAATGTATCTAAAGCGATATAAATAGCGCGGGATTATTTTTGGATGCATCCAAACAAAACTAATTCGATGACACAAATATTTTCTGCGTGAATTTCTGGTGGTTTTACTATCACAAGAAAATCGAGAAGACCACGACTATTTTTTAATTTTGTTTTTGCAAAATAGTGTGTCCTAAAAAGGCGATTGATGAAATTTTTATTTTTTTCTGTGGCCAAATAAGGCCGCAATTAATTTTTAAAGTTTGAAAAACGTCATACCGTGTACGCCAATCAGAGTGAGAGTTGAAATTAAAAGTCACATTTAGCCATGTTGCCACATTCCTTAGTACCCTTCTCTACTCCTCAAAATGTGCGGTTTTTGTATATTTATATGACAAATGACAGTTTGTGACAATTCTTAATTAATCTTAATGTCAATTTTTAATTTTCATCAGGATAATTTAATAAGGGGGTAAGGGCATTTCGAGGTGGAAGAGGGTTCCATTTTGGTGACGTATGAAAAGTCGCAAAAGTCAGTCTGGCGCAAAAATTGTATAGTTCATGTTAACTATAAATGACCAATATCTTTCTCTTCGTTTATGAATAAAAGTCAAATAACACACAACGCACATATAAAAGCAATTATAAATGTTCAAAACACAACATTAGGAACCATTTTTGAATTCAAATTCATTAAAATGTTCTAATGTGACACTTTTGTCACAACTTTTGACACTTTTGTCACTGTTTGTTGCCAACCTAATTTGACTTCTGCGTTCCCCTTACCTCAGTCACCCTCTTCTCTAAAGTTCGACCTAATGCCGCTACCCCCTTATTAAGTTATCCTGATTTTCATAGAAATTGATTAACTGCTGGTGCCCGGTCTATGTTATTACCGGTACACTCAGCCTCGTTGATGATCTTAGCTTGCTTAAGGTATAAGTAAAAGAGTCAAGCGAAATGATCTTACAAAATTGCTTCTCCCTGCGCGGCATCACGCAGCACCGGTAGAGGAAGAAGGCGCACAGCAGGCAGACGACGAGAGCGGCCCCGCAGAAGACGGCGGCGAGCAGCGGCAACTTTTCGGAAGATATCTTCCAGCCCCTGGTTGAGGCCGTGGTGGGCTCGGGCCACATGCTAGCCGTTAGCGTCACCCACTGCTGTTGCAGCACCACGCCGCCTCCGACGTCCACCGAGTACACTGGCTGCCCATCATCACCTGGAACAAATACAAATTCTAGAGTCCGATGGAGTCCATCAGCATAGGAAATTCTACCAGGCGTATTTACCTATGTATTAGCGCGAAATAGACGAAGTTTCTTGGCAAGAGAACCCGGGGAACTTTATAGTTTATACCTCCTCGAGTAATTAAAATCCCTCGGGAAAAATAAATTTATTTGACAAGAGGTAGGTACTTAGTAATTAAACTTTTTGAGCGAGGAATTACGGAGGTGTAGCTTCGTTAAGACGGAAATTTTAATTAGGCACGAGCGAATAATAAATTGGTAGATTCGTTTGATTTATGGAAATATAGTATTTCATACACAAACGAATAAATACCAATAATAGACAAATCAGAAGCATAATTATGCGGTAAATAGACTCCGGTAAATTTCCTAATCTAGAGTATCTAATTGGTGGTATAAATAATAATGGTTAATAAATAATAACCAGAAATAATGTCTCTTTTAGGAATAAACAGAATATGCTTGTGCTGCTTTGGGATTTATGTGAACTTATTTGTTTGTCACATGGAAAATGCCAGCCTTTAATGGAGTTTTAATTAAATCTGGCTCTGTTACAACCACTGTGGCATATAATTCCATTATTTGTTTACTTTTTCATTTCCCTAAAATGGCTATTTCATAGGCTGGAACAACGATACTCGTATCGTACAAATAAACAATGCCAAAAAAAATTTGTGCACTCTAAAAATGTTGTTTTTCACGTATGTACGAATTAATATATTTAATTTCTGGCGACTTTTGTTCGATATATTTGTTTTATTTGAATAAATATTTAAAACTTTAATCCAAGACCAGCGAGGGAAACCTTATAACAAGATAACAAAGTAGAGCAACTCGGAAAAACCAAGTCGACAATTTCATTTACTGCAAGGTCGAAATTGATTTTTAGAATCTATTTTACATTAAAATATATTTATAATTTACATACCTCTATCGCTGAATACAAGGAATAATTAACAAAAGCTGTCGCTTCCCATTAGCCCTCGTAGGCGGATTGCGAATCCATAAATAATTGTGCAGAAAGGGTAGATATTTTCTGATCGTTCTTAATAGATATCGATTGGTTCTTTTTCGCTAATTCTTTGCCTTGAACTTGGTAGAATTCGTAGGCTTTAATCATAATAGACCCTCGGCCATTTCTTTAAGGTCGCAGAACATTCGAGGTAAAAGGTTTTAAAATAGAGATGAAAGGGCATCACAATGGGTTTTGCGTGGGAAATCTACACCTACGTTTTTTCGCTTGTGTTATTTACTAAGTTATAGAACGCCTGGATATCAAGACGATTTCCAAACAAAAAATTTGTACTCAAGATAGAGCTAATATAGTTTTTTTGGAATAAAAATCGTTTACTTTTTATACCCTCTCGGGAATTTTCCATTATTTTAGTAGGACAAGAAAATGCAAGAACCTGCAAAAATGTTTTTAAAAACTTTTATATGCTCTCTGCTAAAGAACTATTTTTATAATATAATGGGACTACAAATTACCAAATAAATAGCTTATTTCCTCGATTTTTCCTTAATATACCAATTAAAGACAATAATTTTTATTCATTCGGTTTGCACATTTGAAATACTGTCTAATGGAGTGAAATGTATAAGCCATTTGACAAGTGTTTGGACCAAAAAAACCTAATAGGAATTCTATTCATCGTAGACACATAAATTTATCCCGACATACGTTCCAAATGTGTTAAAATACACCTTCAACGAGTTATAGGGGGCGAAAATGCAGACATAAATTTCCCATTCAGCCATTTAGAAAAATGTCGTCAGATCGAAGTGAATAAAAGTAGGTTTGCATTAAGTAAATTAAAAAAATCGCAGACATCTCCAGCATAAATTGTGGTAGATATTAAAGATGAGTTTGAATAACCCGAATGTTAAATTCCTTGTTTGACTTTCGAACATTTGATCGCGATGTTGAACTCCCCGAATTAGTTTTGAACTTGCTACAATGCGATGAGAGGGCTTTGAATAGGGTACTGATAAAACTTACGTATGGAACATTTGGAAACTTGGTAATACGTTTGTAATACTTTCATTACCTATTTACCCAACTAGAATGTAATACCTATTAATTACAAGCGTCACCTCTACATTTACTAAGTTTGATTGTACAATTACCTAGACCTAAAACTCTATAAGAATATATCTGAGGCTGGAGTAAAAAAAGTTACCCAAAGCTCTTTCGCTTTATCTAACTCAAAGGAATCTCTTTAATTATTTATAGTCTAACTACTCCAATATGAACGAAAAAGATGCGAGTTAGAAACGAAATTAGAACCTACCCAACCCTCAAAATTTAATTAGCTGTAATGGTTCACTTTCGGTCATCATCAACAGCCCGAGTTTACTGAAAAAAATTATTCCCAAGTGTTTATAAATAGGCGTAAATGTAAAAAAGTAACACATGTGTCTCGTCGCAGAATATGCACAAAAAACGCTAAAGAATAGGATTTTTTGTTCGTCCTTTTAAGTTTGATTGATGAACCTTGCGTGTCCCATTCCAGGCCGCTTGTAGGTAAAATATGAACATCTTAATTTGAACTGAAGTTAAAAGACAGTTAAATTGGACTCGAGAGTAATAGGGTTTTAAGTTAAATGAAAGTGATTACTTTTTATGTGCGTTGGTTTCATTAAAATTTATTTTACGCTCTTTTATTGCGGAATTACTACATTCGAATACCTTTTATAAGGGTAATATGCTTAATAACCCAATAAGGGTTCTACAGGGTGAGATTTTGATAAATTCGTACGTGTAATTTCGAGCCAGTTAATATTATTTTTTATTGATAATAATGGTGGGAGCTTTACCGTCCACGTGTAGCGTTTATGTATTCTTCAATGTTATCTACCAACATATTGCGAATGTTTAGGTAATATATGTCCCTTAATGTTTCCATATCTATCAAAATTCTCGCCTTCCCCCGTAATTTGTAGCATTCTGTTGAGATATTTTACGTCTTCGTCGAAACGACATTCAATTTTCTTTCCGTTCTGGAAAACGGATTTCATTTGTTACGTGCTTATTTTCTTACAGAAATTTTCAGAGCATTTCCACTGAATTGGACGCCTTGTATTCCCTACATTACTTTGGCCGGGTAATTTCTTATTATTCTTAGTATTACATTGTGTTGGTTTTAGAGAAAATTATCTCATCTCTTTGTAGAGGGTGAATCAACTTTTTAATTAATTTGATTGTCTTCATTGCATGGTCAAGCCACCCTGTATAATATAAATTAATTGCCTGTACATTGCCTTATTTATTAATATACGTTGCATATTAATATGATTATATTTAATGGCCGCTTCCAGTTCATTTCGTTCGACGCCGAAGTCCATAAATTTCAATCGTTCGTATTTTACGATCTAACACCTACATGCTATTAAAGTTTATATCTTTAACGCGAAAGTTACCTGCACACACTTCCATTTCTATTCGTATCACGTCCGGGGGAGTTTAAGGGAAAACGTGGATAATATGTAGAAAAAGTTATCGGCCAGTATTAAAAGGAACGGTTTCGATACACTTGTGGGAATTTCGTCCTTTCAGATCGAAATAAACGTCGGCCTATTGATAGTTTCTGGTGAAATATTAAACTGCAGAGTCTATGAAGGGACTGTTCGAATTATTTTTGTCGATGCGCTAATTCGGGAGAATGAATAATATCAATTTATCGAGTGGTAATTTGGTATTAAAATCACTGCGCATGTTATTGGAACGATACTAAAACTATTCGCGATAATTTAATGCTATACTATGTGGTTTAAAATGGCTATTTTGTATTTTGTGGTTTGGTTATTTAATTTTCTGTAGGTGTAATATTCAATTTTACTCACCCGTATATCACAAATACGTTACTCAATCGTCACACATTCGCAGGCTAGGTCACAGCGACTAAATTAACAATAAATATTCCAAACTAATTGTAATTAAGTATGAGCATTCCACCGACTTTCGTGAAATCAGGGCCGGATTAACGTTGAATTTTGCCTAATGGAAATGCATACAAAATTTTATAGTCACTTAGATATTAGGCATTATAAATCTATGTTAATAATTATAGAAGGATTGTAAATTTCAGTCAACCCCTATGAAGGAATTGCTTTCATTGAAACCTTGAAAATCTGCCAAGACTAGGCTGTCTAGGCTGAAGGTTTTCATCCATTCTGCTAACATGGCCAGAATAAATTAGTTTCTACGCAAGATATGAGGGTAGCTACATAAATTCCTTGCCTTGGAACCGTTTATTGAACTAAATCTAGGTCAGGTTGGGAAAGTTTTATGGAAATGTTTACTCATTTTTCGAAAATTGTAACTTTTGTTTTCGAAGATTTTAATAGATTAAAATGGAATGATAGATGCTGAATGGGTGTTATTTGATCAACATTTTTTGAGTAGCTACCTCTGTAAATTGTACAAGTAAAAAATGCACATTTTTAATTCATTTACACATCTTTGGTATCAGAACGAAAATCATTGATAACTATCCATAAAAATTTAAATTTCCTATTTATAAATTAATATGTAAATATGAGAATTGCAGTAATAATTAAGTGATCCGTCTCTGGAAAAAAACTAAAACGAGTTACATACATATTAAGTGTATTTGTTTACCTTGATATTTGTTGATATCCACGTGAGGCGACATGAGCGAGGATACCGCTTTCGCGGTGGTACCCATTATTTTTGTAATAATTAGTTTTTTATTGGAATTATTTCTCGCAAAAAGCGAATTGTTGCATTATTACGGGAACACGCTAAAAACGCAATTATTCACGATCGAATCGTAATTGTCGCGATAACTTATATGCTAGATGCTATGCAGTAACCACCACTAACCACGGCAAACAAGTAACAAGTAACAACTGATTCGTGCGAGAATGGGGAATAGCAGGATCCTTTCTCCGATGTTGCCAGTTTTCCTATGTAAACACAAATTTTTCTCTTTTATAATTTCATTGAAAATTGTATCATTACTATACTTTTTTGAATTTTTTTCACAAGAGCTCAATTTTTGGACTTTGCTATATTTAAAAAATGGTGGATGCACATCAGTTCCTCCGCCATTTTTTAAACGAAATTAGAGGTAAAAAATATTTCTCACTTACTGAATTAGATTTTTATTTATAGAAAATTTCCCGTGAATCATGAATCAAATTTTCTAGCACAAAATTCTTGTACCTAATAAAATTAAATTGATATAAAGCACCTAACCAATTGAAAAACCACATCACTCTGCATATTATCTTATCACCCTGTATACCTTAAATACCATCATTCAAATACCATTATAAGTAGTTAATACTACAATAAGTATGCACCTTCCATATACAAGCGCTACAATAATACTAATTACCCGTCAATTTACCAAAGTAATTAGCACATTGTATAAATTCTCCCAGTGACAAATTTCCCTAACAACAATGCAATATCAGTGAATTTGGCAACGTGTTGGTACATTCCGGGATTCCGTGTTGTCTGTAGCGCCGAGAGGCGCAGCATGTGGCCTGTGGGCGCCCGTGCCCGGCGCGTCGCGACGCTTTGTGCGATAGAACAAACGGAGCGCCGCGGCGTCGACGACGTCCAACGCGAAATCTGTTAGCCGTCGAATGTTACGTCACCGGTTACGCGAAACAACCCTTCGCAACGACGCCCACGTCGAAACGTGAGCCGACGCCGATGGTGATTTATAAATTTATTTAGCCTAATTGGTTATTCCGGGGATTTGGTTTTAATAAAAATCCGTCCGGAATATGACACGTTTACGGGCTCGTCGCGTCGGTGCGATATTTATCAGTTTGATGAGTTCGAAAATAAATAAATTTTTGGTATATTAATAACCCAGGGAACCCCCGGAATGGTTTAAAACACTGCAAAATGTGTTGGATAAATATATAATTCTCAGCAGTACTTATAAAAAAACCTAAAAAACCACAAATTTACAAAACCAAAGTGTAGTAACGTAATATGTACAAAAAAAATAAATACCCCGAGATTATACTTACCTATACAAACATTTAAACCTGAAGCAAACTGGAGTTACTAAAATTGTTTGTTTTCTTAAAACGTATAAAACAATATAGAGAAAGTTTAATCGCAGCATAAGATAATTTTACTTTAAAAGTTGCCAGGTAAACTCTTGCGGAAAAGTCGGATAATTATACGGAAACCCACACCGAGAAGATATATGTACTTACGACGAGAAAAACGAAATTACCTGCTGTATTTAACTAGTGAGTTATAGGCAGGAATAACGCGAGCTGTAAAAAGTTTATTACACAAAGACGTTGAGTAGGTACAGGAAAAAATCCCGAGGATTTTTCTCCAAATTCGCAAACAAAGGCTTTACTGCGGTTTGTTTTATTCAGTAGCATTTCGAGCCGCGTTGTCGGTAAAAAAATCGATTTTTAAACGTTATTCGAGAGGAAAATGGTCGATGTAAAGTTTCCTGCGTTAAATGAAAAGGAGATTTTTTTAATCTTCGGCGAAGAGCGCTGAGATGAAAGAGCCTTTATACAGGACTTGTTTGTTTTACTACCCAAGGATTCCGGGCGGCGTTGTTAGTCCATTATGTAAATAAAGCTGACCACCTACAGGCTTTAATGATAAAGGAACTCCTTTGAAATTATTCATAAAGGATTACAACACGAAAATGAGAACGGATAAAAAGAATGATAATTATTTAAATATGCGAGTATATAAAAACTTAATTATAATTAAGGCAGAAACACTTTAAATTATTATCGCTTGGGTACATCTTTACTTTGTTTTTAGTAAATGTTTAATATACTATTCAATAGTATACAACTCATAAACTCAACTTTCTTATAACAACCTCGGGAAATACTAGAAAAGGGTGCCGTGGTGGTCAATTATTTATTCATTACACATTCTACAACCCTTCCTCTTGAAAACCCTTTCACCCCTAAGTAATAAAATAATAAGGAATGAGTCACATTTTCGAGGGAACTTTACTCGTTGACTGAATTTTAAATATTATCTGTATACCGAAGTAACAAACTATAACAAAGCCTTTTGGGCAACTCTGCGATGTTCTAAAGCTTTTTGTTTTATGTATAATGAAGGTAGTGTTATCTTTGTAATTTTGTTAAGGCATTTACTATATGAAGGGTGCCTTAAGGAAGTACCTGAATATCAAGCAGTGTCAGAACATATTGTTAAAGGACCTAGCGGAAATGGAAAACTGTAGATTATATATCTGCTAATTAATAATGTTTACTGATTGACCACAATATTACGAGTTTTATTACTTCCAAGAGGTAGCTTTTCTGGTACATTTCAGATAAAAAATAATCGATAAATACAACCTTCTCTCCTAAGCACTTTGAATAAATAAACACTCGCAGGATTGGAAGTGAAATACACCTACATAAGAGGAGTCAATCTTCTAAATTTAAAACAGCTTTCAACTTCTAGCGCTTGGGCTGGAATTAATGTGGGGTTTCTATCAAAAGCCGTCACTTTCTGTGCTACATAATGCAAAAGTGCAAAATAAAAATAAACCGATCAAAGTGCAATTTTGGGAGATCAGTAACTTTGCGTTGTTTTTAACGAGATTGGAGCTTAAAATAACGCTATCCAGAAACGATCCGAGCTGTAATCTTTAATTAACTTATTTTAAAATAATTAAAGCTTTACATAGTAGTCTTTACACTATAATCTTTAGTAGATTTTATAAATATTTGGGGAAATGGGTGGCCTTCAAAGGTCATTGCCCAAAAATGTTGAGGCTTGCGTAACATAGTAAACATGGATATATCCCGAAGGAAAACCAGGTTGAGTACCTTTTTGTCCTAATATTACTGTATTATACGTGTAGAGTTGTACAAACAATATTTGAATCATACTAAATAACCATTTTATTTATATTTCAACTAAAACAACCAACCAGATTTCCATCAGGATCCCTGTGTTTTCATTTATTTACACCCCTATACTAACCTTATGTGAGCTGTAATTAATCTTCTCGATTTAAACGCAGAATAAAGTATAGCACCAATTTAATAATTTAGGCCCTTTCGGAAAACTACCGTTTCACTAATAAATAAATAAAACATAATAAAGGCACGCAAAAATATAAAAGATGATATGTAAATGGCCCCGGTATCTGGGCAACCGATGAAACGCTTGCGCATTTCGGCGACGGTGAGGGTTTAATTTCGACTTTATTGAGGGTAAGAGATTTATTCGTAGTCCAAATTTAAAATAATCATTAAAATATTCTAATTATAGGAAAATTGATTCATAATTTATAACAGCCATTTATAGGGGTAAAATGCTCACTTTTAAATTATTTTAATTTTTTTTCTAAACTCGTGTAGAGAAATTTAAATGTATATCGTTAGCTATCAAATGAAATATTAAAGATTTTTTTATAAATAAATGATAAAAAATATCTGAATTTTCAAATTCTATTGTTATTTTAATGCAGGTGTAAATAACATCCGAGATTATTGTCCAAAATTGTATTCTAAGTGTACAAATAAATACCATTAACTCGTTTATAAACAAATAAGAAAAATAATGAATTTCCAAAATACAAAATTTAAAATTCAAAAATGACAACCAATCGTTTATCAAATCACCCTTTAACCTTTCTTATCTTTGTTTAACTAACTCAAATAGTATTCGTGTCCTTTTCCTAAATCAGTCAAAAATATAGAGCAAAGGTTTATTTGACGTTTGAATACAACCAATGAAAATATCGCATCGGCACCACGTGACAGAAATCTCCGCTAGCCGATTGGTCGAGTTGAGGTAGGTCGTGGCGGTGGAATCGATAAACGTTACGAAGTGGGCGAATCTGTCAAGGAAATCGATTGTAGGTTAAGTACTCGAGAAATGTCAAAATAAAAATTTAAAGGTCTTAGCACATCTGCAAGTAAAACGATGAATTCAAGAGCAAAATGTAAAATAAATTCAGATGGCAGCGTTTGCTTGTTAAACATAGTAAATTCGTTCAACTCATCGATCAAAGAAGAACATGCATGGGCATTATGCTATCAAATTGCGAGGTACTTCGACGAATGCCTGGAAAAAAACAAACAAAAATCGTACATCATTAGCGAAATGCAACATGTTTACTTGAAAACAGATGGCACGGTGCACGACAACACTGGCGTAACAGACGACGACAGGGCCCCACAGAACGAACTTCACATCATCAGAGGTATAGGTGTCGTAATTTACGCCACGTTAGATTCGGAATTCCAAAGCGGAGAAGAGAAAGTCATCAGTTACGATTTAGAGCAGCTCATCAGCGACCTCATAGCGGACGACGCCAGCAACGCGGACAACGCTCACCACGAAACTGACGATGAAGGCATCGAGCGAGACTCGGGGGAGACCGAAGATCCGGGAGCATCGAGACCCTCGCATCCCATCACCCTCAAAGACGTTATCAGAAAATGCGAGACCCACTTGGGGTACTTGAGCAAAGCTCAGGCCGAGGCTCACTACAAAGCCGTGGTTAGAGCTCTGGTGGCGGAGGCCATAGAATTGTCTACGTTCTTGGAAAAAGTCGCTCAGGGTAGCATAAGCTTGCCCTCGAGCAGCAACAGTGATCAAATTCAGTTCTCCGATTGGGCCAAGTTCTGGGTGCAAGTAATGAACGAGCTTCGAACGGGCGTTAAACTGAAAAAAGTCAACTTCACCAAAGCTCCCATCGAATACGAACTCACCCCGTACGAAGTCCTCATGAAAGATATCAGAAATTGTAGGTACAATTTGAGGAAAATCATGATAAACGGCGACGTGCCATCGAGGGTTTCCAAGGACGCTCACGGCATAATCTTGGAGTTCATCCGGTCCAGGCCGCCCTTGAAAAAGGCCAGCGACAGGAAAATCGCGCCTCACACGAGACAGTTAACACCGCGCGAACAACTCCTCTCCTCCATTAGGAAAGGAAGGAAGCTAAGACCCGTGCCAACTCCTCGGTATGAAACATTTTTATTTTATTCCCGAAGTTGACGTTTTTTCATTCGAAATTCCCATTCGTTAGCACACTAAATCGTACATCGAGAGTCCGATTAATAAATGTATGCCACCTGAATACGTAAATAAAATCAATGCTTACCTCGTCACTAATTTATTTTTATACTACTAAAATATTCGTCTAATTGTAAGTGTGTAATGCGAGTTGGTGTGTTTCAGAACTTCCAAAATGAAAATGGATCCCACACGGGTGCCGGACATCGTGCAGACGCCACCCAAACCGGCGGCCAGGAAACTGATCAAAGTCGATTTGTCTCAATTCGAAGACGAAGACGACGACGAACTGGCCGATACGCCGGACTCCGCCAGCGAACCCGGCTTGTGGTCCAACGAATATCCGGAGTTCTGCGACAACGCTCTGCTGGAGGCGTACGATCTTGCCACGCAAACTTACACGAGGACCAGCATTCGACGAAACACGCTCGAAGTGGCAGGTAAAGCGACGCTTTTTGACAATACCTATCGTTAAGCTCGCGTTAGATGCACCGTTAACGAGTTATTGTAATTTGTAGATACGAACGTGGGTTGCTATTCGGTGCCCCAATCGAGGCCGGGTTCGAGGCAATCGTGCAACAGCTCGGAGGCCGAATCGGTGCAATTGGAGCCCGAAGTGGCCCGGCAAATTCAGGACGAGCTGACCTGCTCGCAGACCTGGCAAGACACCATATCCTTAGACGATAGACTTTCGCTCACCCTATCAGAAATCGTGCATATTCGAACTGTACTTACGAAGGCCGAATTGGACGCTTTACCCGTGGAGGGAAAGGTAGATAATTTAATGAATTTAATCTATACTCTATTTAAAAACTAGAAGGAGCATTTTGAAAAGCCAGATTCACACCCAAAAAAAGTTACTAGAAAATTTGCAAGGCTGCAAATTTAAATACACATCTTTTATTTTAAATAAAACTGAATGTAAACTCACAATAATTATAATAAAAGAAGGAATGAATTAACAAATCACCTAAATACGACATATTAATTACACATTTCTAAAACATAACCTCAAAAAAGTGGTAAACAACAATAATAAAGTTTTACAGTGTGAACTTGACTAGTAATCAACCAATAAACAAACGCGAGTGTTGCCAACTTAAATTCAAATCGCACCTCCTACTTTTTAAATAGAGTATAATAAACTTTTATTCGTTTTGAATTTGTGATTAATTTTGAAGGTTCGCCACGACGTCGAGGCGAGGAAAGTGTGCTTCCTTTGCCTGAAGACGAGGTTCGGTATATTCGGTCCGTGGGGGCAGAGGTGCACGCTTTGCAAGCGCACAGTTTGTACAAAATGCAGTTCCAGAATGAACATTCCTATGGAGCACTTTTCCAGCGTTCCGGTCGTTTTGCTTAGTCCTAGTATACTGTCGACGCCCGACGAAGGCTCCAAAGAATCCTTAGCTAAATCCTTAGTGAATAAACTATCCGATACTAGTCCTAATTCGAAGGAGTCCAGTCCTAATTGCAGTCGGCCGGGTTCGAGTTTGGATTCCAAGTCTCCCAGCGAAAGTGGCGCCTTGGGGAGATTCCGCTCGAGGGCTACGGCTGTTGGGAGGGTCTCACGAGCAGCGGACAGGTATTAAATAATTCCACATTTATTATTTTTGTATTAATTATTGATATTTATAGGTACAAAAGTTCGCAGTTGATGGTTTGCCAGGATTGCAAGATGATGGTATTGCAAATAATTAAATCGGCCAGAGCGAATCGATCGGCAATTAGGAATAAAACTATTCAGAGCCTTACCCTTAATTTGTCACCAGTATTCTAAAATTATTGAGATTGTTGGTATTGAATGGACGGTTCTGGTAACGTAATACGTTTCGTTTTGAACGAATTTCAGATGCATTCCTCCTCACCGTCACCATACAGATCAGGAATTATTTCAGTCTGAATTCAAATTTTAAACGTTGTTAAACAAATCATGTACTCAACATGATTGCTGGACAATCAATTCTGATATTAGGTCTACGTCACCGAACAAACTCGGGTTATTTTTGGAAATGATAACCGTTCGATTACGGGAATGCATTCTGGATACAATTTTGTAGTTTTAATTGTGAATCGAGTACAAAATCTCATGTTTTTTATGTAGCTAAATTAATTTTAAACATACTACGTGTTCCCTTTCTAACGAGTTGTATTGCTCCTTGTACTGAACTCCTGGGCTCAGTTGATTAGGTTAAATTAGTGGATGTATATTTTTCAAAAACTATACTACAGAGTGTTTGTGAAACCTTTAATTCTGTTGAAAACATAATCATCATTTCAACTAGTAGAATTATGTCTCAACTGATATTTGCTTGTTCATTCATTATATTTATTAAAATAACTGTGATACTTGAAATATTTTGTGCAACATTACGGCTGTAGCTTCATAACACGATTGTAATTTCCCCCTATTACATTCTCAAAATGCCTGGCGAAAGTTACAAACACTCTGTATTTTTTATGTACGTGTGATTAGATAATTTTTTCGAAAAATCTTCCAGGTGTAAACATATCAAGGTCCACCTCAACAATCGTAGTAGTTCAAATGTTGGTGAAATTCGAAATATTTCGGCGAATCAAAACATATTTTGGGTGGCTCGTGATAGTTTACATTCGAAACGCTGTTATGACGGATAATATTGCATGGAAAATGGCGATATTGTAAAGCAAGCACATCTTTCTAATTATAAGTTGTAGCGATAACGACTTGAAAAGAATGAAAGGTATATTGTAATTTGTGATAGATCGGTAAGTTTAAAATTTAACAATTAAACAGGATATAGAGAGGATATTAGCAAATATTTTGATTGTGAAAGAATATTATATTATAAACGTTTCAAAACATTTGCTTTAGGATTTAAATCGAAGAGAAATTTTAAAACTAATTGGTATATTGATAAAATATTTAAGAATTTACTAGTAGTAAGTACACTATTTATTTTTGAATATTTCGGGATTTTATTGTTTGTAAATTTTGATTTTATTTTGTCGTTATTTAAATTTAATATTTAGTTTTAAAACCTATAAATGTTGCATTTTAAAAGTGCCTGCATAGTAGTTTTTTGTTTGTCCTTTCTCGTCGATAAATAGTATAAATACCTTAATCAAAGACCTATATGTAATGTGATAGAATCGTTGCTGTTCTGTTGAGATTTTATCTATTCTAGTAAACATAGCTATATACCATTATTTTTATATTATATCACAGATAAAAGAATGTATAATTTATTTTTGTGATGAACATTTTAATTTGTAATTAGTGTGTTATTACGAGTCAAGGTTTTTTTGAATATTGATTTGTTTTATGGATATTATTTTAATTCGGTTTAAGTTTTGGTTGGGCAATCGAAAAGTACAATAATAACTTAGATGCTATTACGAATAAATCGAGATTCCTATAATAGAACTCTCCCATATTCAGTAGATTGAAATTTTCCTCTTAGTACCTACCGAAATGTTAGGATTCTGTTATAATCAGAAAGATATATAAAAATGCTATTAGTCGAAGCCACGCAGTTTTTCCTTTGCAAGCATTTTTCATAGGCTTTAAAATTCCTATGTAAATTAACATTCTACATTGTAACTGACAAAGTTATTTTACAATCTCTATCAGACTGGTTTATTTTCATACGAGTTGTCCCTATTATCTTTAATATTCCTCCAGGTGTCAGTCATTTACAATAATTTGTACCAAACATTTTCACTTCAAAAGCAATCACCAAAGAAATCGCTATACCAAATATTTTAGGCTGAACATCTAGACTGTTAATTTTTATTATTAATTTACCACACACTAATATAGTGATATTAGAATGTAGCTGTATTAATTACAAATTATTTTATGTGATATTATTTAGGAAAGCTCTTAAAAGGCACCCAACAGTGTTTTATTTTGATAAGTGTAAGTGTATGGAAATTATCTCTTAAAACTTGTAATGGAAATAAAACGCTATATTGAATGTTACATGATTATTTCATTATCCGCTCTAAAAATATTTCTAAAAATTATAGAAAGGGGAGCTAATTGCCAAATGCAAATTAGTCATCAAAATAAAATTATTTTTAGTTGCATGAAGCTCCCAGAATTTTATTTGTTTAGGATTCACTATGGATCAAGTATAAAACATAATATAGCAAAATCAATTTATTTCACAGGCGTATAAACATTCTCACAACAGATAATTAATTATTGTATGGAAAAAGAAAACGGATAAATTAAAATTTGCTGTTATTGATATATAATTTCAATTTTTTTATAAGATTGAGTATAAATTAAATAACAATATAGCAATAATTTAAAAGACACTAAAACTTTTCTTCTTCCAAACCGTGTTTGAAGAACATCATTACTGGCACAGAATCTCCGTTGATTTCTCTGTATTCCATTAATCCTACCATACCATCGATTTCCATAGATTCGCCGGTAAAGAATTGCAGCTCTTTAAACCTTCCTAGAATGTCCTTCATTACTTTGTTCATATTCGTTTTGAAAACATCTACTTGGTCAGGCGATGTTTCTTGTAATTTCTCGACTAATCTTAAATAAAAAATCAAAAAATTAGCTTTTACTTTTGTATAATAGCAATACTTCATAGTGCCTAATTGTATATTGCCCATTTTAATTCTTTTCTACATTGGAAAATCAAGTTTATGTTGATTACAAATTTCTTTATAATTATTTGAAAGTATGACCGATGCACTTTTACGTCTACTGTAATTCTTCTGCACAAATACTTACATTTTGCTTTATTTTACAATGTCTGTAGTAAGCAAAGCATTTTATTCTTTCAGTTGTTTCGTCAAGCAATGATTTGTACAATACTTTTTAAAATCCTACCATTAGGCCAATGGTGACCTATAGGGCAGAAAGAACGTGCTTATAATGTTGACAAATACAGTAAAACTATTAACTAGAACATTTTCAATTTTTCCAAACGAGATTGTATACTGGGCAAACTAAAATTAGTCAAAGCTAAATATAAATACCTACAAATTGTATCCTTTACAGAAACAACTTAAATTAAACTTTCATAAAGATTTGATGTATATTTTAAGCTGTATGAAGCATTGTAAAAATCAGAGTTCGTTTCATATATTATTATAAAATATAAAACATGAAAACACAATGATTTTACTCATATCGCATGTATTGCTCTGAATAAGACAACATAATCTTTATTCAGTATTAGATCATGCTTAATATATTTTGAAATATTAAAAATGATATTGAATCGACCACCCCTTATCACAATACTCGCTAACAATTTATAAAACATTTATATTTAGCATAATCTTCGACGATAAACATACTTATAACATACAAATATGGTATTGTTATCGACTTACTTTTTCATATATTCTTTGAGATAAGCAGTGTAAGATTTTTTGTCTCCAAAAGCGTATGTTTCGCACAACCTGTGATTGAGAACGATATCAACACCGGATTGAACGTTCTGCTCAGTGCCCTCATCGGCTTCTTCGAGAGAAGGATTCGCTCCATCTAGCAGAACTTCGCCCTCTTTTCGTTGGACTAATTTCCCGTAGACTTCGTAGACGACTTCGTCCACTAACTTCATTTTATAGGTGTCTGAGAACATTTCGTCACCTACAAAAAAAATTGCAATGTCAGATTGACAGGGGTTACAGATTTTTGTTATTTCGTGAAAACTACCAGCAGAAATTGAAAAATACGTAAATATACTAACGTTAGGAAGGTTTACGAAATTACTCACCAGTAAAAATATCCTTGTAAATCCTCATTTTGATGGATTAAATTAGATTTTGCTCTTGGATAAAGTGAAGCCTCCTTCTACCTCGAAAGAGCACTCAAAAAAGGAAGGTCAAAGTCAACTATCATACGTCAAAAGTGCAGAAATGCAAAGCAGGCTGGTTAACTGAAAAAAATGAAATCCCTAACAACAACTTCACTTTTGTCATTTAACAGCCACTGTTGTATTAAAACTTTTATGATTTTAACCGCTATTAAATTAATATATCATTAAAAACATGATATTACACTGATCGGGCTTTATATTTCTCATTTATTTCATATGCTTTAATTTTAAAAACATTGGGTGGCTGATTTCCCTTGACGTAACTGTCATACCAAAAAAAGAAGAAATATTTACTAAACCTCGCTAACCTAACATTTTTCGGTACGTTTATTTGTTGCCCGGACTGCACGTGTAAAGTAAACTTTGTTGTGTTCCAATTACCGTGAATCTAAAACCGAAAATGGCCAACGATTTAGATCAGCAAATTATCAAACAGCTCGAATACTATTTCGGGGACATAAATCTACCGAGGGATAAATTTTTGCAAGAGAAATTGAAGGAAGACGACGGATGGGTCACCTTAGAGGTTCTGCTAACGTTTAAGCGCTTAGCTGCCCTTTCTACCGATACAGAAGTCATCGCCAAGGCGGCCGAGAAGTCAGAAAACAAAATAGTAGAAGTTAGTGAAGACCACAAGAAAATCCGGCGCCATCCCGATAACCCGGTGCCCGAATTAACCGCAGAAAGGCGCCAAATTTTAATGGATAGAACTGGTAAGATTTCATATTCCACATTTATTAACAGTTCTATTTAACTAAACTCTACATTTTTTTTATTTTTAGCTTATGTAAAAGGTTTCCCGTTGGACGAAGACCTCAGTAAGATAATCGAATTCATGGAGCCCCACAAAGTGGAATCCTGCCATCGAAGAACGAAGAAAGACCACACATTTAAAGGCTCTTGCTTCATTATCTTCAAAGACGTCGAGGCTTGTAAAACATTTGTCGAACTCGAAAGCCTAAAATACGGGGAACAAGAGCTAATAAGGAAATTCCAAAAAGTATACTTGGACGAAAAGCGGGCGCAGTTCAAGAAGGACAAGGCCGCTTTGGCGCAGGCCAAGAAAGACAAGGCTGCGTTGGCTGATAGTCAAAAACAGGAGCAAATCGATTTCCCCAAAGGGGCTGTAATACATTTCACCGGGCTGGAAGAGGGCCAGTGTTTGACGCGGGAAGAACTGAAAGAGAAAGTCAAGGAAGTGGGAGAGTTGGAGACTCAATTTATAGATTTCACCAAAGGAGATTTGCAAGGTTATTTCCGTTTTCCGGAAGCGAACAATGCCGTTGATTTCTTCAAGAAGCTTACCGATGGGGAATTGGAAGTAAGTGGATACAAGCTGAAATTGAGGGTGTTAGAAGGACAGGAAGAAGAGGAATACCTGAAGAAAAGTTCAGATGCAATTCACGAATTAAGGAAGAAGCAAAAGCAGGGCGGTAAATTTAGGAAACGCAAGTTTAATCACAGTCACGGCGGTAAAAATGCGAAATCCAAAAAAACAGAATAATCTGTCTATTCCATTTTATTTTTAATAACTTTAGTTTTATTTCTAATTGCTGAAAAGATACTTGTATATCTTGAACAAGATTGTATTAGTAACATAAGGTCACAAATATGGGTCATGTTACTCATTAAGAATTTTGTGTGTTATGAAATGAAATAAAAGATTCATTAAAAACTCCTTGAAAGTAGGAAATTGATATTTTCTTCTTGCGTTCGTTTTGTTTTCAAATCAGTTTTACTTGGGATATTGAGAGTTTAAATACATAACATGACTGTTAAATATGGTTTTATGTTGCTAAAAATTTATAATTTTGTTGTATTTGTTGAGGGAGTTGAAAAATATCTGGTGAGTATCCAAACAAATTGGCGACTAATCGTAATTTTGTTCGTTGTTATAAATTGGTGTACAGATAAGTGCAAATTTGTTCGCAATATCATCAATTCAATGAGTTGAACAAAGATATTAATAATATAACATTGGTTAGAGTGAGAGAGTTTGTAACACAACAATATCACTTTTTTTTTCCTTCTTGAGACTAATAGAAGTTGTCTTTGTCGCACTTGCAGCCCGTGTTGGGAGCAAATTTGCACTTACCTGTATGTATTCGAGTTACTTCTTTTTAAATATGTAGCTCTCGAAATATTCCGAAATATTCAATAATTCCTTCATTCTAATCAGTTATACCGGATGTAAAAATATGTTAGATTGTAATTGAACGTTGAACAATAAAGATTTACTTACTTAAAAACTTATCGGAAAATTAATTCACATAGAATATATGAATACATTTACCTCTAAAAATTCCTGCTAATTATGGTATTTATAATTATATGAAAATGAATGCAAAACAGTAGACCGTCAAAAATAACCACCGCTTATAATAGGTAATTAACAAAATACAGAGAAAGTCTATGCACAATATGAACGTTAGTAAGTCATTGCAGTTTGAAAGCATGTGCTCAGTTACCGGATTAGAATCAAGAAAGTAAAAGTGCTTCTTCTATAACGGGCGTAATCGTAATGTACAAAGAAAACGTGAAAAATTACCGCGATTACAAATACGAGAAAATCGTTACAGATTCCGCAGATCCCGTGGGTAGCAGTAATACATTTATTCAGGTGAGTGCAAATATCGTTTAATGTAATAACAGCGCCTAATGGAATTGAAAACTGAAAATTAAATTGCAACTTTGGTTTCTATTTGATGATTACTCGCACATAGACCGAGAGCCAAGATTCTCCGACTTCATCAAGGCCAGTAAAAGCTAGCGGTTATTAAATAATGGTGTTTCTCATACAGAAATAAAGTTTTTAATTACATAAAATTGGATGGTTAAGAAGTAGGAAATAATATAGTTTTTTGGAGAAATCTCAGGAAGTACTTAAGATGCATTGTTCTTTTCCTGATAGATTCCAAATCGTTTAAACCAGCCTAAATGAAGATGAATTTATGTGTAACAGGATTTCTGGAATAAAGCAATTTTCGTTAGGAGTAGGGTAACAAAACCGATTTGCACTTTTTGCACCGGCATATCTTGTTGAACACCTCCATGGTAGTGAGAGCAAACTGGTTACATGACCTGTTTAGCACTGGTCTTATTTTTGATGGTAAATTGACTTAGATATTTAAGGTGTTTCGGGTAAAAAAGCGTATTCTAGTTAAATATTTTTATTGTTTCTGTGTCTATACAAAGATAGTTCCTCCAAAAGCTCTTCTCTTATCTGGTCCTCTCATGAATATTCATTCACTGCTTGTTTTAACTACTTACAAAATAGCGTCTTCCGTTACCACCCATCTACAACAAATTTAAAATAATAATAAATGGAATTTATAAAAACCTTTAACATACCCGTTGGCTGCAACAGCATCCAGCATCGAGCAGAAGTAGACTCCTCCTAATATCCAATACAATTCATCGCCGAGTCGCGTTTTTTTTTCTAAAACCCAGCAAGCGCGGTGTGTTTAATTTCAACCTCAATCAACCGCAATTTCGTTACCTTCGCACAAATACCGAACTTTCCCAGTCCCAGGTCGCTGGAGCAGTGGAGCTGGTAAATGTAAAATGGTAAACCCCACCTGAGTCTCTTAGCACGGCCGCCCGCAGCGGCGATGACAGCCAGCTAGTGAGCTAGCGCTTCGCTCCGTTCCATTTTCGATTCTCGTTTCACGAGCTCGATTCAATTGAATCTGATCCAGTGCCGCGGCCCGAGCGAGTCCACCCGCGCCGATTGCCCGACGCGAATTTCACCTGCACGTTGTCGGTGTCGTTTACGATATCGCAGAATTCGCCCGCGACTCCCGCGAGGGATTATTATGTAGTTGGGCGAGCGCGCCGGTGGTTGCTGCTGGGAGATTTTCGAAAAAGCCGGGCAGTTTTTGCGAGCGATGCCTGAGAACAACGCGAATCCGAGAGCCGCCAATGGCAGCTCGAATTTGGAAATTGCACAAAGCAATCAGGTCAGTATTGTGTATGCGGAACGATAAATTTGAATATGTTTGTGGGATAAAAAATCGACTTTGAATTTGTGTGTTCCAATTTTTTTTTAATTAAGCGCACAATATGATAAAATTTATATTGCTATTTTCATATGTATATCGTATAATTTAAATACTCGATTCGTAACACAGAGTACATTGCCTTGAGTTTTTATTTTACCATTTAATTCTTTAATTATCTCTAATTTAATGTCGCTGTTATAAAATTTATATTGTCTACAGCATATTTTTTTGCTTCGAACAGTTAAATTTTAATTTTACCAACTAAATCTTTCTATAATATTTAACAAATAAATTTATATACAGTTAGCATAAAAACTTGTTAATTCGATATGGTATAGAAATAATTACCTACCTACACCAAACAACATCAATTTTGTATTTAAGTATTTTATTCTTCAATTTCTATTGTTTGGAATTGGGAGGTTATCAATTTTATTTCATCACGATAAATTTTGTTAAGTTAAAGTTAAATTTAATATTCCTATAGTTAACAGATTTTGATTAATGAAATGTATAAAATATTTTAGATTTGGGTTTTCCCAATCCCAATTCTTCCGGATGTGATGGTTCATGAATATAATTAATGTTTCAACAAAGCGTTTTACAATAATAGTGGTAAAAAACCTAATTATAATATTAATCAGATTTACGTATTACATATACTTATTGGGATTTTAACCACGTCATTATATTCCTTTATTGCAAATTAATATTTCAATTCTATAGTAAATCTTTCTAATGCATAATATGCATTTCATAACAAAAAATTCCTTCTTGTGTAAGTTATAATTGCATACTTATACTAGAAAAGATGATGGAGAGGACTAACTTTTCAACTTACCGAGTCATCTTTTAAATCATTAAAAATATATTTTTGTACATATTATATACCTAAAGCATTGTGCAAATAATTGTACACTTCCTTACTGTTTTAAAGGATACTTGACTTCCTAAATCACTCATAAATTACAAACTAAATACCAGTTTTTCTCGAACTCGCAATTCGTCTTTTAGAACCACTTAACAGTCAAATTAATTACGCAAATAAATAGTTTCATTAACTCGATGCATGTAGTTTATTATGACATTACCCGTAGTATTCAATTAGACCTTGTGATTGCTGCAATAAAACACATAGGTATGTGCATGTAAATAATCAGACAATTAAGTAACAGAACAAATAAGTAATGCTAGAAATGCGCATACCTTTTTACAAGATACCACCGCCGGTAATATCGCAATTATGATGTAATATAATTCAAAAGAAGATAATTAATTAGCATAATAAATTGATGCGGGATCTTTGTGTCGGTGTGGGAGTTTTAAGCCAATTTTCGAAAAGCGCGTAGATTGTTCATTTACATAATGGCCCAGAAAGCTTCATTAACCGCATCAAATTGCTCTTAAGCTAAGTAGAGTTTCGGAATTATTAAATATATTCAAAAATTCGAAATAGTTTGCTATTTATTTTCGAAGGAACCCGCGCAAGTCCGAGCATATCTAAGTTATGTGAAGAGGCACATATCGCATATTAATGAGATAACCTGAATTTTTACATTTGTGTTCTCTAACAGGTTTTTTTTTCGGTTTGTTATCTATTCTTCTATGTTGAATTTTGTGTAGGTTCTTCTCGCACGTGCTATACAATAGGTAGGTAGAATAGTACAGTTAAAACTAAGCCCCAAAAATTGAATACAAAGTAACCGGACTTTGTATAAATGTAAAACATTAATTTGTGAGTATTGTTTTTTGCAAATTTATTAAAGATCTTATTAAATATGTTGAAAACAAACTTGCATTTCACAGGGCTTCAATACAACTTTTTATACGCATTCATTAAGTTATTAAATCCCACAATTCAATGAAAATGTTCGTTTTTTTCTCTCCGTCGAGCCGCGAGAAAACAATGCAGAACTTTCTAATTTAAATTCTACTTTTCAATAAGATAATGCATCTATTGCACCTTTTTGCTTGGCTTTTCTTGCCTAAAAGCATATGTGAATGCTGATTAGTTGCGTTGTCACGCATGAAACTGGTCGCACTTATGCATATATGTATTTAAAAAATCCATTTTAATATTAATACATATGCACCAACTGTAATTTAAATGCTGTCGTAGAAATTGCAAAAAAATAATTAACCGACAACACAACAGTTTTTACGCACGAGTAATTAAATTACACGAAATACCAATCAATAGTTGCTGTTCAAAATTCATATAGTACTGTTATGGCCTTACGAAACCTTTCCACAATCCACCGAGAGTTCACAATCTCAACGAACTCAATAGACATTTAAACGTTTGAATAGAAAGATATCTAGCCGCACAAAGAGATGTTTGTCGCATTAGTTTCAGCAAAGCACAATGCATTTTGATTAATAATTTTATGAGATGACAATAGGCACTTACACCTATGTGTGTTGAATCTTTCACATACGATCTAATGCGAGATTTAGAACCCGGGCACGTTTTGCTCTGCGTTTATTTAGTCACGTAAAATAAAATAAATAGGCGTTTAAAAATTTTAACAAACCGTTTTTAATGCTATTTAGTTTACTAGGCTAGTAGGTTTTCGAGATTCTGTGCGATTGAAGGTGTTAAACGGCCAGTGAAAGTACAAATTTTCCTATATATCAATTGTGATTTAATATGTAGCTGCATATACCAGTTTCTTATTTGTATTCCAGCCGGGTTATTTTATTACCAACCTGTTCGAGTTTCGGATTTTAATGGTCAAGGCAGTTACATAAAAATAAGCAATAATACTTTCTCTTAAATTATTAATAGTGCTGCGTTGAGCCGGGCCTTTAATCGTTCTTAATTATTATGGTGAGTTTGTTTAATCAATGAGGAAGTTTGCCGAACAAATTATGGTCAATTTTGTGGATCTTCTAATTTTCTGATATTTTCACTTTATCTTTAGTTTTATTTATGTCCACTATTTTATGTTTTGCTTCGGTTTTATTAATATTAACGATGTACTTACAAATTGTATCAGTTCCTATCAAGCTTATTTCTCTTGGATAAGACGTCGACGTGTTTTTGTAGAGAAAATTGAATTTCTCGGGGTATTGGAAAAACTTGTAGGAAAGGGCGAGTGGCGCAAATATTTGCCGAAGTTGTTGAGTTTGTCTCGATTATTGTAAATAATCCGCGAATCTGAAATAGCCCCTTCGTTAGTAGACAAATATTATGGTAGATTATGTATATTGTGTAAATATTAATATCTGCAAATTCAGGTAACGCGCATTTCAAATCCTACATATTTAATGCATGCAACATTGTAAATATTCCTCGTGTGTTTTATGAAAAATATTTAATAATTTATGTGTAATAATTTATTATTTAATTTAGGAATGAAAGTTTAGTATGTACTCGGCATATAAAGGTGACCAATAAATTGTATGAGGTACACCATATTCCAATCGAATGAAACAGAAATTGCATCTGTTTATTTTAAGTAATTTGTTTTCCAAATAATTGTTTATTTTATTATAATTAGATTTTTTTAATGTCCTTGTTTCATTTAAATACAATACCTTACATTTTTAATCAGCTTTAACAATTGGCTAGTTACACCTTCTATAAACGTAAGAAAATAACAAAGAGAAAATCTGAAAAAATGTAAACAGAGGGTACCGAATAACATCGTACTTTTGTTACAGGATCTCATAATATCTAAAGGAAGAACAAAAAAGCGAAAATGGATAATAACTGGCGTTATAGTCGCGATCGCCGTGGGTTTAGTAATTGCGGCCATTATTTTGTTAACTAAAGGAGGTGAGAAGAACAACCCGGAACAACCAGTAGCGGAGTCTTTAACGTTTGAAGATTATCTCAGCGGAAAATTCGGGCCGAAGTATTTCAATGCCAGCTGGGCAGCAGGTAAAATATACATAAATAAAATGTGTTTTTTAGTAAAAATATTAGAATATGTGTGGGATAAAAAGAAAACCACTCAAACAGCCTTTTATTATTTTATCTTTCTACTATTTTTATTGCCGTGTCGTGCTACGCATTTTTAGATTGCTTTTCCTCAAAATACCCTGCAATCTCAAGCTCTAAAGAGTATTACATTTACAAACTAATTGTCTACTGATAGCTTCTTCGTAAAACTCAAAATAATCACCAACACTTCAACAACCTAAATACCCAATTATCGTGCGATAAAATTAAATTTCACAAAGATAATTCTGCTAAAAAAAACGGTTTTTTTTTTTGGAATAACCCTATCAGTTGAATACCCGTTAATAACATTCTCGCTGAAACTGAATCACGTATCTTGATTCGAATGTAACATCGGGTTAATTGGGCCCTTACGTGCATACCGCTAGTTCGGTTTTCGAAAAGATAAATGCAGAGCCTTGAAATTACACATCCCCATCGATTTATTTCACGACGAAAACTCCACCGGCATGAATTTATTCAGTTCGGGTTATTTTCCGAGGCGTTTTGTTTACGACCCGCTAAAATTAATTATATCTCGCGATAATATGGAAATAATTCCTGCTCCGATGTCTTCCCGCAAAACGAATATATTTCAATTGATATCGTCCGGTTTACTAATAAATTATTATAATATAATTAAGTTGCGCATTTTTAATTTATTAATGTAACGTTGGATAAAAAGTAAACTGCGTTTACGATAAAAAAAAAAATGAATTTTTGAATATTCATTTAGATTGTAAGGTTCTGATTAATTTGAAGGGAAATATAAATATAGTCCGTGAACTCGACTAATTGAACTCGCGAATTTGGAACGTACATTAACCAAATTGGTTTACATCAATCTAGAAATTCCAAGTTTAGCCAATTGCATGATGAACATCCGCAGTCTTTGAATTACTTTATTGCTTTCATATGGTACATTTGGTGATTATTTTCAGTAATTATTAAATTTTTTGTTAAAAAGTGCTCGAGTTTTTACAAGAGCACTTACATAAAGTAGCCTTGAGACGGAATTAGGTAATTCAAGTCTGGTGCTAATTTTTAATGCTTTAGTGAGAAACTTTCAATTTTTCGTAATGTTTTTTTTAGAATCATTTAAAAGACATTTGATGATATTGGAAGGTTGTTTATAAATTTTTTAGATGCTTTCCAAATTCAAACAGAATTGTATTAGGTATATCTCGCTCATTATTATTGAATGAATAACAATTTCAACATTTGCCCACATGCTATACCTATTTAGCTTGTTAGAAATGACCAAAACATTTAATGTGTAATTTGCATGGCATTTTCTCTCGCGTCAATATATGCAAAACGTCGGCAATATATCATATTTAAATGATCCTTTCCGGAAATTAGTAATACAACTATTTGACATGTAATGCTTTTAGGTCACTTAGAAACATATTCATACCTACATTATACTGTAAAAAAAGGGTATGAAAACTGTCTTGTTCAGAAAACACCCTATGTAAATACTCCAATCTTTAAATTTGCCTCACCTAAAATTATTTTCTCCCTACTTTCTACGATCATTGGTGAATTCAACACTTTTAAGCGAATGAGTTTACAATTGGACAAAGTTCAATCGAAAGAAGTTAATCGAATTTTATTGAGAATGTGCCGGAGGAGCTCAGAAAATACCCTGCTTCTGACAGCCAGTCAATGTTGTTAATAATCTGGCTTGGAATCCAGCGCCTCGCTTTTCCTAATTGGTGGATATCATTTCACATATGAATGTTTGAATGGGTGCTTGTGTTGCTTGTACGAGAGGCACTGCAAATCATATCAATATCAACGCCGATCGATCGATCACTTCCCGTGTTTCAACGAAGCTATTAATTAAGGGAAACTTTATTAATTACGCGATCTTACGAGAGGAAATGCCAATTAAATTTCGAACGGTGATTTTATTTCGACTCTATCTCGGCGGGATGAATGGATATCGAATTTAAATTATTCTCCGGGAGGTAAATTGGGTCCTGTACTTTAATATTTATTACGCTTGTCTTTAATTTACCTCTTTCTCAACTGCTTTAAGTATGAAGTCGATTAATTGATGGATTCTTTTTGTAGATAGCGATTTAATTTACGGATCAAATGGCGATATTGTGATGTTAGATGTTGCAACTGGTTCTTCTAAAGTGCTCATCAATAGAACGGATATTGTGAGTATAAAAAATTATTGGAAATTACGAAAATTACATATGCAAAAGAAATGTTTGTTCTTCTAGTTTGTAAATACTGTTGTTTTATTGACGTCTAGACAATTAATTTATTTTTAAATTGACGCACAATGCAGTTGAAAGGATTGGAATTAAGCTTTCCGATCAAGAAATACGGATGGCGTTTGAATTTAAATTACTTTATTTGCCAAAGGTCAATCAATTCGAATATCGAGTAGTTTTTTAAGATTCTCTTAATCAAAGGAAAACTATTTATAGACATACAATATGCATATGTAGTGTTTGTTACGCAAAAATGTTTTACCTTTTATAGAGGTTACCTGTTTTATTTGATAATTTTGTAATTATAAATTTATTTATCTGACTTTTTTAGATACTTGCGAGCGCAATAGATTTTCAATTATCCGCCGATAAATTATATTTGCTGGTAGCTTATAATTATCAAAAGGTAAGATAGGATTACACTTAATTAGAGATTATTTTCACAATAATTTCCTAATAATCATAAAAAAATCAAGAATGTCGTTCACATATTAAAGTTAATATTTTTAATCCACGCAGGCTGATTGTACTTTATAGCTATTAAAAACTTAAGTTGGCCGTTAAATCATAAAAAAAAATCATTAACAACAATCATTCCATTTATGCGTATTTGTAGCAAACGCCCTTACAATAATTACAGGTTTTTATCGTCGAACAATCTTCCCTAGCTATTTAAATTTTAGCCATACGATTTTATCGTAATTATTTATAACTTGGCGTTTTTCAACCCACTTAAGATGTTATCGTTATATTGAATAAATTCCAAAATATAATCCGCTAATTTCCTTCTACACTTTTCGCTATGATTTATTATTTCATAAACCCCTATCAATTTTTTTATTTGTTTTTTGTACGCTAGCTTAAATATTTCGTTTGCTGTACTTTTAAGCACTTGTTGCAAAGTTTTACTGTAGTATAAATCATTTCGCATTGTAATCTTAAATCTGCAGGTACTCTAGCACTATAGACTGTATAAGAAATATTCCTTTTTAGATATTCCGATACAGCTACGTTGCTTATTATCTGATAATCGACCTTACTACAGGTAAAAAGACTGCTCTATTACCAGGGGGGAAGCAGCAGGCGCAATTAGTAATTTGGGCACCAGTGGGAAACGCTTTGGCTATCGTTACCGAAAACAACATTTTTTACAAAAAATCCGTTAACGATCCCGAAATAGCCATTACTAACACAACAGGATACGTTTCGAACGGAGTTCCTGACTGGGTGTACGAAGGTACATTTTTTCCAGCGCTTTTGGGAAATGAATAATTTTGTTGGTTTCTTGTAGAGGAAGTTTTGAGTTCGAACAAAGCTTTGTGGTTTTCGCCTGATGGCAAAAAACTGGCTTACGGTCGATACAACGATACGGATGTTCCTCTGATGGTTCTGCCTATTTACGGTGAACCGGGTAGCTTGACTTATCAATATCCCAGAGCAAGCGTTATAAAATATCCCAAGGTAAGGTTAATTATCTGAACTTTCTCGTTTCGAGTTACCTAGACAAATTCGTAAACGCGGTAATTACTTTCAGTCAGGCGAAACAAATCCAACAGTTTCTTTGCATTACGTGGACCTAGCAGCACCGACTGAAGAATACGAACTCAAAGTCCCCGTTGATTTTAACGAGTAATTTTGGATCTAACGACTCAAAAACATCGCCTAATAAACCGATTTTTTTAGGGAAGAAATTTTATCTACCACGGCTTGGGCAAATAACGACATTCTCACCGTTACCTGGTTGAACAGAGTCCAAAATCAAGGTGTCATCACTTCCTATAACACTTCGAACAATCCCGCTACAACAATAATCGTAAGATATATTTTTTACTTCCAAACTTCTGCTAACAAAATTATTTTAACTAGGTGAAACAATTAGTTGTTACGAACGGTTGGTTAGACCTTTTCACACCACCGATATTCTCTGAAGATGGCTCAGAAATGTTACTGATACTATCGCAAGACCAAGGCGCTTCAGCTGGAGGATACAGACACATTGCCTTGCTGAACACCACTATCGCAGACTCACCACAAAGGGCAATTACCAGCGGAAAGTTTGTTGTAACGAGTATTTTGGGCTGGAACCATAATAATAACACCATGTAAGTAGAAAATCGCTCCTTTACCAGTCACTCTTAAACATAAATTCTCTTCTTCCAGTTACTACCTAGCAAACACAGAATCGGATTCGGCTGTTCAACACTTGTACTCCACATCTTTAGAAGGCGATCAAATTAACTGTCTTTCGTGCAAGGTTAAATCTCGTTACAACACCTCAATGGAATGTTCTTACAACTCGGCGGAATTCAGCCAAAGCATGGACTATTACAGTCTAACTTGCGCCGGTCCGGACGTACCACACGCGTCTGTATACGATAAAAACGGCACAAAAATCCTCGATTGGACCGAAAACAACGCTCTGGCGGCGTATTTGTCGAAGAAAACGCCACCGGTCATAAAGAAATTATCCTACGACATCGCCGACGGCTTCAAGGCCAACGTGCAGCTGAGGCTCCCGCCTAACATGGATTATTCGGGAGACACCAAGTACCCCATGCTGGTGAACGTGTAAGTGCTCGATTTTTGGATGTAAATTCGCGTTTACAGGCGAGTTTTCTTGCAGTTACGGCGGTCCGGATTCCTACAAAGTCATCGATAAGTTCGTGTTGGATTGGGGAAGCTACCTAACAGCGAATAAAAGCATTATTTACGCGACCATCGACGGCAGAGGATCGGGTCTCAGGGGGGACAAATTGATGTTTTCCGGTTATCGGAATTTAGGTACCGTGGAAATCGTTGATCAGATAAATGTTACCAGGTGAGTAGCCGGTTGTTTGGAGGTCTAGAGACTGAAGTTCGGTGTTGTTTAGATTGATCCAGGAATCGTTGCCTTACGTTGACTCGTCCAAAACGGCCATTTGGGGTTGGAGTTACGGAGGGTACGCTTCTGGCATGGCTTTAGCCGATGATACTGAAGGGGTTTTTAAGTGCGGAATATCAGTGGCGCCCGTTACGGATTGGGCTCTGTACGGTAAATATTTACTTCGATTTAGAGAATGTTGGAAGGAATTCGAATGGTTTTGTTGTTTAGATTCGATTTATACGGAAAGATTCATGGGGCTTCCGACTTTGATGGACAATCTAGAAGGTTATGAAAGGGCGCAATTGTTGAAAAAACCTGAAGGATTGAGAAATAAAGAGTACTTCCTCATTCACGGTACTCTCGATGATAATGTGCATTATCAGCAATCGATGATGTGGTCAAAAGTGCTGGAACAGAACGATATTTTATTCAGACAGCTGGTTAGTAATTATTTAATAACAAAACATCGCAATAACTTTTCTCTGGTCTGGTAGAATATTTAAAAAAATTAATTGTGGGTAATATTTTGTAATTATTGCAGAGTTATCCCGATGAGAACCACAATCTTGGGTCAGTATTTCGACACCTTTACCACTCGTTAGAAGACTTTCTGGACGATTGTTTCGATAAAAAGAAGTGAGATTTGGAAGTCAAAAGTGCTTACTTTACCAACGACTGCGACTTTATTTTTTTAACTAGTCACGAATAAAACAAAGTAATAAAATGCGTGAGATTGCATCGATTATTCCAAACCACTGATCTCGTGTTATATTTTATAATTGTGTACCGATTTTGAGAAATTGTGTGTGGCGATATTTGTTGGAGCAGGAGTTTGGGATAATATATGCATTTTGTATAAGTAAAATAAAACGTATTTGTGATTCCTGAAAGGTATATCTTAAAAGTGATGCTACAAAACAGTATTTAACAGAATTGTATCTAAACAAAATAATCTTTTGTATCTGTGTAACGAGTTATAAGCAAATTTTAAAGTTTAATTCAAATGAATAGATTTTTTGAGAACAAAAGCATATATTTTCCTGCATTTTGTGCCATCCAATTGCTGTAATTTTATATATTTGTTAAAAATGTTTAATGTTTAAAAGAAATGACTATTTTAAAACTTGATTTGTCCTATTTGCATCTTGATTGAAAACAAATTAGTTATTTTTATTCAACATGCTCTTATTAAGTTGATTGTGAAGCAAATTAAAAAATTGCTCTTAAGTACCCATCTATTTTATTCTGTAAAACAACTTTGTTAATTTTTTAAAAATATATATATTTTATGTCTTTATGTTTTTTCCCGATTTATAACACATTAAAATACCTCAAACTGCGTTGGTAGTATTTAAAAATCATCACATTGCATTATAATTAAAATTTGAACACCCTGTATGACACAATTGCTACAAATCCACATAAGTTTTAATTAATAATAAAAAAGAAGTAGAAAACTTCATGACAGTTCTATTGACGTTAGTGACAGATGACAGTTTCAATTAAAAGTTTGAGTTTGAGTTGCTTTTAGAAAAGACTGTCGACACTGTCGTGTCAGAATTTTTATATAAATAATTCTTTGATTTGAAGTGCTTTTTTTCATTTACAATCGCAATTACATTCTCCTAATATCGCTACTTCGAATTTTGAGGTTTCGATAGACCTTTTCTCTCAGCATTAAAGGTTTTATTTACGATGGCACCGGTGGATAATACTCCCAACATTAGCATGGGAAATTTCGAACTTCAATACTCCCTGCTAGCCTACAATAAAATTCCCATCTCCGAATATGTTTCCAAACAGACCGGAATGACGGTGGTTATCGCCGAAGTCGATGGACCTTGTGTTAACGGTTATTTTTGCCTAGGTGAGAATCTTACATAAATCCCTTGAATACATAATTATCTAATCTATTTTACAATCGCTTGAGTTTATAAACATATATAAAATACTCTGTAAATATCTCCTTGTAGCTACTGAAGCTTTCGATGATGATGGTTTGCCCCATACTTTGGAACATCTCATTTTTATGGGTAGTGAAGAGTACCCTTACAAAGGGGTATTGGATTTACTAGCCAACAGGTGCTTAGCATCCGGTACAAATGCTTGGACTGACATTGATCACACTTGTTACACAATGGAAACTGCTGGCAGTGAAGGCTTTCTGTCCCTTCTTCCTATATTCCTGGAGCACATTCTGTATCCAGTTCTTAGAGTAAATTTATTAACGGTAATTAGGAGGGCTGTTTTATGAGTAATCGATTTGTAGGATGAAGCTTTCGTTACCGAAGTGCATCACGTTACACCAGAAGGCTCTAATGCCGGTGTGGTTTATTGCGAAATGCAAGGCAGGGAAAATTCGGCGGAATCCAGACTTCATTTGACTGTAGCAAGGAAAATTTATCCGGGGAAATGCGGTTATTCTTCGGAAACGGGTGGTATTATGAAGAATTTAAGAGAATCTACCACTAACGAAAAAGTAATAATTATACTTTTGAGAATATAATGAGATTATAATGTTGAATTTTAGGTCAGGAAGTACCACAAAGAATTCTACAGGCCGGAAAATCTGAAAGTCATCATTACTGGTCAAGTGAAGCTAAACGACGTTTTTAATTCTATAGAAAAGTTGGAGGAAAAAATAATTTCAAAAGTAAATTCATACGATTTATTCTATAAAGGGTATTATGACACTTATTTTAGGGAAAATTACCTCCGTTCGAACGACCTTGGCAAAACCCGATACCTCCCGTTCAAGAGAAATCTACAGATTTAATAATCAAGTATCCTGCCGATGAGGAAAACAACGGTTTATTTTGCATTGCTTGGAGAGGAGCCTCCAGTGTCAAGGAATATTACATGGTAGAAGCTACGATGCTTCTATTGAAATATCTCAATGACTTTTCCGCCTCGCCTCTACCGAAGGAATTTGTCGAAATCGACGATCCCTATGCAAGCAAGGTATAAATAAATTTCTTCACTGAAATAACAATGCATAATTCATGGATAATTATTTTTAGGTAACTTACAATGTAAGCGAAAACTCGGAAATTTGTTTGTACATCATTTTGGAAGACGTCCCCGTCCAGAAATTGCCTAAAGTAGGAGCGAAAATGAGGGAAACTTTGAAGAAAATCCTCGACGAAAAGCTGATCGATATGGAGCAATTACACAGCATCATCAATAAGTACAAGCTGGAGAATCTTAGCAGTTTGGAAAATTCGCCTCACAACACAATCGCCTTTATGATTATAGGACACATGCTTTACGGACACACTAAAGAAGATGTAAGTTGCATAATTTCGTATCGAATTCCGTGTAAATATTGTTTGTTTTAGTTACAACAGCGACTCAATCCGTTGACCGATATTGCGAAACTCCAGAGCGAACCCCAATCGTTTTGGCTGGGGATATTAGAGAAATATTTCGTAAACAACAAATCGTTAACCGTCCAATGCATACCGAGCATTGAAGAGCAACAGAAATTGGCCAGCGAAGAGAAACATCGGGTGGACAATCAAATAAAAACGTTGAAAGAAACCGGCTTGAAACAAAAAGGAGAAATTTTACAAAAAGCCATCGAATTCAACGAAACCGAAGCCCCACCCGAGATGATCACATCCGTGCCTATACCCAGTTTGAATTCAATCAAATTCCACAATATCACTAGACACAAATCGGACGGGGAATCCAATCAAAAAATCAACTTATCGAAAACCCCTATTTACACCTACTTCGACCATTTGAAAACTAACTTCGTCTACGTAAGTTCCCCCTTAATACACTAACTTACATTACCGTTTACTTATTATTTATCCCAGCTATTCGCAACGCTCGATACGACCAAAGTACCCGCAGACCTCAAGATCTACCTGCCTCTATTGATCGAGTCTCTTCTGCAACTGCCGCTCGAACGCGACGGGAAAATCATATCCTACGAAGACGCCGTATCGCAACTGAACGACGACACCGTCAGCACGTCCATATCGCTGGGCCTCCAGCGAAACGGCCTCTTCATATGCGGCAGCTACTCCTCTACGATCACGCTGATGCTGCAAGTGGACGCCGCCAAGTACGAAGTCGGCGTGAACTGGCTGAAGGAGCTGCTGTACAAGACCGTCTTCACGCAGGAGAGGATCAAAGTCATAGCTAATAAGTTGAATAATTCGGTTGCTCAGTACAAGCGCAGCGGACGGAGCATCGTCGGGTACATATCGAGAGGGATGCGGTTTAGTAGAGGTTGGTATCTGGTACTCCTACTGGTCTTCTACCTTTGAAGACTGCTAGCCAACCGTTCGTTATTGAGTATGTGTAAATGATGAGTGAATTCGTGGTTTTAGATAGCAATATATTGAAGAACGGAGTGTTGCAACAGAACAAATTTCTGACGGAAACGCTCGGGAAATTGGACGGTAATTCGGCTAACGAGGTGTTGGAGAACTTGGAGAAAGCGAGGAAAATCGTGACGGAACCTGCCAACGTGGTGCTCTATCTTGCTGGGAATTTGAATATTTTAAAGAACCCTTCACAACCGCTCGACGAATTTCTACCGCCGAACGTTGGGGCTAGCAAGAAGCAATCACCGTGAGTGTATTACCATCGCTAATAATTCATTAAACTATTTAATACTGTTACAGTTTAAACGCTACGCCTGATTATAAATTTAAAAAAGATTCGAGCGATCCACAATACGGTTGTATCGTAGGACTGGGCTCTCTGGAATCCTCCTTTTTCATTCAAACAACCTCGAGCATATCGTCCTATCACGATCCGGATCTGCCAGCTCTAATGTTGTACCTGCAATACTTGACTCAAACCGAGGTGACTATTATTTCGAGACTATTTTTAACTTGTACTTAATTACGGTTAAATCTCGCAGGGTCCAATGTGGAAGCAAATCAGAGGTAAAGGCTACTCGTACAACTACAGCATGTTGGTGAAAGTCCACGAAGGTCTGCTCTATTTGGTGTACGGTAGAGCGACGAACGTCGTGGGAGCTTACAAGGAAACCAAAGAGCTTATTTTCAAGCAGCTCGAGCACAAAGAATGGGACCAATCGCTCATTGATTCGGCGAAAAGTTCCATCATATTCGAGATAATCGATGAGGAAAAGACCATAGGAGACGTGGTTAATTTGTCGTTTACTTCTTACTTCGATGGAGTCGATTACACGTTTAATAGGTGAGGGATTGAATGTGTTATTTTTGAGTAAATAGAGCTCAAATTGTTTTAAATTGGTCTGGACCCGTTTGTAAATGGTTCTGGATCTGTTCAAAATAGTTTTGGGTAATTCGAAATGTTCCTAGGATCGCCCTGAACGGTCCTGGTCAGTTACAAAACGGTTCTAATTTTCTAATTGATCCTGGACCATTTTAAATGATTTTGAACCGTTCTAAATAGTTCTATGATCGTCCTAAATTGTTTGGATGGTCCTAGTGAGGTAGAAAATGGTTCTAATTGATTCTGGATAGTTCTAAACGGTTTTGAACACTTCAATACGATTCTAAAATTGACAATTTTTAGGACATTGTTAAATTCGATTAACAAAGTGACCATTAATGATTTGAATCGAGTGGGAGAAAAGTATGTGAGACCTTTATTTGATTGCAAACAAACCAAGACCGCTGTTGTTGTAAATCCATCGAAAATTGGAGAAGTTGCAGATGAACTTAAAAAGTATGTATATTATATTATTGGCACAACATGTTTGTTTATTAATGTTTGTATCGTCTCTTTTAGATTAGGTTTAAATCTCACCACCTACAACTCACTAGAAGATAGTTTCTTGAATAAAATATAAATAAGGCTATTTATTTAATTCGGCGACTAGATATATAAGGCTTGGGTGCAAAAAAAATATAGTGAAAGCGCAACAGCTTTATTCGTATATATTTTTATTACCGCAGTACTATTGAAATAAAAAACGTTACATAAGCGATTTGGTTTTTTTTTCATCTTTAATTCCTTGGAAATTCCGATATACAATTCGAAAAGTTTTCTGTTCGACTCTCGCCGGTGTATTTGACGAGTTATATGGTTTACAGTGGAAAACAATGCATAGTTTTTTTTTATCTCGGCTAATAAGCATAAATAAAGATAATAACATTTACACCTGTTGGGTGCTTAAGTAATTATTAAATTTTAAATTGTAGTCGAACCTGCACGTTGCAACAATGAAAACCGTAGGAACCTGTTGTTTGCGTAATGATCGCAATTCGTGAATTTCGAAAACGTGTTACGGTAGTTTGTCGAAAACGGTGCCAACTGGCCGTTTTTGAGTGAAAGTCGTGAATGGAACTCGTGGATTTTTTCTATTCTAATCGGAGATAATGAACACAAGTACCGATTAATTTTCGACTGAGCCGTATCTGTTCGCTTATTAGTAGTATTTCAGGTATGAATTTGTAGGTGTTGTCGACGAGTAATTGAAATTTGTGCGAGTCAAAATGATCGGCGAAGATAATGAGGCTACCGTTCAAGTAAGTTTCGATATTGGAGTGTTTTTTTTGGAATTATTTTGTTGTAGCGGAAAAGTCGGTTTTTAGGTAAGCGAAGTTAGTGTCACTGAAAAAGAAGATACAAACGATAAAAAGCGTTTCGTATTGAACAAAACGCTAAGAAATGGTCTAATATTATCGGTAATTACCGCATATTTTGCGTGGGCAACGTACCATTACGTGGATAAATATGGTATAAAAATTTAAAATTAATTTAATGACTTCCTGCATGTCGCCATTTTCGAGTTTGCTAAAAATATTTAAATAATTTTAGGAGGCTCGTGGATAAATTTCAATGCTACAACGTGCAATGGTTATGGATTTTTAGTTATATTGTATGGTTTTATATTGTTCGGTTTTATAAAAGTATACGTTTTAAACCCATTAGTATTTCCAATTTTAACGAAAAGCTTTGAGGATTTTAAATGGAAATTTAACCAATCGGCTGATAAAAAACCTTTACTCAAAGGTATAATAAGGTAAGTAATTGCAAATTAATATGGGGAATTATACAAGGTGTTGATTAATTGAATATAGATACTTCAGGTCGTGAATTTGGATAATTTTAAAAAGAATGCTTTTCTTAATTCCTATATTAATACTTTTATTATAAATAATATTTTAAATTACTTTTCACACGACTATTATGCATTCTTTGGATTGTTTGTAATAAAATCCAAACTTTTCCTTCTATCTTCAATCGATCGTGTCGCACGTGCATTTTTCAAAAATCGGACAAATAAAAAAAAATAAACCCACGCTTAGATACTCTGATTCATTTAAATTATCATAATTAGGAAATATCGATTGATCAAAGATAAGAGAACTTAGAACTTTGGATTTCTATTCAAGATTACAAAAAGAATCCGAAATTCAATCGTTTCAATTCAAATAACTCTAATCCTCTAAATTTAGCTTTTTAAGGTCATGGATATAAAATTAAATTAATTCGATTTTAGGCATCGCAACAAAATAATTTATGGAGTTTTCTTCACGGCCGTAGCGATATACTTAATTATAGACACGAGCGACAACAGGAATCGATTGATTCCTCTTTCAGGCCTTTTTGTATTCTTAATAATCGGATTCATCTTCTCTAATAGTAAATCTAACGTAAGTCCAGCTTAAGGGCATCATTGAAACAATGGGATAATTTATTTAAACTTGTAGATATGCTGGGACACGGTAATTTGGGGTATCATTTTGCAATTCCTGTTCGGTTTATTGACCATAAGATGGGACGTTGGAAGGAACATATTAGATTGCGTTGGAAACAAAGTGAACACTCTTCTCGATTACGGATTTACCGCATCGGAATTTCCTTACGGAGAAGAATTAGTACAAAAAGAAAAAGTGTTTGCGTTTAGGGTATGAATATTAACAATAAATTGATATAGTTGCACAATTGTATGCACTTTTTAGAGTTTATCAACCGTATTTTTCATCAATTTCTTGGCGAATATTCTCTACTATTATGGAATAATGCAAAAAGTGGTCACTTCTGTGGGGAGCTTCATGCAGTGGGTAATGGGAACTTCGATTTGCGAAAGCGTCAGCAGCGCAGCGACTATTTTCTTCGGAATGGTAACCATCAAACCTACCAAAAACCCTTTATCTTATCACGAATTTTCAGTCCGAGGGTCCCATTCTGCTAGCCCCTTACTTGGAACACCTCACCAACTCCGAGATCCACTCCGTCATGACATCGGGATTCGCCATGGTGTCAGGTAAACAAACCATTAACAAATTAAATTCCACAAATAACAATCCTCGTTCCAGGCTCAGTAATGGCCGGTTATATTTCGTACGGAGCGAGAGCTCAGGATTTGATAACAGCCAGTATCATGTCCGCTCCTGCAGCACTTTGTTACAGCAAATTAATGCACCCCGAAACCGAGAAAGTCGTGTTGCAGAAGGAAAATATCGAAACTGTCGAGATGTAAGTCATAAAAAATTAAAATATGGATATTGTGGGTAGTGTTTTCGTTATTTGTGAGTGATATTTGCTTCAACTTAAGCAGATCTGGTGTACTCTTTCATTGATTATACTCTTACTTAAGTATATTTTCCAAGTTAGATTCTTCCAGTCTTAAAGTATCTGCATAGTAGGTCTTAAAAAAGGTAAGTCTTCTAGTTAATGCTACTAAAAGTGTTCTTGACAATATTATATGTATCCAGCTCAAGAGTAAATCTTTATTATTTTCTTCTGAAGAGTTAATTTCCTCTGAATTTACACACAGTTTAATCGCTGCTTGATTGCGATCAATGAGCTTGATGAGGTTTCTTTTTTCCTTTAATTTTTGGTTCTAGTACCAAACATCATCACATCAGCTCATTTATGGGTTCATGAGTTGACTACTTAAGGCATGTTTTAAGCAATCCAAGTTCAATTCTAGTGAAGTTCGAGGTAAATTCATTTCAGTGAGTTCGAGTCTGCATTGGACGCGGCCAGCAAAGGCGCCACCAACGCCATCGGAATGGTGCAAGGGATCATCGCAGGACTAATAGCCTTCCTGGCCGCGGTGTACATGATCAACGATATCCTGGGCTGGATAGGAATGCTGATCGGTACTTATGGAAACCCCAGCATCGGCTCGATGTAACGTTGGAACATTAATTTCAGGCTATTCGGATCCCATGTGGACCTTGGAATTGATAACCGGTAAAATATTCATCCCCATCAGCTTCATCATGGGCGTGCCTTGGGACGAGTGCGAGTCCGTCGCCACCCTCATCGGCATCAAAACTATGGTGAACGAATTCGTGGCGTTCAAGAAGATGGGAGAGATGCTCGAACAAGGACTCTTAGGCGTAAGAAAACACTAAAACACCTACGTGCTGTAATTAATCAATTAAAGTAGAAAATAACGAAATTTTCGCAACTTTTATCTAATCTTTTATGGAGCAATGTTTGTGAATTATCATCCAGATATTAAAATTCCTTCAATATTACGTACGAATTGTATTAAATTTATTTTAGGCGAGGACGAAGGTAATAGCCACTTACGCCATTTGCGGCTTCTCAAATCCCGGCTCAATAGGAATCATGATGTCTTTGCTGGCCGCTTTGATCCCCAGCAAAAGGGACGTTGTTGCCAAATTGGTGTTCAGTTCTTGGTTCGCGGGGGCCTTGGTGTGCTTCATGACTGCCTGCATAGCCGGAACTTTAATGCCGGATGATATACTTTGAATTATCTATCAGTATTAATTGTTTTAAATTGAATATACTATTTACTCTACAGAGTTTGGTTGTATTATTTTTGTTTTATATGAAATGTTTCATTCAGGTTGGTCGTGAGAAGCGTAAAAAAGGATGTGCGGTACGAGTCTAGTTAGAAAGCGACTCGCGTAATTCTTTTTATACCTACTTATTAAATTCAGAAAGCATAAAACGCATCGAAATAATAACAAAACACGTGAATAAGAACTCGGCGATTGCTGGTAACCTGATAAATCGTAAGAGAAATTGTTTTAGCGAGTAGATACAGTTTAATAGCAGAATGGAAGTAGTAATTGCAATTGCCACAGATTTTTCTCGGTAATTGTAGTTTTAAAAGTCTTCAGGTGCATTAAAATATACCGGTGATTATTAAAATTGGTGTCTTTTTTACGTGTGGAATTCACATGATGCTTTATTATATTCGTGAAAATATAGATAAACTTTTATTAGAAATGAAAATGTGTTCTTGATGGAATATTAATGAAGGGTTATGGTTTTAATAATATAATTATGGTATACAAAAATTTCATTTTTGTATATTTCATCCGGTAGTTACTGTACCTTATCAATTTGATAATAAAACCATTAGGTTATTTTTTTTATTTGTGGATTTTCTGCTCGATATATCTCAAAAATAATAATGCTCTTCACTTATGTAATAATTTAAATTAATTCCATTAATGAATAATAAAACTACCAAATTATTATTAACATCGACATAAAATGTTTATTTCCTGCAGAAAATTAGAAAGTTATAATTAATCTGTTTAAATTTTCGTTGTTTCTATCACAAAATGTCCCTTCAACAACAATTGAGTTAAAGTAGAATTCTTAATAAAATATGCACATAAACATTCATATTCAGAACGTGTATGCATGAATATGCATATTAAATAAATGTCAAGAAACCAATTTTAGCGTACAATAAAATTTGTATGGTTCTTAAATGTTGAATAGTTTACAGGAAGATAAAAAATACCGAAATTTAAAGAATTTCAAACAATTTCGCGGTTTATAAAAAACCGCAGTTTATTGAAAACTGAAATTTGCATAATAAACAATAAACAATTAATGGCAAGCAATTATTACAATAAAAATATGTTAATAAAAATAGAGAGTAACCAGTGAGCTAAAACTCGTTTTACCTTGATGTGGAAAATAAATTAAAAAATAAATGTACTGGACTAAGTGGGGATTATTGCCTAGCCTTTTGGATGGAAATCCAAAGGACACATCGGAATGAGTTCCGTCGACGATGCGAGCTTGTTTATTTACACCTGTAGATAGGCTTTAAAAATCGGCACATCCTGTAATAAAAAAGCCGAAGCAGTACCTACATTAAATGCGTGAAAGTCGGCGGTGAAGTCTCCACAGCGGATTTGCTATCAGTTACATGAACAATCTTTAGTTGTGGCTTTCTATGTTTATTCTAGTTTGAGTTCGAGATGCGTGCGTTTTGAGTGCAACCTAGTTTGATTTATCCACAGATTTGAGCATGCAGAACGGGGGTGGTACTGCGAAAGCAAAGGTAAGATATTTTGTCTCAATACACCTTTACCAATAAAAATAATTTACAACTTACTGTTTTTAAAAATAGAGCGAGTAATAGGAAGCAGAGGATGTGTATTTTCGTTTTGTTGTGTAGGTTTATGTAATTTTACGTGAAATTAAATCATTTAAATGAAGCTCCTTTGTATTTTAATGCACTAAATTAAATTTAAAGAGTACTCTTTTGGTTTACCAATTTCTTAAAACCAGTAAAACTGGCTGATGTTCTTGAAGAACATTCGGCCTTCCCAGGTTCAATAAAGCCTTTTCCTGCTATTGTGTTTTCACTAAATGTATGTACAAACATTTGCGAATTATTGCGAGGAAATTCAAATTAATGAGACTATGTAATGTTGTCGTTTAGCTCAAATTTCTCATACGTCAGAGCATATAAACATGGAAAGTAAATTTAAAAAATTATCGTAAATTTATTACCTACAGACGTCAAACTACGAAGAAAATGTTATAAAAGCGACTGAGACATTCGAAGAATAATGTATAAAAAATTATTAACAATTCAATGCGAATTTAATTACTTTGAATGGGTTACTGAAGGCTAAATATCTACATTAATTTTTTTCTCGACAAATAATTAGCACCTCAGTTTTAAAAAATATACTTAAATATTTCAATTAATTTGAATAAACAAATGTTGTATGGGTCAACTAGTTTTATTACATGCCAGTGTCATTTAAGTAAAATAATAAAAACTATTGTTCAAAAAATTTTCAGAAATTAACCAACAATCATATTTTCAATGGTATCAACAAGATTTACGGTATCAAAAGTTCCTAGGGCTGATTTAGTGTTTCTAAACATTTTTTTAACATTTTTGATAACCAACGAATTTATTTCAATAATGCCATTGTAAAATTTAATAGATTGTCCCCACTTAGATAATTTCCTACAATAGCTCATTAAACTCAATATCAATGAAATTATTTTTATTAGTACATAAAAGAATTTCGATAAATTAATTCTTATATTACCAGAGTTTATTTATCCATGTAAGTTAATTTAATTTATAATGTTTTATTAAAAGTCTCGAAAAGCTGTTTTGCTGTGCTCTAACTGAAGTAATTATCTCCCAAATTGGTTTTCTAAATGATAAGATTCTTTTCCAAACATGTTTCTGTGCAATTTTCATACGTAAGTAAAAAAAGAATTAATATCAATACTATTTTATAAATTATTTAATTAAGTGGATATTTTGGTGTAGTTTAAAGTAGGGAAGTATCTTACCACAGTATTTAGTAATAGTGAAAGTATTTTATTAATGTAATCATCCTTTTTTTTAATTAGGTATACAGGTAATTCTGAAATTATAAATTTTTCTATTTAATTTTAAATTCGAGTTATTAGAAAGCGCTCGCTTTAATTGCATTCCCTTAAGTATTTATGAATTTATGTTTACCTACTATAAAAATTTGGTATGAAAATTCCCTAAATGGTACTTGTATCGTTGGAATCAATACTTAGGCCGCAATCTCAGTTGGTTTACCTTCAGGTTGACTATGGGTTCAACTTTTTCCTATACATAAATCGTGAGAGAATTTAAGAGTTCTGTATTATTAAATTTTAATATTCTACGATCATGACATAGGTCACCTAAAGCTTTCACTCATCGCTCGAAGAATTATTTTATGTCGCCTGATACTTCTATTCCCATGCTCATTTTCCACTAGAGTTTATGAAGTGTACACAGAAATTTTCACGTCTTTTTTATTTACTTAGATACAGATTTCTTCTTACGTCTTTATGTAAATTTCCCAAATTTATAAATAGTTATTTACGTAGATTATTAACCGAAAATAATAAATAAAAAATATTTGTGTAGAAGTTTTAAAGCTTCTTTAATGTTGTTTTGTATTGCAGACAAAGAACATACCTACTTTAATTGCATCTATTTATAGTGTAACAATACGATTCGAAATGTAGAATAATGAATAACTGAGTAATTAAGTTGCTGCTGATATTAATGCAATTAGAGTGAAACTTTGCGTTCTTTCATGTGGTTCATGTGCATTTTAGTTAACTGCATAGGTACTTAAAACTTAAATTGCCAAGTTAATTGACTCGAGATAATAATACAGGCATATAGAAATCATTCCAGGCTTACATTTAATGAGTGAAAAAATAGAAAAAATAGAAAAAATATATAATAATATATATTACTTTGGCATTCTCCTATTCATTATTTTTGAATTATTATTCTCTACTCACATTAGGACGGTACGTATTTTGTGGAGTAATGTTATTATAAAAATATTTATCCATAATTTTACTATTAAATCAATTAGTTATAGTTGTTTTCAAGGAGTTTTGACAATAAATTGTCGAGACAGATGTTTGCAATTTAAACTATTTCTATTTTTTGTTGAATTTTTTCATGTTAGTTAATTTAATTTACAAGTCGTTTATAACGCGAATGAAATGAAATTGTTGCTGCAATTGCACGTATATTTTAAGATCAAAAATTGATAGGTCTACATAATATGATAATTGATTTTTACGTGTAATGTTCATTTTGAGTATATTTAATTGATATTGAATTAGACTAAAAAAAACCCAAACATAGTATGAAAGTCCATATTTTACCAGCAATTGCCAATTAATAGAAATCGCTAGGTTTTTATCTAACATGAATTTGATGGCCATCAAGTTTTTCAAAGGCAAATATATTAGAACATAATTAGATTGATTTAATGGGAACCAACGAATAAAAAATAAAAAAATTCATTCAAATGTAACTAACTGTTAGAAAATATTCGTATCTGAATAACAGAGCTACACCTAATTTAAAGAAAACGTTTTTTATATATGTATTTAAATAAAAATACGTACAATAAGATATTTATTTTATTTTCTTAGCTAAGCCTTGTACATTGCTCGCGTTACCCGGCTAATTAAAAAATACAATTAAACATAGTTAAACGACCTATCGTTTATATCTAAAGTACCTAATAAAACGCAAAGCCTTCATAATTTATTCGCATAATATTAGAGATGTATGATAATGAGAATAACGTGACAATTCGAAATTATATAAATAGCATGGTAATAATTCATTAACTGTGTGACCCCCCACATTATAGAGTTGCTTAAAATTTACAGTTAATAGATTTAAATTTGTAGTATGTTTACGATGCGTGCAAAAAGTATAAGTTAATTATTTTAGTAAGATTTAGGAAAACGTTTAGAATAAAATTAATCAGAATTCATACTAATTCATAGTAATTGTTTTAGTATGGATTTGGAAACTAAATTTTATTTTGTTTTATCAAATGGGTCAAGCATACATTATTATGATTTTTTATTGAACTAATTACTTTAAAAAGTAATTACGAATCGCTATTGAGGTAGGTGAGTAGCTGTATATTCTAAACATAACAAATCTTAACTGACCTAACTGACTTAAGAAAGTGTATGGAAGTTATGTTTAGGTATATAAAAACAAATTGTTTTTATGAAAGAATGTTAGTTTCAATTGATTTATTAGTTATTATTTTAATAAATAACCGAAAACCTTCTAATTTATGTACAAAATAAGTGATTGACATATAGGCAACTCATTATACATCGACGAAAAAAAGACGTCTAATAGGTAGACTAGCCACTTCCAATAAATTGACAGTGAACAGTGAAGTGACAGCTCCTTTCGAAACGAGAGTAGGCAACACACAATATCTTCTAGTTTGTTTAACCTTAAAATGCGTTCTGCTGCTACTACTACAACTACAACTCGCCAGCGGTAGAATTTTTATGAGTTTCGCACTTTCAGGTCTCCGCCAAAAGCCACTCAGCCGACGTCGAGTGCGGAAAGTCGGTCGAAGTATACGGCGGCAGTGAAGGCACCAACGCAATCCGAAGAACGAGGTTTTCGAAAACTCGGCCACTTCGCGTGTTGATCAGGCAGTTGCTGATCGCGGCGATGATTTTCGCGGTGCTGGTGGCCCTGGGGGCCGTCGTCGGCTACTTCCTGGGGTGGATTTTCCTGGTTCAATTGATGATCGTCGCCCTAGTGGCCTACATAGCCGCTGGTAAATGGAAGTGGTGGTATGTGGCCGCGATGACCGCTCCGAGGGACTTGAGGTGAGTTACAATTTACAATTGATTCCCTATTATTTTTATAATTAGAGATCTAGTGATCGTTATTACTGATTCTGGTTACTAGATTTATGTATGTGTAGATTGAATGTTTGAAGGTATTCAACTGTTTTGTTTATTTAATTTGACATATTAGATAATTTAGCCAAAATTTTAATGTTTGATAATGTAAATATGAGGAATAGTGCCTACTTGATATTAGGTAAGTTATTTGAATACAAAAAAAACCTGTTTATACTAGGTTAAGTAGGCTGTGCATTATTATCGGTTATTAAACAATCATTTATCAATAAACTAATTACTATAAACATATCATTTTTAAGTGTATAGGTAAAGTAGAATACTCATTTGAGTTAAATATTGAAGTACTTATTTCACATTTAAATATGACAGCTTTTCCAGTCAATGAAACTTCTATTTTTTTGTTGGCTCATCACAATGCTACTAGATTTACCTATAACTATATTTAGGTAATGCTTTTGCATAATCATTGACATTTACATAATTTCGCTGGGTTAATTTAATGGTATAAATTTTTTGAACTTTGCTAAATTTGTAACAGTAGATGGACGTTTTCTTGAATTTCCATTGAATTATGAGCAAACATGAGATAATTATTAGCATATTATGTAATGGTTTGTCGAATTTTTAAATTTTTTTATGATTGAGTACGTGTATTTAATAAAATTTAGTGCATGATTATTTAAAAATAAGCTAATTATCAATTTATGAATTTATCAATCCAGTTTTCAAATGTGTGCACGGAGCTTCCACACAGGATATTAGCATATTATCATATTATTGGTGTACTCTTATCGTTTAATATATTAATTAAATTATACAGGTTGTCTTACATAAGAACTTTAAAAACCCCAAAAATTACTTTTAGAACCCCCAATTTCTATCGCAAATTTTAAGCTAAAACTGAAAAAACCTGCAATTAATTCATTATTTTTTAGTGATTTATATTAACTTCGATTGCAGCAACCTGTTAGAAAGTTTAGGCAATAAAATACCTGATCACTCGCTTATTTTTTGTATTCGTAATATTTAAATTATCCGGTATTCTCGTATAAAGTTCAATAACACGCATCTCTGATATAAGATTTAACTTTCTTCTTTCACTTCTATCACTATAAGAACCTCTTTACAGCATTCGTCAATCTACAGCGCAACAAACACGATGAAGAATTCAATCATTTGCCTAGTAAATCATAATTTTAGGAGGGAATTTAATTATTATATATTTTTTACTAATTTTGGGACAGGCAGTATTCTAATACTGGTTATATTTTTTGACGTACAACTTTAATTAAATTTTTCCCATCATTTATGATTAAATAAATACGTCATTGTTAACGAGAAATTTAATTAGAGTAACCAATTATCGATGTAGGTACGAAAATTAATTGCTGTAACGACCAACCTGTAATTTATGCTGTACAATTCAATTATCTTTCCAAAAATTGGAGAAATTCTTATTGCATGTGCTTATGAAATTTCTCTTCATAGACAGTCCCCAAGTGCTTTGAGCTGCGGTTGATGACCTCGAGTAACTCGAGGTTTCGGTTTCTGACTCGAGAAATATTATTAGGTTCGCAAATTTGCACAAACTTTACTGAGGAGGCCTAAGAAAAAAAAAACAGGTATTCGAAATCTAGCAACGTTTCCTGTAAAAGTGTATTAATCAAACAATTTGTAGACAGTAAATTTTTATGTATAAAAATTAAATATTTACCAGGAATAAAGAATGTAAATACGTAGTTCATTTAAAAGCAAATTAAAGAGAAATGCTGTCATTAACAGTTAAATATAATGTGGAAACAAAATTTCTATGTATTTGTAAACAGGAATTTTATAAAAAAAATTGATAAACGGGAATTACCTAATGCTGAATTGTTATATCATTCCTTATCAGATCAGACAAGAGGAATTTTTTTAGTAGTTCATTAATTATTTACGATCTACTTATGTGTATTATTTGAACTATTTTATACCTATCTGTTATAAAAGAAAATTTACAAACACGATTATTCATTGTACTGTCTGCTATTTTATCGACGATATTTTATTATCAGAGTGCGTGTACTTATTATCATCAAGTATGCAAAGTAGGATTGACCTCTGTCTTTCTATACGCAAATTGAATTTTAACTTTTGTCTTCCTTAATTTTGAATAATCAAAGACAAACGATTTACAGGAAAGCTGCATTTTTTGTACTGGTAACATACAAAATTGATTTAAATTATTAAATAGTGGGTTTTATAAATAAAAAATACTTTTTCTGGTACCTTACCTGAGTTTTTTTCCGATATCATAATTTAATTACCACTAATTTATAACCTAATTACAAACAAATGACTTTTCACGATAAATTATTTGTTATTCTGTTGAACTTGTAACGATTTATTCAGAATAAATTCTAAATTACGCATATCTAACTCAACAAATTACCGTAATTACACTGTTATTTTAATTTGTTACAGGGCTCTGTGTAAATACATCGGCCTGTTAATTCAAATCAAATATTTCCAGAGGAAAAATCTAACGTTATCGCAAATTTTCCAACAGCATGTCAAGAAACACCCGAATAAACATTGCATATTATTCGAAGATCAAGAATGGACGTTTGCTCAGGTATGTCACGTATTCAGACCTTCATAGTTTAGAAATCTTCCTAAAATTCAACACAAACAAGATTCTTTCATGACGAGCAAGTAATTTTAAAAAAATCATCGGTATCGTTCGAATCGAAAACCTTTAACCTCAAGCATTACATTAATTTTGCATACAAATGAACGGTTTGTTTTTGTAAATGGGGAAATAATTTCAATGGGCGATACTTGCAAAAAATGCGACCTGAATGTTTAATTAGATAATTTTTTTTTTTGTGTTTTTGTAGCCAAAATTTTGATATGAAATTCGATTCAAATTGAATTCTAAGTTTAATTGATAATAATATTATTCTTCCAACGTTGTAATTTGTAGGAAATGTAACTGCATACGTTTGATTAGACTTAATTGAAATTTGTTTATGAGTAGAACATCGTCATGCAGATACTCAATTAAATTTATGAACACGGTAAAAATGTCTGTAATAAAATTTTTAGTTCATATTTTGTACCAATTAAAACGCTAACGAATATGTTAAAATATAATTTGAACAAGATTTCGTTATATTTAATAACACGTATAATGAATTATTTTATTACAACAGTCACATTTATTTTATTATTTCATGTCTTGTTGTAATTTTTAGGTTGAAGAATACAGCAATAAAATAGCGAATATATTCAAAAGCCACGGATATAAAAAAGGTGATAAAGTGGCATTATTTTTAGAAAACAAGCCGGAATTTGTTGCAACATGGTTGGGCCTTTCTAAATTAGGCGTCATCGTGCCGCTAATAAATACAAATCTAAGACTGACTAGTCTTGTACATTCTATTACAGTCGCTAAAACTCAGGCTGTGATTTTTGGCACTGAATTGTCCCAAGGTAAGCTAATAACATAGCTACATTTTTCGTATAACTATCACTAATATCGCTCGTTTTAGCTATGAATGAAATACTAGATAAAATAGAATCAGAAGTTGCCTTATATCAAATTAGTTGCAATAATAACAATACACCGATAGTTGATCAAAAGTACCACAATTTGGATGCTTTGCTAAAAGATGCCGCTTCTACGCCGCCCCAAATAAAGGATAAAATTAATCACCACGATTGCTTGGTGTACATTTACACGTCAGGAACCACGGGATTGCCCAAGGCAGCTGTTATTAGCAATTCCAGGTAAGTTTTATATGCTCTTTCTTGTATATTGATTCAGTAATAATGTTTCAGAATGCAAACGATAATAACATTGCCTATTCGAAATCGCTTAATATCGAGTTCTGCGGAATACTAAATTTAGAAAACGTAAAAACCTTATTTTGAGTTTGTGTAAAGCACCTACCGATTTGCATGTTCCTTCAGAGAACAATAGAAATTTCCATTTAATTGTAAAATAGCGTCACACAACGAGGTCCATTGTCCTAACGCTTTTATTTCGATTTCGTCATATTAACCATTCCCAATTTAATCTAAATCTAATTCATTGTTAATTAATTTTGGAAATTCACTTAGCACGGCTTATGCAACTAGCATTGCATCAACCTGAATCAATAGCATAATCAGAGGGAAGTTAGGGAACTACTCAAGCCCTACAAAAATGTCCATTTTTTACAGCGAAAGCTTATTTTTTAGGTACATTTTTATAGCGGCCGCTATCAGTTGGTTGAGCGGCTTTAGGTCAGATGATATATTTTACACTCCGCTTCCCTTGTACCACACAGCAGGGGGCTGCATGACCATAGGTCAAATGCTCCTTTACGGCTCCACTATTGTCATTAGAAAGAAATTTTCCGCGTCCGGATTCTTCTCTGATTGTAGAAAGTACAAGTGCACCGTAAGTGTAACCATGTTGCATTTGAACTACTTTATAACGCTCGTGAATTGCAGGTTGCTCAGTACATAGGCGAGATGTGTAGGTACATTTTAGCAGTACCTCCTAACGATAAAGATCCTGTTCATAATTTACGCATGATTTTTGGTAATGGTTTGCGTCCCCAAATCTGGACGGAATTCACCAAGAGATTCGCTATTGAGTCAGTTAGGGAATTTTACGGCGCCACCGAAGGAAACGCCAATATAGGTAAAATTACACCGCAATACCTGTTAGTAGAATTTTAATATTTCGTATGTATTTGCAGTAAATATAGATAATACGGTCGGAGCCATCGGGTTCATATCGAGAATCATTCCATCCGTCTATCCGATTTCGATCATAAAAGTGGACCCGAACACCGGCGAGCCGGTGAGAGACGCCAAAGGGCTGTGCCAGACCTGCAAGCCGAACGAGCCGGGCGTGTTCATTGGGAAAATTATACCCAACAACCCGTCGAGGGCTTTCTTGGGGTACGTGGATAAAGAGGCTTCGAAGAAGAAGATCGTTTACGACGTGTTCCATCACGGAGACAGCGCGTTCCTGTCGGGTGATATCTTAGTTGCGGATGAATTCGGTTATTTGTTCTTCAAGGATCGTACGGGAGATACATTCAGATGGAAGGTAATTGCGATTTTAAAGTAGATAAAATGAACGTTTCTTTTATGTAGATATGAAGATAGAACCGAGTTAGGAGCTGATTGGCGAGATTTTAAAAAAATGAGTTTATGGTATATAAAGGGACGTAAAAAAATCGCTGATTATGAAAATCGGCCTCTTTTGAAAATTTTTGACACATTTCTAAATAAATTATTTGATGGACGTTGTCCGTTCGTTTGGTTTAAACGGAACTACACCGACATGAGAGACTTTTTCGTTATTTATACAATTTCCTCGCTTTTAGTGGACGAGAATAAAAGAAATTGCAAAAAATCGCAAAAATATACGTTTCTTGGTCATTTATATTTATTAAAAACCGAGAAATGATTAAATTATATTTAAAAAACATACACTAATGACAGCGGCGAAGAACAAACTTCGAACTGTCAAACTTGTCATTTGCGTTACATTTAATTTGATGTATAGGGTGTTTTTTCATTAAGGAAATCAGAAAAATTGGTGTAAGGGAATAATTTTGGTGTTTTTTTAGGGAGAAAACGTTTCGACAGCGGAAGTGGAAGCCGTGATGAGTAATTTAGTAGATTATAAGGACGTGGTGGTTTTCGGTGTGGAAATTAGGGGGCAGGAAGGTCGCGCTGGAATGGCGGCGATATTGGACCCCGAAGAAAAAGTAGATTTAAATGTGTTAGCGAATGGATTGAGGAAAACGCTGCCCTCGTACGCAAGGCCGATTTTTATACGGATATTAAGCAAAATCGATTTAACAGGTAGGTTTCTAACGAATTTCCCGTTATAAACACTTAAACTAAATATCATATTTGTAGGAACGTATAAATTGAAGAAAACCGACCTTCAACAAGATGGGTTCGATCCGTCGAAAGTTAGTGATAACATTTATTACTTAGATAGTTCTCGTGGAAGTTACGAGAAGGTCACTAAGGAGATTTACACGGAAATAAATAATGGAAATTTAAGGGTTTAGAAAGTATTTAGGGCTTGCATTTCGCTTTTTAAAAGGGTGTATTTAACGTACACTTATGTTAGTGGTCATTGCTAAACTCTATTTGTGATATTATTCGTAAGCAAATTTTAATCTAATTCTTCGAGAAAAAAGGTACTTTTTACTAACAAAATTGGGTCATTTTTTATTTCTAGAGCACGTCAGACAATAAAAAGTATATATTTCCGTACAAAAATTGTGTGTGGGATTCTAATAGAGCACGTACGATCATTTCAATTAATTTAATTTTGCGTTTATAAAAATATGAAATTTTAGAGTAATGGCCAAAACTTAAATTTAGGATTTAGGTATAAATACGTAATGCAAAAAAGATTCAGCAATAAATTAGTTTAGTACAATTTTGCAATATTTATATAGCAATTATTACATATTTTTTAAAAAAATATGTAGTGTCCTATTCGATTTGTTATAATTTTATTTTACTTATGTTTTAATATTAGGTTTAGAGAAGTTGATTGCTTTTTGGGATAGATCTGATTTTTTTCCATTTTTTACTTCATTTTTAGCATTTATTTTATCATATTTTTATTAATTGTCGAGAACTTTATTTTTGTCCACTCTGTACAAACCAAATTTGATTTTTAAAATTTTTAATCGATTTTATAGAAACCCGAAAACTTATGCATAAGTGTAAATAAATACATCTTTACTGACTGAACAAAAGTAGTCGTAAGGGAATAGTTTGCCTACTTAAAAAAAACTAAAATGACAAGTACAGGTCTACGAATTTACCATGGCACCTGGGGAAAATATTTTCTGCGCGAAGTAAGGGTCAGTGTGCGACAAGGATAGCATTCGGAATAGAGAGATGGCTATACAGGTAGTGAACGTAGTCGCATTTTACACGACACTTTGCATTAAACGGACTCAGGGGTAATTGGGATTTTCGAATGCAATTATAAAAATTATTTAATTAGCTTATTAGATTAAATTCAATTAGCTTACTTTTATTGAATGCAAATCTCAATATGTTTTGAATGTATAGAAATTGTAATTCGGTGATGTTAAATTAGTTTACTAAGAATAATTATTGCGTTCGCATTCAAGCCCATCAATTTTAAACCGGATTAATTAAATATCAATCAAATATAATAATAAATCTTTATATTAAACTTATACGGGGAATAATTAATTATTGGATTTATAGGAAAATAACATAACAATGAAAATTGGTTTTTCAGAGCCACGAATCTAAAATTTTAGGAATTTCGCTCCCTTAATACGGCTCTGTGCTTACATGTTTAAGCGTAAGACTGTCTGAACAGAATGAGTGCGGAGCGTAATTTAGGGACGAATCTACGGCGCATCTAGGGGGTGGAGCATCTCAGGTGCCATGGTAAATTCGTAGACCTGTATGTATTTTTATAAGTAAATTTTGAAACGTTTTAAATATTTTCTGTACAATGTGGTTGTGTTTTTATTATTACTCATTGTTAATTTTTAAATATATTTTTGTTTTCAAATTTTGTTTCAATATAACCTTATTAAATATAGCAGTTTTTAGTGACAGGATAATTTCAGGCCAACTTGATCTTGATTACTTGATGTAAGTTAAAAAAGTGGAGACAAATCAAATATTTTTTATGTTCACTTTACACACGTTTGGCTACTGACGTATCGAATAAAAGGCAATGGTAGCTGAATAATCTACTTAGTAGAGGCACGAGTAAAAAGAAGAGGTTTGGAAAGATTATAGAATAGAGTTGTTAAAAAAAAGGAACAGGAACGGAAAAAGTATTACAATGAGAAAAATGCTTTTTCATCTGCTACAATATAATTCATGAAGTATTTTTAAGGACTAGTAGAAATACCTGATTATCCAAATTTTTACCCAAAAATAAGAGAAAATAATTTTTTTGCTACTGTTCCTCTACTTGACCCACCTCTAGTTGCTTTTTAATTGTGAAATTATAACCTTAACCTTCGCAATTTTTAATTTCATCAATCATCATTTTTTTATCAACCGAACATTGTAAGTACATACATAATACCGCATTAGCAAAAATTAGCAAAGCAGCACTTTGACTTTGCTCCATCCTGCTCATTCAAACCGAAATATTCACAATAAAATCCATCATAAACAGGCTAACAACATTAATAAAGGTATTTATAGCTTATTACTTGCTTCCTATATCATGTATTTGATATCCTTTATATTTTAAACCAGATGGCCTTAACCGAAGAAGCATCGAACAAAGTATTCGGGGGTTACCAAAAGGTGTTCTCCCACGACTCCAAAGAAGTGGGATGCCGAATGAGAGTCGGAGTGTACTTACCACCGCAAGTAGAGGAAAATAAAAAATTACCCGTCATCTACTGGCTGTCGGGCCTAACCTGCAGTGAAGCCAACTTCATTGAGAAATCGGGAGCCCAAAAGTAAGATACTTAAACCTACAACCATCGCCATATTATTCAAGTTATTGGCAGATACGCTGCAGAATATGGAGTGATCATCGTTAACCCCGATACATCTCCGAGAGGTCTGAATTTACCCGGTGATAGCGAGAGTTGGGACTTCGGAGTTGGAGCCGGATTTTACGTCAATGCCACACAAGAACCTTGGAAGAAGAACTACAGGATGTTCAGTTACGTTACCTCCGAATTGCCCAAGTTAATCAGCGACAATTTCCCAGTGGCTGAAGGCTTGCAGTCTATAATGGGTCACAGGTAAAATGATTCATAGGCCGCAGTGATTTTTATAATCTGGTTTTATAATGCATTTTAGCATGGGCGGTCACGGTGCATTAATATGCGCGTTAAAAAATCCTGGAATGTACAAATCGGTGTCCGCTTTCGCCCCGATTTGCAACCCCTCGGCGTGTCCTTGGGGAATAAAAGCATTAACAGGTTACTTGGGATCGCAGGAAGCTGCTAAGTGGTCTGATTGGGATTCAACCGAACTGGTTAAAAAATACAATGGACCTCCGCTAGAATTGTTACTCGATCAAGTAAGTATTTCAATATAATGAGCAACAGTTATTTTACTATACGAAAAACTCTTTTAGGGATTAGAAGACAATTTCCTTAAAAGCGGCCAACTTTTGCCGGAGAATTTAATGGAAGCATGCAAATCTTCGGGGGTGCCAGCGATTTTGAAAAAACGGGAAGGTTACAATCACAGTTACTTCTATATAGCTTCTTTTATAGGAGAACATATCAAATACCATGTTGAGCATTTGTTATCGAAAAAGTTATAAATCGAAGGTTGTTTTAAACAATTCTTAACAAATATATAATTTTGTTTTGTGCTAGTATTTTTATGCTGAAGGTACAAAAAAGTCGAAAAGAAACTTAAACAAAAATTTATTTTTTAAATTGATGTTTAAGCAGAATAGATCAATAAAAAATTATGTTTGTATATACAAGCTCCAAAAATCCTAGAAAAACAATATCATTTTATAGAGCCTCTCAGTCGATGCCAATATTGAAGGACAGGTTCCCTATTTTGCCAGAGGTTCTTTTGACCCCACATTGCCCAAAATCTAACAGACATTCGAAATGTATAAGTTACATTAAAAAAAATAATTAATTACTTACATTCCAAAAGCAGCACCTCCTAAATGGGCAGCGTGATCAAAGAACTTCCATCCTAATAAGACACCTGCAGTGTCCAATCCCATTATGAATTTAATTGCCTGTAATCAGAATATTAATCACACAAATGTTTATATTTATTTATACTGAAAAATACTTACAGAGCCTGCAGAAAACGTAACTACTGGCAACAAAATAATGCCTAACCTCGTGTCTGGATACTGCGTACAAACATATCCTAAAATAGCCATTATGGCTCCAGACTAAAACAATACAAAATATAATTTCAACTTTCTTTCAAAGTGGAAAATATACTTACGGCTCCTAGAGATAGACCTGGTTGTTTGGTAATGATTTTATATGTGTAGCTCGTAAAACTAGATATAACACCAGCACTCAAATACATTGCTAAAAATTGCTCTTTGCCTAAACTCTGAACAGCGCCTAAAAATTTTAAATTTACTAGGACTTACACAGAACTCTATATATTCTAAATATTCTTACCTGTGCTGAAACTGTGGAGAACATACATATTCGCTAGAAGATGTAAACCTGAGTAATGACTAAATGTTGATAGGACCATAGGAAGAAATACGTTCGGACTAGCTGGATTAGAACAAAAATATTTCAACATGGTGGGTTGAAATCTAGGAACCCTCCATGCTAAGAAAACAAGTACGTTTAAAGCACAAATCGGCGCAAATATGCGTTCTCCTTCAGTGAGATTCCACCACCAGGATTTGACTTCTTTTACGACATTGTTCTAAAAATATAATTGCCATATTAATGGAAAAATTAGAATTATAAGAAGTTTATTATTACCGAAGAATGAAATGTATCATCAACCTTTTTCCTGAAAAATTTCATGGGTTTTCTGATCATGTTCTTGGCATGTGATCTCATGTTTTCGTACTCCCAAACTATTGCCGATAAAAAGCATGTTCCTGAAAACTGTTCTCTTATTAGTGTATAAGTTTAATAAATGTATATAAACGTACTGCTACTGTAAATAAAAAAGGCCTCAACAGTCTCACTGAATTCAAGTTATTCGAGTTGACGGCTGAATTGGTGAATGGCGTTGCTAAACTGTCTGGATTAATTCTAGGCTCTTCGACTCTTTTGCTTTTTCTAAAATGTCTAACATTTTTTATGATTGGACTTCGAGTTACTAATAAGTTTTCTTTTAAACTGCAAAAGTGGAGCATATCGCATACGTTAAAAATTTTTGTACGGCCTTACCAGAAATTTGAGAGTTTCAGCATTCGACTGAGAGCCATTTTAATTCACAATTTTTCTATTATTTGTAATAAATTATTTAATACTTCTCATGTTTTCCTTTTAAAGTAAAATGATAAATTCTACTTGAGGTTATGATTAAAATTTGACATAAATTCAATTCAATTTGACGTTTTTTATGTCATTTAGTTTAAAGAGCTACCAACAGTTAAAAAATAAAATATTATTTATTTTCTTGAATAAAAAAAACTTAACCGCTAGGGAAAAACTCGTTTATTTATATATTTTCTGATACTGACTTTAATATATCGTATTTTTAATATTAGATTTTAGCTAATTTATTGTGTGTAAAAAATCTAATTTAAAAAATTTGACATTTAAACAATCAGTGATACCAACATTAGCGCGATGACTTTCGCACGTTGGCATATGTTGAGAAAGTTGAGTAGTAGGCCTTTCACTTTATCCTCTTTAATAAAATATTCAACAATGTCTTCAAAACAAGTTCTCGAAGAAAAAATAAAAGAGCAAGGGGACCTCGTCAGGAAGCTGAAGGCGGCGAAAGAAAGCAAAGACAAAATCACCGAGGAGGTAACCAAACTTCTCGAGTTGAAAGCCAAGTTAGGAGAAGATGATGAAATTCGTGGCAACCAAAAAGTTACGCTTAAGACACCAAAGGGCACGAGGGATTTCGGCCCGGAGCAAATGGCCCTCAGGTTAAATGTGTTGGATAAAATCGTGTCAGTATTCAAGAAGCACGGGGCTGTGACCATCGATACCCCCATATTCGAACTGAAAGAGGTGCTAACAGGCAAGTACGGGGAAGATTCGAAGCTTATATACGATTTGAAAGACCAGGGCGGCGAAATCCTCTCGCTGCGGTACGACCTTACAGTTCCTTTCGCTCGATACCTCGCTATGAACAAGATTACCAATATCAAACGTTACCATATTGCAAAGGTTTACAGGAGAGACAACCCTTCGGTGACCCAAGGAAGGTACAGGGAATTCTTCCAATGCGATTTCGATATAGCCGGCGCTTATGACCCCATGCTGCCCGACGCAGAATGCATAAAAATCGTCTACGAAATACTATCGAGTTTAAACATGTCCCCGTTCGTAATCAAGCTGAATCACCGGAAACTATTGGACGGCATTTTAGAAATCTGCGGAGTACCATCGAATAACATCAGAGCCATCTGCTCGGCTGTAGATAAATTAGATAAGACCCCTTGGGAAGAAGTGAGGAAGGAGATGATAGAAGAGAAAAACCTTCCGCCGGAATCTGCGGATAAAATCGGAGAGTACGTCCGGCTGAATGGCAAAACTGAATTAATAGATAAATTAATGGCAGATGAAGTTTTAAACAAAAACAAAAACGCTTTAGAAGGGCTAGAAGCGATGAAAATTTTATTGAATTACTGCGAATTATACGACACTAAAGACAAGGTTCTTTTCGATCTAAGTTTAGCTAGAGGCCTCGATTACTACACAGGGGTAATTTACGAAGCGATATTGCAGAAAGACGCTTCGATCAAAGGGGAAATTTCTGTGGGATCGGTAGCTGGAGGAGGAAGATACGATAACTTAGTAGGAATATTCGATGCTAAAAACAAACAAGTTCCATGCGTAGGCGTTTCTATCGGAGTAGAAAGGCTCTTTACCATTATGGAAGCGAAGCAGGCACAGTCCGGTGCAAAACAACGAACCTCAGAGATAGAAGTATTTGTAGCAACGGCTCAGAAGAATCTGCTAGAAGAGAGAATGAAGCTGTGTAATGAATTGTGGAAGAATGGTTTTAAAGTAGAACACTCTTACAAGAAGAATCCGAAGCTTCTGGGACAGTTGCAGCACTGCGAAGAAAATGGCATTCCTATTGCTCTTATTCTAGGAGAGAGTGAACTTAAAAATGGAGTTGTGAAATTGAGAGATGTTAACAGCAGACAAGAAAATGATGTACAAAGAACGAATATAGTTGAGGAGTTGAGAAATAGATTGCAGAATGCTTGTTTAAATGGATCTGCTTAGTTCAATTTAATTTTCTATTTATTTTTATTTAAATGAAGCAATTTATTTAGAATTAGTTGTCAAACCTGCACCACCTACGTTTTTGTATTTTATTATACTAATTATTAATACATTTTTTTGTTTAATTAGTTTGTCTTTTTAATTAATTAGTTTGTCTTTTTATTGCATAAAAAATTGTAAGTTTTCGGGTTGTTTTGCAATACATAAACTAAAAAAAATTGAAAAAGAATTCAATTTTTATTAAGTAGATTAAATGAAAGAGTAATTAACAAATTTATTTTCGATAAATCTAAAAACATTTGGTTATTTTACTGATCCTAAGTAGAACTATTCTTTACAACTAAATTAAATACAAAATATGCACAAACTATAGTGTCAAACATCAAATTCATCGCAATAATAATTCGTGAGGAAAATGCAAATCTCCTCGACTTTTTTGTTTTATTATAAAAATCGTGATATTCAAAAAATCTTAAAAAAAATGCTAACTCGTCAAAGAATAATACTAATGAGGAAGAGTAACAGTAACAACGCATTCTACACAGCAGACATAAAAAATTGTTTGTAAAAAAATATACCAAGTTCCAAATGAATTCAAATTACATATGAAATATTGTGCCAGTGAGATGGGAACAAAGCATACTTTTAATTTAGAATTGTAATAACAAATTTAACTTACATAAAAAGAAACGGAAATTGAATTTGACAGTTTGTCAGAAGAAAAACTGTACAACGGTAAACATCCAAAAATATATTGACATTGAATATGAAATAGTTAAAAGTACATAATACGATTATTTTTTAGATTTTTTCGAGTGACGTCCATCATTACTTTCACTTCTGCCCCTCTTCTTATCGTTCGAACTACTCTTATGAGAGCTCCTAGTTCTATCCTTATCTCTAGATGAAGAAGATTTCGAATGGCTAGATGATTTGTGGTTAGAAGACGAGTGCCTACTACTCCTGTCTTTGTCTTTGCTACTGTTGTGCTTATCCCGCGAACTTGAATATTTACTCGACGAATGCCTACTCGAATTTTTACTGCTGCCGCTGCTGTTATGCTTAACCTTGCCTCTGTCTTTCGACGATTTATGATCTTTCGATGAAAATTTATCATTGCCCTTTTTCTTTTTTCGATCGTCGCTGAAACCGATTCCCATGTCTTCTTCGGCGGCTTCCCTTTCCAGATCGGACCAGTCTTTTCCAGATTCCTCATCGGAGCCTAAAAAACCAACATTAATACACACAATATTTCACAATTAAAACAACGAATTACCTAAATCATCAGAGACGTCATCGTCGTCATCATCATCTTCGGTATCTCCTTCAGAGTATTCCGAATCTTCCTCGCTCCATTCCGATCCTTCCTCACCATCGACATCTGTTGGCTCGTAAACTTCATCTTCATCTTCCGATTCCTCATCGGGAGCTTCTTCCACATCGGACTCCGGATCGAGGAACGTCCATCCTCCGCTTTCGAAGAAACCCTCCGGATCATCGGTGATCGTTTTCATGATTTTCACCCAATTCAGAGACTGAACTCCTTCGGAATATCTATAAAATAACCAAGCGATTAACACATCCAGTAGTTTTATTCGATGGATTACCTGATATCGCAAGAGTTTAACCATTCTTTAACGTGATCTAACATGTTCATCGGTATCGCATTGACCATGGACGTTTTTTTGTGGTAATCTTTGAAAACAAACACCATATCGAAGTTCTTGAGGTGGAATTGGACTCGCTCGAAGTGCACCAGCTCGACGTCCTCGAGGGTAATGACGAACGGGGGCCATTCCGTGAGATTGACCAAACAGCCGGAGGTTGGCTGTAGTAATACTGTGGATCGGAACGGGGCCCCGGGGAATCCCAATTCGCGGAAGGGCGTATCGAATTCTATCTCTTGCTTTGTCATAGATTCAACCTAAAATTAATAATTTAGTAGTTGAAATTGATGGTGAATTGTGTATTACTTTTTCGCAGAAGCTCTTGAATGCGGTTTTCAATTTTTGTCGAAGTTCCCTTTCGGATTGTTCCGCAGCCAAATCGTCTCTATCGTGCATGTGTTGGTGTTTGCCTAAATCCGTGGTGATTTCACCAACTTCCGTGTAGAACTGTACATCAACGTGTTTCTTTTTACCAAACATAATGGCGTGTTTCAAATGGAAATGCAAGAGGATGATCATCTCTCCATCGCACGGTTGGAAGAACGCGTTCTTAATATTGTTGTACAAAATATCAACTTTGTCACCTCTCACGGAAGTATAGCGGAAACCGTTGCTGTGGGCCTCCAACGAACCGGTCATACGTTTGGTGACAATGTTAGGCCTGATGTAGAGATCCTTCAACTTCGGATTACCCTTGTTTTGGGACAATACCAGGGTGTCTTGCTTAACCAGATCTTCCTTTTCTTTTTCCTCGGCCTCGCGAGTTTTGAACTTCCTTTGTACTTCCTTGATGAGACGGAAGGCCGTGTTTAAGTTGGAAGAGGGCGGGGAAATTTCGCCGGGTTCCTTGATATTTGTACTTCTGTAGGTTAGTTCTTTCAAAAACGTGGCGTCAGGTTGGGACCAGGTGTTACCTAAATAACAATAAAGCCATTTTATGTGAATTTGTTTAATTGTAGTTCTAATTACCTTCGTTTTTTCCCATCGTAGAACCGGGGTGGAAGAAGTTGATACGCAGGTATGTATAATCTCCTTCTACTGATTGCGATATATTCTTAATAGTAGATATATGAAATGGTACTGCAATTCCGTAAATAGGTAAAATGACTGTTTCGTATTTTTGATCGACGTACAATTTGAGTTCTTTGATTTCCGGTACTCGTGGCATTTGATTTACACTCTTGTATGATACTGTATTTTTTCTAACTTTCTGTTTGTCTTTAGAACCGGATTGTTTTGCGAGACGTTCTTTGGCCTTTTCGTTTAGCTGTGCAGCCAATTCTTTCTGATGTTCCTTTCGTTTCTCTTCCGTGCTGTGTTCGGTACGCAACTTGGAATCTAACACGGCGGTTCGCTTGCCTCTACCCATAATTTCAGGCTTCGGAGTGTTTTCTTTTTCTTCGTCGTATTCTTCTGCTTCGGATTCATCATCGTCTTTCAAAAAAATTCCGATGTTTTTAATTTTTTTCTTAGAAGTTGTTAGAACTGTGGCCGGTTGACCGTCATTTACCAGCACCGTGTCTCCAATAAACAGTGCATATATTTTTCCAAGCTTATCAGAACTGTTTTTGTTCTCTAAATTGGACAAACCGACATTTAAGTTGAACGTCATTCCTTTTTTAGCTTCGAATGCCGTTTTCGGGCCGATTATAAGACAATTTTCTTTGAATTCGATACCCGTCGCAAATCCAAAGTTTTTAGTCAAATGATCGATCAAAGCAGGCTTTTCTTTTTTAACAAACGAAACACCAGTTTCGTACACTTCAGATAACTTGACTCCGCTTTGTAACTTCTTCAGCAACTCCTCTTGTATGGACAATAAGAAATTGTAGTTGCTTTGAATCTCGTCCGTCGGGTTTACCAGCAACGTCCTGACTATGTTGGAACAGTACGATTTATATCTAGCTCCGAGGGAGCAAATTATCGCTCCAAAGTGTAATATATTTTTGTCGCTCACCAGGCTGAACTTTAAACTGTAATTGCCTGAAAAATAAATCAACATCGATATAAAATTCTGCGAATAAGAAAGGAAATTAATCTATTTACCTCCGGACTGTATTATAGCAGGATAGCACAAGTCCACTTGACTAACATCGACTCCTGACACATATTTCTTATCAGTACTCGCAGATTCGACACCTTCGGCTAGTTTACTGTGCTTCACCTTCTTTTCGGAATCGATGATTTCCATAATTTGATCTTTTAGGTATTTAGTGAACACGTCTACAGTTACCATGCATGCTTTTTTAATAGTAATAATTTCGGTTTCTTCCTTAGGGGCCATAACACAAGCGACTTGTGAACTTATATCTATAGTTTGGAAACCCTCTTTTTTCAGTAGGCCTTTCCAGGCGTCTATAAACGCGCCGGAATAGCTGTCTTTCTGGAAAACTCCAATGGTTTTGCCGTTTCTGCTCTCTTTGATCGCTTCGCAAAGTGTTTTAAGTTTAGGTTCGTCGCTATCTTTGTCTCTAACCATGAGATTCAACTGGATGTTATTGTCGTCTTTTGAATCGGCCTGCCTCAAAAATTCGACTTTCTTTTTGCTGGTTAAAAAACACGCTTTTTTCTCCGTGAGAACCATGATCGTGTCCGATAGCTCGTACCCCAATAGCCATGTATGCAAAGCGCTGGATTTACTGTACAAAATGTCTTCGTCTTTTCCAACAGCAACGACCAATGCATCCATTTTCGAAAAGCCATTTTCCGAATCGGTGTTCTGCCAGGCGTTGTACAGCTTTTTAAGCCTTCGATGAAAAGACTCTTTGTCGAGATTTACGTTCGTCATTTTAAATTAAACGTGAAAAACCATTCAACTACAAAACGCTATCACCACCATTACAAGAAGTCGGAAAAACAAGCGCCAGTTTTATTTTCTTGACGTACGTCAACTGTCACAATTGTCAATTAATTTTAGTTCTAATGTTCTGTTTTCTTTAATTTTGCATTGATTTTCGATTTAAAACTGTTTATTAGGTCCTAATTTTAACTTTATTTTTATTACCTTACAAATACGCTTAGTTTATCACTGATAAAATTGTTTTCTAATAAATTGTTGGACTTCGTTTTTTTGTTCTGTTCTGACTCAAAAAAGTTTACCACTCAGTGTAGATATTATCTATCACTCTCCATCTTCAGAAATATAGTAGACTAGAAAGAAACAGTCAATTTTTTGTCAACCACCTGTCAAAAGTGTCGAATATCTAATCGATAATTGTCATTTCAAGTGGCAACCAACTGAATTTGTGGGACATGTATTTAATAAAAATATGATATTTTTAATTTATTCAACTTAAATTTTTATTTCATTTTTCATTAAAGTTGAAAATGGTTCTGATTATATAATTTTTATAAACCATAAATATCCCAAGCACGTGTTGACTTAACCTCCAAAATGTCTATCCCGGTTGCAAGTATGTAACATTACAAATTCAATTCAATTTTATATTGTGAAACGTTAATTTTACAGCACGGAGTTCAGTTGGACTTAATTTATTTTCTGGACCACCTACTTTTGGAGGAGATGTTAAGGAGTTCTCGCCTATTCAAAGTAAAGGATGCAGAACAATGTTATTCAGCCCAGATGGGGCTTATTTTGCTTATGTTGATGGACAAACGTAGGTTCCGTTTATATAGATTAAAAATGGTTAATTTTTACAGCTATAATTATTAATTTCAGATTAAAAATTTTACAAACAGAAAATTGGGGAAACGAAATAACCATTGACAATGTCAAGGCCTATCATTTAGCATTTTCGCCAAAAGGAACATTTTTGATGATCTGGGAGCCTTTTACTGTTACCAGAGCAAATCCCGAAGGAAGTCCAAATTTGAAAATATACAAAACTGAAGATGGGGAACTTGTTAAAACTTTTGTTCACAAAAAACAAATCAATTGGTAAAGCACATTTCCATAATATAAATGAGGTTTATGGTGATTTTACTTTGAATTTATTCTAGGGAACCTCAATGGAGTGCAGATGAAAAATTATTTTCTCGTATTGTAAACACAGACGTGGTGTTTTACGAAGATCTAAACTTTGAAAGAATTGTTGCCAGAATTAACAGTTTCAAGGTAGCTTCATACAAAATATCCCCCAATATTGGAGTTTATTTCATTTTGTGTTACACTCCTGGCACTCCAGGTCAGCCATCTTTCGGAAGGCTATTCAAATACCCTTCTTTCGAAGCAACTCAATCGATTGCCAATAAAAGTTTCTTTCAAGCCGATAAGGTTGAGTTTATCTGGAATGCGAAAGGCAATAATGCTTTAATATTAACTTCCACTGAAGTTGATAAGACAGGAGGTTCTTATTACGGAAAGCAAGGCTTGCATTACATTGGATTGAACGGGCAAACTTCATTTATTAACTTGAGTAATAAATTTGATTAGCTTTACAAATCATAAGTTTTACAAACGTTTATGTTCTAGGCAAGGAAGGTCCAATTTACAGCGTAGAGTGGTCGCCTAAAAACCACGAATTTTGCGTGGTTTACGGTTTTATGCCGGCAAAAGCGACCATTTTTAATTTAAAATGTGAACCCGTTTTCGAACTGGGATCAGGGCCTAAAAATTCGATCCATTATAATCCTCATGGAAATATCCTGCTGCTGGGAGGTTTCGGAAATTTGAGAGGACATATTGAATTGTGGGACACGAACAATTGGAAGAAAATCAGCAACCTCGATGCTCCCGATACTACAATGCTACACTGGGCTGCAGATGGTCAACATTTTCTAACAGCCACAACTGCGCCCAGGTTGAGAATTAGCAACGGGTTCAGAATTTGGCATTATTCAGGCGCACTTTTGTTCGAACAAGCATTTAAAGAACCGCAGGAATTGTACGACGTTGCATGGAAGGTAGTAACCAAAGTTTTCATAATACTTGTACACATAAGTATTTATTTCTTTAGAATTATGCAAAAGGAACGTTTCAAGAACCTGCTATAGTAGCAAAAAAAGTTGAAGGGATTGCCCCAAGTCAACCGCAAGCTTCAGTGCAGGCGTACAGACCACCATCGGCTCGTAATCGTCCTACAGTTAAATTTACTTTACACGATGATGAAGAGTCTGCGCATAAACCAGGTATAAAAAGATATTATCTTGTTACTTTTACACATTTTAATCTGTGTAATTGTGTTTTAGGGAAAGACAATGCGCTCTCTAAGGCTAGCTTGAAACAAAAAAAGAAACGCGAAGCTAAAAAGGCTAAAAAACAAGATGGCGAAGAAGATAAAGGGCCATCAGTTGTTAGCAGTGTTTCAATAACGTTAACGGGGGATCCTGAAGTCGATAAGAAATTAAAGAATATTAAAAAGGTACACGTTTTTCTTATTTTTTGTTATTATTTATAATTATGTTTGATTTTTAGAAACTCGATGCTATTGAGAAACTGAAACTTCAGCAAGCAGAGGGTAAAACGTTGGAAATCAATCAACTCGAAAAAATTAAAGGAGAGGCGGATTTGTTGAAAGAACTGGAAAATTTGAAAGTGTGAATTATTTTACAATTTAAAAGTGTTTATTATAAAACTTACTTATTATACGTTTTGTTAAAATTGTACACTTTTTCAGCCATATGGGCTTGCTAAAGAATAAATCATAACGAATGTTATTTGGTTATATGCATTAGAAACATATAAGGTTCAAAAAATTTACAGGCAAGTATAAATATATTACAAAATATGTTACTATATGGTGAGTATGAATATAGAGTATTAAACACCAAAGTGTAAAATAATGATGTAAAGTTACACCTGAAACTAACTACATGTACAAAATATATAAGACCTTATCACAGAAATTACATTCTTTACAAGTCATCAAATTGTTTATAAAATCACGAAGCGGATAAACCAAATATGTTTTTTTCAACAGAGTCCACAACGTCCATGATAGAGGCAGTTTCATTCATTTTCATGCCCTGCTTCTGCAAACTGGCGAGTCTATTTTGGATATCGCTAGAGTCCCTGCCATTCTGGGACCACAGTTTCGTGCAGGTTTGAAGCAGAGGTATGTATAATTCGAGCAAATCGCTGTCACTAACTCCGTTGTATCTGTGTATCGCCAAATCAGCCCATTTCAATAAATCAGGATTAGTAGGAGTAGCTTCTGCACAGGCCACTAAACGGATTAAAGTAAGTAGCACTGCTGGTGATCTATCCGTATAAACCTGCAAAAAAAAGGTAGAATTGAATTCAAGCAAACATTAATTGACGTGATTACCTTGTTAAGTAATGTGAAGATGTTTTCTAAAATGGGATAAGCTAGAGCAGGCTCTTTGTTTCTATAAAACTCTTTTGCTTGCTCCAGCTCGGCGCCCTGAAGAAAACTCAGCAAGGCATAAGAAGTTCTTAAGCGGCTTTCGTTCGAAATAAATTTTAATAGAGATTCGAATCCGGTGCTTCTGGCTGATATAAGTTCGTTATCAAAGTTTCCTGTTAATACTTTTTTTGGAAACGTAACATTGTTCATGAGATTCGGATGCTCTTTTCTTAAAGAAGTATACAGATCCAAAAAGTGGGTGTATCTTCTATCTATTATTGAAGGATTTAAATCATCAGTAGTAGAAATGTATCGGATTTGTAGCGTGTAAATCACATATTTTTTTTCCTCTGGTTTATCTGATATTTTTGCAGATAAGATCTCAAAAATGAGCCCTTTTTTTTCACTACCTAAAATAAATCTTGATATTAGAAATGTTGTGTATGTAAGTATACATATGTTACAATTAGTGAATGTTTATTAAGTGAAAATTAACATTGTTTACATATATTTTGTTATTTTAATTTAATACAAAAAAAATAAATTTTCCTTTTATGGTTTGAACGACTCAATTATTTTATATTTACAGAGCCAATAGAAAAATAAATTAAAAACAGATTATATTTTAAAAATCCTTTAAAAAGGTTAAAACATACATGCTGAAGAACAGAGAATAAAATTTACACAGCTTTAAGACTTTTCTAAGTGGTTAATAAATAACACAATCTTAAACCAGACTATACTCACCCATAATTTGAGTCATAATAAATTTTCATACTTTGTTTTCACGAACATTTAATTTTATTTCCAGGAAATGATAAATAATATAGTAAACAAACAGTTCTAATCATATGGTATATAAAAAAATAAAACGTCAGAATCAAATTACTCAAACAACAAAACTCAACAAGTGATACCAACCTAATAGTGTAAAGGACACAAGTCAATCATATTTGTATCATTTGTAAAATATTTTAGTTATGTTATGCATGTTGTATTTATTATAAATACATATAAAAATCACGTCTTATTAGTGTTACAGTAATAAATGAATAACAAGTCTGAGTTAATAAAACAATTATGAAAAAAATTACACAAAAAATTTGAATCTGGTGTAGGAATTCGAACATCTGATCAAATGTCAAATGTGACAGATGACTGACGCATCATTTATCATTTGGATTTTTGGTCCTCTTTTGCATTGGTTAGGAGCCAACGTTTATTGTATTGTATAATGAAATTGATGGCTTTTTGTACTTATTTCTTCTAAAATGCTTGAACCAAAATTAATATTTTCAAAATTACAAATTGTAGTATACTGTGCAAGTAATTGTGTACATTGATTTCCAGTAAAATATCGCCACTTACTATAATGGTTACCACGAAGGAAAATTCTTAGGTGTAGTTCTAGTTAATGAATGAAGGGCAGACTTGGTAAATATTTTCTCATGAATCCAGTTATTAATAATATTTTTTTAACATTTGTGTTATAAATACAATACACATCATTCAGTAAAAGGAATTTCCATTAGTTTATTAATTGTCCAACAGATATTAAAAACTTGGTATATTTTTTTGATTTGGCCTTTAAATATCCATTATATTGTTAATTTCTTAATGTCTAATCAGTGGAGAAGGCAACTATTGTTTCCAGACTTGATAAGAAAGCTTTGCTTATGCAAAGTAAATAATTTTATTTTCTTAGCAATTGTAACTACTAAAATATATTCTAGCATTATTATTATTATACCTATAGGTATATTGAATATTGTTCAATTATGAATTGTATCTGCTTGATGAATTGCTTGCTTTAATTCGTATTATGTTATATTACTCAAGAAAGGATAAACTATTTTAATTGTATGTATTTAATGTTAAAAATATTTACTCTGTAAAGTTAACTTACACAAGTGTCTTAGATTTTAACATTCACAAACCTGGGACAAATGGTTTCTTGTTATTAAGTACACATAACTAATTTCACCCACCACAGAACAAAACGCAGAATAACTTAAACTTAAGCAGATACATTAATGTTATCTGGAATGCCTATTAGTTTTGTCATGCAGCATTTTTTAAGGTCAATGATTCTTATTTTAGCTGGCATCAGCAAGTCTCTAGTAAAAAATAAAATCATACATGTTAAACATATTAAACTTTAAATAAATCTCAACAATGCTAAAAAAATTGCAGATAATTTTTTCAAATCATGTGTTGTATTGCATTTACACTAACAGAAATTCTTTTAGATATCCTACACAAAATGGCTAATGTATTAACTCATAAAATTAATTGGAAAGAATTCGCCTGTGGCTGGGGAGCTGCCTTTATAAATGTTTCAATAACGTATCCTGTAAATAAATTAATTTTTCGGCAAGTATGTATATGGTACAATTACTATTCAATTACCTATATTTATCTATATAACCGAGTTTCCTGATAAAATCCTGTCTTAAATTGAGTCATTAAAACTTGAACAGTTTTTTGCTAAATAATGAATGTGAATTGTACAGTAAATTATACTTTTTAGATGCTGTATGGGGTAGGAATAATGCCAGCATTTCGACAGCTACGTAAGGAAGGCCTATTTTACCTGTACAGGGGCATGATGCCTCCGATGTGCCAGAAAACCCTGTCAATGTCCATAATGTTTGGGGTTTACGAAGAAGTCAGAAGGGGTTTATTAGCGACTGGATGCAACTCGTACGTTGCAAAGGCTGCGGGGTCCCTCGTTTCGGGAACCACCGAAGCTATTCTAATGCCTTTCGAACGAGTACAAACGATATTAGCCGATTCTAAATACCACCAAAATTACAAAAACACCATTCACGTATTCAGAGATTTACGGAGATACGGTTACGGGGAGTATTATCGCGGTCTGGCTCCCATATTACTCAGGAACGGGCCTTCGAACGTTGGTTTTTTCATAATTAGAGAGGAACTTCAAGAAATTATTCCTAAAAATAAAAATGTATTGTTAAGGACTTCCATTGAATTTATCAGCGGAGCCATGATTGGTGTAGTGTTATCGAGCTTATTCTATCCGTTAAACGTCGTGAAAATAGCCATGCAAAAGAAAATAGGCGGCCCGTCGGAGAATCCCTTTAAAATTCTGATCAAAATATACAAAGAAAGAGGCGGCAAAATCAGATATATCTACTATGGTGTTCAATTGAATTGCACAAGAGCATTTATAAGCTGGGGTGTCATGAATACTGCTTATGAACGTTTGAAATCTGTTATTTACTAATATTTCTCTGGCACTTTTCTCAGGAGTATAAAATTCATTTATTCTAGCGACTTAACTGGGTTTTTAGTTGAAATACGTAGAATGGTCGGCGGACGTATCGCTCATCTTCGATTCTCGTTCCTTTTCTAGCACACCTCCCCATTCATATACATAGTAAAGGAGCGAGAGTTCGGGGCGAGCGATAGGTCATACGTTGAAAATTATACTTTTTGAAATTACAATTTTTGCTTTATTGGTAAGAACAAATTCAACTTGTTTCAACTTGAATTTGTTCTATATACTTTCTTCGGACATTTCAATGATTAGATAGAAAGTCGTTTAGTTGAGTTGAGATTGATATTAATATATTTCAATGAATTACTTATGTGCAAAACCAAAGCTAGTCAAGTCTTTAGAATAAACGCTAAATATGTACAAAATGTATATTTTTTTAAATATTTTTTTTTGTTGAAAACATTTAATTTACACGTTTCAATAAGACTATTTTAAAATTAAGTATTGTGATAAATAAAAGTTATTAATAACTCTTTCTGGTTCTTGGACTTTCCATTACTGACCAAACACAATTTGACTAAAGGCCAAACAGTAATAAATTTCTAAAGTTAAATGTTGACATGAAGAATTCATTATTTTCATCATGTGAGGTTGTAATACTAGCCTGCAGATGGCGGATAAATGCACATTTTTTCTCAGAACCACAGAACATACGTTTTAAATGGTTTAAATAAGTATGTTGTCTCATGTTTTTTCTCTGTCTTAACTCAAATTGTTCAAAATTATTAAGTTCTGTATTAGTCTAAAAAAATTTGTATTTGAATTTTCATTGCCTGTTTGATCTCTTGTTTCCGGTTCTATAATTGACATATGAAGAGGATCTGCACTTTACAACTATGAAAAAAAGTATAAATACTGTAAAGAAATATAAAACTTGTGTGATTTATCCTTTCACAGTGCTTAAACTTACTGAATTATTTTTACTGAAGGTAATCTCACTAATCGGTACAAAACAAGGGAACCCATAAAGTTATACGAGTCGAACAACCCCTTTTTTCCATTTTATTCTCTTTCTTCTTCTGTTAAATGGCCTCTTGTGTTATGTCGCATCCGGCCAGCTTACTCTTATTCTCCTTTTTCTGGGCGATTTTGCTCGTTCCGGCGCGCCAATGGCGGCATTTAGCATACACACGAGTCTCGCGTGACGCTCTCTCCCCGTAACGTCAAACCCCTTCAATTTAATTCCAAGTTATAAACCGTTAAATTAAACATTCTCCCACGGGACCACCTTTCTCCCAAGAAAAATGCATGCGTGTATTGGAGCGCTTCCACAAACAGGGTGCATAACTTCCAGCTGATAAGGAAATTAAGACTGGCATAGCTCTATTCCACTTTATAAATAAAATAATAAAAAAATCTTCTTCTACAACAGTTATATTGTGATATATAGTAGTACAGATAAGTTATTAGATGATATCCAGATCAAATTATATTGTACGCGAAACAATTCATCTAATTGTACAATGAACTAGATGTCCAATAATATTTACATAGATAAGATTAATTACATTCGTGACTATTTACCGCAAAGACAAATAAATGTTAATTATTTAAAACATCTAACGTACCTATCTAATTTCAAACGAGCAAATGAGCCATCAATTTTTCTTGCTCTACATAACAAATTGTTTTAATCTCTCTATGAAATCAAAAATGATATGGATAGGTCTATGATCGGTCGTGTTTGAACTAGCGCGCGCAATGCTGAAATTATTAGGTAAATTACGTGTTATTAATTTTTATCAAAAAAACGAAGCTTAGGTAAGAGCGTTGTGAAACGGTATCCATTAATTAAAATTACATTTGCTCGTTTTTGGATTAACGATTCGTGCTCCTGCGGTTTTGTGGATGGTACTCGAGCCTACAGGGTCGGAAATCCATGACAAAAATATGAAAAATTCGATTAAGCAGACGTTATTTAAGCCTAACCTGGCACTAATGTAATTATAAACACCATCACGATGGGTATCGGTATCTAAAAACGGTGACATTTTTGTAATTACACCTTTTATGTTGTGAGCATTTTCAGTTAACTGCAAATAAATTAAGATACAAGCTGATAAGTCGAATTATCTGCCGCAGTATCCTGTGGATTTTTTGTGGTTAAAATTACATATAATTAGGAGGATGATGTTATCCTTGTAAATTACTGTTTCTTGTTCAAATACACTCTAAATGGGACTAAAAATTGGAATTTTACGAGTACCACTAATGATTTAATATTACTTTAATTTAGATATAGTTAAATACAGATTAGATTTGTTTTTTATAAATTCAAGCAACAACGTTTTGAAGTATTTTCGAATCGAAATCTGCAAATAGAAAAAATAAATAAGCGCCCGACGATTTTAATATCCAAGACGAAAAACAAATATTTTTACCGCAATAAATCAGGATGAAACGCGCACAGATCCGACTGAAGCGCCATTTATTATCCTCGAAGGCATAAAAGTCAAAATAGTCTGTCATTGGGACTCTCTAATTGTTCTGAAATTAACCCCAAGCAAACAAATTAATCGCATCTTTTAGGCCTCGTTATAAAAATGTGACGGGATAAGTCCTCTCCGCCAAACGCTCGCCCTTCGTCTTGGGGGAGAAGAAAATTAGGGGTCAGCCCCAGTGCCGTACTACATCAATTTTCACCAAATATCTACATACTATCCAAGGTACAAAAGCTTATACAAATAATCCTTACAAATACCTTAGAAAAAGTACCTTATACATTCTTAAATTCTAGAACATATTTATACATTTTTTGATCATTCTTGTACTTGTTATGGCGATTTGGAAGGAATATTCCTGGTTATGCTTATAGCATCCCTTAGGCACGCCATTTAAGTGCGCCTCTGTGCAATGTACCGCATAATAATACCATAGGAGGCGGTCGGAGGCAGTAAACTTAATCCTACCCCAGATGGCGGCCCCTCGACTCTTAAATCGTTTTAAAAGTTATTCAATATAAAAAGAACTTTGCCGCAGATTTAATAGGAATTTGTTCATCAATTCACAGAGCTAGTGTAATATGGCGGGCTCCCTCTTTTATTGGTTTTCCAGCGGATAAGACGGCAACGTCTAGGAGTATCTGCTCGAGGATGTCAGGAAAACTTTCGAAGAGCCTCGTTTTTATTTCCTGTTCGGGATTATTTTCCCGAAGTGTTGGTATTTTGACAGGCTACTAATCTATTAGTTATTTTGCGAAGGTTTTTACTTCTTATTCTACGAAGAAAGTAAATCTACATATCTTTGAATTTATATATTATTATTCGTACTGAAGAAAAAAGCTATAAAAGCTCCGTATAATTACTTATAATAACTATACATATGCACTTAATTTGAATATTAACGTTTTAAAGTTATCAGAAAGAAAAGTACATAAGTACCTATACCTACCCTGAATTACTTATTATAAAAATTCGTTCTTTAACAATGGTCTCGTTTAATCGACGAGTTTCGCTGAAACCTATTATTGCGAATGTCAGGAAGCCAGATAGCGCTGTTGAAGATTATTATAGTCTTGCATTTCAACTTGATTTCGAAAAAAAAACTCATAAGATAATGCAAAATATACCTACACACCGGTCTGGACAACGGGAAGCGGTTTGTAGTAATTTAGATTGCGATCGTTGGTAATTACTCGAATCGACATTTAATCATTGTATTTTTTGCTGAAATTTCGCATTTTTAAATAGCATGCTACCGAGCCGAGTGATGTCTCTCGACTTGGCGAATTTGTTCCAGTTTATAAGCCAGCCTTGAAGGGTTTAAACTCCTTATTATATGTATTACGGGCTGGATTACTCGCGATACGCTTAATGATAAATATTACGATTTCATTAGCTCGAAGTCTTTTGTCTTAACAGGTTGAAGGTGTAATTTTCTTTCTCTAATTCGGTGCAGGCCTTCTATTATGAATTGTAATTGCTGAGCAAAAATCCTTCTTCCTCTCTAGGCTCAGTGGTATCATCAATTTAATCAAGTTCCAATAGATTTTAATTGTTTCATATACTGGAAATTTCATCAATCCTGCCTAATATAGTATTGAAGAACTGTTTGAAAATCTTCTTATTGATTCAATTTGATACTTTTTATGAACTAAAATGATATAGTTTGGTTTGTTAGATTAGGTACCACAATATTATTAGTAGATAAATAGATAAGTTATCAGTATAAGAAAATTTGTATACCTTCAACTATCCACAGAATGAAAAATTTGCGTATAATTTTGAAAACATATCACTGGTACTATTATCGAAGGAATACTTCATGAGACGAAAAAGATGATAATTGCACGCTTTTTATTAAAATATGCATCTGCCACATCCTATGCAACTTATTATTAGTGCATTCGAAATAAACGTTATCTAGCCGGTACGTTAAGACCAATTAATTAACTCAATAACAGGTATTTTAAGTAATAACGATTTTGATAAGAAAACGGCGGTGCAAGAAGGGTTGAGCAAACTGATGATAATGATCTTGCTTCTGTATAAGGATCGACAATTTAAATGAACCTCTTGGTTTAACGACTTTCTTGTGAGAAAATGTATTAGAAGGTACAGAAATGCGATAGATTAAAATTTTATTGTGAGTTAGTTTTGTCGGTTAAAATTAAATTCATTTTTTTCGTAACTAATAAAATCGAAATAAAGTCGTTAAAAACGTTCAAAAAAATCGAGTTCAGTAAATATTCTAAACGCCGAACGGCATCTGCCGAACAACATAAACAAAAACCAAAAGTTAACGACTCATTATGTTTTATTACGCGACTTCACAAACCTGAACATCAATGACTGTTTATTTTATTATTATATTGACAAATTTTTGTTTTTGATGTCATTTTTCGTTTTATTACGACTACTGCACCAGTAGGAAGTAATAAAACGCCGGAGTTTTTAAAATTTTACGATTCCGTATCACGGCTATATGGTAGCTACAATTTGATAATTTGCAGACCGCAGGACGTAAACAGATTCCGTTTGATACGCCGATTAATTAATTTTATAAACTGTATCTTGAGGTTGAGGTTAGGGTCCAGCTCGAAACCGCCAAAGAGATATTAAAATCGTTATATCAATTACAAAATTCACCAGCAATTGATACTATATTTCATTAGCAATGTACCTATATTTTCCCTGACAATTTCGAGCCTTTAAATTTTTAATTGATGATCTGCTTTGTTATATAAAAGAGCTTCAGTAAATTTAGATTTATTCATAAATACCTCGTAGATTCTTGTAACATCTTCATCAGCAATACATACTGTAGTCTAATTTGCCTAATAGAACTCGTAAATTATTACCAAAATATTTTCTCATTTTTTTTTAAAATTAGCTTAATCAAGTTTTAACGGTAAAAAAAATCACTTATGGTGTATAATATAGGAATATTCCTCCCGTATTTACAGATTAGAAAGACAACACATATGCGCATTGGACCAGATGCCAATGTTCAAAGCGTTTAGGTGAGCTACAGAAAGGCCATTAAAACGAAAATTATTGTATGTGAGATAAAACGGTCTGGTCTCTTGATTGTTTGAAGTGGTAGTGCAGACTCCGCTGCTTTTAACCACATCCGCAGCTTTTAGACCCCGCTATCTGAAGACACTGAAACAACTTCTGACATCAAACGAACTAAACGGTGTGTTTATCAGACTCTATTCACATTTACACGTGTTTCGATAACGTTTGTGTAAAAATATTAAAACGACTTTTCATAACTGACTGCTCTAATAGCCCAATCATGATAAAATGCCTTTTAATAGTTTTCGGTGGCTCGGTGGAGCGTGTTTTAGAGATAGCGGTTGTAATTCATTTTTTTTTCGTATTCACTGTTTTATGAATATACTAATGTAGAAAAAAAATTGTGAAACTTAAATTTCATAAAAACAGCTTAACTTTAGGCTGTGTAAGAAAATGCTCGGCAAATTCCTTCACGAACGCTAATTTATTTATTAATAGTGACAGCAGAAGGTGTGTGTGTGTGTGGTGGACTCTGATTAGCTCTAAGTTAAGGAAAAAAAGCTTCCAAAGCCTCCATCGCCATTTGGTAATCTGACAATGGAACATTGGAACACACACGAATGTGAGGTGGGCAGTGTGAAATCATTAGCGTCTCGATATTTTTTCGAAACACTCGAATTAGTACACAGAAATTTCTTTTTTGTTTTCCCATTTAAGAGAGAATGGTATGATTTATAAAGGGGTTTGAATGGGCTTATAATAGCTTCTACAAGTATAGTCTGGTAATGAAAGATGCTTAGGTAGGTTATAAATTAGAGTATATTAATGAATGTTTTTATTCACCAAACTCCCTATACCCTTTTTAATCGCAAGTCAAATTTGATTCGTACGACGCTGTGGTCCACACAAGAATCTAGGATGCGTTTTGTGGTGACGTCGTTTTCACCGGCAGCGTCTAATAACAGGGCCGACTAATTGACGCAGAAATGGGAGCTGTAATTTTCACGCCGCGCTCAGGTGCTCGGGTGATTTCAATTATTGTTTTGTGTGTCTCACGAACTCAATTTCTGTGCAACTGCTCATTTGCCAAAGGAACGATACGTTCCTGAGGTTTGTGCGAGCGCGTCGCCCGTCGATCGTGGGCGGAATGACATCTTCCGCCGTTTTCCAATTCCGATGTCATGTCGGTGCATTCCTATATTCCCTATCGCGTCCGTGAGAATTTAATTATTTATTACCGCATAGGTACTTATAGAGGAAATAACGGCGGACACCTCCATCTAGCCGGAATACTTTTTTTAGAGATTGCATGTATAGGTAATTCACCTCGAAACCAGCAGTATTTGAAAAAGCAAATTAAAGCAAATAGCCCGATTAGGTTGGTTAATTATATTGCCCGGGATAACGTAATAGGCAGATGAGCTTTACATGTCCCAAACAATAAAAAGCAATCAGCTCTATTTGCCTAACGGAACCACTTATCGCAATTGACTCCCTCTAGACTACTAATGCTCGAATATCGCATGTAAAAAGTCGAACACATGTCGTACCTGCCATCGTTTAATTGCCTCTGGGGCGACTTCGATTCTCTTGCATTCAATCTAACAAAGTAACAAGCTTTTATCTTGCTCGCGATATTCTCATCATATGCCTTTTATCCCCGATACCTGTGGGACCGATCGTCGTGTTTTAAGGACGGCGTTATTACGTAAAATTCGTTTTAATTTGCTCGTTCCTTTTAAGACACGATATAATAATCGCTTAACGTATATAGAGGAGTGATTAATTAAGTCCCAATAATTTTCGTTGGGATAATGAAGTAGGAATTAATTTGCGGTAAACGCATCAGGAAAATTGTAACGGGAGATAAGATAATAAAATTGGTGATGATAATTGTAAAATTAAATGTATTTAAATATTATTTTTGGAAACAGCGCGCTTCCAGTGAGATTCAGGCAATGATAAATTGTCGTAATTAGAGGTTCCGTGTCTCCTTTTTCGGCCCCGAACATTATATTTCGGCGACATTAAAGTAAAAAACCCGATTATTCGATTATTGTAGGTTGGCATCGCAAACATAATAATACATTTCGCGAATTTTATAAAGTTATCCGGCACCTGCAGTAATGTTAGAAATTAGGGGGGAAAGTAATATTCGGAAATGATATGTAATTAAATAAATATTAAAATGAAATGGTCGGCCGATAACGCGGATAAGTGCTGGGGGTCGAATGCTGAAATTACAGGCAACTCGGCTCCCAAAAAGATTATTTTCGGACTGTAATAAACACTCCTCGTGCGTTATAAGCGTGACTTACAAAGTATGTGGTAGATCAATCGGGCTTTAATTGGTGAAATTAATGATTTTTTATTACTTTTGTTATAGAAAATTGACTAATTTTTTATGATAACCTGCCGGCAAATTGTTCTTCATTTTCGAAATCTAGATATCATGCATTGAAAAAAAATATAAACGCTGGAATTTAATAAAATTATTTATCGTTATACCAGCCGTCAAACAGGAATTGATATATTTGTAAATATTAATTAAAAAATTGAAATTCGTTTTAACTTTATCGCCAAAAATCTATTAAATTGATACACCTACTATACACTTGATTGATAACGGCTGTACATATTATTTAAAAACCGATTTTCCTCTATTGCATTTTATTTCACTCCGTTACATAACTTATCTGTTGCGGCGCATCGAAGGTATTTGCCACATAGCGGAAAATTTTACTATTTTAATAATACACAATCGAAAAAAAAAAACCACATATATTATTCCGCAATTTTATTCAATAATAAATAAAAATCCCTAATTAATCTCCCATCATTCATTAGCGTCGCGGTAATAAAGAATCCGCTCCGTTGCGCGAACAAATCCGAGCTTCACCCTCGATCGGCGCTGGCAATAAATCAATGGAACTTTTTAAACGTTTATTTACACCTTAATCTCCACCGAATTCCAGCCGATCCGTCGGGGGTTCGACCTTTCCGTTGGTTTTTCGAGTCGAAAAAGACGCCTATCTAACACCATCACTTCTTGAATCAATCATTCGCCGTGCACTTTATGACGGCGATCAATCCGGGCGATCGTTGGCAGCATCGACTGCCGAGGGAGACCACCGAATCAAAAAAAACGAACAAACGCGTTTTTTGTTCCTGCGAGCCCGGAGGTCCCGGCGATGACCGATCACTCTTCACTTTGACAGATGGCAGAAACCGCGCTCGTCAGACAATACTCGATGGTCTCATTCATACATAACCGGGATCCCATATTTAGAGTATTTATCATATTTAAACAGAGACTCACTAGCCATTTTCTTCGATTCGCTTCATAACTTTCAAAGCCCATTCATTCGCTCAATTTATCAATTGGGAGGTAGGTATCTAAATTATTTATTTTATTAACTTTTTGTTTTAAAATTTAGGACTTTCCTTATCGATGAAGAAACTATATCTCTATTATCTAAATAGTACAATTATTGAATATTTGATGGAATGTTTCTGTAATACGATTTAACCGAATACGATCCTGCGATGTCGCTGTATTTGGTGTATTTATCATATTTAAACCGCTCGGAGATTTCATTTAGATAACCGACCGATGGCATGTGACATGCATACGCCAGGTAAAACGTTCGCCTCTCAACGTCCCCAACAATAACCACTTTAAGATGCCCATTATGATGGAGTCCGGACCGAAGATGCAGATTAGGCGCGAGCTCCGTTTTTGATGGATCGAGTCCGGCCAACAAAATCAATAGGACATTATCTGGAAGGCGTATCGCGCTCGGACGAAAACGACAGCGGGCCGTGTTCGAACGCGTCTCAATAGCAATCGAATTCGATATTTATTAGCATGCTAATTCGACGAACCAGTCGCCGTCTAATCGGGGCAAGTGCGAACGCAGCCCGGCGAAACCGGCCGCATATTCTCGCCTTCAGATATCATTAGACGTCCAGCGAGAGGAGACGTTGAAAGTAGCCCGGTGTAATTTATCGCGGCGGCCAGAAAAAGCGGCTTCGATATTACAGGGCGGTTGGGGTAAAGTAGAGGATAGACGCGGCGCGGTAAAGCGAAATTACCAGTCAATTACCATATCCATGTTGGTCCGCGAATCCCGCGGCAGCTCGAGGCGGCTCACCTGGTCGCTGCCGATGATGCTCTCCGACGTCTATAGTACCCGAGATATTACACAATTAATTTATTCCACCATATTCACCCAGCTACTCCAAACTCATGAGAATATCTTCCACAACCACACGATTAGAAGCATTAGAATTTGAGCCCACATACCAATTTACAGTTGCTACTGTGTGTACGAATATTGGTACCAACAAACTTTATCGTCTATTAAAAGTACCGCTGGTACTAAACGAAGCTTCGTGGGCATTCGAGTGCACGCTTTCCTTCGCTAGCGGTAACTCCTCGCCGATGATACTTGTCGCTTCGCCCACATTTAAACACCTTATAAATTTCGACGGGATATCTACGCCGCGTAATGATTCGATGATGATGCGGCCGATGCGGAAAATTAGAATTTCAATTCGGCGTAATGGGTCCGGTCGGCGTCGAAAAGTTGACCAAAGTGTTTTTGATGGGTCGCAAAATGATTTAAATGCACGGGAAAAGTGGGAATAATGAGGTGACTCGGGTCGATTTAAAATAATTTATTCATTTGGATGGTCTTATTACGCTGTAGGTTTTTGAATATCGCATCCTGCGGGTTTTTCTTTGTACATTTCGCAGACGGTGCTTAAAAAGTTGATAGAGGCCTTTCTTGCTGTCCTCTCATCATAAACACCGTTAAATATAATGTGAGGAAAATGGTCAATTTCTGATATTAATTCTTTAAATTCGTCGTATATTTCAGTCAAGATTTCATCTCCTCTTGTATTGATGCACTTTTTTATACTAGACCATTCAATTTGACTTTTCTTTGCACACTATAAAAGAATAAAATGTGATACATTTGAAAATAACAAGCAATAATAAATAACTTACTCTTCTCACAACTCTCTTATTTTCGGGCTGTCTACTAGACATGACACAACCTTCGAAATTTATCGTATTTTCATTGAAACCAAATAAATGCAAAGCGCAAGCTTGCATTTTATTAGCGAAACATTCCTCATCGCCATTTATACAGTCGATGTCATATGAAATGTACGGTTCTTCGCCATAAGTCTAATAAAAGAACAAAAATAATTGCCGTCGATTTAAAATTTTTTACAAACATTTCTACTTACATTATAACCTACAATCGTAGGATACAATTTCACGTTCAGAGCTTCGCTTCCCAATTTTTGGTATGCTTGATGCAACTTACTGCCTATGAATCTTTGTGAACTGGGACAAGATGAGATGTAATAAACAGAAACATTTACGGCTTCCTGTAATTAGTTTCCAATTAATAGATACTATAAAAAATTAGTGGTGTATTCGAAGTTGTACTCACTTGTGTAGATAATCCTACCAAACAAAACGTAATAAACCAAATAAGGTACATGTTAAAGAAAGCGGGAAATTGAATTGAGTCAGATTCTTTTTCGGGTATCTTTAAATAGTTTTATTTTTTGTTTATATGAATAGATATAGAAAGTTCGGAGGTCGTAATAATTACAAAATTCGCTGTAATTATGAGTAATTTTATCAGCTATGCACTCAACTACGTATTAATTATGTTTGAGGGAAAACCAATTATATTTATGAAAATATTTGGATTATGCACTTAATTTGAATATTCTAAACTCCACTCTTTGAATTAAATTGAAACCCGCCTTAATACTTTAAAAACGTCAATTAGGTTGATGTAAACCTTTTAATACGAATGCTTTTTACTGCTATTTATCATTCATGTTTTTGTAAAGTATATTTTAAACGCAAGCAAGCTGAACAAGACAGAAATCGATGGTAGAGTTTTTGGACAATACGAATTTGGAGATGGATTCCAAATCGAGAATCAATAAAATTTTGCACCTCAAATGTCCTATTATAAGACTAATCAGACACCAGATGAAACAGGTCGACAACAAGGTAGAGGAAACCATGTTAAAATTGAGACGGAGGAATAGCTTTAGTCAAAGGTAAACGAATTAATTGAGTATAATAGGAGGGATATTTATTTAAATATTTTTAGGTTATGGAAAAATAGATGGTTAATCATAAGTTTTCTACTTATAATAACCTCAATGGCATTGCTGTTTCTCTATGGTACATTAGTAGGAGCCGGCCTCTGCTCAGATAGCCCTATTGCTATGAGAGGTTGTCCTGCCGCTGTAACTTTTCTCCCATTACTTAATTTGGCGCAGACATCTACTATACTAACTTACTAAATAGACATTACGCGTCCATAAATTCACGTCCGCAACACCCATTTATCTCAGTTATATACATTTAATTATTTTATATAAGCGATAAAATACAAACCAAACAAAAACGAAATTCCGTTTTCCTCGAGGTTTCGTCGATGCTTTCGCAAACAACACCCCCGTCCATATCTGCGAATTCAAGAGATACGCCCGTGGCCAATTTGGAGCGCTTCCTTCCGGCGAACGACGGAGATAATTCATTCCTCTCCGGCGCTTTCGCGAATGATACTATCAACTATCTGCCATCGAAAGAGACGAATGGCAGCGACAGAAGCGAAGTTAGCGAAAAGGGTGGGAAGTGTCAGGATCCCGATGTTATGTAAGCAAATGGCAAGTAACGGCGAAATATCGAGTCACCGAAACGGGAAGAAATGGTTAGAGCGAAGGAACGACCTCGCTGCCAGTCGAGGAATAAATAGGGTGCTGGAGATGTAAAATGGGAGCCACAAAGAAATAGGAATGTAAAGAAACGATTAACTAAACTAATACCAAAGAGATATTTGTCGTTTGTATCCCTTCTGGAATCTCTCTTTAGACCGTGTATTTTTGGTTAAGTACAAAAACATTGCTGTTTATCGACTATTCCTCTACGCATCTTAATATCACAAGTTGATCGTTTCTCTGGTATATCCTACTTTCTTGGAGAAGCCAGCGAAAAGCGGGCGTGATAAATATAAGACTATAAATGGTGTGTGGAGGAGGGTGGCTTCTCGTAACCGGAGTCGCCGGGCACCGTTGCCGATTTGGCTTGAGCCGTCGGCGGGGCGGCGGCGGCGGCGGCGACGGGGCGACAGGGCGACAGTGAGAAGCTGTCGCAACCTCATGCATTCGAGCGTGTAATTGGATAGAGTGCAACGGTATCGACGTCGATGGCGGACGGATAGAACGGTATCGAAAAGGGGCCGCCGACGCGAAACGCTGAAGCTTAGAGACCGATATGGTGGAACGACAACCGTGCCGGATTTATTCGCTTCGGGGGCCGATTCCGAGCACCAGTAGAGCAGGGGATGTAAAGGGGACAATTATTTTTGAATCGCTGATGAGACTTTTTTTTAACTATTAATTCTCGAGGTTTTTGATTTCCAAACTTGCCTCTTAACAATTTTGCTTCCTGCACATGATGTCGTTCTCATATATTGTTTGAGGCATAGACAAGAATATTCTAATAATATAACAATGATTATTTTGTTAGTATAAGCATACATTGTATGTTGAATAGATACAATCTCTAAATATCACCGATCATCCCGCTCCTAACAATCGAATCCGAGACGTTATCTGGCTCTTTACGACGGCAATATTGCAATCTGGACCCTTCCGATATCGTCCTTACTCCATAACCGTTGGAACAATAACCTTGAGTAGCCATTACCATATACGAAGCGAGAATGGTAAGTGGTCAGAAAACGGAGAACCATAAACCTCTAAAATGTGTTCTATCACATTCGAGATAACATCGCGGTCCCCGGGTGGCGGTAGTAACAATCTCGCCGTGCATGAATTGCTATTTGCGTTATTTTCCTTTAGAACGGACGTCTGCGTTCTGCGGAATTAGCCGCAGTAAACACATTTTGAATTGCTGATAAAATGGCGATGTTGGTAAAAACGCGCGCCAAAAACGGCTCTGGAAGAAATATACGAAAACGGAAGAGCTTATATGGATAAATCTACAGAATATTGTAGAAGTTATAAAAGCCGGATCTTCATTAGTCTTTCTTGTAAAGTATTGGTGTGCATTTGAACAACAGATGGGAGTCGTGCGTGGGGCTAAGTCGATTCCTTTTACAAGTATTTTTATCCGTTTTCTACGTTTTTGCTGTTATTTATTCGTCGTTTACGTCGAGATACGGTCTATACCTGAAACCTTCACAATCGGCACGTGAAGGTGTTTTATAAGAATTATTGTTTGGCAGGGTATTACAGTTAAACACCAACACCTCCTTAAACGTTGCACAAAGGCAGCTGGCTAAGAACTGGGTGGCATTACATTCAGAAATCGAATCAATCACTATTTCAGCCTTCACTCGTTTGAAGGTTTTATTTCCATCATTAAATCGAATTACCTGCGTTGGTCCACACTTAAATACACAGATAAGATGATGATTTGAAATATAAATCATTCCATCAAGAGTAGATTTATTTGTATAAATTTAACAAGTCGGTAACATTTGAATAAAATACAGCATCTTTTTATAACCGAAAATCCATCTTAACCAGCAAACAACGGCCGTTCATTTTCGAAAGCGGCAATAAAGGGCGCAAAAATGAAATATTTTATGGCAACACGGTAGAGTCAAAAAGTCACTTGAAGCCGAAAGACGCATAAAAGGAGACATCATTATTTTACACCTCCCCGAAAGTGTTCGCATAAATATGAAAATAACCTGACGCTTTATGTTCTCCATAAAATTCTACTTTGTGTTGAATAATCTTCAAATTGCCCCGAAGCACATTTGAGCGTGAAATATAAGTTGGCGGAAAGTTGGGAAGGAGGAAAACCTTTTTGGAAAAACAACACGAATTTAGTTTGAAGTATCACATTCTTTTCTATGCGTATTTACATAGGCTATAATTATAAAATATTAATGTTATTCTTCTTCTAAAACAAGTTAGTAATTTTTACTAATTTTTAAACTATCTGTAAGTAATTTATAATAATATATTTCATTAAAATTTTTCTATTAGTAGAAGAAAGTTTGATAAAATACTCTCACTCACAACCAATTTATTTTTATTTACTCAATTTATTAAATTAATCCATCCAGGTATGTACTACCTACTATTCTTGATTTATTCAAACAAAATACTGGATCTATAAATTAGGCATATACGTTCTGTTAATTAAATCGTTCTTGTTCCCACCGAGCGGGTTATTGATTGATACATATTAAGAAATTGATTAGCTCCAAATTATTAAAAATTCAAATCGTTAATTTGGGCAATAAAATTTTTTAACGACTCTCACCTTATACGGTGATAATAACTATCAGCACTAACAAGCGAATTATTTACGATTCTTCGCCGTTTATTTTCTGATAGAATCAATAAAAACCGACTGATCCCTGCGGGAGCCGCTTCCAATCCAAATATTTGAAGAAGTGAATCATTGTTAATCATTTTTATAGTTTCTTCTACCACAGTCGTACACTTAATTGCAATGTAAAAATAATTGGTGATTATGGAATAAAAATATTAAATAATAATGGAATATAGAAACGATTTCTTTCGGATTGAATGTATTTCTTGATAAATAAATTAGTTTTGTTACGCCAATGCTCGCAGGAATAATCCAAAAAACGTTTCGATAGCAGTCATTGTACACTCCATAATCTTCGAAATTTATAAGCCACATCGAAAAAATCAATTAGCTAAGAATTCCATTCAACGTTCGTTAAGAATGCGGTCCCATCCGATACTATTTATACGTTAGCAGTCACACTCGCCATATCCATGAATGAGCAGTAGCTGCTTATGCTCGGCCACCAGACAAAATATTGACCAGTTTTCCCATAAACGTGTTTCTAAACCAGCGTGAAATTACGTGATTTACGGCGGGCCGGTAATTTGTTTACTAGCATTGTCTCCGGACATTGTTTAAGGGACATCTCGTAAATTCCTTCTACGGTTGTCTTTAAACGAGCGCCTTCGTAACGCCTTCGTAAATAACGAAGAATTAGTGTGTTTCTGGTCTTTCTAAAGCTCCTTGTTAACGTTCATTTGGTTATCGAAAAGTCGCAAAGACAACGTCCGAAAAATTATGACAAAACAATACCGTCCGCGTGACGGCTAACCTGATTCAATTTGTGCGCCAACCCCAAGATTTGTTTTCCGGGTTATAAATCAGATTCCGACAATACCGTCCATATCCATTATCGTTAGCCACGGCGCTTTCGGTGCGATTGCCCTGCAGTAATGTATCCACTAATATATCCGAAAAAAGCGAAGAATATCTAAAATTCAACCCCAATTTCAACTCCCACACCATCTCAATAAAAATGCTATATTTTAATCAATTTCAAACCGTATAATTAAACGAGTACTAATAGAGGATGTACTACAACGAGCTGCTCTATTGAGAGGGTACAAATCGGGCGAGTCCGGTTCTGCGTGCACCTCGAAGGGGAGCCAGAAATTCAATTGTTTTTATAGAGCCGGAACGTGTGCGCACGGATTGATTGTAATTGCATGTATTACAAGTCGAGTTGAAACATGCTGTACTTGCTAATACGATTAAATAACGCTGAAACAGCATCATGCGGAGTCCAACGGGCGCGTCGGCTCTTTTCTTTTTTCCATATACATCCTCGTGCACCGGCAGAATTGCGAAATAAAAACCAATTCGACTTTTCAGAACCTTCCGCTGATTCTATTATAGCCCGAAATCGGAAGAGGTCGAGGAGTAATTAAAGTAAGTGGAAATTTAAAAGGATTAGAAGCATAAATAATAGTTGCTGTTTTAATCGTGTGTATCTCCAGCACCGTAAAAGTCGTGTATAGGGATAAAAGGTAAATTTTGAATGAGGCCGGGGCACAATACGGGACGGAATCTATTACGTAATTTCATCTAACCGATGTTGAAAACGAGGAGCTGTCATAACTGCATGACGGATGACGAAAAAATTGACAAAGGGTCGCATTCATGAGTTGCGGTTCTGTCTACACTTGAATGATAAGCTGGTAATAATAAGCTTGTAGTGTAAATTTACCAAAACGGATTCTATTTTCGGGCCACATGCCTTTTTCTCATTGAGAAAGTTTGCTAAATACGTCGCGTTTGAATGGCAGATCGGTGGGATCCTGTATAATTTCGGCGATATTCCACTCTTTCTTTTGTAGAGCAGCTGGGTTTGTATTGGTGTGATTTGCAGAAATGTTACGCACAAAAGTGAAATCGTTTAAAGCGATATTAACATTTTGAAATGAATAAATGCCGTAAAATATTATACCCGTTTCGAATAAATCGCGCAATTCTCTTGATCTTTTCAAATTTACTCAGCAACCTGGTTCACATTCGAAAGCACTCTTAGTTGAAATAAAGCTTCTAAATGTCAACTAACGCTGGTTTTATGCCTTCAACCGATTTTTTTCTCGATGAAAACGCGCGCGTTTAATGCCCAGCGCTCTCGCTAGAACGTTTTTGTGTACTCGGAAAATTATTGGGAATTTATTCGCGAGCGTACGACCTTAGGTGCATTGCTAGAATGGGCGAATTAACATAAAATGAGCTTCCCACATGCGTGCTAACTTTACCTACCGCATTGATCGCAATTTTCGATGACTAACAAATGACCCTACACTGCACGAGGGCGCGTTTTATTTCATTCATAAAATTAGGCTTTGCATTTATGGAAACTGAAGAAAAAAACATTTTCATTCGAGCTTACCTATGGTACTGGATATAGGAGTCTCGAGAATAATATTGTGAGATTTTATTGCCTTTATCTCATTCGGGAGTTCTGTGGAATAGCATGAAAGGTATCTTAGAATGAACTTACAGTAATAGTTGCAGTGAAATGAAGTATGCAATTATAAAATGGGTCCAAGAATCACCCCTTTCAGTATTAGCATCTTATTAAAAAACACTGTATAGCACATT